TAAAATATTATAAATATTTTTTCTTCTTCTACTATATTTATTATTGTTATTTTTAATAATTTATATTTATTACTTATTTTAATATATATTCTTTAATTGTAATTAATTTAACTTCTTTTAGAGCGAAAGTTCATTAATAGTATAATTAAATAAAGTATTTTAGTAATCTTGTAGTGAAGAAAAGAATGATTTTTGATCATAGTGAAGAAAGCATGCGTATTTTTATCACAGTGAAGAAAGCATACGTATTTTCATCACAGTGAAGAAAGCGTACGTATTTTCATCACAGTGAAGAAAGCATACGTATTTACAACATAGTGAAGAAAGCATACGTATTTCTAACCTAGTGAAGAAAGCATAAATATTTTTAACCTAGTGAAAAAAGCATACGTATTTACAACATAGTGAAGAAAGCATGCGTATTTTCATCAAAGTGAAGAAAGCATGCGTATTTTCACCATAGTGAAGAAAGCATACGTATTTACAACATAGTGAAGAAAGCATGCGTATTTTCATCAAAGTGAAGAAAGCATGCGTATTTTCACCATAGTGAAGAAAGCATACGTATTTACAACATAGTGAAGAAAGCATGCGTATTTTCATCAAAGTGAAGAAAGCATGCGTATTTTCACCATAGTGAAGAAAGCATACGTATTTTACACCTAGGGGATAAACTATCCAATTACAACCCTAGGGACTAAAAAGGCCGCGATTTTCAAATAACAATAAAATAACCGCGTATTTTTAACACCAAGGGAGTAAAGAACGAATATTTTTATGAAAATAAATAGATTTATTTATTTATTTTAAAAATTTCTTTTTTTTCAATAGTTTATGGCTTTTTTGCTATAATCAAAAAGTACACGTACCTAATTGACAGGCGTCAAAATGACTTTGAAGTGGGGGGGGGGGGTGTAAATGCGCGGGCGACGAAGCGAAACGAGTGCGCGCGAAATTTAAAAATCACTCACTGTCGGGGGTCACACACTAAAAAGAGGAGACTCTAAATGGTCGCGATGGGGTGGAAATGAAGCGATTGTGTCCGCGAAATGTCGTGCAACCTGAAAATTGCATTCAGGGAGAAGAGAGAGAGAGAAAGAGAGAGAGAGAAAGCTGTCGCAAGAAACAGCGTAGCACACACAGTAGCAGCAGGTTTTTATAACTTTTAACGGTTCCTCTGGGGGGGGGGCGAGTACATTGCATTGTGAAGTGGGTATTGCATTCATTTGCATACAGGCTGTTGCTAGAACGTGCACGCGTTCTTGTCCCGTAAAACGCGTACTTTTTTTTATATATATATATATGTTCCTCGTATTTATTTCATACGCACGCACACACTAGTGCATTTGTCGGGGCACCTGCCCATATGGTTATAGTGATCGTACAAGGAAAGGCCCATCTGGTCAAAGAACCTACGAAGGTTGTACACGAAGGTAGCGCGCGAGCCCAAAAAGCTTCATCGTGGCCTCGGAATTTTTTATTTTTCTTTTTACAATGTTGTACCTTTCTTTTTATATATATATAGTGGAACTGACCTTCAATACGTAATACTTGATAATTTATTTGCGGTGTCCCGCACACGTAATTTCAAGGTCTTTAGGTCACTTATTTATCCTTTATAATTGTTTGTTCCCTTAACTTTTTTTTTTAATTACATTTCTTGGAAATAAAATATAACATTTATAAAATTAATAAAATTAACAATAGTTGTTAATTTGAAAGAATTACTCTTCCTTGGAAGAAACTGGGAGAAATTCTTATTTATCAAAAATTTCTAAAAATAAAGTATATTCGTGATTTTTCGTTTTTAAATGTGTTCGGCGTGTTCGGCTCAGCGGTTTTTGATGTTTATATAAGTTTAACTATGATAGGTTTTTTAAAATCGTATATAATTTCAAAGTAATAGTAACATTATTCATAATTATGTAATTAATTATAATATATAATTAAATATGAATACTGAAGAAAGGGGGAATTTTTAGGTTATGTTAGTGTTACTTTCATACCTCAATTAAAAGTTTCTGCTTAATTTTGTATAATTAAAATCAGTTTTTTATAAATTAAGCTAAGAAAACTTCAGTAGTTTATATAAAATAATAATTTTATCACTCGGTCGTCTTTAATTATTACAAAATATAAAGTTAACGATATTCATATTTAATAATAATTCAGTGATTTATATTGAAATTTCATCCCCTTTGTGTATTTTCAGTCAAAAAATTACAAACATAACCTCAAATTTTTTGCTCTTTAGATACCTTTCTTCAGTGCACGACACATATAACTAATAAAAATATAATATTGCTAATAAGTAAATAAATAAGAAAAATTGATTAATATATTCTCGTGTGTAAATATTAAAATTCAAAGGAAATAATTAGCAATTAGCGCATTAATTTGATAATTAACCTTATTAATGTAATTACTGTGTGCAATTCAAAAGATTTATGTCAATGACGCAGCGGTTTTTTCTTCATCCCATTGAAAAAGTGCATGGCTAATAAAAGTATATTTTATAAGTGTGATTATACAATGAGGGTCGTATAATTAATTAAAAGGGCGTTTACAAGCATTGTGCAACAAAATGTAGTTTATAATTTAGCGAAACAATTTACTCTTAATTAAAATTTCGTATATAAAACTATAATGCAAATTTTGCATTGTTTTGTTAGTAATTCTTTTCAATAATTTTTTTTTTTTTTAGTAATTTTTATTTTCTCTTTTAGTTACTTTTTTGTTAGTTTTTTTTCAATAGTTTTTCTTTTTTTCTTTTAGTAATTTTTATTAGTAATTATTTATTAAAATTATCAACAATTATTATTTATTAACATTATTAATAATAGTTATTTATTAAAATTATCAATAACAATTATTTATTATCAAAGTTTATTAAAATTATTTATTATATGTTTTTATTATAATTATTTACTAAATAACATTTTCGAATAAAACGTTATTTCTGTTCCAACTAATCAAGTTTGTTCCAGAGTGTTCTTGATAGTGATTGGTGGACAGTTTTCTATAAACAATTTCCGGTGTAATTATTTTTGTAAACATAACCTCAAAATCTACTAAAGTTTACTTTTGTTTACTTTCGTGTCTCTTGCGTCGTGTCTTCGTGTTTATTTGCGTGCAAAAAAAGTGATCAAGATTTGATTATGAAATTAAGACATGGGATTTTTGACCAAATTTCAGCAAACCAAAAATGAAGTGGTTAAATGGCGAAAATTAAATAAATAATATATAATATAAAGGAACACCTTACTCTTGAAAGGTGATGACATGTGTCATTACAAGTAATGTTTATGTATTAAAAAAAATTTTTTTTTATCACGTCTGCGGTCGATGGCATTTAAGGTCTATTTATCCAATCCAATGTCAAGAGACGAGAAAGAGAGAGAGAGGCTAAGTGTTAAATTGCGAAAGCAACTCAGGTGTTCAGGAGTTTCACCTGTTTTTGTATTTCCCGTATGCCACGACAGGTGTATACCTTTTGACGTTGCTAAAGAAGTTTCAGTCTTCCTGTTTCTTATTCTTCCTTTCAAAACTTTGTAATTATCCTTCACCCAGTAGAAAAACATTGTCTACCTGAATCGACGTATTGTTACTCTCTTTTATCGTCATTTTGCGTTTTCTTCTCCGTTCCTTTAAGAGGGTCAACCCCTTTTCTCCTGGGAAATGTCGTTGACAATTCACATAATTGCCACGATCGTTATACACATTTATATATATCTAATCTCAGGTTCTGTGACCTAATTTCATTTCTTTTTTTTTTAACGTAAATCCCTATGAGAAAAAAAAATTATCTCCTTCACACAACTGGCTGTTATTTTGAAAATTAATTATAGACGCACTAAAACAACGGAGACAAAATACGTTTTTGCTTTTAAACTAATTTAAAAAGACAAGGATTGCCACAGGTCAAGGAAGTGAGGGAAATTTTTCTCTCTAGATTATAATCAATTATTTTTCATTCGAGAAGAAGAATCAGAAATTTGAAATTTAATAAAATTTCAATTTTGAATTAATTTAATTAGAATTTTTTAAGAACTTAGATTTTTGAAAAATTGCAATAATTTCAATTTCTTCTGAAATAAGTTAAATTTTTTTACAAATATTTAATTAATTATTCAATTATTTTCGCAAATATTAAAAAAATTCCTTGGAAGAATTGAATTATTTTTATAAATAATAAATTTCTTCGCAAAAATTTCATTATTTTTAAATGCATTTTTAATTTTTTTTTTTTTGAAGAATTGAATTATTTCTAGAATTTTAATTGAAATTCTTCAAAAGTATTTAATTATTTTAAAAAATGTTAATAAAATTTTTTATAATAATTAATTTATTTTTAATATGATTTTAATTGTGAATTGAATTACTTATATTACTTCAAAAAAAGTTCAAAAAACGTGTTTGCTTGTGAATTAACAAATTTTGCTAATAAATAGTAATTTCTTCTAATTTATTAGTAAAAATTTGCTTTCGAATTAGTAAATTTTACTAATAAATTTGTGAAAATTATTATTTATTTGTAAAATTTACAAATTTACAAACAAAAAATTCCTCGAAAAATGTAATTATTATTCCTAAAAATGTTATTAAAATTCGTCAAAAAAAATTCAATTATTTAATTTTATATTTTTTTATTTTAATATAATTGAATTGATTGGAATTTTCTGAAAAAAATTAATTGTCTTTTAAAACATAATTTTAGTGTGAATCAAAATATTTTTTAAACTCAGGGAAAAAGACAAAAATTAATTGTCTGGAAATCAGGAAGAAAAATCAGGTGAAAAAGAAAATTAATTTTTTGTGTCAACCCTTGAGAACGTTTTAGCTTTTGAACTTATATGTTTAATGGTTAAGAAAGTATAGTGTAAAGGGGTGAGGGATTTTTTTTTTTTGGCCTTTTTATTAATACGGGCGATTATATTTGGGAATAAAAATTTCTTTATGGAAATATTCATGGGGGATAAATTTTTCTTTTTATTTTGCAGAGATGCTAAAGTGGACGGTATCGAGATCTTTGTCTACGGCCAGTTCTACCCCCCATGGACCACCTAATATTAACAAGACGTCCCGCAGACCTTTTCGTGATCTCTCCAATACTCCTCCAGCCTCCGGCTCCAAAACGAAAAGCAATCTACCCAACGCTCAAAATTCTTCGACGGGAATTAAACCCACACCTGGACGTAGACGACGTTGTCGTAGTCATGGCAGCGATCTAAGAGGGTACTTTCAGGTAAGTAAATAAACAAAGAGGGTTCTCTTTAAAAAAAAAAAACCAATTTAATGCAATTCCAAATTCAAATTTGCCTCAACTGTAAAAATATTTCCTCTTGTTTTTCTGGAAAAAATTTTTTTTTCAAAAATTTTTGTGATTTTTTTAACAGACGGATTTTTTCTGTAATAATAAAAAATTGCGATTAATTAATAAATTCGAATCAATTTTCAATTTCATTAAACAAATTTAATTGGCTGGAGTTCGAGCTAAAATTTCTTTTTTCTCTCTTTACAGTCGACGAAGACGAGTTTCAGATCAGTGAAGCGACAATCGCTTCTTCACGACTTGCAGAAATCCTCGGAGCCAACTGAAAGTTTTTACCTGAGTACACCGAGAGTTGACGCTGATATTCCACTCACCTTATTCCCGAGCGAGTCACGAACTAGTGAGACGACAACGACAACAGCTTTAACTTTACCAACAGCATTAACAACAACAACAAATCCGCCACCATCGCCACTGAGAATAAGTTCAAGAAACTTTCCAAGTAGCAATGAACTGCCACAGAATATCGTTAACGAGGCACGTGCCAATCGACAGTCCCATGTTTCGGATTTCTTTCAAAAAATTGCCCTCGCCGCAAGTCCCGAGGATATTATGGAGGCCGATTCAGTGCCATTATGTAAACGAAGGATATTCTCGCAAAATTGTGAGAGTACAAAAACAACAATTTCATCGGAATTTGCACGCGTCTCGTGTATACCGAAATTAGCGAGAATAACGAAATTACAATCGCGATGTAGAACGCCATATCATACGAAGAATGGACAGGGGAAGAGTCCTTTTAAAATAAAGGAGAGTGTTCATACGCCACTTGCTGGGAAATTATTGGATTTGAAAATTGATCAGGATTTACCAAAGTTCGAGAATGTGGATAATACTGTTACTGAAGTTATGAATAGGTAAATTTTCATTTTTTCTTGTACGAAAGATTTCGCATTCGTCTACTATAAACTACTATTTTTATCTACTTTTTTATTTACTATTTTTTATTAACTATGTACTCTTTTTACTATTTTCAGGGCTCGAACTTAGATCCTTAGATCCCGTAAAAGTCCGTAAATTTGCTTGAAGTCCGTTAAAGTTCGTTTTTTTAAAAAAGGTCCGTAAAAGTCTGTAATTCGATTGAAGTCCGTTAAAGTCCGTTTTTTTAAAAAAAAAAAAAGGTCCGTAAAAATCCGTAATTTGATTGAGAAAAGACGAAAAGTTCATAAATTCTACGATATAATTTAAAAAAATTTTAGAAAAATTACAAATGATTGCAGAAATTCAATTTTATTTTCAAAAGTAATAAAATTCTTTTCCAAAATTCAATTATTTTCAAAAATTTTTTAATAAAATTCATGGCAAAATTTCAATTGTCTTTATAAATAATTAAATTCTTATTAAAGTTTTAATTATTTTCACAAAATTGAAACAAAATTCTTGGCAAAATTTCAATTAATTTCCAAAATTTTCCACAATTCAATGATTTTTATTATTCACTATTTTAATAAAATTTTCCAAAAGAATTCAATTATTTAAAAAAAATTTAATAAAATTCTACGCAAACAAATTAATTATTTTCCTAAAATAGTAAAAATTTCAGAGGAATTCAATTATTTTTATAAATAGTAAAATTCATGGTAAGAATTCAATTATTTTCGAATTTAATAAAATTCTTCGCACAAATTCAATTATTTTTAAAAGTAATAAAATTCATCGCTGAAATTCAATTATATTCAGAAATTTTTTTTAAAAAATTTATTGTAAAATTCAATTATTTTTATAAATAGTCAAATTCATGGTGAGAATTCAATTCAATTATTATGTTAAAAAATTTAAGAAAATTCTCGTCAAAATTTCAATTATCTTTATGAATAATAAAATTCTTCTCCGAAATTCAATTATTTTCAAAAAATTTTCCTCAATGCAATGATTTTTAATATCTACTATTTTAATAAAATTTTCCAAATGAATTCAATTATTTAAATAAAATTTTGATAAAATTCCAAGCAAATATTTCATTATTTTCATAAATAATAAAAATTTCATAAAAATTCAATTATTTACAGATTTTTTTATAAATTTCTTCGCAATAATTCCATTATTTCCATAAATCCTAAAATTTTTAACTGGATTCAATTATTTTCGTAAGTATTAAAATTCTTTTTAGGAATTCAATTATTTGCATAAATAAAAAAACTCATTGCAAAATTTCAATTATTTTGAATACAATTTTAATCGAATTCCTCGAAAAATGTAATTACATTTTTCTTAAAAATTTTATTAAAATTCGTCAAAAGAATTCAATTATTTAAAAATTTATTGATAAAATTATTTATTAGAATTGAGTTTTAAGAAACATTCAATTATTCAATAAATTATTTTGTTGCATTACAAATTATTGCAGAAATTTATTGATGTTCAAAAATAATAAAATTCTTCTTAGAGAATCAATTATTTTAACAAATAATAAGACTTTTCGCAGAATGTCAATTATTTTTAATACAATTTTAAACAAATTTCTTGAAAAATGTAATTATTATTTCGAATTTTCTTTAAATTCGTCGAGAGAATTCACTTATTTTAAAATTTATTTAATAAAATTCTTTACGAGCATTCAATGTTAAGAAATATTCAATTGATAAATTATTTATTTTTTTATTTAAATAAATGAATTCTAGTCGAATTTTCTAATAAAAATTGATTTAAAAATGAATTTTAGTTAAAATTTTATATAATCATTGAATATTAAGAGCATTTCAGGATAAATTTTTAGAAATAATTGAATTTAGAAAAGGTTTAATTTTGAAAATTAGCCAAATTTTAACTATTTGCAAAAATTTTTTACAATTCAATGATTTTCAATATCTATTATTTTAATAAAATTTTCTAAAAGAATTCAATTATTTACAAATGTTTTTATAAATTTCTTCGCAATAATTCAATTATTTTCATGAATAATAACATTTTTACATGGATTCAACTATTTTATTTTATTTTATTCTTAGAAATTTTATTGAAATTCGTCGAAAGAATTTAATTATATACAAATTTGTTGATAAAATTTTTAATGAGAATTCAATTTTAAGAAATATTCAATTATTCAAGAAATCATTTATTTTCGTATTTAAATAATTAAATTCTCGTAGAATTTTCTAATTAAAATTGATTTGAAAATAAATATCAGTTAAAATTTTAGATAATAATTGAATATTAAAATCATTATAACGTTAATTTTTAGAAATAGGTAATTGAATTTTGAAAAGGTTTCAAATTAAAATCTTTGAAAATTTGAAAGTTTCTTACTTTTAACTAACAATTGTGTAGAATTAATTCTTTTGAAAAATTTTAATTGAATTTCTTTGGAAATTATTTAAAGTTTTTATTTTCTAAAGTATATTTAATTGAAGACTTTACGAATAATTGAAGTTTTGTAAAATTAAATTGTATACAAATGAATTTGAAAATTCTCAAAGAAACTTTTTCAAAAATTATTAAAAATAATTCATTTATAGAAGAATTTTAGTTAAAAACACGAAAAAAAAATTTAATTTTGGAAAAATTACAAATTATTGCAGAAATTCAATTACTTTTTTAAGAGTAATAATAGTCTTCGCTAAAATTAAATATTGTTCATAAATAATAAAATTCTTATGGATTCAATTATTTTCACAAATAATAAAACTCATCGCAGAATTTATTTAAAAATATTCTTGAAAATAATAATATAATTGATGATTTTATCATTTGGTCATTTTATTTTATTTTATTTACAAAAACAGTGCATTAATTATTATAAAACATGAAGAATCGATTACTTCGAGTCGAAGACTCGGAGTAATCGATATCTTCATGTTTTATAGAATTATGAAAAATTTAATTTGTAGTTTTAAGTAAAATGTTTGATTAATTAAATATTAGTGAACTTAAAAATTATTTTAAATTATAGGTATTTAAAAAATTAGTTTTAGGAATTTTTTTTGTAAAATTTTTTTAAAAGTAAAGAATAGTTGCAGTGGCATTTTTATTTTTAAAAAATTTAATTTCTGTATTTAAATAACTGAATTCTAGAAGATTTTCCCAAAAATTACTAAAAAAATAATTAATACTTTATTTAGAAGCGAATATTATTAAAAGTTCTAGAAATTAATTGAATATCGAAAGAGATACAGTAGAAAATTTTACAAATAATTAAATTTCAAAAGGTTTGAGATTAAAATCTTTGAATTTTTGATACTTTTAAATTGTAATTTAATTTTTTTTTAATTTAGAGCGAGGTTTTTTTCTACTTTAATAATAACCGAATAAAAATAATAATTCACCCAGTTTTTCTAAGGATGTCAAATTGGGACAAAAAAAACAAATATCCTTTAAAAAACTGATTCAAAAACAGCAGATAAAAAATATTCGCATTAAATTCCAATTATCGTCTTTTTTTTCTCCCGTGTAGGATTTTTTGAAAATAAAATTGTTACGACAGAAGGAATTCACATAATAGTGACCTTGGAATCCCGACGACGGAGGGTAAAAATTGTGAGATATAGACACTTGCATAAGCACGTGGTATGTCTTTCTAACTCGAGGATTGAAATTTTTTTTTTTGAAAGAGAGATATAGAGGGGAGGGGTGGTGTATATAGGGAGATTGTCTAGCAGGCGATGGTAGGGTCTCTCTCTAGATTTTATGCGAAGGAGCGAAGGGTGATGCCATGGGGACGAATCGAGAAAATAAAAGAGCTAAAACTTTAAATTGGAGCAGGTTGAAAAAAGATGGATATACGGAACACCCGTCTTCTTTAGAGCGCCGGGTTCTCTAAAGAATAGAATACAATGTACATTCAAACATTCTAGTTTCTTCATTCTGCAAGGGAGCAAAATCCGATAATACCGCACAACTATTGCAAATCGTTCCCTCGTGAGAAAAATTCGGCTTCTATTACTTTTTTTTTTAATACCATCTCTCAGTTAAGAAAAGAATTTTAATTATTTACAGATAACGGATTTTTCGATTCTTTCTATTGAAAAAAAAACTTCGCCTTTACCTTTTTAATTCACCTTTTTAATTCAAAGTAATTTAATTTCCTCTTCTTTTTTTCAAGGGAACGCAAAAGGAGTTGTGGAGGCAAAACAGTGGCGGAAATTCTCCTCAAGGACACTGAGGAGAGGCGAAAAATTCTCGAGGCAAAATTGACGACGACGAGAGGTGAAAATTCGCCGGAGCATATTTATGAAATGATTGTTGAACGTGATGAGATTGCTTCGCATAGTGACAGTTCAGTTTCGTCAGCTAGTCAACTGCTGGAAAATCCATCGCCCCTCTCGTGGGCACTTCAATCGCCGTCTAAAGATTTTGAGGGTGAATTTACGTTACGTAGACAGCGGGGAATTCGTCGGAAACGACAGCAAAAGGAGACAGAGATTGAGAAAAATTCCGCGAGTAAACGAGCAAAGAAACTAAGTCAAAGTCCAACGAATGTGAATGATGAAAATCATGTGAATGAAATAAGTGAAATTATTATTCAGGATCCATTGATGGAGGCTGTGAATCGTAATGTAAAGAGATGTCCACTTGAGACGGATCTCGATTCAACTTTAGATGATGATAATAAATTTGCTGGATCGACGACAACATTTTGTGTTGATATTCAAAGTCAAATATTAGAGGATTCGAGGAGAAAGGCCAGTTTTTGGGAGCTCGAGAGTCCCAAATCGTTATTAATTGATGATTTACATAGTACAAAGTCATTTTTGAATTCCGTCGAAAATACTCCTGAAGCGCCGTTGGTGGCGACTGTCAGGAGATGTTTAAAATATAGTCCTGAAATCGATCCGCCAAAGTCAAATTCAAAAGGATCGATACAAATCGAACACTCCGTCCATGATGAGCAAATTCATCTTAAAGGTAATTAAATTAATCGATAACGAAACAAATTTAATAATTATAATGAAATTATTTCACTCTAATGAAAAATATTTCACTGTAATGAAAATTATTTCACTCTAATGAAAATTATTTCACTCTAATGAAAATTTATTTCACTTTAATAAAAATGATTTCACTATAATGAAAATTATAATCTAGTCAATAATTTAATTAATTACATGGTTGCCACAAAAATTTAATTTTCTTTTTCCATGATTTCAAGACAAAATTTTAACTTTTTCCTTTTTGAATCCCTTATGAAATTCAACAACTCAAGAATATTATTATAAAACAAGAAAAAATCGATAACTCCGAGTCTTCGACTCGGAATCATCGATTTTTTTATGTTTTTTATAACAATTTAAAAATAATCGAGTGATAAAATCATTATTTTATTGAAATTACTTCTTCAAAATTATTTCCATCATTTCAATTTAATTATTATTTTCTAGAATTTTTAACAAAAATTCTTCTCTAAAGCAATTATTTTTAATAATTTTCGAAAAAGTTCTTTAAGTTTCAAATACGTTTGTTTACAATTCAATTTTACGTGAAATTCCGATTATTCAAAAATTCTTAAATTAAATAAATATTAGAAAATAAAAACTTCAAATAATTTAAATAGAAATTCAATTAAACTTTTTCAAAAAAAATAATTCTTCAGAATTTTTAGTTAAAAGTATGAAAAATTCAGTTTTTCAAAGATTTTAATTTAAAACTTTTTCAAAATTAAATTATCTGAAATTTTAACTGAAATTCATTTTTAAATGAATTTTTCTTAGAAAATTCCAATCAATTCAATTATTAAAATACAAAAATATAAATTTAAATAATTGAATTCTTTCGACGAATTTTAATAACATTTTTAGGAATAATTATATTTTTTGAGGAATCTTTTTGCAGTTTTTTTAGAACTATATATTAAAAATAATAGAATTATTATAAAAAATTTTATTAAAATTTCTGAAAATAATTAAATACTTTTAAAGAATTTTAATTAAAATTCTAGAAATAATTCAATTCTTCAAAAAAAAAAAAAATTAAAAATGCATTTAAAAATAATGAAATTTTTGCGAAGAAATTTTTTATTTATAAAAATAATTTAATTTTTCCAAGGAATTTTATTAATATTTGCAGAAAATAATTTTCAAATCAATTATAATTTTTAATTAGAAAATTCTACGAGAATTTAATTATTTAAATACAAAAATAAATAATTTATTGAATAATTAAATGTTTCTTAAATTTGAATTCTCATAAAAAATTTTAGCAACAAATTTTTAAATAATTTAATTCTTTCGACGAATTTCAATAAAATTTCTAAGAATAATTACATTTTTCGAGGAATGTTTTGCTTTTGAATTTGTACATTTTACTATAATAAATTGTAATTTTTACAAATTTATTAGTAAAAATTTACTAATTCAAAGGCAAGAAACACATTTTTTTAAAAACATTTTTAAAGTAATAGATTAGTAATTCAATTCACAATTAAAACTATATTAAAAATAATTGAATTATTATAAAAAAATTTATTAAAATTTTTGAAAATAATTAAATCCTACTTTTGAAGAATTTTATTAAAAATTCTATAAATAATTCAATTCTTCCAAGAAACTATATTAAAATTGCATTTGAAAATAATGAAATTTCTGCGAAGAAATTTATTATTTATAAAAATAATTGATTTCTTCCAAGGAATTTTATTAATATTTGCGAAAATAATTGAATTGTTTCAAAGAATTTTAGTGAAATTTTTAAAAATAAATGAATTTTTTTATAGAAATTATATTAAAATTGTTTTGAAAACAATTGAATTCTTGTAAAGAATTTTTTAATTTATGAAAATAATTAAATTCTTTCGAGGAATTCAATACAAATTGAATATTGGAATTAATTTAATTCTCGTCAACAAATTTATCAACAAATTTTTAAACAACTGAATTTTTTTGACGAATTTTAATAAAATTTTTAAAAATAATTATATCTTTCGAGAAATTTGATTAAAATTGTATTTAAAATAATGTGAATTTCGCGATGAGTTTTATTATTTATCAAAATAATTGAATTCCTAAAAAGAATGTTATTCTTAATGAAAATAATTGAATCTCATCTTTAAAAATTTTATGATTTATGAAAATAATTAAATATTTGCGTAGAATTTTATCAAAAAATTTTTTTAAATAATTTAATTCTTTTGGAAAATTTTATTGAAGTAGTAGATAATAAAAATCATTGAATTGAGGAAATTTTTTGAAAATAATTGTATTTCGGAGAAGAATTTTATTATTCATAAAAATAATTGAAATTTTGACGAGAATTTTTAAAAATTTTTGAACATAATAATTGAATTTCTGCGAAGAATTTTATTACTTTTGAAAATAATTGAATTTCTGTGAAGAATTTTATTATTTTCGATAATAATTGAATTCTGACGATGAATTTTAATATTTATAAAAATAATTGAATTTTACAATGAATTTTATAAAAAAAAAAAATTTCTGAATATAATTGAATTTCGGCGAAGAATTTTATTACTTTTGAAAATAATTGAATTTCTGCAAATATTTGTAACTTTTCCAAAATTTAATTTTTTTTTGTGTTTTTAACTAAAATTTTTCTATAAATGCATTATTTTTAATAATTAATTAAATATTTGTTAAAAAAATGTAACTTATTTCAGAAGAATTTAAATTATTTCAATTTTTCAAAAATCTAAGTTCTTTAAAAATTCTAATTAAATTCATTCAAAATTGAAGTTTTATAAAATTTCAAATTTTTGATTGTTCTTCAGTTTTTTAAAAAGAAATTATTGTCAGAAATAGAAAAAATTGAAGGTTTCATATTAGAATTCGTGGTAATTTCCTAATTTATGAGTCAAACAAAAAATTCACCAAAATTCAGAATTTTCCTATGAATTCTGAAAATTAAATTTTTTTCATTACTTATATAAAAGATTCCTGACTTTTCCCTGATTTCCCTGACCAATTCTACTTTCCTGACTTTTCCCTGACTTCCCTGAACTGTGGCAACCCTGAAATTATATAAATTAATTAATTCGTAATAATCGGAATTTCTCGAATGAAAAATTGATTGGAATCTAGAGAGAAAGATAGAATAATGCACAGAGGAAATTATTAACTATATTTTGATAATAATTTTCCACCACAAGTTATCGTGTATTAAGCAATGAAATCTGAGGGGTTGTCTATCACTCCCTACATCCCTGAATCTGGCACGAGACATGCGCCAATTCCCTTCTTCAAGGGGTTTTATTTGTCATCCCGTGAAGCAGTGTGCCAGTAACCCACAGACCCTTTTGGCATTTCGATTTCGGTTAGTAAGCCTATTAAAATTGATTGAGGCTTTTATGCAACACTCACTAATATAAACAACTCTCAATTGATTACTTTACCTCCTGTCGCCCCCTCAAAAAAAAAAGAAACTTTTTAATCAATTCTCTCGCAGCCTTGAACTTTCTTATATGCGATAAGAAAAATTATTTCCCCCATTCAATAATTTTTTATTCTCGAATTTTATCAAAATTCTCATATGGAAATTTTCAATTGATAAAATTTCTTTACAAGTGTTTTTTCTTTTCAAAAAAAAAATTAAAATTACCAAAAGGACTAAAAATATTATTATCTCTTTAAAAAAGTGAAGTGAGAGGTCGTTTAGTTTACAAGAAAGTAAATGCCGCATTGGTCAGCCAGATTCGGCTCAAGTGGTGCGTGTAGAATTTTAGTCAGACCGGAAAGTTATACTACTCGAAGGAAACAATAAATTTTATCTCCATTTCATTGTCTGGATAATTAAAAAATTGTATTTCATTTTAAACGAATTTTATCTTTGAGTAAATTTACTTTTTTTGTCACTTATCTTTTATATTTTTTTATGGTGTTTTTAGTGTATTTTTTATGGTGTTTTCTTTCATATGGTGTTAATTACTAATTTAGAAAAAATATTTATCAAAAAACTAAAAAAAATTTAAAGAGGAAAAAAATTATAATTTATGAATTTGAATTTTTTCTTCTCTAAAAACTAAATATCATTTCGACACGAAAATTAAAAGTTTTGGCAAAATTAATTTTTTCTTCTAAAATAAAACTTAATGTTTCATTTTATTATCGCCAATCTTATGCATTATAGGGTTTATTTAAAATTATTCTGCTATCGTTTAAAATTTTACTACAATTTTAAGTACATTCTCAATTTTTATTACGTAATAAATTCCCCAAAGTAATAAAGTTCCGGTTTCAAACATTTTTCTTTAATAGTTCGGATGAAACGTTATCGAATTTAAATTAAAAGAGTTTTTTTTAATGAGAATTACAATAAAATGGCAATTTTGCAAAAAAAAACTTTTACGAAAAAGCACTTATTCAAAAAAAAAAAAAACAATTTTACAAAAAAACACTTTTTCAAAAAACTCTTTTACAAAAAAATATTTTTACAAAAATAAACTTTCACTAAAAAATACTTTTATAAAAAGAATCACTTACGAAAAAAACATTTTTACAAAAAAATCACTTACAAAAAAAAACACCTTTACAAAAAAAAGAAACACTTACGAAAAAACACTTTTCTAAAAGAAAATTTACAAAAAGAAAAACACTTTTACAAAAATGAATAGAAAATAAAGAAAACACAAGGCAATGTAAATCTGTCAGAAAAAATGCAAAATACTAAAATAGAAAAATAAAAGAAAAAAAATATAAAAATAAATTTAAAACAAAAAGATAAAGTCAGAATAGAAGGTTAAAATTAAAAAAGAAGGAAAAAAAATTCAAGAGAAAGTAAATTTGAACCACGAAGAAAAAAAAATTTGCAAATAAAAAAGGAAAGTAAATATTAAAAATAGAGGAAAATATAGAAACATGAAAATAACATTCTATAGATAAAAATAGAATAATAAAATAAATAAATAAAAATAAAATACAAAACAAACAGCAAAAAAACAAAAATGAGACAAAAAATTGAACAACAAAATTTTTTAATCAATATAATTCACTCATAAAATCTTTCGCAATCGAAACTATAATAGAAACATTAAATATTTATAGAGATTCTCTTATAAATCCTCTCAATTACTTTTCTATTTTTACAATAAAAAAAAAAAGGGAAAAAGTTTTAAAGAACTAACTTTAAACTCGCAAAGTTTGTTTGAAAACAATACTAATATTTTAAATGCGAATAATTCTGCAATGCTATTAGGTTTCTACTATACTTATAACAGCCCCTCATATTTTCATTGTATATAATTTCTGCCTTTAGTTTCCGTTGAGAAATTCTAAAGGAATGTACGAAATTTAAATTTCTTTTGGTGATTGAATTTCTTTTTGTGTTTCAATTTTTTTTACTAATTGAATTCTATTTTTGATTTAATTTTTATCACGATTGAATATTTAACGATTTAATTTTTTTAACTGTTTAATTTTTTTCAGAATTGAATTTTTTTAAGGATTAAATTTTTTTAATGTCTGGATTTTTTTAACAATTGAATATTTTAACGATTTAATTTTTTTAAGACTCGATTTTTTTAAAAATTGAATATTTTAACGACTAGATTTTTTTAACTATTAGATTTTTAACAATTGCATTTTTTGAACGATTTAATTTTTTTATCAATTCGATTTTTTAACGATTTAATTTTTTTAAAGCTAAGAATTTTTTTAACGATTGAATTTTTGTTAACTCTGGAATTTTATTAACGACTGGATTTTTTTAACAATTGAATATTTTAACGATTGGATTTTTTAACGATTTAATTTTTTTAACAATTGGATTTTTTAACGATTTAATATTTTTAAGACTCGATTTTTTTAAACAATTGAATATTTTAACGACTGGATTTTTTTAACGATTTAATTTTTTTACTATTGGATTTTTTTTAACTATTGAATTTTTTAACAATTGAATTTTTTGAACGATTTAATTTTTTTATCAATTGGATTTTTTTAACAGATGGATTTTTTAACGATTTAATTTTTTTAACGACTGGATTTTTTTAACAATTGAATATTTTAACGATTGGATTTTTTAACGATTTAATTTTTTTAACAATTGGATTTTTTTAACAATTGAATATTTTAACGATTGGATTTTTTTAACAATTTACTTTTTTTAACTATTGGATTTTCGTAACAATTGAATTTTTTTTAACGATTTAATTTTTTTATCAATTGGATTTAATTTTAATCGATTTAATTTGTTCAACGCTTGAATTATTTTAACGATTGAATTTTTTTATCATTTGGATTTTTTTAACAGTTGGATTTTTGTAACGATTTAATATTTTAAATATTTTTTTTTAAGACTCGTTTTTGTTAACTATCGGATTTTTTGTACAATTGAATTTTTTGAACGATTTAATTTTTTTATCAATTGGATTTTTTTAACAGTTGCATTTTTTTAACGATTGAATTTTTTTTAACGCTGAAAATTTTCGTTAACGAATGAAATAATTTTCTATAATAATTAAATTTTTTTTGTTTTTGCAAATAAATGTAAAATATGTGAAATTTGTGAATTAAAAAAAGAAATTTCAGGAGAATTTAATTAAAGGAGAAAATATTTTGTTTTTAGTGATACGGTGTAAGGATCTGAGGAGGACTTACGAGGGTCCCATCTACGCTTACGTGAAGGTGACCCTCAAAAATTCTAGTGGAGTGGGTTTAGTGCATAAAAGAACTGCAGTTCACAGGGCGACGCCAAATCCATTTTTTCACGAAACTCTACTTTTGCCCTGTCCAATTAGCAATAATAATTGTTCGAGCAAATCTACCTCTTTGGATATTGCTGTTTGGCACAGGGATCGACGAGCAAGGTGTGTAATTTTTTCCCTTTAGTTCAGAACTTTTACAAATAAGTAAATTCGAAACAGAACATTTTTTTTTCCTTAGAGCAAAATTAGAATTTTTCCTTTTTTCTAATTATTTCCATTTTTTTGCTTATATTTATAAAAAAATAATTCAGACTGAAAATTCGAAAAAGAAAGAATTTTTCGTTTTTTGCTCGAAGAAAATCAAAAACTAAATTCGATACAAAATTTTTTTTTTAATTACGATTTTTTGCATTAAAAAATTGGAAAAATTGAAAATTGGAAAAAAAAGAAAGAAAGAAGGAAAGAAAAGAAAAAAAGGATTCGATTTTGGAAAAATTATTTTTCTATTCTCGACAATAATAATTCGTCTCATTGTTTGTCACTTTTTCTGACAATTGTTTCCACCTTTAATTTAAGTAATTACTTTTTAAAATGTTTAATTGAGTTGAAAAGAGTTTTTTTTTTAAACTTGAATTTGCCTTATCAGTTAATTCTTTGTGTTAGAATTTCTATAGTTTCCGCAATAATTTAACTTTCATATCTACGTGAATATATTAAGAGAGTAATTACAGTTATAATGTCTAAAGTTTACTTTGGTCAAAACAAAAGTTAGAACACACATTATTTAAATCGATCGTTTCTTCCAAGGATAGAAACTATTAAATGGTATTTCATTTAACCACTCTCTCTCAAGACCTTGCACTTGGCACTCGATTTCTCAAAATAAATTTAGCCTTTCAGATTATTTCTAAAAATATCCTCTTCATTTTTTTTTTTACCGAATCGAATCCTTTTTTATCAATTCTCACCAAATATTTTTGTTTCCAAATACTCTTTCGAAAAATATCTGAGGATTTAATTTAAAGTTTAAAATTTTTCTAAAACAGATAGAAATTTTTCGTTTGGAAAAATTTTTTTATTTCTTTTTTTGTTTTGTAAGAATTAAAGTAATTTTTTTTCGAAAGAGATTTTAGTGTCTATTTCTCAATTATTTTGATAAAGACAAGTAAATAAGCTCGAGGACTATCGTAGAATAGAAATAATTTTCTGGGCATTCCGGGAAGCTTGCGGTAGGAGGGGAATCGATTCTTCTGAGACTTGCGCACGTCCAGTAACCACGTGCACGATTTACGTGTGTTTTATACCGCGTGCGCGTCACGAAATTTTCACACATTGTCAAAACAAAAAAAAAAGGGGGAAAAAAAAAATTACATATACGTGTATGGGAGATGAACGAGGGGGAGAGATATTGATAATGTACATATAGGGAAATTTATTTCTTTGTATTTTACAGACGCAGTGAACTGCTGGGCTGCATGACTCTACCCCTGCCCCTGTCCCAGGACAAGGTAAGAATATTAGTTATTCACGTGCATCGCATTATTACAAGTGTGCACTTCCTCTTTGTGTATAGTCGTATAGTGGCGTTAAAATTCCAAAGGTACACCGAGTGTGTTTCCTCTGCAGTGATTTGCATATACCAGGCGAAAAAACAACATTGCCAAACTGAAAAGCCATTCTAGTTATTCTCAAAGGTGCACTAGTTGTACTTCACAGGTAAAATTTATCCTCTCTTTTTTTCTCTCTTGAATTTCTCCTTTAAATTTTCATTTTCTTCTGCACTCAAGAAAAAAAAGAAACATTTTTTTTTTCTAAACAAATCTAATTTGTAAACGAATAAAAATTAATTTCTAAACGAATAAAAATTAATTTCTAAACAAATAAAAATTAATGTTTCATTAAATTAAAATTAATATCTAATTAAATTAAAATTATCCAATAAAAAATTAATATTTTCAATATTAAAAATAATTTTTTTTTCTTTTATTTGAAAAAATGAAATCGAAGAATTGATTTTTGGAGTTTTTAATTTTTTCAAACGAATTTAATAATTAATTAAAATTAATTAAGAGCGATAATTAAAAGACACTTCCGTAAATAAAAAATGAAATTAAAGTTAAAAGTCTTCTATTTTATGTAAAAGCAATCAATATGTGTTTGTTTAGTTGGCAATTAGTAAGTTTCAAAAGGGATTCATAAGTCTTCATGCTTAAGGTCAAAGTTAAGTGGATTGATATTCAGTCAGGTTTGGTGTCTCCATTCGATTAAACTTTCGCTACTTAATTCTGACTTTTGAATCGTGAACACCGTTTTTTGGAATATTCCATAGTTTAAATTTCCCGAACAATAAAATTCCGTACTTTAAACTTTCCAATTAATAAAATTTCCCCAGTTTAAATTTTCCAACTAATACAAATTTTCCCAGTTTCAATTTTCCAACTAATAAAATTTTCCCAGTCTAAACTTTCCAATTAGTAAAATTTTCCCAGTTTCAATTTTCCAACTAATAAGATTTTTCCAGTCTCAATTTTCTAACTAATAAAATTTTCCCAAATTACAAAATTCCATAAAATAAAATTCAAAATAATAGCAGTATGCAGAAAAAAATGAAAATTTTGAAAAAAAAATTCAAAACCACCTTCTATTTATCATTATCAGGAACAAGTTGGAAATAAAAGAGAGAAAAAAAAGTAATAAAAGAAGGAGGAAATTCAAGAGTGAAGTAGAGAAGTGAAAGTGAGAGTCCGAAGTGAATAATTATTCCCATTCTTCTCGTGTGAGAGACAAAAAAAAAAGAGAGAGGATTTTTTTTCTGTATCTTCCTCCGAAATGATTGTGGTCGCTATCTACTGCGCTGCTTTTTTCGTTGCCGGACTGATGCTGAAGATTTTCACCTTCTGCTGAAGTGCGCTCTGACTGAAGAGAAAAAAAACCTCTCTAGCTAATGAGACTCTGTGATAAAAGTTTCCTTCCCAAGGAGAACACTGTTTCAAAAAGTAAAATATTTTTTTCCATTTTTGTTTTCTTAGCTTCTTTTTTTTGCATGTCGATAAGAAAAATAATTCATTTTTCATTCATTTTTTCCATTCTTGCACTTTAAACTCCATCAGTGCATCTTTAATATTTTCTCTCTTTTATATTTATATCAAGAATCGATAGAACCAAATATTTTATATAGAACAGATTCTATTCTCGATTAAAGTGTGAAAGTGTTTATAAATAATCTTCAAGAGAAAGTCTTTTCGAATATTTCGATTTTTTTTTCATCCACAATTCATTTGCTTTCATTTTCTTGAGATTTTTTGTTCGCCTTATTGCAAATCACTCTTTTTGCCATTATCATCACATCGAGAAAGTTCGCACTTTAATATTTTTTTTTTTTTTGAAATTATTTCAAATTAAAAAAAAAGGAGAAAAAATTGAAATTAACGAAATATTTTTCGATTTTTAGGAAGCTACATGGCATCCCTTGGAAGCAGGTTCAGGCAGAAATACGAGCACGCCTTATGCGGGAATAACGCAGGAGTGCGGTGCTTCACCTCCATTGTCAAAAAATGGAGAGTCAGATAACAATAATTCCAGTGGTGAGGATCTCACATACCTCCGTCATTTGGAACTCGAGCCCATCGATCCACTCACGGGACTTCCACTTCATCCTGGTTTCACCGCCAGAGGTGGAAGAACGCCTTGCACCATCACCAGGAGATTGACCAGGCCCGCTACCGGAAATCCGGTAAGCTAAAAATAAATACAAAATTTAGAAAAGAAAAAAAAAACCTCGAATAAAATCTGTTTCAAAATCAATTCCAAAATAGTAGGGTTACCACAAAAATTTTATTTTCTTTCTCCCTGACTTCCAGACTTTTTCCTAATTAATTTTGTCATTTTCCCTGTCCCTAAAAAATATTCTGATTCACTCTAAAAATTATTAGATACTCAAAAGAAAATGTTCAAATAATTTAAAAAGAAATTCAATTAAACTTTTTCAAAAAAATTAATTAAAATGAAAAAATCGATGATTTCGAGTCGTTTTATAACAATTAAAAATGATCGAGTGATAAAATCATTATTTTATATTCTGAGAATATTGCTAACGTAACTTCTACAAAATTATTTTTTATCATTTCAATTCAATTATTGTTTTCTAGAATTTTTAACTAAAATTCTTCTCTAAATCAATTATTTTTAATCATTTTTGAAAAAGTTCTTTAAGTCTCAAATAAGTTTGTTTACAATTCAATTTTACAGAAATTTCGATTATTCGGAAATTCTTAAATTAAATAAACATTAGAAAATAAAAACTTCAAATAATTCCCAAAGAAATTCAATTAAACTTTTTCAAAAAAAAAATTTTTTTTGAGAATTGTTCGTTAAAAATATGAAAGATTCAGATTTTCAAAGATTTTAATTTGAAACTTTTTCAAAATTAAGTTATTCCTAAAAATTCATGCTATAATGCTTTTAATATTCAATTAATATTTAAAATTTTAACTGAAATTCATTTTTAAATCAATTTTTATTAGAAAATTCTACATATTTAATTATTAAAATACGAAAAAATAAGAATAATATTTAAATACAAAATTTAAATAATTGAGTTCTTTCAACAAATTTTAATAACATTTTTAAAAATAATTACATTTTTCGAGGAATTTTTTGCTTTTGAATTTGTAAATTTTACTAAAGAATAGTAATTTTCACAAATTTATTAGTAAAATTTACTAATTCAAAAGCAAAGTTGTACTAATAAATTAGTAGAAATTACTATTTATTAGTAAAATTTGCTAAAATTCAGAAGCAAGAAACACGTTTTTTTTTAATATTTTCGAAGTAATATATAACTAATTCAATTCACAATTAAAACTATATTAAAAGTAATTGAATTATTATAAAAAATTTTATTACAATTTTTGAAAATAATTAAATACTTTTGAAGAATTTTATTAAAAATTCTGGAAATAATTCAATTTTTCCAAGAAAGTATATCAAAATTGCATTTGAAAATAATTAAATTTCTGCGAATAAATTTATTATTTATAAAAATAAATGATTTCTTCCAAGGAATTTTATTAATATTTGCGAAAATAATTGAATTGTTTCAAAGAATTTTAGTAAAATTTTTAAAAATAAATGAATTTTTTCTAGAAATTATATTAAAATTGTATTGAAAATAATTGAATTTCTGTAAAGAATTTTGTAATTTATGAAAATAATTAAATTCTTTCGAGGAATTCAATACAAATTGAATATTAGAATTAATTTAATTCTCGTAAACAATTTTATTAACAAATTTTTAAAAAATTAAATTCTTTTGACGAATTTTAATAAAATTTTTCTAAAATAATTATATTTTCGAGGAATTCAATTAAAATTTTATTTAAAGTAATGGAAATTTTGGGATGAGTTTTATTATTTTATAAAAATAATTAAATTCTTAATAAGAATGTTATTATAAATGAAAATAATTGAATCTCATATTTAAAAATTTTATGATTTATGAAAATAATGGAATTATTGCGAAGGAATTTATAAAAAAAAATTGTAAATTGAATTCTTGTGAAATTTTTTTAATTTAGGAAAATAATTAAATATTTACGTGGAATTTTATCAAAATTTTATTAAAATAATTGAATTCTTTTGGAAAATTTTATTAAAATAGTAGATATTGTAAATCATTGAATTGAGGAAAATTTTTGAAAATAATTGAATTTCTACGAAGAATTTTATTACTTTTGAAAAGGATTGAATTTCTGCGAAGAATTTTATTAATTTCGAAAATAATTGAATGCTTACGAAGAATTTTACTATTTATAAAAATAATTGAATTTTACAATGAATTTTCTAAAAAATTCCTGAATATAATTGAATTTCGGCGAAGAATTTTGCTATTAGAAAGATAATTTAAATGTTGACGACAATTTTTTTTAAATTTTTTTAAAAATAATTGAATTTCTGCGAAGAATTTGATTTATTTTGAAAATAATTAAATTCTTTCAATAATAATATTGTCATTATTTAAGAAAATAATTGTCTTCCTCTAAATGATTTTATTATTTATAAAAAGAATTAAATCCCTGAAAAGAATTTTTAAATTTATGAAAATAATTTAATTACTGAGAAGAATTTAATGCGATAATTTTAAAACATTTGATTTTTTCGAAGAAATTTATGCAAATTCTATTTTTAATAATTTAATTCCGGTGAAATTTTTATTCTTTTTGGAAAATAATTGAATGTTCGTCTTGAATATTATCGAAATTTTTCTTTAATAATTAAATTCTTTTGGGAAATTTTATTAGAATACTGGAATATTGAAAATCATTGAATTAAGACAAATTTTTGAAAATAATTGAAATTTCGCCATGAATTTTATTAAAATTTTTGAAAGTAATTGAATTTTTGTGATGAATACTATTATTTTTGAATAAAATTGAATTGTGTCGAAGAATTTTGCATTTTATTTATAAAGATAATTGAAATGTTGACAATTTTTTTTTTTTTTTTTTATTTTTTAAAAATAATTGAATTTCTGCGAAGAATTTTATTAATTTCGAAAATAATTGAATTCTTACGATGAATTTTACTTTTTATAAAAATAATTGAATTTTACAATGAATTTTATAAAAATTTCCTAAATATAATTGAGTTTCGGCGAAAAATTTTGTTATTTATAAAGATAATTGAAATGTTGACAAGAATTTTTAAGAGAATTTTTGAAAATAATTGAATTTCTGGAAAAAATTTTAATATTTATTAAGATAGTTGAATTCTTTCAAATTATTGTGTTAAAATTTTTAAAATTGAAACTAATTTCTAAAGAATTGAATTTAAAATTTTTCAAAAAAATACTTCATTAAATAGAGTAAAATTCAAGGTAATTTTTTTATAATTCGTGATAATTTCATAGTTTATGAGGCAAACAAGAAAGACACAACAATGCAGAATTTTCTTATAAATTCTGAACATTTTATTTTTTTACAGTAATTCTAATAAAAATTCCTGAGTTTTCCCTGACCAATTCTACTTTGCCTGATTTTTCCCTGAATTTCCCTGAATTTCCCTGTGGCAGGCAACCCCTGCAAAATCTAAATAAAAATTGACTCTCGATTTACTTGAAATATAATTTTCAAATTTCTCCTTCAGATTCCATGGGGTTTCTCGTTGTCCTGGGGACGACCGCCAAAAGTGGAGCGAGTCGACACTGGAAGTCCAGCGGAACGATCGGGCTTAAGGCCCGGGGATCATGTCGTTTTTGTCGAGACAACAAACGTCGTGACAAGACCACGGGAGGAAATTTTGAATTTAATTCAAGCGGCGACAAATCAATTAATTCTCGAAGTCTACAGGAAAGGCGGTGTTCAGTCCTCGTTAAATCGTCCCAGTTCGGTGAACATTCAAGCGCCGACTAGTCAGCATCATTCCGTCACATTCACGGCCGAGGTCGGTACCGGTGTCCTGGTGTAATTCCCTAAAACAAAAATCCAGTGAAACTGTCAAAAATTCTCGCCTCATTTTAACACATCAAAAAAAAAATCAATGGCACTGTCAAGCGTAGCCTCTGTGTTATCTTAATTTATAATTTTCATCATTGGTTTTTTTTTTATTTTTTACTTACACGCAAATTGCGCGTTTTTCAGAGCTTATAATAATTATTACTATATTATTATTATTATTATTATTATTATTATTATTATTAACAATATTATTATTTTTAATATTATTATTATTACTATTATTATTATTATATGATTATTATTATTATTAATATTATTATTATTATTAATATTATTATTATATTTTTTATTTCATGTGAAGTTATATTTATGTATTTACGTTACGTTGCGTGACTCATTTTTTGTACATTATTTTCGCCTTTGTAAACAAGTTTTATATATATTCGAGCGTGAAACGCTCTTGAAGTCGATTATATTCTTCCCCCGGGGGAAAATTGATCAATCTAGTTTTATTACCGAAGTGAGATTATGTTTTGTATATCATTAAGTTCTTTTGTTGGCAACAAGTTTTGTTTCAAATCATAAATCATTGCATATTCATTTTTTAATCCTCCTCCAATTCCTGGCATTTTTTTTTCGTCTGAAAATATGCACTTTTTTCAATCATATTGTATTTGTAAAATTGCATTTTGCAATTTTTTCTCAGAATATTCTGAAAATTTTTAATTTCCTGTTTTTCTAGAATTTTTTTTTTTATTTTAGAGAAATAAGAAATTTTTTCGTATCTTCTGCAAAAATTGCAAATGTAATTTCTAATTTTTTTTTTTTTTGTCTTTTTTATTAGACAAGGAACTTGAAAGAAATTTAATGAAAGTTTCCCCTTCTAGAAAAAGGGGTTTTTTTTTTTGTTTCGAAAATATTTTTCGCATTTGTTTCTTTTTGCTAGAAGGGTTGTGTATTTTTTTGCTTGTATGTGAAAAAGAAAGTTTGGATCGATTAATGAGTTTGTTTATGGTGAAAAAGGTATTGAAGAAATCGGCAATTGTCAATTTTTTATTGAGGAAGTTACCGAAAAAAAGGATTCGTAGCTCGAGAACACTTGGGCCAGTAGAAGGAGTTAATTATTCGCCAGTATGTTCAAGGGTAATATTAATATTCAAATCTAATAAAAAGCACAACCAGTGTAACTCCAAATCTTAATGGCAATCGCACTTTTTCAATAATCTCAATTTTCACCGAAAATTTTTTTTTAAAAAACATTTTAATACCTGCAAAAAAAAAAAAAAGAATAACGAAAAATTCGATTTTAATCTGTAAAAATTAATACAAAGAAAAAAATTTTAAATACGAAATCTGAAAATTATTATTTAAAATTAAAAATAAAAATTGTTGCAGTTGAAACAGTTAAGCGAAAATTTGAAAAAAGTGTGATTGAATTTAAATCTATGTGTCTCCAGCAATTCCATAATATTTTACAAATCTTTAAATATACATAAAAAAAATTTCAAACATTTAATTTTTACTGCTAACAAATTATCAAATTAGCAGTAAAAAAATATTATCCTTTTTAATCATTTAAACTTTCGAATGGGATAATTTCAAAAAAAATAAAATAAAATCAAGAAGCAAAAATTTTGAGATGAAAATTCCAGAGAAGAGCGGCTTTTTCTACTCACAGAAAGGAAATTATTGTTATGTGTGTTTGCACTTGAAAATTTATTTTTATTTCGCAAATCTGTATGTGTGGAATGTCCTCAACTAATTTGAGAAGACTCTCAAAATAATTACTCGCCATTTTTAATAGAACTTTCCAAAAGTTTCTCTTTCTTCTAAAGACTTGATTTTTTTTTTGTTAAAATCGAGTTAAAAGCAACTCGAAAATTATATTCGTTCCAGCTCCTTTCAATTTGAGGGTTTTCTTAATAAATTTCAGGTCTTGACAATCACTTGGATCAACATTGGTGTTTTTCTTTCAATGGTTCGAACGCTCAATAAAATTTTCGATAAAAAATGAAATAAATAAAATAAAAAAATAAATAAATAAAATAAAATCAATAAAATTTGATAGTTAATTTTCATTAGAATGAAAAATCTGGACTTAAATTCAAAAACTGTAATTACATTCTCATCAGTTGAGAAGAAATAGTTTTGTTGAAAATTTACAATGAGTAGATTAGAAAATTCAATAAATAAATTTCATAGAGAAATAAAATTGGAATATTTTATTGAGCCGCATTTAAAAGTATCTAAATTGATAATTACTTTTTGTTTTTGTTGGTGGCTCTTCAGCAGGTGTTGCCCAGCTTAACTCCGGACGCGCCACCGGAGGAAGAATTGAAAGTAAGGGAATCACGTTATTGTGCAGCGTTGAAGAGTGGACAGACGAGATTTCTGACCCCATTGGCTGAGCAGAGGGAAGTTTTATCGTCAACTGATCATATGATACTTTTTCAAAATCTCGAAGAGTTGCTCAAAATTTCCGAGGAGATAAAAAATGATGGTGCAGCTATTGAAAGTTATTTGTCACGAGTGCCCAAGATAATAGCCTCATATAGAAGATATCTTAGTGGACTTCAAAGAGCTTGTTGCCTCCTAGTTGCTCTTAGAAGGAGTTCTTCATTTGCAAAATTAGTCGCCGAACCCGCCGTTCCCAGGAGGAGAAATCCTGATCTCACTGGTGTTTTGCTCCTTCCACTGGAACATTACAGGTCAGATTTTTATTGGTGACAATTTTTCTCTTTTTTTCATTGACAATTTTTTTCTTTTACGACTTTCTTCTTTGACTTTATTTTTCTATGGGAACTAAGATTTTCAAAATTTCTAATTCAAACCTTTTAAAATTCAATAACGTTTGTTTACAATTCAATTTTACGTGAAATTTCGATTATTCGGAAATTCTTCAATTAAATATACATTAGAAATTATTCTCCTGAATAATAAAATTCTTCACAGGATTTCAATTATTTTTAATACAAATTTAAATAAAATCCTCGAAAAATTTAATTATTTTTAAAAAAATTTTTGCAAGAATTCAATTACATTTCACAAAAAATAATGAAATTCTTCGCTGAAATTTAAATATTTCCAAAATCTACTATTTTAATAAAATTTCTCAAAAGAATTCAATTATCAATTATTTTTAATTCTTTTTCAAAAAGTTGCTCAAGAATTTTTAAATCCGTTGTTTACAATTCAATTTTTCGTGAAATTTCAATTATTCGGAAATTCGGAAATTTTTATTCTGTATTTTATTTTTCATTCGGAAATTAAAAAATAAAAACTTTAAAAAATTTCGATTACGCTTTTTGAAAAAATTAGTTCCATAGAATTTTTAATTCAGAAAAATTCAAATTTTCAAAGATTTTAATTTGAAACTTTTACAAAATTCAATTATTTCTAAAAATTTCAATTATTAGTAACTTCTTCAAAATTCAATTATCTAAAATTTTAACTGAAATTTAGTTTTAAATCAATTTTTATTAGAAAATTCTACGAGAATTGAATTATTTGAATACAAACATTGTTAATTTATTGAATAATTGAATGTTTCTTCAAAATTGAATTCTCATAAAGAATTTTTATCAACAAATTTTTAAATAATTGAATTCCTGTAAAATTTATATTTTTTTGGAAAATAATTGAACGTTCGTGTTGAATATTATCGAAATTTTTGTTTAATAGTTAAGTTCTTTTAGGAAATTTTATTAAAATAGCAGAATATTGAAAATCATTGAATTCCGAAAAATTTTTGAAAATAATTGAAATTTTGCCATGAATTTTATTTTAAATTTTGGAAAATAATTGAATTTTATGACTTTTGAAAATAATTGAATTTTTATGATGACTATTATTATTTATGAATACAATTGAATTTTGTCAATTATTATTTGAAATTTTAACTGAAATTCAGTTTTAATTCAATTTTTATTAGAAAATTCTACAATTCAATTATTTAAATAGAAAAATAAAAATAATATTTAAATATAAATTTAAATAAATGAATCCTTTTGACGAATTTTAATAAAATTTTAAGAATAATTACATTTTTCGAGGAATTTTTTGGTTTTGAATTTGTAAATTTTACTAATAAATAGTAATTTTCACAAATTTATTAGTAAAATTTACTAATTCAAAAGCAAAGTTTTACTAACAAATATGTAGAAGTTACTATTTATTAGTAAAATTTTTTAAAATTCAAAAGCAAGAAACACTTTTTTTTTAAACATTTTTGAAGTAATATTAGTAATTTAATTCTCAATTAAAACTATATTAAAAATAATTGAATTATTATAAAAAATGTAATTAAAATTTTTGAAAATAATTAAATTCTTTTGACGAATTTTAATAAAATTTTGAAGAATAAATACATTTTTCGATAAGTTCTATTAAAATTGCATTAAAAATAATTGAAATTCTGCAATGAATTTTATTAAAATTTTTGAAAATAATTGAATTCTTGTGATGAATACGATTATTTATAAATAAAATTGAATTTTGCTATTCATTTAAAAATAGATAATTGAGAGGTTGACAATTTTATTTTTTGGTTTTTTTTTTTTTTAATAATTGATTTTCTGCGAAAAATTTTATTAATTTCGGAAATAATTGAATTCTTGTGATGAATATTGTTATTTATGAAAATAATTGACTTCCTCCGAATGATTTTATTATTTATAAATATAATTAAATCCCTGAAAAGAATTTTTAAATTTATGAAAGTAATTTCATTACTGAGAAGAATTTAATGCAAAAATTTTGAAACATTTGATTTTTTTAAAGAAAATGCAAATTCTATTTTAAATAATTGAATTCCGTTGAAATTTTTATTCTTATTGAAAAATAATTCAATGTTCGTGTTGAATATTATCGAAATTTTTGTTTAATAATTTAATTCTTTTGGGAAATTTTATTAAGATAGCAGAATTTTGAAAATCATTGAATTAAGACAAATTTTTGAAAATAATTGAAATTTTGAAATGAATTTTATTAAAATTTTTGAAAATAATTAAATTCTTGTGATGAATATTATTATTTTTGAATAAAATTGAATTTTTCAAAGAATTTTGCTATTCATTTATAAAGATAATTGAAATGTTGACAATTTTTTTTTAGGTTTATTGAAAATAATTGAATTTCTGCGAAAAATTTTATTAATTTCGAAAATAATTGAATTCTTATGATGAATTTTACTATATTTATAAAAATAATTAAATTTTACACTGAATTTTATAATAAATTTCTGAATATAATTGAATTTCGGCGAAGAATTTTGCTATTTAGAAAGATAATTGAAATGTTGACGAGAATTTTTAAGAAAATTTTTGAAAATAATTGAATTTCTGGAAAAATTTTTAATATTTATTACGATAGTTGAATTCTTTCAAATTATTGCGTTAAAAATTTTAAAAATTGAAACTAATTTGCAACAGAATTGAAATTAAAATTTTAAAAAAATACTTCATTTAATGATTTAATAAGTAATAACTTTATGGCAGTTCTTCAATAGAATTAAATTACTTAAAATAAATTATTGTCTGAAATAGAGTAAAATTTAAGGTGATTTTTTAGAATTTGTGGTAATTTCAGTTTATGAGGCAAATATAGACACAAAAATTCAGAATTTTCTTATAAATTCTAAAGATTTAATTTTTTCCAGTGTTTTTAATAAAATTTTAATAAAAATTCCTGACTTTTCCCTGATTTCCCTAACTTTTTCTTGACTTGTGTCAATCCTGAATTTACTTTAAAATTGATTTACCTTTTCAAGTGAAATACGAATATTTTTTTTCCTTTTTGCAGGGAAATGACAAGATTGCTGGGACTCGCTTGCCCGAGAAATTGCCCGCAGGCGAGGGATTTATTGCAGGGTTATAGAGAAGCAACATCGAACGCAGGAGTTATGGAACCACCACGAGACACTGGAAAACCGTTGTTGAGTCTGCAGGAAATGGAATCGAGACTTGTTTTTGCGAGATGTAAACCATTTTGCCTTGCCACACCAGGAAGACAATGGTTTGAAAAATCCCTTTTACTTTCTTCTCGCGTGCATCTAAAAACACGAATTAAATTTATTCTAACAATCAAAAAAGAATCTATGATAGAAAATTATTGTTTTGGTAAATTTTTTACTTATATACTTTTTAGGCTCTTTGGTGGCGCGTTGACGAAAGTGGAAAGTCGAGCGTCCTTGCAATCGACGTGGGCTCTTCTTTTGACCGACATCCTGGTGTTTGCTCGAGTTTCACGAGATCGTGTTCTCTTCGTTACGGAGGAGCCTCTTCATCTCTCGAGCATAGCGGAAGCCTGCTTCAATGTTCGTAAAAGACCCACGGAATTTCGATTGCAAATTGCACTCGCCCAGAGTGAAAACGGTCATCTGGAAACTATTCACACCGGTGGATGCAGTCCGCACAGTCGACCGAGAAGAAGAGTCCTGATCCTCAGAGCTGCAACTGCGGAACTAAAGGCCGTTTGGCACAATTTACTTCAACGGCAGATGTAACTATTTTATTATTACTTAATTCAAGTCGACTATCCCTTTCAATTTTCTTCAATTTTCTTTGAAATGCGCCACATTTATTTCTATTAACAAGAAATTGTTTCTATTTAAAGAATCTACATCAACACTTGCTGTGGTGACGCTCCTCTTGTAGATAGTCCAGAAGAAACTCTAAACGATAATTTTAATTCAATGAATGCAACGAATCTTGAGGTCAGTATAAAACGTAGGACCTATAAAAAGATTAAATCAGATTAAAAATTGAAAAGTTTCCAAAAGTGTAATTTTAGTTGAAAATGGTAAACAATTGAAAGTAGTTAATTGGTAAACAATTGCCATTGATTAATTGGTAAATAATTCCAGTATCATGAAGAAATACAACATCATCACGATGACGATAAGGAAAAGTTTGAGGACAGTCTTGATATTATCAAGGATTCGAATCACTTGGCTCAGTGGGTTCAAAATTCACACCAAATCCCATCGCCGGATCAGGAAGTCTCACTCGAGGAATGGACCGCCGAGGAATTGGCTCTTCGAACTCCGAGGGAAAATTGTGAACGGACTTTAGAATACGCTGCTGAAGAAACTACTACTGTCAATTCCGATGTCGAACAACAAAGTACAACCTCCAGTGCAAGTTTAAATACCGTCAAGTCCAGTAATGTGTCCAAGAAGAATGGATCCTATCAGATTCGCGAGACGACCATCAGCATCTGTAGGAGATGTCACAAGTAATACTTTAGTAATATACTTAATTGAAAAATTTCAAAAAAAAAAAAAACAAACAAACAATTACGGTTTGAATCTCTACTCCGATAGAACATCTAATCAACACAAATTCTCGAAATTTAACTCATCAAGTGTTCTAAAAATGAGAAATTCAATTATTTTAATAAAAAAAAAATTCTCGTCAACATTTCAATTATCTTTCTAAATAGCAAAATTATTCACCGAAATTTAATATTATATTCAGAAATTTTTGTAAAATTCAATTATTTTCATAAACAACAATATTCATCACAAGAATTCAATTATTTTCAAAATTAATAAAATTCTTCGCAGAAATTCAATTATTTTCAAAAAAATATAAAAAAAAATTTTCGTCAACATTTCAATTATCTTTATGAATAAATAGCAAAATTCTTCGACAAAATTCAATTTTATTCATAAATAATAGTATTATTCACAAGAATTCAATTACTTTCAAAAGAGTCATAAAATTCAATTATTTTCAAAAATTTTAGTAAAATTGATGGCAAAATTTCAATTATTTTCAAAAATTTTTGTTGATTCAATGATTTTGAATATTCTACGATTTTGATAAAATTTCCCAAAAGATTTCAATTATTAATAAACAAAAATTTTGATAATATTCTACACGAACATTCAATTATTTTTCAAAAAAGTAAAAATATCACAGGAATTCAATTATTTAAAATAGAAGTTGCATAAATTTAGAAAAAAATCAAATATTTAAAAATTTGGCATTAAATTCTTCTCATTAATAGTAATTCAATTATTTTCAAACATTTTGATAAAAAAACGTATTTCTTGCTTTTGAATTTTAGCAAATTTTATTAATAAATAGTAATGTCTACAAATTTATTAGTAAAACTTTGTTTTTGATTTAGTAAATTTTACTGATAAATTTGTGAAAATTACTATTTATTAGTAAAATTTACAAATTCAAAAACAAAAAATTCCTCGATAAATGTAATTAATCTTAAAAATGTTATTAAAATTCGTCAAAAGATATCATTTATTTAAATTCATATCTAAATATTATTCTTATTTTTGTGTTTAAATAATTGAATTGTCGTAGAATTTTCTAATAAAAATTGGTTTAAAACTGAATTTCAGATAATAATTAGATAATAATTGACAAAATCAATATTATTCGTAAACAATAGTATTCATCACAAAAATTCAACTATTTTCAAAAGTAATGAAATTCAATTATTTTCCAAAATTTAAATAAACTTCATGGCAAAATTTCAATTATTTTCAAAAATTGTTTTGAATTCAATGATTTTCAATATTCTACTATTTTAATAACATTTCCCAAAACAATTTAATTATTAAACAAAAATTTCAATAATATTCAACATGAACATTCAATTATTTTCTAAAAAAAAAATATAAATTTCACAGGAATTCAATTATTTAGAAATTTATTGATTTAATTCTTTATGAGAATTTAATTTGAAGAAATATTAATTTTATAAATATAGAATTAAATTATTCAATAAATTATCTATGTTTGTATTTAAATAATTGAATTCTCGAAGAATTTTTCTAATTAAAATTGATTTAAAACTGAAATTCACTGAAAATTTCAGATAATAATTGCCAAAATTCAATTTTATTCATAAATAATAGTATTCATCATAAAAAATCAATTATTTTCAAAAACTTTAATAAAATTCATGGCAAATTTTCAATTATTATCAAAAATTTTCTTAAAAATTCTCGTCAACATTTCAATTATCTTTATAAATAGCAAAATTCTTCGCCGAAATTCAATTATATTCAGGAATTTTTTATAAAATTCATTGTAAAATTCATCGTAAGAATTCAATTATTTTCGAAATTAATAAAATTTTTCGCAAAAATTCAATTATTTTCAAAAAATCTAAAAAAAAATTGTCAAAATTTCAATTATCTTCATAAATGAATAGCAAAATTCTTTGAAAAAATTCAATTTTATTCAAAAATAATAGTATTCGTCACAAGAATTCAATTATTTTCAAAAATTTTAATAAAATTCATAGCAAAATTTCAATTATTTTCAAAAATTTGTCTTAATTAAATAATTTTCAATATTCTGCTTTTTCAATCAAATTTCCTAAAAGAATTTAATTATTAAACAAAAATTTCGATAATATTCAACACGAACACTCAATTATTTTCCAAAAAAATATAAATTTCACAGGAATTCAATTATTTACAAATTTGTTTATAACATTCTTTATAAGAATTCAATTTTAAGAAACATTCAATTATTTAATAAATTATTTATTTTTAAATTTCAATAATTGAATTCTCGTAAAATTTTCTAGTAAAAATTGAGTTTAAAAATTAATTTCAGTTCAAGTTTTAGATAATAATTGAATTTTGGAGAATTTACTAATAATTACAATTTTCAGATATAATTGATTTTTGTAAAAGTTTCAAATTAAAATCTTTGAAAATTTAAATTTTTCTGAATTAAAAATTCTATGGAACTAATTTTTTTTAAAGAGCTTTATCGACATTTTTTAAAATTATTGCAAATTTTTATTTTCTAATGAATATTTAATTGAAGAATTTCCGAATAATTTAAATTTCACGTAAAATTGAATTGTAAACAAACGGATTTGAAACTTAAAAAACTATTTCAAAAATTATTAAAAATAGTTGATTTAGAGAAGAATTTTAGTTAAAAATTGTAGAAAATAATTATTAAATAGAAATGATTCATAAATAATAAAACTCATTGAAGAATTTCAATTATTTTTAAAACAATTTTAATCGAATTCCTCGAAAAATATAATTTTATTTTTAAAAATGTTATTAAAATTCGTCAAAAGAATTAAATTATTTAAAAATTTGTTGATAAAATTAATTATGAGAATTCAATTTCATGAAACATTCAATTATTCAATAAATTATCAATGTTTATATTTAAATAATTGAATTCTCGTAGAATTTTCTAGAAAAAATTGATTTTAAAAATTAATTTCAGTTAAAGTTTTAGATAATAATCGAATTTTGGAGAAGTGACTAATAATTGCAATTTTTAGAAATAATTGAATCTTGTAAAAGTTTCAAATTAAAATCTTTGAAAATTTAAATTTTTCTGAATTAAAAATTCTATTAAACTAATTTTTTTCAAAGAGCTTTATCGACATTTTTTAAAATTATTTCAAATTTTTATTTTCTAATGAATATTTAATTGAAGAATTTCCGAATAATTTAAATTTCACGTAAAGTTGAATTGTAAACAAACGGATTTGAAAATTCTCAAAGAAAAATTTTTTCAAAAATTATTAAAAATAATTTATTTAAGGAAAAATTTTAGATAAAGATGCTAGAAAATAGTAATTGAATTGAAATGATGAAAATAACTTGGAAGAAGTTTCTGTAACAATATTTTTATAATTTAAAATAATGATTTTATCACTCAGTCACCTTTAATTATTATAAAACACGAAGAAATGTATTACTCCGAGTCTTCGACTCGGAGTGATCCATTTCTTCATGTTTTATAATAATATTCTTAAAAGTTATTGAATTTTAAAAAGTTTGAATTAGTAATTTTAAAAATCTTAATTCAAATTTTGAAATTTAAAATTTTTTTTTTTTTTATGAAAAAAAATAATGATGAAAAAAGCTAAGATTTTAAGTTATTGATATTTTCGAATAAAGAGTAGAGATTCAATTTCGGATATCATCAGCGAATATTAATAATACTCACTGAATTAGAATGAGAATTTATCGCTTTAGATCCGGTTGTCCGACACCTCCGCTAGTTCGCGATCCATTTTCACCGATTCCACCGAGAATTTCCGTACTGCCACCAACTCCGGACATTTGTACGAGGCACAAATTGCGAAATGGTTTGACCGACAGTCAAGGACGTGACAGTCCAGCGAGTGCATCGGCCGATGGGAACACCGAGGAAGGTAGTGAGGACGATCTCGATGTCGATGGAGAACCACCTTACAGGTTTTTTTGAACAATCTAAAAATAAAAATGCACCCCCCCTCTTAAAACTCTTGCATGTGTAGAATGTAGAATAAAATCATTTCTGAGTATCACGGAATAATTCAACTTCAATTATTTCAGAATAGTATTTCTTTTTTTTAAAGAGCCTTACGGAGATTTGGAACATTGAGCAGTTTAGATCAGGATGATGAAATTGAAGAGCCAACTGAGGAGGAATCACAGGAGCAGGAATCGCCAACGGGCTTTAAGGCGTGGACAGTGAAAGCGAGTAATTATGTTGTCAGTAAAATGACGTTACTGGAACATTTTGGCGATCAATTTTTACAACCGCCATTACCGCCAGAGAGAACGGAATTTTCATTGGAGGGTAACGATGAGGAAGGCACCACTTCCGGTGGCACATCGGGTGATGATATTTGGGGAACACCAACCTCTGGCGGTCCTGATGATGAAAGTTTTACTGCTAGTCCGGTAAGAGATCCATCGTACCAGATTCGACAATTCTCGAAGGTACGGGCTGAATTACTGGCGCAGTCTTCGTTTTTTCTCTTTTTCTTTTTTCACAATTTCACTTTTTTATTCTCTAAAATTAGCTTTTGCTTTTCTTTTGCAAGAAGCTTCTTCACAGTTGATTTTCACCCTAAAAATATATTTTTACATATTAATTAATTACTGACAGGATTAAGATTTACTAATAGAAATAAAAATTATGTTCTTCATAATTTAACCAGAAAATGTTACGCTAGAAACGTGATATTCAAATTTATTATTATTATTATGCAAATTAAAAAACTTTTTATTTTCAAATATGAATTTTTGAATAATTTCAAACTCAAATTTAAAAAAAAATGCAATTATTAACTAATTTACTAATTAATAATTCTTGTTTATTAATTTCAAAAATTTTTTATAAAATCCTTAGTAAGAATTTAATTATTCACATGAATAATAACATTATTCGTAAGAATTCAATTATTTTTATAAATAGTAAATTTTTTTGCAAAAATTCAATTATTTTCGAACAAAATTTTAATAACATTTCACGAATAAATACAATTATTTTTTTTATTTCAATGAATCCTTCGAAACAATTCAATTTTTTTTAAATAGTAAAATTTTTGCAAAAATTCAATTATTTTCAAAAAAAAATTTCACTAAAGAATCCAATTTTTTCTTTATTCGATATAAAGAAAAATTCAATTTAAAAAAAAAAATTTACGAGACAATTCAATTATATTTTTATAAATAGCGAAATTTTTTGCAAAAATTCAATTATTTTTTAACATTTTAATGAATCCTTCGAAACAATTCAATTTTTTTTAATAATAAAATTCTTTGCAAAAATTCAATTATTTTTAATACAATTTTAATAAAATTTCATGAAAGAATTCAATTATTTTTTAATTTGTAATAATATTTTTCGAAAAAATACAATTATTTTTTAAAATTTCATGAAAGAATTCAATTATTTTTTAATTTGTAATAATATTTTTCGAAAAAATACAATTATTTTTTAAAATTTCAATAAATCCTTCGAAAAAATTCAATTTTTTTTTAAATAATAAAATCTTTTCAAAAATCCAATTATTTTCAAAAATTTTAATGAATCCTTCGAAACAATTCAATTTTTTTTAAATAATAAAATTTTTGCAAAAATTAAATTATTTTCAAAAAAAAATTCAATAAAGAATTCAATTTTTTCTTTATTCGATAAAAAACTTTGCAAAAATTTAATTATTTTCAAACAAATTTCACGAAACAATTCAATTACTATATTTATAAATAGCAAAATTTTTTGCAAAACTTCAATTATATTCAAAACAATTTTAATAACATTTTATGAAAGAATTCCACTTTTCTTTAATTTTTAATAATATTTTTCGAAAAAATTCAATTATTTTCTAACATTTTAATAAATTCTTGGAAAAAAATCAATTATTTTTCTAAATAGTAAAATTCTTTGCAAAAATTCAATTATTTTCAAAAAAATTTCACTAAAGAATTCAATTATTTTTCAAAATTGTAAAATCTTTTCAAAAATTCAATTATTTTCAAAAAAATTTCACTAAAGAATTCAATTATTTTTTTAAATAGTAAAATCTTTAAAGAAATTTTATTATTTTCAAGAAAATTCCACAAAACAATTCAATTATATTTATAAATAGCAAAAATTTTTTGCAAAAATTCAATTATATTCAAAACAATTTTAATAACATTTTATGAAAGAATTCCATTTTTTTTTAATTTTTAATAATATTTTTAAAAAAAAATTCAATTATTTTCTAACATTTTAATAAATTCTTCGAAAAAATTTAATTATTTTTTAACATTTTAATAAATCCTTCGAAACAATTCAATTATTTTTTTAAATAGTAAAATCTTTGCAAAAATTGAATTATTTTCAAGAAAATTCCACTAAAGAATTCAATTTTACTTTTAATTCGTTATAAAATTTTTCTAACGAATTTAATTAAAAGATTAAAAGATTTAAAATTAAAAGTTTATTAAAGTTACAATTTTTACTATAATTTATGTAAGAAAATGTATTTTTAGTTTTTAGTTGTACAAATTCGGCAAAACTCGATTAGCTTTTTTTTTAATCAAATTTACTTGCAAAATATTGTACATGTAAAAAAGAATTGCTTCTGCTTTTTTATTAATTATGAATTTTTTTTTCAAGCATGTGAAACTTAACGAATACCATTTTGTACATAATCATTAATAAATATTAATTCAAGTCAAATATTCAGTCACTCAATATCTAAAAACCAAATTTTTAAATTCTGTTATTTTGTTAATCAATATAATTATTTATGTTCAATAGATTTCTTTTTGATAAAAAAACGAGTAATTTTGAATTTTTTAAGATGTTTAAAATTTTTCTTATTTTGAAATTGATCTTTTAGTGAAAAGAATAAAACATAAATGTGACGCGCTTCCAAGAAAGGGATGTTAGATTTATCTTGATTAAAAATATTTTAATTTTTAAAGATCTTTTATAATTAAAGTAAAAGATCGTTTTTAATATTACGAAAATTTGAAAGCATTTTTTATTGAATATTTTAGGTTTAATGAAGAGATTAATTTTTAATAGTAAATTGATTCTCTTTGTATTTTTACCACATGACTCGAATAAGTTTATTTTTTCTCTAAAAAATATAAACATAATCTCAAATTTTTTGCTTATAATTTCCTTGGGAGCAGCGCGAATTTATCGTATTTATATAATTTATTCTGTCAACAAATTTTCAGAGTTTTAAAATTTCTTTTCCATTAAAATTAAAAATTAGTGCACGTTTCAGACAATCGAAGAGCACAACAGCCTGTACCTTCAATGAAAGTAATTTTACAAAAAAAAAAATTAGTCATTAAACAGGCTTCACAGCATTGTTTTTTTTTCTCCTCAAAAAATAATGGAGATAATTTTTTTTTATCAAATTTTTAATGTTGTAATTGTAAATTACTCAGGGTTGCCACAAAAATTTAATTTTGTTTTTCCCTGACTCGGTGTGATTAATATCTTCATGTTTTATAATAATTTAAATTTCCATAAAATTTTTCAAAAAAAAATTAAATTATTTAAATATTTTAATAAAATAAAATTCTTCACAGGATTTCAATTATTTAAAAAAAATCTAATAAAAATTCGTTGCTAGAATTCAATTATTCTCCTAAATAATAAAATTCTTTGCAAAAATTAATTTATTTTTAATACAATTTTAAATAAATTCCTCGAAAAATGTAATTATTTTTAAAATTATTTTGCATGAATTTAATTACATTTCACAAATAACGAAATTCTTCGCTAAAATTTTAATATTTTCAAAAATCTACTATTTTAATAACATTTCTCAAAAGAATTCAATTATCAATTATTTTTAATACTTTTTGCAAAAGTTTTATGAACATTGTCAAATCGATTTGTTTACATATTCAATTTTATGAAATCAAGATTATTCGGAAATTCTTCAATTAAATATTTGGAAAAAAAAACTTCAAATAATTTTTAAATAAAATTCAATTAAACTTTTTCAGAAAAAATTAATTCTACAGAATTATTAGTGAAAAGTATGAAAAATTCAAATTTCTAAAGATTTTAATTAAAAATCTCTTCAAAATTCAATTAATTCTAAAAATTCAGGCTATAATGCTTTTAATATTCAATTACTAAGTAAAACTTTAACTGAAATTAATTTTTAAATCAATTTTTATCAGAAAATTTCACGTAAATTAAATTATTCAAATACAAAAATAAATAAATATGTATGTATAATTGTATTAAAAATAATTGAATTTCTGCGATGAGTTTCATTATTTGTGAAAATAATTGAATCTCTCTGTAAAAAATTTTATTATCTATGCAATTAATTGAATTATTGCGAAGATATTTTTAAAAAAAATTATAAATACATAGTTGAATTCTTGCGAAGAATTTCAATATTTGTGAAATGTAATTGAATTCTTGCAAAAAAAATGTATTCCATTTTTTTTAAATAATTGAATTCTTTTGGAAAATTTTATTAAAATAGTAGATATTGAAAATCATTGACAAATCATTTTAAGGAAAATTTTTGAAAATAATATTCTTTCGAGAAGAATTTTATTATTTTTAAAAATAATTGAAATTTCGACGAGAATTTTTTTAAATTTTTGATCATAATTGAATTTCTGGAAAAAATTTTATTACATTTGAAAATAATTGAATTTCTGCAATTATTTGTAACTTCTTCAAAATTCAATTTTTTCCAGTATGTTAATAAAAATCCTGAAATGTTAATAAAATTCCTGACCAATTCTTCTTTTTCTGACCATTCCCTGAATTCCCTGACCTGTGGCAACCCTGTTACTATACTTTCGAATCTAAAATTTAATTAAACAAACGTTTATATTCTGTAATGAATTAATTTGTTCATTTCGTTTTCAGTGGAAGGGTAAAGAATTTAATTTCCAACAATTTAAAAGAATAAAAATTAAAATTTTGTCAATAAATGTGTTTTATTTGTTAAATTTTAGCTTATGTAAGGCCTGAATTGTTTCGATTATTTCTTATTGACAGAAAATAGTAATTTTTATTTAAATAAACATTGAATTGTTTAATCGATTGAAACTTAAATTCTCTACGTTTCCACTAAATCTAAAATCAGAGTGTCTACTATTTTCGTTCAACAAAATTTCTATGGTTATTTCCCGGCTTTGTCTTCATTTTTACCGGTTTTTTTTCTCATCAAATTTAAAATAATGTATTTGATTTCGAACATAAATAAATCTACAAATGGCTTCTAAAATGTTTATTAGAGTTTTTATGAATAATTAAATTCTTTTGACGAGTTACTTTAAATTTTTTGAAATCAGTGACTGATTTTTTACTATCAAATTAATTATTTTTAACTAATTTTTTAGAGAACAGTATAAATATCTATAAAAATTGAAATAAAAAGCTATTTTTTAAAAAGAAATAAAAATAATAAAATTTTTTTAATTTGGTGAAAAAATTCTCGGTTTGGCATAAAATTCCTGGCTTATTCCCGATTTTTCCGGTTAGTAGACACCCTGTAAAATTGATCAAACTTTAAATAAAAAAAATACGAAATTATGACATGTAGGAGACTAACTTTTATTCCGATTGTTTGTCGGGCACTTGAAGGAAGTTGATAGACTGTGAAGCCTGCAATAAGCTTCGCACGCATCTGCATGATCATGCTTGCCCTCTGTTTGCCAAGAATCACTAGCCCGAGCTGTGCCTGACTTCCATAGCCGCCGACCAACAATTCTTCTGGTGCCTTCGGTGAAGATAATTTCGGCATGTCGAACGACGATGACGACGACGACGCCGACGAATTGGACAGCGAGGATTGCCTCCTGCCCGAATTGAGTATAGATCAACTTCTCGGAAGTGCGAGTCTAGGCTCGATAAAGGGTTACCTGGGCCGAAGACGACTTGAACCATTGCCCGAAGAGGAGGATTCATCGGGCAGCGATAAGCATCAAGTTGGATGGTGGTGACAGAGGTTTCCAAAGGCGACCTCACAAATTGTCGATTCAACAATTGAAGAGCGAGGTCGTAATTTCGCTCGACTCACACAAGAGGACGAGGAGTTTCGTCGTAAAATTCTCGATCTCCATCGAAAGCTCTCCGACGTCGATGAAGATGCAATCACATCGAGACGCACCAATGAAATCGAACGTCTACGCGAATTGGAAATGGTGGCGAAACGTGCCGAGGAAACATTCGACAAAAATTCCATTGAAGTTGCTCGTGAACGTATTCGCGAGAGCCAATCGGATCCAATCCCAGGGCCGAGTCTAGAAAAACAATTACGATTTAATGTTGATTGTGATAAAAAAAAATCCGACGGTGATTCAGAAGATAAAGAAGATAAGTCTGGATCGACATTTTTAAAAAGCTTACGTATCCGTCGACGAAGTGTTAAATTATTAAGTTTCTTGAGCGGTAAAACCTGCGACAAAGCGCAAGAGGAACGTGCCAATAGATTATTGCGAATGTACGCAACGGATAAAGGATCAAAAGGGCCGAATACTATTTCCATCCATCATACGTCCAGGGACAGAAGATTTTGGAGACTTCGCAATCGTAGAAGATCAAGTTCCGCGTGAAAGAAAAAGAAAAAATTTTCCTCACAATTCCCTCCTTTTCTCTACATTTTAAACTCCAGGATCGTTCTTTCTAGAGCGTAGAGTGCCAATAGCGGAAGATAGTCTAGTAACCTGGATCTAGACTCTTCTTTAGCCTTTCACAGCGTTTCGATTTTTGACATTTTCCCATTTTCAAAATGTACTTTTTCTGAAAGAAAAAATGTCAAAAAATTGTTATACGAAATTATTGTAATGATGATGAAAAAAAAATTAAAACCGCATTGTTGTAAATTCGTCCAATGACGATTTAGTCTCAAAAATGATGTTCCGATCAAAATTATCACACATTGTCCAGTGCTCGTCGCACATTTGTACATTGATCGTTCGGTTCTTCTGCAGTCTCCGTACAAAGCTGCAAAGCGGCCTAGTAAAAAAAAACAGAAAAAATAACATCTTTTCAAACAAAACAAAAAATTATTCTTCGAGCTTGTTTCTCTTGCTATTAAAATATCAATTTAAGAAAGAAAAAACACCTTTATGGAAAAATAAAATTTTCCAAGTGCAATTACTTGTTAATTCACTTTAAACGTTTCTTATAAATAAAATAGGTCCGCACGACTGATCCAAAGCGGCACTTCATCTTCCACTTGAAAAATTGAACCCATTCAATGATTTAAGGAACTCATTAATACATTTTAAAAATCTTATTATTCGTAGTTATGTAAAAGTGGTCCGAAACTGAAAAATATGAATAAATTACATTATTTGTTCAAACTGTTCTTCATTCGTTCTTTTATTCACTCACCTTTTTTTGACAATTTTCTCCCTTTAAAAACGGAAAACTTTTTCAAATATTATGAATAAGAAAATAAAACATCAAATTAGAAACAAAATTAAGAAATTAACTTGAAATTAAAGAAAAAATTTAATTAAAGAACTTTTAATAGTAGGAATAATAATAATATAGTATTAATTATTAAATAGAAAAAATTTAGATAATTTTTTTTTATTAACAAAAAAACGAAATTTAAAATTTACAAATAATTTCTTTTCACCTTAATCACCTTTATTGACATTATTATAAACAGAACCGTTAGAATCGATTGGATTCATCCATTTGTGTCGTAAATATTTTCTCATTGTGTTGCCATCGAATTTCTTGACGTTTTTCTTAAACCCGTCAAGAGCATCTAAACGTTTCTGATCGACTCGCGGGAAAATCATAAGTTTTCCACTCTCGTGCAGGTAAGTGTCCTTATTTGTTAAAAGATCCTTTGGTAATTCTTCGGGTAAATCAATAGGCGTTATTTTAATTAAATGTTTAACCTTCATTAAAGACTCACAAATTTGTGGTGTATTTTTAACAATCGCTAACTTTGCATCATACTGCGAAAAAAAATAGAATTCATATAAATATTTAAAGAATCATATAAAAATTCAGGGCTCAAACCAGTGAAAGTACTTTAAAAAACCGATTATCTACATTAATTTTTAATAATTTTCGAAAAAGTTCTTTGAGAATTTCCAAATCCATTTGTTTACAATATTAAATTTTACGAATCCAATAAATTAATTTTAAAATTAAAAATATTCAAAAAAGAAATGATAAAATAATTCTAAGAATTCATTTTAAAATTATTTTCATGTAATTTTTCGCAAATAATTGAATTTTTTAAAAGAATTTTTGTATAAAATTTAAAAAAACAAAAAAATGTGGTATTTCGTTGCAATATTTGGAAGAAAAGTCGAAAAAATCGCAATATTTAAAAATAAATCGAAAAAAGTCTCAATTTTCTTAATTTCCGTGACAAAAAAATTTTTCTTTCTATCATTTCCCTGACTTTACGGACAAAAAATTTTTTTTCCCGACTTTACTGACATGTGTCCACCCTGTTTAATTATAATTTAATTATTATTCTTACAAAGTCGTCAAATTTCAAGTGACTCATAATTTCTTTGTCCCAATACGGTGATCCGCTTAAGGATTTTACTTGTTCCACCATAAGTAATTTAGATGGTTTAATTGGAGGATCTTGATGATCGAGTTTACTGGAAAAAAACCAAATAGTAAATACATGAATTAATAATTTCCATTAATGGTAAATTTTTATACTATAAAACTATCTAAGTTCGAAGAAAAAATAATTTTAATTAAAGTTAAGGATAGTTATAAAAGTAATATAAATTCAGTTTCAATGATAACAATTAGAAAATACGTAATTATCTTACCGTGGATATTGATAAACACCGTTGTAATTTACAACATCATTTTGCCAGAGTTTTTTAACACCTTTCGAAAGATACTTTCCCCTTCTCGTAACTTTATACGAATGTTTATACGCTTTATACAGTTTATCCATTTTATTCTGAATTAACAATAAAACGATTAATAATTCACTGAGATTATCAAAATAAATAATAGTTTTTTCAACGATGACAGTTTATTCAATTTTGTAAAAAAAGAATAATACCCTTTAACAGAAAGGATAGTAAAATAATAAATTTTTAGGTAATTTTATGTAACTTACTGCTAAACTTCAACGAGAGCTGATTAAAATTCCTCTTTATATTAATTATCTAATATTCACTTAACTTTTTGCCCACTTTTTGACAATTTCTTTTTCACGTTATTACCAATTTAGAGGTTATGTTCGGCACATTGTTGTGGTCAGTACGCGCATGCGTAAACCGTAGAAACCGGAAATGAACTGTAATTTAATTTATTTTAAACTTTTGTTAAAATTTGTCTATATTTTATTTCATATTCGGTTCTTACTATTTATTTTCTAATAATTAATAATAATAAAAGTAATATTATTGTATAAAACAATAATTTTACAAAAAAGATTTTTAAAATTCAAAATAATCGATTAGTTGATCGATTGCTGTTAGTCGATTTATCTCGAAGTCCTCTCGAAGCGAGGGAGGAGAAACAAAACAACAACATAACCAAAAAAAAAAGTTGTGACAGAAGGAAAAAGAAAAAAGTAAGTTTATCTCCCTTTCTTCTTATTTTCATAAAAAAAAATCTCTAATTTAACTAAAAGGGTACATTTTACAGCTGTAATTATGAGTTCAAAAGAAGATGCAACGGGAAGGGGATGGACAATAGACGAAAAGAAAAAGCTTTTAGAATTAATGAAATACCATGGTCATACAAATTACGATAGAATAGCTCTAGAATTTCCAAATAAATCATCATTGGGAATAAAGGCAAAAATAAATAAATATCTAGCGCTGTCAAAAACATTAAAACCAGGTTCACTGGACCCACTCGATTTTTGGTTGTATTCATTCTTTCAACCCGAGGACGATTCATTGATTTCACGTGCACTATTATTTATTCAATTATTTGAAAATCATCCAGAATCCGATGAATCAAATGGCATTGAATTTGACACAATTTATGGACTTTTACATCGTTTAACATTAGGACATCCACCGAATAATATTTCGCCTCAAACATTTGATGTATTCGATAAGGAAATGTTGAAGGCAATTGAATTTGTCATGTGTAAAAGTGAAAAGGAAGTACTCACATATCTCAGTACTTTGAGTATTAAGAAAAAGCCGACAAAAGATTATTCGAGAAAAACAAGTTAATTTTCGAAACTAAATTATAATATTTGGAAAATTATTCATAAATGAATAAAAACAATTTAGAAATTGGAATTTTTTTTTTGTAAACTAGGAAATAATTCGAGAAAAGCAAATAAAAACAATTTGTATGTATGTAAATGAAAAATAAAAAGAAATAAAATTACTTTTTTGGAAACTAAAAATTAAGAACCTTGAAAATTCTGTTTATTTTACGCTACTGTTATTTTCCACCAATCAGAAATTGAAATACTGCGCAGCAGACGAAAAGATTGTACACAAAAACATTATCACACCTACAGTGTCTTTGGCAGCGTGTGGGCACATTTCTCATTTTTATAAAGAAATAAAAAAAAAAAGAAAACTGTTCGTAAGTCTACGAGAAAATAATTTTTAAACCATCTCAATAATTTTTTGAAAAGTTCAATTTTATAAAAAATCATGTCCGCTTCACCGATCGCAAGGCAAGTTACACAAAATCAAAACATCCCTTTGACGAAGAGAGTCGTCATTGATGATGCTAATCAGTTACCTGCTGATTATTCCTCAACACCCGGAGGTACACTTTATTCCACCACTCCAGGAGGTGAGTTCAAAAAAAAATCCTACAAATATTTTACAATTAAAAAAAGTTCTCAATTACTTTCGAGTCTGAATCTTATTTTTATCAATCAGCACGTGTTGAATATTTATCTCTCAGAGTGTCTTTGTTGTTTTTTTTTCTTAATCCGGTGTTAATAACCTTATCAAGTATTCAAGAGGATTTTTTTTTCTTATTAAAAAATCACGATTGAATTTTATATCGTCAAAAAATAAAAAGGAGATTTTTTTCTCATTCTTTCTACAATGCAATATATTTTTCTTTGTGAGCAACGTGGCTTTTGTTTTGCCTTTTTGTTATAACGATAAGATTGTGTATGACTCTTCAAGGAGTTTTAAAGGCATTATTCCATTAGATTATTAATAGAAATTCGACTCTAATTTCTAATTCTCAAAATTCATCGAATTTTGTAGGTTCGTTTATTTTGATAAAATTTACATAATTTTTGGAAAATTTCCAAAAAAAAATTTCAATAACACTTTCAGTTTCAAATATTAGGTACTATTTTCAACAGTAATTATTTCAAATATTTATAGTTTATTTTATTTTTCGATTTTAGATTTAAGAGAAATTATGTAATTGCTGATGAAAGCTAGGAATGAAAAGCGAAACAAAATTACCGAATTTGTAAATATTAATTAATTAAAGATTAATCAAATTTTTAAGTATATTCATTTTTATGTCATTTTAAAATAATTGTTTTTTTAAATAGTTAAATGATAGTTTTTAATGATTTTAATTATATCAACAGGTGTGGATAAAGAACATATTATTTGTAACCTTGACCTGAGTCACACGTGGTTTTATTCACGATGTAAACAAAAATTGCCCAATCGAAATGAATTTCTCTAATAAATTTTTCCCTAAAAAAAGAAGGAGTGTGAAAAATCGTGAAATTTCGTGAAATCTCATAAAAATCGAAAGGAATAAATAATTATTTCTACAATGAGAAAAGACCTCGAAAAAGAAAATAAATGAAATAATTTTTGTTTACGATATTCTAACGCAATAAAACCGCATTCTATGAGCAATAAACTTGTTTTCTTGTATACATTTGTAAAATACAATGGAAAAACAAGAGTAATAACAATTTGTAAAGAGAATTAATTTTTTAAAAATATACAAACTAAATATTGTTGACAATATTTTTTGAAAACACTTGTTTTTTAAACAATATTCAGAAGTAAATTCTAAATAGACAAAGAGATAAGAAATTTCATTGAAATTTAGTATTTTCAATAAAACTTCTTTGAATAATTAATATTTAAATAGTTTACTATAAAATTTTTGATAAGAGAATTGTTAATCATTTTTTCAAAAGAATTTTGTTTTCTATATTATGTAACTGATTGCGAAAAAAAATACACAACGTGGACGAAAGTTTAATGACCTATAAAAGTGAAAATAATTACTATAGTGAAAAAAACAAACAAAAATTGATTTTACGTTTTTGAAAAGAGAATAATATTAAATAACTAGAATTAAATATTCACAAAAAAAATTTATTTTTTAAGAGTATTTTTTTAACTCATATCTCATTACGTATATACATAAAATATGCAAAATAGATTCACCTCTGAATCATACTTTTTCCTTTTTTTCTTGTTATGACAAAAAGAAACAAATCTCAAAACACGTTTCTTTTAATGAAAATTGCAATTTTACAAATTCTATTTATAAATAATTTGCAGTTTTCTTAATTTTTGTAAATCAAATTTTAATTATTTTCTCTTTCAATAAATTAATGTTATTAAAAATAATTTTCATTACATACGGTAATTAAATTCTGTCAGAAAATTTTCAAAAATCCGTTTGCTCTGAGAATTTTTGAGAAGTTAGAAATAATTGCGAAAATTCAATTATTTTCAAAATTAATAATATTCTTTACGGAAATTCAATCATGTTCAAAATTTTTTTTTAAATTCCCATCAAAATTTCAATTATTTTTATAAATAATAAAATTTGAAAATTGTCAAAGAACTTTTTCAAAAATTATTAAAAATAATGGATTCAGAGAATTTTAGTTAAAAATTCTTGAAAATAATAATTGAATTGAAATGATGAAGTAATAATAATAATTGTAATTAATAATGATAATATTAATTAATAATAAATAGAAAAAAAAATTATTAATGAATATAAGTGTAATATTTCGGATAAACATTGATTATAATTATTATTATTGACTGATAATGAAAAATGTTTGATACTTACTTGAATAATTACGAGATTATATTTTCTACAGGTACCCGTATCGTTTACGATCGTGCCTTTCTGATGACATTGCGAAATTCTCCAATTTCAAGAACTCCACCTTCAAATTTGACTAACATACCCGCTGATATTCAAAAAAATCAACCGACAGGTGCTGCAGCACCAGTGAAAACTTCCAATGGACCTGCATCTACTACTAAAGGTTGTCGATTAAATTCTAAAAAGCGAAATTTTTGATAAATCAAAAAATATTTTTGGTATTTTCCATATTTTTGTTTTGAAAAAGATTTCCCTATTTTTTTCACCTAAAACAGGGTTCCTACAGAATCTGGAAATCATGGAAATCATGGAAATCATGGAAATGGTATGGAATTTTAAAAAGGCTTCTGGAAATCATGGAAAAGGCCTGGAATTTTTAAAAGCTTCTAAATTTTTTCTGTTTTCCATTTTTTCTCTTGAATAGAAATTCAAATAATAATACAGATAAAAGGCATAAAAGAAAAGAAAAAATGTTGAATCTTAAGAAATTCGATTTTTCGAATTTTTGATCATTTTTAATAATTTTTGATTTTTTACCAAAGAGTCGAGACTATTAAATAAGTAAAGTATTTTCCAAGAGCACAAAAATACTGAAGCTAAATCCCATAAAAGAGAGGAAAAAATGTTGAATTTTAAAAAATTCGGATTTTTGAATTTTTGATAATTTTGGATAATTTTAGATTTTTTACCAAAGAGTCGAGACAATTTAATAAGTAAAGTATTTTCCAAAAGCACAAAAATAATTAAGCTAAATCCCATAAAAGAGAGGAAAAAATGTTGAATTTTAAGAAAATCGAATTTTTGAATTTTTTCGAATTTTTGATAATTTTAGATTTTTTACCAAAGAGTCGAGACTATTAAATAAGTAAAGTATTTTCTAAGAGCACAAAAATAATGAAGCTAAATCCCATAAAAGAGAGGAAGAAATGTTGAATTTTAAGAAATTCGGATTTTTGAATTTTTGATAATTTTGGATAATTTTAGATTTTTTACCAAAGAGTCGAGACTATTAAATAAGTAAAGTATTTTCCAAGAGCACAAAAATACTGAAGCTAAATCCCATAAAAGAGAGGAAAAAATGTTGAATTTTAAAAAATTCGGATTTTTGAATTTTTTCGAATTTTTGATAATTTTAGATTTTTTACCAAAGAGTCGAGACTATTAAATAAGTAAAGTATTTTCCAAGAGCACAAAAATAATGAAGCTAAATCCCATAAAAGAGAGGAAGAAATGTTGAATTTTAAAAAATTCGGTTTTTCGAATTTTTTTGAATTTTTGATAATTTTAGATTTTTTACCAAAGGGTGGAGACTATTAAATAAGTAAAGTGTTTTTAAAGAGCCAAAAAATATTGAAATTAGATTTAAAATTCCACTGGAATTTCGTAAAAATTTGACCTGGAAATCATGGAAAAGGTATGGAATTTTAAATTCGGATTTCTGTAGGAATCCTGTAAAAGAATTGAAAATTTTATTTATATTAAATATTAAATTAAAATTGAATGGTTTAATCAAATGCTAACATTAAAACGACGTTTGTATTTTGTTACAGAGTCTCCGACGAAAAACACTGCCAAAGGTTCGTTTTTCCTCACTTTTTATTTTATTTTCATTGAATTTCATAGTCTAATTAAATAATTAAATTCATATTAATTAAAAAAGTATTGAATAATTATTCGAAATTAATTATTATTAAATAATTTTAGAAATTTTAGAAAATAATTTTAATTTTTTCAAAGATTTTACTATTTAAAAAAATAATTAAATTCTTTCGTGAAATTATATTAACATTTAGTTGAAAATAATTGAATTCTTGCAATAAAATTTTCAAAAATAATTGAATATTTGCGAAGAATTATATATTAAAATTTTTGAAAATGTAAACAATAATTATTAATTATGTACTTATTAAGTGAATTTTTTTAATTTCGAAATTATTCAAAAATTTATATTTGAAGATAAAAAATTTTTTAATTTGCATAATAATAATAATAAATCGAATACGACGTTCCGCGCGAAAATTAATTATTAAACTACTAATAATTTATAGATTAAAAAGAAAATTTAATTTCTATTTCCAATTTTCAAAGATTGATTAATTTTCTTAAAATAAAAAATTTTTTTTCAATTTCGAAATTTACTATAATAAATAGATTGAAAAGTTTAAGTAATTTTCATTTTCAACTTTCAGAGATTCCTGTGATTGATGAGACATCTGAGACATCTGAGCAATTTCAAATGGACATGTAAAAGAGAAAAAATTAAAATGCCAATTGTGATTCAGACGATATATTATAATTAGCCTTTCAAGAATTACGGAAAAAAAGATTTTTTTTGAACGGTATTATTATTAATCACCCTGACACCGTTGGCGAAATAATGAAATGAATGAAATGAATTTCTCTTTTTTTTGTGAATATTATATTATATACACACACAATACCAACTATTTTGCCATATTAAACTCAGAGTCCATACTATAATTATAAAAAAAAAAAAAAATAAACAAACAAAATGGAAAAAAGCTACCTCAAGTAGATGTGAAAAATACCATCACGAGAGAGGAGTATTTTGACTAGCGTTTGGATAAAAAATTGTACAAAAAAAAGAAGCAATAAAATCGGCTTAAATTTACCCAAAGAGAGACTATCGAAATTTTTCAATTGTATAACATTACTTTGTAGTTTGCTACTTAAAAGGTATACTAATTACAAATAAAATGTGTTTTATATAATTTTGACTTCAATTCTTTTTTATTGTAGAAATAATTCTTTTTTGCGATTGAAACAATTCATTTTTAATTGAACGAAAAATAATTTTTTATGAATATTAAAAATGCAACGTGAAAAACTGCGGTCTCAGTATATTAATAATATTGAGCAAAAGAAAGTTTAAATTTGTAATATTTACAAATGTTATTAATTTTTTTAAAGAAAATAAATTTTTTTTATTAACGGCAGTCCAAATTTCACTAATCAGAATCATCATCGATTTCATTTTCATCAAGTTGATGATATTTTCCTGACTCTAAACCCATGTCTTCTTCGCCTTGTGACAAAAGTTCTATAATTGCACTAAAGAAGAAATATTTCATATTTTTAACATATTTTTAAAGGTACCTAAATTTATTTTTAAAAAATTTTTTTTAATTTCTTTTTTTTAACTTTTTTCTTTTTTTACTTACTTGACAATTCGTCCCTCTTGTCCCTTCCAATCAACAGTTCCTGGATGGGTTATTTTATGCTCCAAAAGTCCTTCCAATTGTTCGCGCAATTTCTAGAATATAAAATCGAAATAATGAATAATTTATTATTTTTTTTTTTTACATATTATTATTTACTACTTACTTGAATAATTCTGGCTGTGCTGGAATCACAGGAGAATTTTAAAGTATTCGTGACAGTCACGACACTTCTATTTCCAAGGGTCTCTGAAAATAAATTCGAAATTTTATTTCTGTAATTATTTGAATTTTAAAGAGATGACGAGAATAATTTTCTCTTTCTTGTATATAAATATTCGAGAAACAAACCTGAGAGTTTATTAAAATTGGCGAATAGTAAAGCCCACGCACTGACAAATGTTGTATCGTGTAAATAAATTGCAGTCGATCGTTTTTTAAAGAAGTAAATTAAATAACAACTGGGCATGCTTCGAACCTTTTCGTTTATACTCGAAGGATGTATCTTCACTTTTCCATCTTCAGGTGTGGACACTTTCACATTATGTTTTGTAACACCTCTGCAAATTAAAATCATAGATTAATTTATCCGTAATAAAGAAAATTATAATTATAATAATAATAATAATTAGTACAAAATTATTTGTAAATTACAAGAAAAGAATTGAAATAAATTTACTTGACAATCGCAATGTTTGGATAGAGTCCAGCGCAGATAATTGCCTTTATAAGTGACAAATTATTAGAATTTCTATTGGCATTACTGTCACGTACATTTTCATTCTGAAGAAATTTCATTTCGTGTAAATAACGAGCAAACTGACACTTCATGTCCGATAATAATTGAAGTGTATTACGCGATAGAAAATATTCCCGACAAAATGATGCACTCTGATGCCAACGATGATTATTTGATTCAAAACGTTTGAGCGCCTCGGCAAGTGCAATGTGATCGCTAAATTGTCCCATTCCAAGTTCAATTTTTTTATTTCGCGCCTCCTCCTCTCTATTAATTGGACAATAAAATGCGTCTTTAAAAGACAGACTGGCAGCTATCGAAAATATTGGCTCGATGCACGAGAAAAGTGAAGCCCAAATTATCATTTTACCTGTTGAAAAAAAATGTAAAAAATTAGGATATCAATTTTTGATAATAAAAAGGTAATAAAAAGAGGCTTCGCACTCAACTATTTACTACTTAATACGTAATAATAATTACAAAAACCTACTATTTACTACTTTTTTAAGTTATGCTATTATTTGGGTAATTTTTTTAGATTTCAGCCACTAAAAGCTACTATTTCTGTTTTTTTAAAAAAGAGTTTCCACTAATTTAAATTCGCTAATACTAGAAATCAAAAAACTATTCTCAAAAAATATAATTAAATTCTTTAAAACGATTCAATTATTTTCAAAAAATATTCAAAATTCAATTAATTTCAATGTCTAGCATTTTCATAAAATTTCGTAAAAGAATTCAATTATTTAAAAAAAATTTGATAAAATTCATCCAAAATTCAATTATTTTCATAAATAATAAAAGTATTCTCAGGAATTCAATTAATTTAGAATAGCATTTTCAAAAAAATCAATTATTTAACAAAATCTTTATACAATACATAATTCTTCTTTACAATAATTCAATTCCTTTTAATAATAATAAAAACATTTTTCATGGAAATTCAATTTAAAAAAAAAAATTTTTGATAAAATTCTAAGCAAGAATTCAATTATTTTTATAAATAATAAAACTCATCGAAGAATTTCAATTATTTTTAATACTATTTTTAATTAATTAATGGAAAAATTCAATTATTTTTACAAATAAAGTGTTTTCTACAAGAATTCAATTATTTAAATTAAATTTTCATAATATTTATCATATTTCAAAAAAATAAATTATTTAAAACAAAATTATTACCGAAAATTGAATTATTTTGAGGGATTTTAATAAAATTCTTTTCAAAACTTAATTATTTTCATAAATAAAGTTTTCCACAAGAATTCAATTATTTAAAATAAAATTTTTATAATATTTATTATTTTTCGAAAAAATTAATATTAAAAGAATGTTTATAAAATTCTTATAAAGAATTCAATTTTTTTCAAAAATAACAAAATTTTTCACAGAAAATCAATTCTTTTGAAACATTTTAATAAAATTTTTCGCAATCGTTCAGTTATTTTCATAAATAATGAAATTCTTCTCAGGAATTCAATTATTTTTGAAAATTTTAATAAAATTCTTTGCAACTATTCAATTATTTTATCAAAATTAATATAATTCATCGCAGGATTTCAATTATTTTGAATACAATTTTACAAGAATTGACCAAAAAATGTAATTATTCATAAAAAATTTAATTTCGATTTCTCGAAAAAATCAATTATTTAAAAAAAGTTTTTTTTAAAATTCCTTGGAAGAATTCATTTACTTACAAAAATATCATAATTTTTTACAGGAATTCAATTATTTTCAAATATTTTATTAAAATTGTTCGAAAGAAACCAATTATTTTAAATACAATTTTAATTAAATTTTTTTGAAATAATCCAATTATTAATAGAAGATGCGGAGATATTTTTGTTGATCAGAGTCAATATATTGTCAAAGATGTTTATTAATTAATTAATTAATCCAATTATTCTTTTAGATTTTAGTAGAATTCTTCCCAAGAATTTAATTATTTACATAAATAATTCTTTAATAAAATTCTTTCCAAAATTTGTTTATTTTCATAAATAAGAATATTTATCAGAAGAATTCAATTATTTTTAAAAGTAATAAATTTCTTCTTGGAAATTTAATTATTTTCAAAAATTTCAATTAAATCGTTCGCAAGAATTCAATTATTATCATAAATAATAAAATGCTTTTTGGGAATTCAATTCTTTTCAAAAAAATTTAATAAATTGACACATAGACATTCAATTATTCTCAAAAATTTTAATAGAATTCCTTGTAAAATTTAATTATTTTTAAAAACTTTTTGCAATTTATTGATTTTTAATATCAACTATTTTCATAAAATTCCCAAACAGAATGCAATTATTTAAATTAGAATTTGCATAAAATTAGTCGAAAGAAATAAATTATTTAAAAATTTATATAAAATTCTTGGCAAGAATTACATTATTTTTATAAATAATGTACTTTTTTGTAAATAATTTATTCAAATTCTTTAATGAATAATAAAATTCATTACAGGAATTCAATTTATTAGCATGATAAGAAAAAAGTCTAAAAACGAGTTTTTTTTGGTCGTCAAGTTTAATTTTTCGATAGCTACTTTTTCAACTACTTTTTTTTTAGTTTAAAAGCTACTTTTTGCTACCTTTTTAAAATTAATTATTGCAATGCGAAGTCTGTAAAAAATAAAATAGTAACAAGAGAACAGTTCAATTCACCTGTTCTTGGATCCAGAGGTAATTGCGCCAAATGATAACCAAGAGGTGTTAGACGCTCATTATCATCGAGAGCATTAAGTTGTCTCAATAAATCGAGAGAGATATCAATGGCTTTAGAATCAGGAGGATCCATAACGCTGGCTAGGAAATTACTCGATCTTCCTAATTGTAATATTTTAATTTGCAATATAACTTCCTCTAGTCGTGAGCGTAACATTTCCGGTAATGGATAATGATCGAATGTATTTTCCCTAGCTCTCGTGTAGAGATGAAAACAAATACCGGGTTTCACTCTGTAAATTAATTCCATTTTTGTTAACATTTTTTCTAGAATTTTTTTTCATGCGTCATAATTACTGTTGTTTACCTTCCGGCTCGTCCACGTCTTTGTTGTGCATTTGCGATTGTTTCCCATTCGGGCAATAGGGTTTGAATATTATTTTCCACATCGAATCGAGAGAGTTTCGTCTTTCCACAATCAATAACGTAAACAACATCTTCGATTGTTATCGATGTCTCTGCTATCGAGGTTGATATGATTATTTTCCGTACTCCGGACGGTGGTACATCGAATATTAACTTTTGGTCGACTGTCGGCATTCGGGAATGTAGCGGATACACAATATATCTATCTGTAAAAATAAATTTAAATTTAATTTTAAATTCTTCCTATTTCTAACAATAATTAAACAAAATATAATTTTAATTAAATTCGTCACAAAAAAATTTGAAAGAGAAAAAATTTCACATCCTATAAAATAGTGAAAAATTAATCAATTTAAAAATTCTTTTTTTCAATAATATTATAACAAAACAAATTTGAATTAGTAAAAATTTGAACCAATTAGAACAAAAGTGATACGAAATTTATAAAAATTCATTTTTAAATAATAAATAAAGTAAATAAAAAATAAAAATAAATAAAACTTCTTTTCTTAGAACATAAATTTTTAAAAAACCGTATTTTGCATTAATATCAATTCCTGAAAATGGAAGGCAATAAATAATTACCTCTTGGATATCGGTGACTCTCCGTTATTAGTCTATGTAATTTTGTAATATCCATTACGCCAGGAAGAAAAATGAGTATAGCACCAGGTGGTTGTGTAGAGCAAATATAAGCGACTAATTGTTCTATAAGTTCAAGTGACAAATCTTCACATTTTGGATTGCGCAATTGATCAATTACGAATTGTGGATATTTTCTCTGAACCAGGAAAACACATTTTTATAAATTATGATAATAAAATATAAATTCTTATATTAAGATATAAATTTTGATTTATGATTGTAAGAAAATTGAGTAATGAAATTTCTAAAATATACCTGAGATTGTAGATGACGCACATAAGGTCCTATAAAATCCAAGTACTGATCGTCTTTGTCTTGAAATTTATGTTTTTTCATAAACTTCTTATAATGCTTTTGCGCCCCGACGTTTCTTGTATCGTCTGGAAATTGAAATCTGCGAACATAATTTTTTTCAAATATCTTTTTAATAACTTTTCAATAACTTATTAGAGAATTATTATTTGAGAACAGGGTTGCCACAAAAATTAAATTTTCTTTTTCCTTGTCTTTTCCCTAATATCCAGACAAAATGTTGACTTTTTCCCTGATCCTAAAGAATATTCTGATTCACTCTAAAAATTATTAGATTAGAAAACTTTACAAAATTCTATTATTTCTAAAAATTGAAATTCTTTCCACGAATTTTAATAATATTTTTAAAATTAATCACATTTTTCGCAAAATTTGATTAAAATTTAATTAAAAATTATTGAAATTTTGCAATGGGTTTTATTACTTGTGAAAATAATTGAATCCCTAAGAAGAATTTTATTATTTTTGAACAGTATTTAATTTTTGCGATGAATTTTATTACTTTTGAAAATAATTGAATTCTTGCAATAATTTGTAACTTTTCCAAAATTAAATTTTTTTTCGTGTTTTTAACTAAAATTCTTTTATAAATGCATAATTTTTAATAATTTTTGAAAAAGTTCTTTGAGAATTTTCAAATTCATTTGTTTTCAATTCAATTTTACAAAATTTCAATTATTCGTAAATTCTTCAATTAAATATTAGAAAATAAAAACATCAAATAATTTTAAAAAAATCCGCAATTAAACTTTCTCAAAAAAATTAATTTCACTGAATTGTTAGTAAAAATTATGAAAAATTCAGATTTTCAAAGATTTTAATTTGAAACCTTTTCAAAATTTAAATTATTTCTAAAAATTCACGCTCCAATGCTTTTAATATTCAATTATAATCTAAACTTTTCCCTAAAATCCATTTTTAAATCAATTTTTACTAGAAGATTCTACTACAATTCAATTATTTGAAACCAAGAAAAAATTTTTAAGAATAAATTACATTTCTTGAGGAATTCGACTAAAATTGTATTAAAAATAATTGGAATTCTGTAATAAGTATTTATTATTTATGAAAGTAATTGAATTATTGCAAAGAATTTAAAAAAAAATTTCAAACAATTGGTTTTTTTCGACCAAATTTATGCAAATTCTATTTTTAATAATTGAATTCCTGTGAAATTTTCACTATTTTAGAAAATAATTGAATAATCGTGTAGAACTTTGTCAAAATTATTTTTAAATAATTGAATTCTTTTGGGAAATTTTAATAAAATAATAGATATAAGAATTATTGAATTAAGAAAAATTTATGAAAATAATTGATTTACTGAGAAGAATTTAATACCAAAATTTGAAAACATTTGATTTTTTTAGAAAAAATTTTTGAAAATAATTGAAATTTTGCTATGATTTTTATAAAACTTTTGAAAATAATTGAATTCTTGTGATGAATACTATTAATTATGAAAATAATTGAATTTTGCCATGAAGTTTTTTTAGAATTCTTGGTAATTTTATAGTTTATGAGGCAAACAAAAAGAAACGAAAATTCAAAATTTTCTTATAAATTCTAAACATTTAATTTTTTTCGAGTATTTTTAATAAAAATCCCTGACTTTTCCCTGACCTGTGGCAATCCTGGAGAAATATTATCGTACCGTGTAAATAATATCGCGTCCTCCAGATAAAACTCTTCCACGGGGAACGTAAATCCTGGAATATGCATTTTCGGACAGTCGCCATAATATTTGGAAAATTTGTCACTATTTAGTGTTGCACTCATGAGAATTACTTTCAAGTCTGGCCTCTTTTACAAAAAATAACAATAATAATGAATTACGTTCTTGTTTCGTTTACAAACAAATATTGGAATAATTGTCAAGAAATGCAATAAATTTGAATAATTGCCAAAAAAACACAATAAATTGTAATAATTGCAAAAAAATAAAATAAATTGTAATAATTGCAATTATTAAAGGGGAAATGAAATAATTGCAAAAAAATACAATAAATTGTAATAATTGCAATTATTAAAGAAGAAATTGAATAATTGCCGAAAAAACACAATAAATTGTAATAATTGCAATTATTACAGGAGAAATTGAATAATTGACAAAAAAATACAATAAATTGTAATAATTGCAATTATTAAAGAAGTTATTAAACAATTACCTTTGGAATCACTTGTTTGAGTAACGCAATGATAAAATCACTTTGCGTGTTGCGTTCGTGAATTTCGTCTAAAATGATATGCGAAATATCCGTTAAAGCAGGATCGCCTTGCATAAATTGTAACAACATTCCAGTTGTGCAAAACATTATACAGCCTTCCTGTCGACTAAGAATTCTGAAAGAAAACAAAAACAGTTAAATCAATTTTCCTGTGATATAAGGTATTACATTTATTGAATTATTGTTTTTAATAATAAAGCAAGAATAAACCTTTCGAGACGAATTTGATAACCAACTGAATTACCCAGTGATTCGCCTCTTTCGGCTGCAACTCTCTCGGCAACTGATATGGCACTTATTCGTCTTGGTTGAGTACAAACTATTTTCGTAATACTGCCATTTTTCTTCAACAATTCATTATCGAGTATGAATTGCGCTACTTGAGTCGTTTTACCACATCCTTAATAAGACACATTTAAAATATAGTAAATTTCGAAAATAGAAAATTGTCAACAAATTAGTAAATTAATATTAATGTTGTGATAATAAAAGTTAGTAAATGGCAACAGATTTAAAAAAAAATAGAAGGACAATAAAATAGTAATGAAAATTAATAAAATAAAAAATACCTGTTTCACCGCTGATCAGTATGACTTGATTATGTTTCAAAAGATCTAATATTTCCTCCCGTCTATTAAACGCAGGAAGTAGTTTACGAAAATTCAACATATTCAAATACTCCTTTGTATTTATCATTTTTTGATAATCTTGATAGAATCTTTCATCAATGGCTTGATTTCTTTTTAATTTCGAACTCGTACGTAAAGAATTCATGAGATTTTCCTGTATATTTCCAGTGACGATATTCAAAAATTTCCGCTTAAATTGAGAATCATTTATGTGCATGTACATATTTTCGTATTTATTTTCCTGATCGTTGAATGATGACGCAACATTTGTTCTATTTGATTCTCGATTAAATAGATTATCGGGAATTTTTCGAAAATCAATTAACGATGTAATTCGTCTTTCGGTGTTTGGATTTAATCGAAGAATTTTAGCTTCATCTTCTCTTTTTTTAGCACTGTGTCTCGCCTTGTCCCTATAATAGAGACCAATTTCTTTTCCACTTAAACCAGGAGGATGACCTCCTCGTCCTCGTCCACCGCCACCTCGACCACCACGGCCTCCTCGACCATATCCTCTCGATGAAGAAAAACTATTGAACATTTTGGTCCCTGACATTTCGAATACCTTGAAATTAAATCATTTATATTAGTAAAACAATTTTTTTTAAACAAAATTTTAATTTTAATTTAGAATTTCAGAGAATTCAGATTTTCTTTAAATTCGTAAATTTCTCTAAATTATAATTATTATGAACTTTTGTTATTTAAATGATAAAATTTCAAATTTCCAAATCAAAATAAATAGTAAATTTACTATAAAAAAGATTCAATTTTGTATTACATGAAAAATTGTTCAATCAATAAATATTGATTTCCATTATTCTTCTTTTATATTTTCTTCCGAATTATTATAATTAGTTAATTATGACATCAAACGTAGAGAAATAAAAAGGAACTTTTCAATTGTCATCAAATTTGATGAAAACACAACAAAGCAAAATACGAGCACGTTCAAGCACGTTTTTTTATCATAAAAAAAATTATTCTAGATTACCAAACTCATTACATATTTAAATTACGTCACTTCGACAAATCTGATTGGCTGATCGTATACTTGACGTAAAGGTTTAACGCAACTGTAGGTAACTTTTTTTTGAAAATTCTACCAACCCAACCCTGTTGTCAGATTGAATATAGAGAGAAAACCGAGAAAACCTCTAAAAACAATAAATTTTACAATCAAATTTTCTTCCGAATTTTCTTTTGAAAAGTAATTGTCATTTGAAAATAATAAATTACTATTTCGCCGATATGCTTATAAATAAAACTTGCTCGTATACATCGAATGGTGCTAAACAATTTTTAAGTGAGTGTTTTCATCGAGATACATAATAACATAGATTATGTAAGTTAATAAAAATTGTTTTAATGTTTAAATATATATTCAATTCTATTCAAGGATCTTCAAATTGGAGTAAATATGAATTGGCGAAGAAAATTCGTTTACCTGTAAATCAAAACATTATGGTTCTGTCTCATTGTAGTAATTCAAATTCCGATTCGAAACCTGCACTATTTACAAATAATTTAGTGCATGGAAAAACAGAGGTATTATCATACAAATATTTATATTTATAACAATCAATTATTTTCACAAAGAATGTTTTCCACAAGAATTCAATTATATAAAATGAAATTTTCATAATATTTATTATAGTTCGAAAAAATTAATTATTTAAAACAATGTTTATAAAATTCGTATGCAGAATTCAATTATTTTCAACAATAACAAAATTTTTCACTGAAATTCAATTCTTTTTAAACATTTTAATAAAATTTTTCGCAACTTAATTCAATTATTTTCATAAATAATAAAAATCTTCTCAGGAAGATTATTAAAATTATTTTTGAAAGTTCTAATAAAATTCTTAACAACTATTCAATTATTTTCATGAATAATAAAATTCATCGCAGGATTTCAATTATTTTTTATATAATTTTACAGGAGTTGCTCCAAAAATGTAATTATTCTTAAAAATTTAATTTTAATTTCTCGAAAAAATCAATTATTTAAAAAAATGTTTTTTTTAAATTCTTTCAAAGAATTCAATTATTTAGAAAAAATGTTTTTTTTAAATTCTTTAGATTTTTAATTTTAATTTTTAAAGGGTTTATCAACGTCAAATCTATTGCAACAATATCGTATGGGAAGTTCAAGTTCAGATCACGTTAAATTATGGCAAATGGAAAGAATAACATCGGCGGCATTGCCAATAATTTTACCAGCCGCCCTTATCTTGGAAAATCCTCTTCTTGACGGTTTACTTGCTGCTCTTGTGGTCGTTCACACACACTGGTAAATATTTACTTTTTCCAATCGTCTATTATTCAACAATTTGTAAATTTATTTTCTATTACTTTAGAATTTGTAAATTTATTTTCTATTACTTGAAGAATTTGTAAATTTACTTTCTATTACTAACAAATTCGTAAATTTACTTTCTATTATTGAAAATTTTGTAAATTTATTTTCTATAATTAAAAAATTTTTAAATATATTTTCCATTATTGAAGAATTTGTGAATTTACTTTCAAAACATTTGTGAAAATTTATATCTTTTCTTTTTAGGGGATTAGAGGCAATTGTAGTAGATTACGCAAGACCAATTGTTATGGGTACAGTTCTACCAAAAGTTTTACATATATTATTGAACTTTCTCTCAGTTGTGACACTTGCGGGTTTACTAGTACTCATTTACAATGGACCGGGAATATCTAAAACAGTGAAAAATGTCTGGAACATTGGTAAAGAAGAGGTAGCACAAAAATAAGTTAATCACAGTTAATTCGGTTTATTATATATTAATATAATAAGTAATTATAAATCCCTTTGCAAAATTGAAACGTAGAAAAACAACCGTTAATAATATTGAATTGAAATTATTGAAAACATTTTGTGAAAATATTAAAATTGATATTTAGAAAAAAAATAAATTGTTGCATTCTCATATATTAGGGAAGTATTTTTATTCTCTGAGATAATCATTAAAGAATTATTTTATTTAATATATAATTTAATATATTACACATAAATAATATAAGTAAATTTTATAATAACATTTTTCCACAAAAATAATATAATATATAATCAAAATTTTAATAATCTTTCTTATTTAAAATAAATAAAATAAACAATTTTTCTTGTGAAGAATTCTGATAAAATTGATAATTTTAATTAAATTATTTTTGAAGAATTTTGAATTTTTTTTTAAATAATGGAATTTCTTTAAAAAATTTTAAAATAATTGAATTTATGAACAATTTCTTTCAAGTTTTTAAAATAATCGTGTTTGTTAATAATTTAAATTAAACATTTAATTATTCAAATTAATTAAAATTTTAGAAAATAATTGAATTGTTTTGAAAAATTTTATAACGAAATTGAATTATTTCGTGAAATTTTTTTATGAAAATACTGGAATTTTAGCAAAGATTTTTACTATTTACAAATATAATTGAATTTTTTCAAAGAATTTATTAAAAGTTTAGAAAATAATTGAATTTTTGCAAAGAATTTTACTATTTACAAATATAATTGAATTTTTTCGAAGAATATATTAAAAATTTAGAAAATAATTGAATTCTTTCGAAATTTTTTGTGAAAAAAATTGAGTTTCGTGATTGTTTTGAATATAATTGAATTTTTTCAAAGAATTTTACTTTTTATAAATATAATTGAATTGTTTCGAAATATTAAAAAAATTTTAGAAAATAATTGAATTTTTTCAAAGAATTTTACTATTTACAAATATAATTGAATTTTTTCGAAGAATATATTAAAAATTTAGAAAATAATTGAATTCTTTCGAAATTTTTTGTGAAAAAAATTGAGTTTCGTGATTGTTTTGAATATAATTGAATTTTTTCAAAGAATTTAACTATTTACAAATTTAATTGAATTTTTTGGAAGAATTTATAAATATTTTAGAAAATTGAATTCTTTTAAAATATTTTATAACGAATTAAGAAAAAAATTGAATTTTAAAAAATAATTGGATTTTTGCAAAAATTTTACTATATTTATAAAAATAATTAAATTCTTACGAAGAATTTTATTATTTATGAAAATAATTGAATTTTTGAGAATAATTTTATTAAAATTTTTGAAATTAATAAACAAGAATAATTAATTAGTATAATAATTTAATTTTTTAAAGTTTAAATTTGTTATTATTTAAAAATTCATATTTGAAAATAAAAAATTTTGTAATTTGTATAATATTAACATATATAATAGTAAATAAATAATATTTATTAGATATTTATATTATTATTATTATTTATATTATTATTATTTATACTTTATTTATTTAAATAAATAAAGTTTAAATGGGCATTTACACACGAATTGCGCTCATTGGCCCGCAGAGTTCCCGCGCAAATTTGAATGTAGCCAATGAGAGCGCTAGTTTCCTAAAGGCGACTTACATGGAAAACTCAAAAACTGCGAAAAATCGTCAATTTTTGGGGTGACATCTACCTACATCGAGCGGACAAACCCGGAACTAACGATTTTTCACCTAAATTCATTAATTAATGCAATTATTTATTGATTTTATTATCGTAATACGATCGTAAATCATTAACAAGTATATTATTTAACTATTTATCAAAAAAGTTTAATAATACAACGCATTTTATGCTAGTAATTATCAAAATATTGTCCTAGTTCTACTAGTAGTGTTAGAGCAACAGTATGTATACACCTTTAGTTTACTTGCAACATTTCATACATTTCGATTTCATATATTGTATGATTTTAGAAAATGTCTTTAATAATTATGTTAAATATAGTTTATAAGTGATTAAAATAGTGTTTATTTTAATTTTAAAACAAAGCTTCAATAATGAGAATACAATAAAGTATAGAATCGTACCGATAGACTTGAAATATTAGCAAAAATCAAGTACAGAAGGAAGAAAAAAGTGTTTGTATGTTGCTACAAATAGGTTATAATTTTATATTGCATTAAAAGTCAAAAAAAGTGATGGTTTACATGGATAGTAATTAAAATTTAGTGAATAAATTTCGTGTTTATACATTATAAACGTGTTTATATATACATATGTAAATATTGCTCCATTTTTGGATATCTTGTAATAATCTGTAATCAAAATATTTATACCATGGATGATCTACAGAATTACAGATTGCAACTTCAACAGGTAAATTATGTTTATTAATCTTTAGTTGAAATATACTTTTTTTTCTCTTTTGAAATTACTTGTCTCGTTCGAAAAATAGATTTTCGTTTTTCTAAAAAGGGAAAAATTCGGAAAAATAAACTAAATGTGTCTTTAAGGTCGAAGCTGCATTGACAACCGATCCATCTAATAAAGAATTACTGAAATTGAAAATCGATTTGGAAGAAGTGATTGAATTGACTCACGATCTCATAAAGTCACAGCAACAAGAAAAACGACAAACTGATGAAACGGATGTTAAAGATCCTATTCTTCTTGCAGTATTAGCTAATAAATGGAGTGTTGGAGATCTTTGTATGGCTCCATGGAGCGAGGATGGAAAGTAAGTCTGCCTTTTGTCTAATTCTCAAATATATTTCTTAACAATTTTTTTTCTTGTACTACATAAAAATATTTTTAGGTATTACGAGGCTACGATTGATGGAATAAATGAGGAAGGTGTAGTAAATCTTACTTTTAATGAATACAAAAACACAGATGTTACAATGCTCAGTCAGTTGAAATCAGTTGCTAAACGACCAGCGTCCGATTGGGCCGAACAAAAAGCAAAGTAAGTAATTTTATACAAAAAACAAAAACTTACAAATTTTTCTATTTTCCGTATTTCGGGCCTCGCACTCATCTACTAAAACCTACTTTTTTAAAATTAATTATCGAGTGCAAAGTTTGAAATACGTTATATTGAAGTCATTTGAAATATTTTAATTCCTGTAGACAAAATAAATAGGTATTTAAATATTTATTTTAAAAAATTATTCTATTTTTGAATGTAATTAACAAATTATAGAAAAAATTGAGTCGTCAAGTTTAATTTTTCGATAGCTACTTTTTTCTGTCTTCAAGTTATTTTTTGCTACTTTTTTAAAATTATTTATCGAGTACGAAGCCTGGTATTTAGATTTTGATTTTAAATTTGATTATAAAATGATTTTAAAAGATTTTGATGATATTTTAGAAAAATGCAAGTGGCAGCTGTCGCTGGAAGTGATCCAAATAAACAGCGAGATTATCTAAAGAAAAAGAAACAGAAAAAACTTCAAAGATTTAAAGAACTCGAAGAAGAGAGGGAACAGGAGAAGAATAAATGGTTGGCATTTGCAAATAAGGTAAATATTTGAACAATTTAATTTTCTCTTCCATTTTGGAATATTTTATTAATAGCAATTTTTTTTCTATTTAGTCAACGAAGAAAGGTGTGATTAAAAAGAGTATTTTTGCAACGCCTGAAAATGCAAACGGACGAGTTGGTATTGGAACTTGTGGTGTTAGTGGTCGTGAAATGACAAAATTCAGTAACGGTGAAAAGTGGCGGCGTGGTACATAAATATATATTGTAAATATATCTAGGTCAGTAAGTTATATATTAAGGGACTTATAAACTATTGATTTTCTTTTTATTTATCATTCGATGAAATTTTGTTTCTAAACTGTTTCTCCAAAAAAACCTGAAATCTTAATTTTACTTTAGATCAAATTAACAAAGATTTAAAATAACCTGATTTCATTTGTTCTTTAAATAAATTATATGACTGCTAATTAGACTTTATTTCCAAAAGAAGATTTCAATCAAGAATTCAATTAATAATTTTGGGTATTTATTGATGAATAGTTTTATTATTAAAAATTTACTTGATACAAATTAATTGAAAAATTAGAATATTAATTGTATCTATTATTAATTGTACATTAATAATTTTAAAAGTTATTTGTATAAATAGCTCAAAATTCTTTCTGCGTCATCATTCAAGTGATTGGTTGCTCTTTTTCTCCTGCCGAGAAAGAGCGTTTGCCCTCCAGTTGGGGAAGCGAAATTTTGAAACAGCAACTGGAATTATTGTCGAGGAATTATATTATTTAGGTATTTGAATTTATTTTCTTTTTTTATTATTTTCATTTAATTACCATTATTAATCGAACGAGGTAAACGGCGAAAGTTAGAAATGAAATTGCCATTAGTGCTCCTTCCAATGAGGGGAAACCCAAAGAATCTTCATCGTGATGATGCTCGTCGAACCTTCGAACGCGAGAATTTTTTTTTACTTTCGTATAAGGTACAATCGACGCCGCTAATCTTGTTTCTGTTAATATTCAGAGAAGAGATAAAAAATTAATTATGGATATGTCAAAATTAAATTCAAATCTAAAGTAAATTACAATTTTCAATAGCAGGCTTCGCACTCATCTACTAAAACCTACTATTTACTAATTTTTTTACGTTATGCTACTATTTGGGTATTTTTTTATAATTTCAGCTACTAAAAGCTACTATTTCTGTTTTCGTTTTGAGAATTTCCACTACTTTAAATTTGCTAATACTAGAAAGCAAAAGACTATTCTCAATAATTATAATCAAATTCTTTAAAACGATTCAATTATTTTCAAAGGAATTCAATTAATTTAGAATATCATTTTCATAAAAATTTCGAAAAAATCAAAAATTTAACAAAATTTTTATACAATTCTTCACAATAATTCAATTACTTTTACTAATAATAACATTTTTCATAGAAATTCAATTTTTACATTCTTTAAAAAAATTTTTGATAAAATTCTAAGAAAGAATTCAATTATTTTCATAAAAAATAATAAAACTTATCGAAGAATTTCAATTATTTTTAATACTATTTTTAATTAATTACTCGAAAAATTAAATTATTTTCACAAATAAAATTTTTCGCAACTTAATTCAATTATTTTCATAAATAATAAAATTCTTCTCACGAATTCAATTATTTTTGAAAATTCTAATAAAATTCTTAACTATTCAATTATTTTCATAAATAATAAAATTCATCGCAGGATTTCAACTATTTTTAATACAATTTTACAGGAATTGCTCAAAAAATGTAATTACTCTTAAAAATTTTAATTTCAATTCCTCGTAAAAATTTAATAAAATTGTTGGAAAGAAATCAATTATTTTAAATACAATTTTAATTAAATTTTTTTGAAATAATTTATTATTCTTTTTATTTTAATAAAATTCTTTGTAAAATTCAATTATTTTTCATAAATAACAATATTCATTACAAGAATTCAATTAATTTTAAAAGTAATAAATTTTTTCTTGGAAATTCAATTATTTAAAAAAGTTCTAATAAAATCGTTCGCAAGAATTCAATTATTTAAAATAAAATTGTCATAATATTTATTATATTTCAAAAAAAATTATTATTTAAAACAATTTGTATATGATTTGTATGTACAATTCTATTACATATTTTTAAAAAATATGAATATTTTTTAAAGAAATTTAATTCTTTTTAAACATTTTAATAAAATTTTTCACAACTTAATTCAATTATTTTCATAAATAATAAAATTCTCCTCAGGAATACAATTATTTTTAAAAATTGTAATAAAATTCTTTGCAAAAATTTAATTATTTTTATAAATAATAAAATTCATTTCAGGATTTCAATTATTTTTAATACAATTTTACAAAATTCTTCCCAAGAATTGAATTATTTACATAAATAATTCGCTAATAAAATTCTTTACAAAATTTAATTATTTTCAAAAAGATTTAGTAAAATGACACACATACATTCAACTATTTTTAAAAATTTTAATAGAATTTCTTGTAAAATTTAATTATTTTTAAAAACTTTTTCCAATTTAATGATTTTCAATATCTACTATTTTCATAAAATTCCCTAACAGAATTCAATTATTTAAAAAAATTTTTGTAAAAATCTTCATAAGAATTCAATTATTTTCATGAATAATAAAAATTTCTCAGGAATTCTATTATTTAAATTAGAATTTGAATAAAATTAGTCGAAAAAAATCAATTATTTAAAAAATTTTTTTTATAAATATTTAAATTCTTCAATGAATAATAAAATTCGTTGCAGGAATTCAATTTATTAGCAGGATAAGAAATAAATAAATAATATTTTTGATGAAAATTAGGAAAAAGTCAGGAAAATAAAATATAGAATGGAATTTTTGTCAGTTTTGTGAAGTGTCTAAAACTAGTTTTTTTGGTTGTTAATCTTAATTTTTTGATAGCTACTTTTTTTTAGATTGAAAGCTACTTTTTTAAAATTAATTATCGACTGCGAAGTCTGCAATAGTAATATTTTTGACTCACCAATTTCGGATAGAAGAACCTTTTCAAAATTTCTTAGAAACTTTATTTTCCCCTTAAGACTATGAGGCTGTGTTTTCAAAATCAAATGCACATTTTTAAAAAGTGTCACTGGTAAATAATACAAAAAGCGTTTACTAGATTCATTTTTTGTTTCATTAAAAAAATTCTCCTCTTCCTGTGAATTTTTGCAAACATTTGAAACCGTTTTTGATTCATCAGACGAACATGTTTGATAAACTTCCTCTTTTTCGAATTTATTTCTTCTGTTTAATTGTTCCTTCTAAAAGAAAAAAAATTCTATTTAAATAATGAAATAAAGAAGAATAATTATAGTAAAAAATAAGAAGTATTATAGTAAAAGAAATAGTAAAAAGTAAATAATAAAAAGAATTCTATTTTCAAGTACAAAAAAAGGACTTAATTCAAAAAATATATTTCTTACAGGTGCGTCATCTCGATTTTTTTCAATATTTTTATTCCCATCGATCGATGTAGTATTTTTTGATTTTTTAACGGATTCCGTCGTCAGATCAATAGGTAAAACTGTCGTTGTTGTTGTTGTTGTTGTACATAAAGTGTCATTTAAAATTAAATTCTGTAATCCTTGATGATAAATTATTTTTTCAGAATTTTTATGAAATTTATCAACTCTTTGATAATTTAATTGAATCAAAGAAGGAGGAGAAGGAGGAGGAGGAGGTCGAGTGATAATTTCACTTTCATTGCGTGGCGAATGAAAAAATCTATCTAATTGAATCGATGTTCTATACACTTTTTCACTATTTGAAAATTGCGGTAATTCAACCCACTCGGATTTTATTATTTTCTGTTCAATCAAAGAACATAAGTAAATAGTGAGAAATTTGTAAAATTTCATAATGAAATTTTATTCAAAATTCTATAATAACATTTTCTTTTTTTGCTATTAATATTAAACGAATGAAATGAATTTTTTTTCAGTTTTTACACACAAGAAACTATAATGAACTTTAGTTTAAAACTAACACACTTTGAAAAATTACAAAGAACAGTTCAGAGACCATAACTGAGCTATTATTTCAAGTAGAGAGAAGAGACATGAGGGGACAATTTCCGTTTGGAATAATTAACACGAAAGGTAAGATTTTTCAAACTGTTCCAAATATTTTTATTTTTAGCAAAAAAAAAAAAAAAAAAAGTGTTAAAATTGTTCTTTAATTAATAAATTTATTTAAATGGACAATTTAAATACTTTAGAAATTGATTAAATTTATACTGAAAAAAGTTCATTATTAGAAATTCAACGGAAATTAGTATTTTAGTTGAATTATTGTAATGCAAATTAATGAAATATTTGGAAAATTTACACTCGTGGAGAATAATGTTCGTATAAAAAAAACATTGGATGTATAAATTCCACAATCAATGTCTCGGTCTATCGCGATCTCTTCTTCTTCCTCCACCTCGATCATTTTCTCGTTCCCTTCGATGACGATCCTTCTCCCTTTCTTTCTCCTTAATTGTTGTACTTTGTATTTTTGGCGATCGACTCCTCTTCCTCTGTCGTCTGTCTCTGTCCCTCTCCTTACTCCTCGATCTTTGCCTCTCTCGATCCGATCTCTTCTCCGTTCTTGAATATCTTTTATCCCTGTCTTTATTGCGATCACGATCACGATCGTACTCATCGTTCCTCTTACGACTATCGACTCTCATTGTCGGTAAATCCTCTTCCTCTTCGGAAGATGACGATTCAATTGCTTCGTCCATATCGTCTTCGAGAGCCGATACTTTACCTTCTGAAAAAAGAGAAAAAAAAAGAAAATTAAATAAAACATATTCAAAATTATTAAAATACTAGCAAATTCCATTTCTTATTATTTTGCAAATTAAAAAACTTTATATTTTCAAGAATAAACATTAATTTTTGAATGATTACAGATTTAAAAAAATTTACTTAAGTACATAATATTAAATATTCTTGTTTATTATTATTCAAAAATAAAAAAAAAATTAGTCGAAAGAATACCTACAATTAATTTTAAAAATATTATTTACATTCAATTATTTTCAACAATTCTGACAAAAAATTCTTCGAGACGATTCAATTATTTTTATAAATTTGTAAAATTCTTGTCAAGAATTCAATTATCTTCGCAAATAATAAAATTTTAATGAGAAATTCAATTATTTTCAATACAGTTTTAGTAAAATTTCTAGGAAAAAAATCAATTATATTCAAGATAATTATAATAAAATTTCTCTAATAGGTTAAATTATTTTAAAAATTGTAATATTTTCCAGATTTTCAATTAAAATTACTTTAAAAAATTACATTATTTTTAGGAAATTTAATGAAATTCTTCAAACAAAAAATTTCATTACAAAAACTCTAATAAAATTGTTTAAAAAAATTTCATTTTCTATGAATAATTTTAATATAAATTTAACAGGAAAATCATTAATTACATTAATAAATCATTAATTAATTTATTTAACACTATTATTTTAAAAACTTAAAAGAAAATCTTTATAAAATTCAATTACTTTCAAAAATTTCAGGAAAAATTATTAAAAAAAAAACTATTACTTTCAAGAAAATTGAAATAAATTCTTCAAAACAATTCAATTATTTTAAAGAATTTTAATAAAAATCTTGTCAAGAATTAAATTATTGAAAAAAATGCTGATAAAATTCTTGAAATGAATTCAATTATTTTCAAATTTTTTGATAAATACTTTACAAGAATTCAATGATTTTCAATATACCAAAAACTTAATTATTCCTAAAAATAATTGAATTCTTGAATAGAATTGCATTAAAACTTTTTTAAATAATTGAATCTCTGCGAAAAAATTTACAATTTGTACGAAAGGGCATTTATTTTTTGTAAGCCCGTTTACTACTTAAATAAATAAATAAATAAATTTCTTCAAATAATTGAATTATTGCGAAATTTGAAAAAAGTGAATTTTTTAGAAGTATTTTATTAAAATTGTATTTAAAATAATTGAATTCCTGTGAAAAATTTATTATTTATTGATATTAATAAATTCTTCCCAAGAATTTAAAAAAAATGTTTAAAAATTATTTAATTTTCCCTGGAATTAAATTAAAATTGTATTTAAAATAATTAAATTCCAGCGAAAATTTCATTATTTTTAAAAATAATTGAATTCTTGAATTGAATTTTTTTAAAAAATTTTTTAAATAATTGAACTCCTGTGAGAAATCTAATTTATTTTAAAATAATTGAATTTTCTCGGAGAATTTTTACAAGATTTTTAAAAATAATTGAAATTTTCGAAGAAATCAATTAAAATTGTATTGAAAATAAGTAAAATCCTGATAAGAATTTTATTGTTCATATAAAAATAATTGAATTTTTTACGAAGATTTTTATTATTTATAAATTGACTTTTTGCAAAGAATTTTATTACAATTTTTAAAAATAATTGAATTCTTTATAATTCAATTACTCTCAAAATTTTCAGTAAAAATCATTAAAAAAAACTGCACTATTTTCAAGAATATTGAAATAAATTCTTAAAAACAAATCAATTAGGATTTTAAAAATTTTCAATAAAAATCTGGCCAAGAATTAAATTATCTTCAATATAATTTTAATAACATTTTCTCGAAAGAATTCAATTATTGAAAAATATGATGATAAAACTGTTGAAATGAATTCAATTATTTTCAAATTTTTTTATAAATACTTTACAAGAATTCAATGATTTTCAGTACATCAAAAATTTAATTACTTTTGAAAATAATTGAATTCTTGAATAGAATTTTATTAAAACTTTTTTAAATAATTGAATCCCTGCGAAACAAATTTATTATTTCTACAAATAATTGAATTTTTGCAAAATTTTAAAAAGTAATTGAATTTTTGAGAAGAATTTTATTAAAATTGTATTTAAAATAATTTAATTTCTGTGAAAAATTTACTATTTAAAATTGGTATTATTGAATTCTTTCAAAGAATTTAAAAAAATGTTTTAAAAAAAATTTAATTTTCCCTGGAATTAAATTAAAATTGTATTTAAAATAATTGATTTCTTGAATTGAAATTTATTAAAACTTTTTTAAATAATTGAACTCCTGTGAAAAATTGAATTATTTCTTAAAATAATTAAATTCTTTATAAAATTCAATTGTTTTCGAATTTTTTTTATAAATACTTTACAAGAATTCAATGATTTTCAGTATATTAATTTAAAAACTTTAAACGGGTGATTCTCCTGAAAGGGACCACTTCACGTGTCTCCAACATGAGGTTCATTATTTAAATTAATTTTTCATTAATATTTTATCAAGTTTAAATTTAAAAAAAAATTTATTTATAATCTACGAAGATTTATCTATCTTTATATAATCTTCTATTGCTTATATTTAAAGTTCTTCCTATTTAAAAAACATATTTAATTTTGTCATCGAATTTTGGTTAAACAGAATGTATATTTTATAAATATATTTTAACGTATATAAATAATTTCAACATATTTATGATATATATCAAATTAAAGTTCAGAACATAACGATTATTTTTTACTTACATTTGTTTAAAATAAGATAAAAAAAGTTATTGAAATTATTAATTAAAATAGTATTATCAATGAGAGTAAAAATTAAATTCATCTCCGAAGCCTCGTTTTCTATATAACAACATCATATTTTTTAACGTTTTAAACATAATATGTAATCTATGTGAAAATATTTGATGTTAAAAACTAAAAATATTGTTAAAAAAATTGTAATATTTTTAAAATTAAAAAAAATGAGAATTTTTTCATTAAATTATGAATTCATCTCCGAAGCCTTTTTTTATATTTGATATGCGTTTTCTTTTGTTTTTGATTTTTAATCATTGTTTTGAAATATTTAACCCTCAAATTAAATTATTAATTTAATAAAAATAAAATATAAAAGCAAAAAGTGCAATAAATTGAAACATAACAATTTATTATTTAAAAAAAAATATTCCTACCGAGTTTTTTTTACAAAATAATTAATTTAAAAGTTATAATTAATTATACTTAACCTCTAGAACACATGATAATAAAATGTTCTTGGAGGTCTTATTTCTGAAAATTAATTTTGCGCAGCTTATATTTTTATCTTTAAATATTTTCTAAATTTAATTATGAAAAAAAAGTAACAAAAAAAGAATAATTTGATTTTTTGGAAATTCAACCAAAAAAGGGTCCCTTTCAGGAGAATCACCCAAACATTTAAAAAGAAAAATTAGTAAAAAAAGTTAGGAAACAAAAAAGCTAACAACAACTAACTTCAAACTGCAAACAGATTACTGGAATACAACGATTATTAAAACTTAGAGATTTGAATTCATTTAGACAGGTTTAATTTTATTTTCCGTGATTTTTCTTACCTAATTCGTTATTTTCCTCTAAGACGTGTCTTCTTTGTATTCTCGGTAAAATAACATCGCAGCTTCTTTCATCTCTGAGAAGTTCGTCAATGAGTTCATCCATATGAACAAGTTCAAATACTCCGTCTTTATTTTGACGTCTCAATTTTCTATTATCGTTGAATAATGGTTCCAAATATTTATAACAATCTAATGATGTTCCAGTTAAACGCATATAAAGTGCTCCCAATGCACGCACGTATTTAAATTCTTCATTCTTTATGAATTCGACAATAATATCTTTCTCCGGTTGTATTTGAAGCATTTTCAAAATTAAACATAGAAATGGAGTCGGTTTTGTATTTCCACCGTAAATTCCCCCGATGTATCTAAAACATAAAAAGTAGTTTGTTTGTTATTATAAAAATAATTGAATTCTTTCAAAAACAAATTTACTAAAATTATATTGAAAACAATGTAATTATTATAAAGAATTTCATTAAAAAATTTTAATATAATTTAAATCTTTCAAAGAATTTTATTAAAATTTTTAAGAATAGTTTATTTATTACTAGCTGTCGTACCCGTCTTCGACGGGTTGTAGTTTCTGATAATGCACTTAACAGTGTATCTACCAACCTAGAAAACCGGAAAATAGCCGGGAATTTGATTTGACAGGGAAAAAATAATAATTAGTTACTATTGTCTATTTCATTAGGAAAATAATACCATTTGAAACAGTGACCGACTTTTTATTATCAAATTAGTTATTTTTAACTAATTCAAATGCAGAAAACAATATTTCTCAATTTGTAGTACTTCAATCAATATAATGTATTAAAATAAATCTAAAATTTCCTCCAGTTTTTTGAGTTATAGTACAGTCTAATTCGAACTAATTGAATAGCAAGTAGATCCAGTTTTTCTTGGTTACATTAAATTCCCTGATATTTTACGTCTTTTCTGGTTGGTAAGCACCCTGTTAAATGTATTATTAAAAAAAACCCGTCCAGTAAACCAGGAAAAATTTGGACAAAGCCGGAAATTGTTTTAAACCAAAATAAACACCGTGTTTAACTTTTGTCTTTACATTGATCAAGATATCTCTAAAAGTTAAATCAGAGAGCCCACAAATACTATTGAATTAAGCTTCATAGCAATTGGTATCAATTATAATTTTTTCAATTTTTTGATATTCAAAACATTTTTATACTTACATCTTCGTTATAAGAAAGTATTTTTGAAAAATTATGCTAAAATGTGACTAAATAACATGTAATACTCAACTATAGAAAGTTTAGAAGCAATCCATGAAAAAATATAAAATTTAGAAATGATTTGTGTTAAATAAATTTATTTATTAGAGTCAAGTATTTATTTAATTAATCCAATTAAGATTTATTTGATTCAACTAAATAAAATTATTTAAACGAAATAAATTCTTATTAGATCGAAATAAAAACTTTTTAAATAAGATATTATTTTTCAAATAATTATAATTACTTGAATCATATAACTTTTTTTAGTGTAGCTATAGTAAACTAAAAGTTATTAATGTGAACGAACATTATCTATATTAATAAAATCAGATTACTATCTGTACATTGCTCCAAACTTGAAAATTTTTATATATTTTTTCGTTTTGAGACATTAGAATTCTAAAAATGTAAAAAAAATTTCTGTCTGTCTGTCTCTGTCTGTATGCAAAACTTTGTTCGCGCATCAATTGAAAACGGTTCAACCAATTAAAGTGAAATTTGGCAGTCTATTAGGTATTAAAGTAACTTACAATCATAGCCTTATCCGATTAAAAAATATTAACTTGAACAAAAGTTATGACATTTTTCCAAAAAATTCAAAAAAACAAAAAAATGCAAATTTTTTATCTTTTGTAAAATGAATGAAAAAACTATCCTTAGCTAACTTTTTCAGATAAATACAACCCATTTCTACGATAAAATTTTTAAAAAAGATGTATTTTGAAATTTTTTTTCGTTTTTTTAGATCAACTTTTTTCTAAGAAAATAGTGATTTTTAATCTTTAAGCAAGCTTTTCAGGAAAAGTTATTAAAGTTTTTTATTTAAAGATCAGTATGTAAAGTAAAAAATTTGCTACATTAAACAAAAATAATTAGCTAAATGCCATAAAAAAGAAGGAAAAATGTTGAATTTTAAGAAATTCGGTTTTTTGAATTTTTGATAATTTTCCATAATTTTAGATTTTTTACCGAAGGGTGGAGATAACAAATTAGGTAAAGTATTTTTTAAGAGCACAAAAATAATAAAGCTAAATGCTATAAAAAAGAAGGAAAAATGTTGAATTTTAAGAAATTCGGTTTTTTGAATTTTTGATAATTTTCCATAATTTTAGATTTTTTACCGAAGGGTGGAGACTATTGAATAAGTAAAGTATTTTTTAAGAGCACAAAAATAATAAAGCTAAATGCCATAAAAAGAAGGAAAAATGTTTAATTTTAAGAAATTCATTTTTTTGCATTTTTGCTATTTTTCCATAATTTTAGATTTTTTACCAAAGGGTGGAGATAACAAATTAGGTAAAGTATTTTTGAAGAGCCCAAAAATAATGAAGCCAAAAGCCATAAAAGAGAAGAAAAAATGTTGAATTTTAATAAATTCGGTTTTATGAATTTTTGCTAATTTTCCATAATTTTAGATTTTTTACCAAAGGGTGGAGACTATTAAATATAAGTAAAGTATTTTTGAAGAGTACAAAAATAATGAAGCTTAATGATATAAAAGAGAAGAAAAAAATGTTAAATTTTAAGAAATAATTATTAATTAATTAATTATTAATTAATATTAATTAACTAATTATTAATTATTAATTATTAATTATTAATTATTAATTATTAATTATTAATTAATTTATCCCGGGTATTTTTGATTTTCCGCAGATTGGTAGAAACATTGTTAAATGTATTGGTAGAAACTAAAACCCGTCGAAGACGGGTACGACATGACAGCTAGTGCTATATATTTTCAAAATTTTTAAAATTCAAAATTTATCTTTTGAAATAATTATTGTCATTAATTTTACTTAAATTTTATACAGGGTTAATTTTAGTATTTTTTATTACAATTTAGTCATCAGAATGAAATTTGAGTTTTTCATTTTTTGATCATTAATTAATAAAATATAATAGCAATTTTGAATTCTGTGCAACATACTGACAAAAGTCTCATATTAATTATATGGATATTGTTAATATTCTGACCTAATAGAATTTTTTTAAGAAAGTAAACTTATGATTTCAACAACAAATTTTTATTGTTGACCTAAGAAATACAACCGTATAAAAATTAATTACAAAAAAATTTCAATTTTTAAACTTTTTAATTTTTCAATATTTAAATCTAACACTTTTTATTTGTTATTCAAAATTTTATTATTCTGACGATTAAATCTTCATAAAAAACACTAAAATTAACCCTTTACCAAGTTTAAGTACAATTCACTAAAGTATATGAAAAAACTAAAAATTTCGAATTTTCGAATTTTTGAAAAAATGGCATAACTTTCGTCCATATTAATATTTTTTAATCTACTATCGCTAGGATTTTAAGTTAGGCTAATGCCTAAAAGACTGCCAAGTTTCACTTCAAACGATCGAACCGTTTTTCCGTGATACGCGGTCGAAAATTTGCGGACATACATACACACATACACACATACACACATACACACATATACACATACACACATAATTTTCTTAATAGTATTTTCGCATTCCTTAGAGTGTAAAAAGAAGGAATATAATAGAAATTTTGAATTCTATGCAATGTACAGACAAAAGTCTGATTTTATTAATAAGGATTAATGAAATTAATTATTTATGAAAATAAAAATCCCTCAAATCCCTTTTATTAAAATCCCTCAAAATAGTTGAATTTTCGGGAATAATTTTGTTATTTATCGACATAATTTAATTCTTCTAAAGAATTTAAAAAAACACTTTTTTTTAATAATTGCTTTTTCCGAGGAATTGAAATTAAATTTTTAAGAATAATTACATTTTTTTTATTAATTCCTGTAAAATTTCTATTAAAAATAATTGAAATCCTGCGATAAATTTGATTATTTATGCGAAATGAATTGAATAGTTGCTAAGAATTTTATTATTCATGAAAATAATTGCGAAAAATTTTATTAAAATGTTTAAAAAGAATTGAATTTCTGTGAAAAATTTTGTTATTTATGAAAATAATTGAATTATTGCAAAGAAATTTATAAAAAATTTGTAAATAGTTGAATTCCTGTGAAATTTTTATTATTTATGAAAATAATATATATAATGGTTGCTTAGAATTTTATCAAAATTTTTTTTAAAATAATTTAATTCTTTTGAAAAAATTTTATTAAAATAGTAGATATTGAAAATCATTGAATTGAGAAATTTTTTTGAAAATAATTGAAATTTTGCCAAGAATTTTATTTAAATTTTTTTTTAATTTTGGAGCAGAATTTCATTATGTTTAAAAATAATTGAAATTTTGACAAGAATTTAAAAAAATTATTGAACATAATTGAATTTCTCCGAAGAATTTTATTACTTTTGAAAATAATTGAATTTGTTGGAGTTTCTTTGAGTGCGCATATGAGTATTTTAGTATTTGAGGTTAGAAATCTTTGGAATTTAAAAAGATGGATAAATAACATTTTTATTACCTTAATTCCATAGCTTTATCGACTAGTAATTCTGCAGTAAGTGCAAAACATTCTTCCTTCCAGTATTTAGAATCATATATTCTCGATCTTATAATTTTTTCCACTAAATACTGAGGGTTTGTTCCTCGAATCGATTTTGCATCTTTAACAGTTCGGTTAGCCATTATAGAAGTAAATGAAATAAATCAAAGTCGGTGAGATTTCGAAGTAGTTTTCTTTTAATTTAATTTATTCATTTCATTTATATCTCAACTTCTTTTTTTATTATTTTCGTAATTGTATGAATTATTATAACCTCCAGATCTTGAAGACAACTTGTCAACAACTGGTCCCTTCAGGGATGGGTAGTGATAACATCAATATTAAGGTCAATACTCAATGCTGTTTTTTTATACAACCGTATGGTCAGTCTACAATATCGTTTCTAAAAATGCAACTAAAAAAAAATTTGTTTAATAAAATTGAAATTTAAAAAAAGTAAAATTAATAATATTTTTAATAATAATAATAATAGTTTTGGTTACGCGGCCATTTAATGTTAACTTTTTAGTTTTATTTTTAGTACTTTGTACGATTGGGCACGTTTATAAATAAATAAATAAAAATGTCAAGTAGAAATTAAAATTCAATTATTCATATTGCATTTCTTTATTTATCAAAGTATTCATCCATGAATATGTAAATATAATTATACAATTAGAAAAGTATAAAATTCTTATTTTAAAATTTGTGATCTGAAGTGTCATGGATTCTTCTTGCTTAAAACTTAGTCTTATATATAAATAACAGTCTTATTTAATAACTGCTATTTTTTCAATTTCACATATTTTATATTGTATATTCAGTATTTATATTTATCCCTTAAAAAAACAGAGTGAGTGTCGTGACTTAAGAATACAATTTTTTCAGTGCCAAAATCATAATAGAATCTATTTTCATGATTGGCAAATTAATAAATCGATGTATTGTCTTGCTCCCCGAGACTACTCTGAAATACATTCATTTATAATAATTTAAACTTGTTACAAAAAAAGACATAGACAGTACTCATTAAAATTTCAAAACGTATTTCAAAGTTCATTATACGACACAATTGATCAACTTTTTTTTTCTTCTTCTTTTTTGACCTAAACACAGAGGCCCTCAAAAACGCAAGATTTGCGAGCCACATCATTTAAGTCATTAAAGCACTTTAGAAAAATAATTTATTCCCTCCCTCATTAAAATTCTCTTTATACAATTTTATTTGATCTACGTATAAAAATCTCTATATACATAGATGGTAATTTCCCTAGAAAATATAAAAAGCCTCAGATAAAAATATCCTTTACCTGGTATTTCAAATTCAAAAATTTAATCACTAATAAATAGTTTAAACTTATTAATTTAGATATGCCACGAAATATACAAACACGTACACGTATAATGTACATGAAAATTAAATTTTTATAAATTGAATCGATTTAACAATCGTGGCCCGCTGAATGCAAAAAAAAATTGAGGACCCCCTTTGATCTTAAGGAGTTTTAAAATATTCTTTTTATAATCATATATTTCACGCGAGAGCAATATTCCTCCCAAGCGAGACCATATCTCTGCTGACATCGCCTATTGTCTCTAATTGAGCGATATATCAACATCAATGTCAAAAAGATTGCGTTATAATATGGCAAAAGATCTTTGACGACAATTAAACCAGCAATTGACCAGTGAAGAATAATGTCACCAAGATAATTCGGATGTCGAACGTAGCCCCATATGCCAGATACAATCAATCTTTTACCTCTTACAGTTGGAATTGTTTCCAAACCTGAAAAACAAACAAATAATTAAATATAGAGCTCCGTCGATTTTGGTGATAAAAAAATGAATTTTTATTAATTTTTTTATTAAACTCACGAGCCAGTCTGGGAGAAAGTGGATTTCTTCTGAATTCGTCCTTTTGAGAATTACAATATCTGTAGATACCATGGCCAATTGAATAACACACGACTAATAGTGCCAAAATGTATGGAGACTGAGAAACCCTGAAAATATTTTAGAATTAATTTCCACATTCAAGATTAATTAATTTTACAATTAACAATAATAATTATGCTCTCCGAGGAAAAATGCAACAAATTTTATGTCATTTTTGTCATTTTTGGAATAAAAATACACAAACAGACTTCGCACTAAATAATTAATTTTAAAAAAGTAGCAAAAAGAAACTTTCAAACTAAAAAAAGTTTAGTAAAAAAGCAGCTATTGAAAAATTAAACTTGACGACCAAAAAAAACTCGTTTTAGACACTTCACAGAACTGACAAAAATTTCATTCTATATATGTTATTTTCCTGACTTTTTCCTAATTTTCATCAAAAATATTTACTCCTTTCTTATTCTGCTAATAAATTAAATTCCTGCAACGAATTTTATTATTCATGAAAGAATTTAAATATTTATAAAAAAATTTAATTCTTGCCAAGAATTTTATAAAATTTTTAAAATAATTGATTTCTTACGAACAATTTTATGCAAATTCTAATTTAAATAATTGAATTCTTGAGAAAATTTTATTATTCATGAAAAGAATAGAATAGAATAGAATATATTTATTATGTCCTAGGTAAATTGTGTCGTAGGAATTGAATTCTTACGAAGATTTTTACAAATTTTTTTTTAAATAATTGAATTCTGTTTGGAAATTTTAGAAAAATAGTAGATATTGAAAATCATTGAATTGCGAAAAGTTTTTAAAAATAATTAAATTTTACAAAGAATTCTATTACAATTTTTGAGAAAAATAAAATGTCTGTGTGTTATTTTATTCAATTTTTTTGAAAATAATTGAAATCCTAAAGAGCATTTTATTATTTATGATAATAATTGAATTCTTGCGAACGATTTTATCTGAATTTTTGAAAATAATTGAATTTCCGAGAAGAAATTTATTTCTTTTAAAAATAATTGAATTTTGTAAAGAATTTTATTAAAATACTTCAAAATAATTGAAATTTAAGGAATAATTTGGTTATTTATCGACATAATTCAATTCTTTCGAAGAATTATTTAAATGTAAATAAGTGAATTCTTCGGAAGAATTTTATTAAAATCTAACAGAATAATTGAATTATTTCAAACAATTTTATTAAAATATTCGAAAATAATTGAATTCCTGTGAAAAATTTCTAATTTTTTTGTAAAAAATTGAATTCTTCCAAAGAATTTAAGACAACATTTGTTTTAAATAAATTTTTTCAAGGAATTGAAATTAAATTTTTAAGAATAATTACATTTTTCGTTAAAATGCTTGAAAATAATTGAAATTTCGGGAATAATTTTATTTTTTATGCAAATTAATTAAATTCTTTCGAAGAATTTTTTTAAAATAATTGAATTTTTCGATGAATTAATTTAAAATAGTATTATAAATAATTGAAATTCTTCGATGAGTTTCATTTATAAAAATAATTGAATTCTTGCTTAGAATTTTATTAAAAATTGGTTTAAAAAATTGAATTTCCATGAAAAATGTTATTATTAGTGAAAGTAATTGAATTATTGTGAAGAATTGTATAAAAATTTTGTTAAATAATTTATTTTTTCTCAATTTTTTTGAAAATGCTATTTTAAATTAATTGAATTCCTATGGAAATTTTATTATTTATGAAAATAATTGAATTTTGAATGAATTTTATCAATTATTTTTTTAAATAAACTAAAATTCAATTGAATTCTTTTGCGAAATTTTATGAAAATTCTAGATATGGAAAATAATTGAATTTTTTTGATTTCTAGTATTAGCGAATTTAAAGTTGTGAAAATTCTTTTAAAAAAAATCATAAATAGTAGCTTTTAGTGACTGAAATCTAAAAAAAAGTACTCAAATAGTAGCAAAACGTAAAAAAAGTAGTAAATAATAGGTTTTAGTAGATGAGTGAAAAGCCTGCACAATCAGAACCTAAAATTATTTTTTAATCTTTCTTCGGAGCCCGTATGACATATTTTCTAGAAACTTACTTGTTATAAAGTGCAAATCTTGCGGGTAGAGTGCAAACAAATGGATACATTAAATATCCAAAGCAGAGCATAAATCCAGTTCCCTCATACGCAACCTCAAAAGAACTCAAAAATGCACTTTCGAAAATCAAACCGTCAAGTACGTAAAGTATTTGCAAACTGGCTGCAATGAGCGCTGTCAAATTAAGTGTTTCAAGCGAAAGACTTTGAGATCCTTGGAAAATTTTTACAATTACAGCCACGGAGACAATAATCTGAAATTCAAATATTTTGTTAAATTTGCATCACTCGGAGTGAACTTCAATTTTTAATTATAATTTGTAAAAGACAGATAGATATTTGTGAAAATATAATAATAATAATAATAATAATAATAGAAATTTCAAAAGAAGGAAAAGATTAATTACCGATCCAATTAGAGTAGCTCGGATAAAATTGAACTTAATGTCTAAGGGTCCAAATCGTGGATTGGTTTCTCTTCCTTGCCAGAAATCATAGATATGATTATTGGTCGTTGCGTGTATATTCAAATTGGCTACTGACGCTCTGCCTCCTTTAATGTAGAGAACAATTGATAAAATTGTTCCATAAATTAATCCAACGAGTGTAAATTCTACACTATTGTTTAAAATGAAACTGCTAATTTGATATCCTTTGTACTCAGCGACGCCATACGCAATCATGACCAATATTCCAGTTAATAAACCTGCAAATATTATTATCAAACATTACACAATTGCTATAAAAACAATTTAGCCAAATCGATACAAATATTAAGAAAATTTTTAAAATGTGACACGCGTCAAATTTAATAATATATTTATTATTATTTACATTCAATACTGGACTTACCATTAATTCTGTATTTGAGTCTTCCAACTCTTGTTTGTTGACCTTCGACAATCCAACCAATTGGCACCAAAGACATTATACTCACAAAGAGCAAATAGCCCGCATATAGTAAAAATACATTGGCATTCAGGTATGATTTGATATCTTTACTGAAACGAAATTTCGACATGCTGCAGCGCTCTCTCGAGCATGCAATCTGCGGTAAGAGGATACTAACTGGTCCTATGAACATTAGCAATAATACTCCAAACCAGCCGCCCCATTCTTGTGGTTTGCTAAGGAGATCAACTTCTTTTTTGTGCTTTTCCGGAACTACTGTATCCAAAACCGAGCTATCTTCGTAAAGGGCACTTTTCTTTAAGTCCTGGAAAATTGTAAATAAATAAATAAATGAAAGATTAAAACAAGTAAATAAATAAAGCAAACAAATAAAATAAATAAAGCAAAAAAGATAAAATAAATTAGTAAATAAGACAAATAAAGGAATAAATAAATAAATGAATGAAACAAATAAATATAATTCGGAAGCAAAGAGGAAAAACCAAATTCGAATAAAAATGCCAACTTACTGAATCTCGAATCATAGAAAATCCTCTTTCTTTGCTCTCTCTGATACTGTCGTATGCTTGGGCATTCCTTTCAGTTGGAAGGGAAGCCGCGCGATCAATTGTTCTTGTAAGGGCAATTAGTCTTTGTTCTTGTTCAGCTTTCGCGACATTGGACATGATTCTTATGGAACGTCTCGTCAATTGTGGACCTTCACGAATCCGCGATTGAAGAGGGATCACATCTGAATCATCGTCTTGAATACTTCCACTGGCTTCACTTGAACCTTCTATCATAAAAACAAAGTCAGACATAAAATACAATATTGTCAAAAATAGCAGAAAAATATAATTTCAGGGTGTTCACAAGTTTCAGTTTATCAATTTCCCTGACAATTTACTGATGACATTAAAATTATTTTCCCTGACAAAATTCATTATTCTTTTACAGAAAAATATAAAAGTTTCGGGAAAAATGAGTAAAATTTATGAAATTTAATCATTCTTAAAAATTAAAAATTACAATATTATAACCTTTCCTGAATTCAATTATTTTCTACAATTTTCATCGAAACTTCATTTCTAAATCGATTATTTTAAATAATTTTCAGAAAGTTCTTCTAGAATTTTCTAGTTTTTTTCTTAAATCATTAGAATTTGAATTTCTTTATTTTGTCCTGGGAAACGCATGAGGACAAGCAATAAAAATACAGTTAAAGAAAACATTCGCCACCTTAATCTACAAATCTCGTAACTCCACTTTTGGTAAAAAATGACTTTTTCATGTAATTCGTAGTATTTTCAATAAATGAATATATATTTTAAAAAACATAATTGTAACATACACAATGAATAAAGCCAAAAATCATAATTTAAAATTGCAAAATGTACAGAAAACAATGGTGAGTCTCAGCAGTTTTCTTGCTTCCTTGTAAAGTTGCATCAAATGGAGTTACGAGGTTAGTAGATTAAGGTGACGACATACAATTCATAAATCAATTAACAAAAAGAATACAAAAAAGATTATTTAAAGTGTAATATTAAAAAAAAATTATAATAAAGAAATACTTACAATTAATTTTTTTAAAACAATTTAAAACTAATTTTTGAAAGATAATAGTTTTTTAATTACATACAATTGGAAATTTTACGAACAATTGAAATTTGGTAACTACTTTGTTACTGTCACTTCTTCAAAAATTATTTTCATCATTAGGTACGATTATTCATTTCTAGAATTTTCAACTAAAATTCTTGTCAATTTTTTGAAAATAATTTTTGAAAAAGTTCTTTGTCAATTTTCAAATTCTTTTTTTTTACAATTTAATTTTACAAAATTTCGATTCTTCTGACATTCTTCAATTAAATATATTAAAAAATTAAAAACTTCAAATAATTAAAAAAATTCCATTAAACTTATTGAGAAAAATTAATTCTATAGAATTCTTAATTAAAAGTATGAAAAGTTCAAATTTTCAAAGATTTTAATTTGAAATTCATTTTTAAATCAATATTTATTGGAAAATTCTATGAGAATTCAATTATTTAACTATAAAAATAAATATTTTATTAAACAATTGAATGTTTCTTAAAATTAAATTTTTATAAAGAATTTTATCAACTTATTTTTAAATAATTGAATTCTCTTGACAAATTCTAATAAAATTTTTAAGAATAATTGCATTTTTCAAAAAATTTGATGAAAATTGTATTAAAAATAATTGAAATTCTGCCAAGAATTTTATTAAAAGTTTTGAAAATAATTGAATTTCGGAGAAAAATGTTATTATTTATAAAGATAATTGAAATTTTTACCAGAATTTTTTTTAAATTTTTTAAACATAATTGGATTTCTGCGAAGAATTTTATTATAATTATTTTGAAAAAATTGAATTGTTATGCAAAGAATTTCATTTTATTATTTATGAAAATAATTGAATCCCTGTAAAAAATGTTATTATTTATGAAAATAATTTGTAAATAATTGAATTCCTGTGAAATTTTTATTATTTATGAAAATAATTGCATCTTTGCGTAGAATTTTATTAAAATTTTTTTTAACTAATTGAATTGTTTTAGAAATTTTTATTAAAGTTGTAGATATTAAAAATCATTGAATTGAGGAAAGTTTTTGAAAATAATTGAATTGCTGCAATTATTTGTAATTGCTTCAAAATTCAATTTGTTTTAGTGTTTTTAACTAAAATTCTTCTATAAATCCAATATTTTTAATGATCAATTCAATATATATTAAAAAATTTGACTAATTTCTAAAGAATTTTAGTTTAAAAATCTTTTTTTTAAATCTTACTTTTTTTATATTTCTAATTAAACTCATTTAAAATTGAAATTTTACAAAATTTTAAATCAAAATCTTTTAAAGTTTATCTACTTATGAAAATTGTAAACACAATTCTTTTAAAATTAAATTTTTTTCCTGACATTTCTCTGACTTCACTAAAATAAGGCCACCCTGATAAAATAAAAGAATACTAATAAATAATATAAAATTCTTACCTTTGCGCTCATCGTCTGAGATCTGTATAAGCCTTGAACTTCGTGCTGTCAATTTTCTACTTTGATTTGGAAGTCTACCTGGAGATCGTCTACTGGGTGATCGCCGACTCGGTGAATTTCGTGAAGGACTTTTTTTCACCTGTCCTCTTGTCCTCGTTGCGCTTCTTGATGTTCTTGTTGGCTGAAAGTTTAATTTAAAAAAACAATCTTTATTTAATACTTCAAATTTCTTTCAATACAAAAATTACTTTAGAAAAAGTTTCTTTCGTAATTTACAAGAAAAAAAAAAAATTCGAGCGCAACTGTAGAAAAATAGGAATCGTATGGCTTCCCTTCCTAGGCGTCTTCAACAGGTTTCCATTTCGCATTTAACGTTTTTCTTTCGAAATGAACAAAAAAAAAATCGAAATAAAAAAGCAGTTACTAAATTACATAAAATACAAGCAAAACAATAAAGCAAACTTTGAAAACTACATAATATTAATTATTAAGGAATGCTTTTAATGTAATTAACTCTAAAGAATAAAATTTTACGAGTCTTCAATATGGTCAGGACTCATGCTCACACTAATTAAGTATAATAAAATATTTAATATTAAAATTCACCTTCATATCGGCTTCCTTGACTAAAAATTTTGATCCTCCTTTAAATTGAACTTGATAATTAGTTCCTTTTACATTAACGACTTTTCCTTTTTGAAATTCCGAGGTATTTGGTTGTTTTGCGAGGACTTCCTCGCCTTCAATAAACTTCATGTTTCTGTAAGAAAATTATCTTTTAGCTTTATTTCTACTTGTCTAAAAATACATTTTCACCATTTTAAATATAAAGCTTTTGTTTTCTATTTTGAATTCTCTAATGAAAAAAACTATTTACTCCAAAACCCCCCTATTAATAGATATATTAAGAAGCCGGAGCTGTTTATATAATGAATATTAACAATTTATTTCTCGACATACGCATTAAGATTTAGAAAATTAATTTAATAGTGCAAAAAGTTGAATAACTTACGGTGATTTTTTCTTTTTTTCAGCATAAATGATATTCCAAACAGCAAACGGGGAGGTTATATGTATGTTTTTTTCAATAACACAATCTATAGACGCCAACAGCGTTCCTAAATTTGATGTTAGTAGACCACGCAAATGGCGCGTCGCGTCCTCAGTGTTGCCAACCCTATTTCACTAAAATTCAATTCATGCCATTCATGCCAAGCAGATTGTAAAATAAATATTAATACACGTTTTTCATTAATAGTTTTCTATTTTTTTTATTTTAATTTCTAAAATTTTAAAAATTAACGTTCTTTATAAAGTTTATAAATAAATAATTGTTTCTCAATAATATTGAAACTATTGGAAATTATTCAAAGTTGGCGACACAAATATTTCATGACCAATTAAAATTTAATTATATTTTCGACAAATGTTCTGATTGGCTAATATTGTAACTGATCGTTCCACACAACAAGCTTCACTGGAATGAATGAATTTTTTTGTTTTTTATTAATTAATAAAGTCTTTTATAAAAGAAGAGTAAAATAAAAAAGTATTTTCAATTTTTAAAAATTCTTTTTTATAAAAATATGTTAATAATTTAAAAAATCTTTTTGTTATTCTGTTCTTCAACAAGTATGTCTTTATGAACGCTTGCAATAGACACAAAAACGCCTTAAGGGAACGTAACTCAACGTAACTAGCGGTATTACTTTAGGTCGAATCCACAATGTTCTTTCCGATTTAAATGTCCCCGTTGGCACCTGGACCTGTCACAATTTTTTTTTTCACAACAAAACACGTTGTAAACAGAAATTTTCTTTAGAAAATTCTTAAGAACCTTTTTTCTATAATAATGAATGGAAATAAAATGCAAGATAAAAATGAACAGTGTTTAAACTACGATCTCATTGAAAATCTTCGGTTAACGAAATTCCCGAAGCCGGGGGAATTAATTTTTTACGGAACAGCTGGTTTTCGAACAAGGTATTTTTATTTATTTAATACAACAATAAAGATGAAATAATAATTGTTTTCTTTTCAGAGCAGAAAAGTTGGATCATGTTGCATTTACTATGGGAGTTTTATCAGTTTTGCGATCAAAGAAAAAGAAAGGTAAATTTATTTAATTAACTTTTTAACGACTTTATATGATAACTTTTTTAATTAACACAATTCAATGAATTAAATTAAAATAATATAACTAACACAATTCAATTAATTGAATTAAATTAATATAACTAATACAATTCAATGAATTAAATTAATATAAATAACACAGGGTTTTAATCGAATTCAATAAATTATTATGAATAAAAATAAATTTAAATATGAATTTTAGTTAAAAAATATATAACCACCAAAAGAATTAAATTTTTTGAGAAAAGTAACAAATAATAGCAGAAATTCAATTATTTTCAAAAAATTTAATAAAATTATTTGCAAAAATTTAAATTATTTCAAAAAATGTTCCTCAATTTAATGATTTTCAATATCAATTGTTTAAAAAATTTGTTAAAAATAATTATTTAAAAAAAATTTTAACAGAATTCCACGCAACCATTTAATTATTTTTAAAAAATTCATTTAAAAATGACTTTCAGTTAAAATTTTAAATAATAATTCATATAAATTTCTCAAAAAATGCAATTCTTTATAATTTTATTAAAATTCTTTTAAAGAATTCAATTTATTTTTTTAAAATTTTTAATAAAACTCTAGTCAAGAATTCAATTATCTTCATAAATAATTAAATTCTTTTTAGAAATTTAATTATTTTCATAAATAATAAAATTCTTCTTAAGAACTGAATTATCTTCACAAATAGAAAATTCTTAAATAGGAATTCAATTATTTAAAAATATTTGAATAAAATTCTTCGCAAGAAATTAAATATTATCATAAATAATAAAATTTGTCTTGGGAATTCAATTATTTTTAAAAATTTTTGATAAAATGCTTTATAAATTTGAAAAAATATAATAAAATTGATCATAGAAAACAATTATTTTCGTAAAATAAAACATTTTTTCCTAAAAATACAATTATTGTGAAAAACGTTAGTAAATATCTTCGAAACAATTCAATTAGTTTCGTAAAAAATAACATTTTTCGAAGCAATTCAATTATTTAAGAAATTTTAATAAAATTTTTCCCAAGAATTCAATTATTATTTTCAAAAATAAAATTTTCCACAGGAATTCAATTATTTAAAAAAAAAATGTTATACAATTTTTCGTCAGATTTCAATTTTTTTCTATTTTTTAATGAAATTTCTCGAAAGAATTTAATTATTTTCAAAAAGTTTAAAAAAAACTCTTAGAAATTCAATTATTTAAAAAAAATTCCAATAAAATTCTTTATAACAAATTAAATTATTTTCGTAAATAATAATATTCTTTTTCGGAGTTCAATCATTTCCACAAATAAAATTCTTTACAGGAATCGAATTCTTTAAAAATTTTTTTAATAAAATTTGTTCCAAGAATTCAATTATTTTCATAAATAACAAAACTTGTCGCAGAATTTCAATTATTTTTTGGACAATTTTAAATAAAATGAGAGAAAATTGCACTTATTCTTAAATTTTTTTTTAAATTCGCCGAAAGAATTTAATTATTTTAAAAGATTTTGATAAAATTCTTCATAAAAATTCATTTTTAAGAAATATTCAATTATTTAATAAATTAATTATTTTTGTATTTAAATAATTGAATTTTCGTTTGAATGTTTGAAAATTTTAATTCTTATGGAAAAATAATTGATGTTTTCTATTAATTTTACAATTATAGAAATTCTTATTTTCGTTTGAATGTTTGAAAATTTTAATTCTTATGGAAAAATAATAATTGATGTTTTCTATTAATTTTACAATTATAGAAATTCTTAAATAAATGTAATAGATTTAATTTGGTAAATAATAGGTATAGTTTTAATAAAATTAAAAAAATTAATTAAGTAAATGATTTAAATTAAACAAGAGTTTAAAATTTTTAAAAAAATTTGTTTTAAAAACAAGAGTTTTTTAATTAAACGAGTTTTAACAAAATATGAGATCCTAATTTAAATTAAAAAAATTTATTTCGTTTTCCAGCTGCCATTGGAATAATGATAACTGCGAGTCATAATCCAGAGAATGATAATGGACTGAAATTAGTAGATCCTTCAGGTGAAATGCTGGAAAGTTCCTGGGAGAAAATAGCTACGGATTTGGTGAACATTGATGATGGAGAATTGGTGCCGACATTGAGGAAAATAATAAAAGAGTTTGAAATTGATGAAAATTTACCAGCGACGATAATACTTGGGAGGGATACGAGAATCAGTAGTCCACGACTAGCTGACTGTGCAATCGAAGGAATAAATGCCTGTCGAGCGACTTTGAGGGATTTTGGAATCGTAACCACACCTCAATTGCACTATCTTGTTGCCTCGATAAACACAAATGGAGCTTATGGTGAACCCAGTCTTTCCGGATACTATCAAAAATTGAGTGCGGCTTTTAAGAACATTAGAGGAAATCTTTCTGACAGTGGCAATTATTTGGCGAAAATACAATTAGACGCTGCAAATGGAGTCGGTGCTTTGGCCATTAAACAATTTCAAGAGAATTTGAAAGGATTTCTTGACATTGATATCTATAACGATGGAAATGGAGAATTGAATCATAAAGTTTGTTTTCTTATTGATGTATTTAATATTAATATTTTTAATATTAATATTTTTATTAATATTTTTATTAATATTTTTAGTATTTATATTTTCAAGATTAATTAATGAAAATATGTTTCGAAGTAGTTATTAATTAATATGTTTCAGTGTGGAGCCGATTATGTAAAAATCGAACAAAGTCCACCTTCTAATCTTCCGGTGAAACCAAATCTGAGAAGTGTTTCGATAGACGGAGACGCGGATAGAATTGTCTATTACTATACAGACGAAGCAGACAAATTTCATCTTCTCGACGGAGATCGAATTGCAACTCTAATAGCCGAATATTTTAAGGAATTACTTTTGGAAAGTCAATTGACTTTGAATGTCGGTTTGGTACAAACGGCCTACGCGAATGGAGGGTCCACTGATTACATCACAAACAAATTGGTAATTTTTTTCTCTCTCTCAAAAATATTAATACATAATCAGTAAACAGGATTGCCACAGGTCAGGGAAATCAGGAAAAACTCGGGGATTTTTATTAAAATTACTGGAAAAAATTAAATTTTTAGAATTTAGAATATTCTGAATTTTTGTGTCTTTTTCGTTTGCCTCATAAACTAGAAAATTACCACGAATTCTAAAAAAATCACCTTAAATTTTACTCTATTTCTAAATAGTAAAGGGAGAAATAATTTTCAAACTAAAGAAAAAAGAAGACGTTCGGACAAGAATTGTTGAATTTAAATTTCTTTCAGAAAATTCCCGTCGAGTGTGTGCCAACCGGAGTAAAGCATTTACATCACAAGGCATTAGAATTTGACATTGGCATTTATTTCGAAGCAAATGGACACGGAACTGTTATTTTTAAAGATTCTGCAACTGAACTAATTCGAAGAGCCGCTAAGGACGAAACGTAAGTTTTAAATTTTTCTTTCTTTTTCCCCGAATGGAAAATCTAATATTTAACTGATATTTCAATATATAGAATTTCCGAGAGTAAAAGACAGGCGGCGAGAAAATTGTCCCAAGTCATCGATGTTATTAATCAAACTGTAGGCGATGCACTGAGTGATATGCTACTTGTTGAAACAATTTTGCACGCAAAGAAATGGAGTTTAATCGATTGGGAACAGAGTTATCGTGATTTGCCGAATAGACAACTGAAAGTTAAGGTGCAGGACAGAAGTGCAATAACAACAACGGACGCTGAGCGAAAGTGTGTTCTACCCGAAGGTTTACAGAGACAAATTGATCAAGCGGTGGCACGTTATTCCAAAGGACGTTCCTTCGTTCGGTAATTATAAAAAAAGCAATAAATCAGTTTCGAAATAACTTGAAATTATTAATAGTATTAATTAAGGAGATGCTAAAGTTAATAGTTCAGGGTTACCACAGTTCAGGGAAAAGTCAGGGGAAATAGAATTGGTCAGCGAAATCAATGAAAAGTCAGGGATTTTTATTAAAAGTACTGGAAAAAATTAAATTTTTAGAATTTATAAGAAAATTCTGAATTTTGGAGTCTTTTTTGTTTGCCTCATAAACTATAAAAATGCCGCGAATTCTAATACAAAACCATCAATTTTTTCTATTTCTGACAATAATTTCTTTTTAAATAACTAAATTCTTCAAGAACTACCATAAAATTATTACTTAGAAATTATTTAATGAATAAATGTTAATTAAAAATTTCAAAATTAATTGCAGAGTTGCCACGCTTATGCTCTTTTCAAATTCACTGACTTTTCCAGGTTTTCCAGGTTAAAAAACGGAATTTTTCCAGGTTTTTAAAACGAAAATTATTCAAAAACAGGAATAACTTTATTTTTAAATAAATATTTAATCATTATTTTTCTTTATAGAAATTAAGATATTCAAAAATTTGAAATTCAATAACATACAAGAATATTATTATAAAACATGAAGAAAGCGATGAATTCGAGTCGAAGACTCGGATTAAAACTTGCTACTTTGTTACGGTAACTTCTTCAAAAATTATTTTCATCATTACGATTATTCATTTCTAGAATTTTCAACTGAAATTCTTCTTTAAGTCAATTTTTTTAAAATAATTTTTGAAAAAGTTCTTTGTGAATTTTTAAATTCTTTTGTTCATAATTTAATTTTACGAAATTTCAAATATTCTTATATTCTTCAATTGAATATATGTATTAGAAATTAAAAACTTCAAATAATAAAAAAAAATTCCATTAAACTAAATGAGAAAAATTAATTCTAAAGAATTCTTAATTAAAAGTATGAAAAGTTCAAATTTCTAAAGATTTTAATTTGAAATTCATTTTTAAATCAATATTTGTTTGAAAATTCTACGAGAATTCCATTATTAAAACTATAAAAATAAATAGTTTATTAAACAATTAAATGTTTTTTAGAATTGAATTTTCGCAAAGAGTTTTATCAACTAATTTTTAAATAATTGAATTCTCTTGACAAATTGTAATAAAATTTTTAAGAATAATTGAATTTTTCGAGAAATTTGATGAAAATTGTATTAAGAATAATTGAAATTCTGCCCAGAATTTTATTAAAAGTTTTGAAAATAATTGAATTTCGAAAAAGAATTTAATTATTTATAAAGATAATTGAAATTTTGACGAGAATTTTTCTAAATTTTTTTAAACATAATTGGATTTCTGCGAAGAATTTTATTAAAATTTTTATTTTGAAAAAAATTTAATTGTTACGCAAAGAATTTTATAAAAATTTTTGAAAATAATTTTATTCTTTAAAGAAATTTAATTTAAAATTTACTTATTCAATTTTATGTTCAAAATTTTTTTTAAATTTTCGTCAAAATTTAAATTATTATTATAAATAATAAAATTCTTCTCCAAAAAACAATTATTTTCCAAAAATTTAATAAAAATCTTTGGAAAAATCTCTTATTATATTAAGTTGAAGAACGACCGACCGACCGACCGACCGACCCTAGCCGTATATATATGTATATCTTTTAAAAATAATATTAACACAAATGTATACATATTCACAATGTCACGCATGCGCAGTAGTGTTCTGTCAATGTTACGCATGCGCAGTAGTGTTCTGTCAATGTTACGCATGCGCAGTAGTGTTCTGTCAATGTTACGCATGCGCAGTAGTGTTCTGTCAATGTTACGCATGCGCAGTAGTGTTCTATCACTGTTACGCATGCGCAGTAGTGTTCTGTCAATATTACGCATGCGCAGTAGTGTTCTGTCAATATTACGCATGCGCAGTAGTGTTCTTTAAATATCAGGCATGCGCAGAAGTGTTCTATGAATATCAGGCATGCGCAGTAGTGTTCTATCAATGTCAGGCATGCGCACTATTGTTCTATGAATGTCAGGCATGCGCAGTAGTGTTCTATCACTGTTACGCATGCGCAGTAGTGTTCTGTCAATATTACACATGCGCAGTAGTGTTCTGACAATATTACACATGCGCAGTAGTGTTCTATTAGTGCCACGCATGCGCAGTAGTGTTCTGTCAATATTACACATGCGCAGTAGTGTTCTGTCAATATTAGGCATGCGCAGTAGTGTTCTGTCAATATTACGCATGCGCAGTAGTGTTCTTTAAATATCAGGCATGCGCAGTAGTGTTCTAGGCATGCGCAGTAGTGTTCTATCAATGTCAGGCATGCGCACTATTGTTCTATGAATGTCAGGCATGCGCAGTAGTGTTCTATCAATGTGAGGAATGCGCATTAGTGTTCTATGAATATCAGGCATGCGCAGTAGTGTTCTATGAATATCAAGCATGCGCGCATAACACCCACACATGTATACTCACACATATACACTAATCACATGTACATGTATACTCACACATGTTCATAAATTACATACACATGTATACTGCTCATATGCAGATATAAACTCCTACATATACACAAATCACATATATGTATAGATTTAATAAACGATTGATAATATAAATTGTTGAATTTTTTAAGGTTCGTTGATGCACGTAGTGTCTGTTGAAATTTTTTTAAATATACGTAAATACCTCACTCGCTAATGCTGCGCTGTCTGTGTTGTAATGGAACTTATTTATTTACTTGTGTATTTACTTATTTATTTCAGGGTTGCCACAAGACATCGATTTTAAAATTCCATGACTTTTCCAGGTTTTCCAGACCATTTCTTAAAAAATTCCAAACCAGAAATAAAATTGTTTTGGTATGTTTTTAGCTAATTACGACAAAAAGTATAAAATCCTTTAAGTAAATTGTTAACAAAATAAGTTATTAATTTTTAATTTCATTATTAACAAAAAATTAAGTTAAAATTTGTAAGGTTATTTGAGATACGCTCCGAAGAAAGATGAGGAGCAAATCTTTTTAAATTTAAAAATTTAGTTAAGTTTAGAATTTTTCACAATTATTAAACCAGTATTTTAAAAAGCATTTTAATAACATTTTATGAAACTGAAGTTACCTACGTTTATTCAATGACAATTTTTTCTTTGCTAATTATTTATTTTAATGTTAGAAGCCTTTTAAAAAATTTTAAAAGATCGAAGTCGGGGAAATTATTAATTTTGATTTTTTACACAGATTTTCGAAAAATCCATATATTATTTAAACAAAATTATTATTTCCTCACCTCATAAGCAATTTTTTCTTTTACAAATTATTTATTTTAATGTGACAAGTCATTTAAAAAAATTGTAAGAGGATCTAAGGAAGGCAAGGAAATTAGTGATTTTTAATTATTTTTTCGTAGATTTTCCAAATATCCCGAAATTTTAACTAAATTATTATTTCCTTGCTTCAGAAGCAATTTTTTTCGATTGCAATTTTTTAAAGGGCTTCTTACATTAAAAAACAATTAGCAAAAGAAAAAATTTTCATTGCATAAAAGTTGGTAGCTTCAGTTTCATAACATTTTGGGGTTTCTAAAATGTATTAATTTAAAAATTATTTAAAGGAAGATAGAGACCAAAAGAAACTAAAATTCAGAAATGCCATATTGATTTCAATTGTAAGCACTAAATTTAAAATCAAAAAGTTGTATGTCAACTTGAAAACTTGAAATTTTTACGACTCAAATACAAAAAATTGAGCTTTTAGTATCAGGCTTTATATAATTCCCTGACAATTCCAGATTTTTCAGGTTTTCCATGACTGAAAAAAAATTCCATGACAATTCCGGGTTTCCCAGGTTTTCCAGGTCCGTGGCAACCCTGTATTTGTTTGGCAGACATCAACAATAATTTTTTAAATGGATAATCAGTGAAAAATGACTTATATTTCTGTAAGTTAGTGTTTCACTTCGATCCGCGAATTTCATTTTTTCGAGCGATTATTTGGTTATCGTCTTTGGTTTTCAAACGATCATCTTGTTTATTCTTTTGTTAATTGTCAAATCGTATCGTCTAATTTTCTAATTGTCATCGACCGAACTTCTCGACTGCTTCTCGACTTTCCCATAACTGACAACTAAAAATAATACAATAATAACCTATTTTTTGAAAAAAATCGATATCCAAAAACATTTAAATTCTTTTTTATTAATTCTATTAAAAACTAAAATTAAATTCATTTTAGTGAATTAAAATTATTATATCAAGTTAAAAATTAATTCAAGGTGTCTAGTGAATTATTATTTTTAAATTCCCGGACCAAAAATAAATATTCCCGGATTGATTTTTTAAAACAGCAATTACTATAAAATTTAAATATTAATACTTTTAATAAAGAAATTTTTAAGAAAATCAATTTTAAAAAGTCAATAGACATCTTTATTTAGAGAAATATATATAATATTACTTGTTATATATTACTTAATAAATCTATAACATTGTAATAGTTGGATCTAAATTTAAAATTAACCTACTTTTTTATTTTTCTATTAGTTGGGCTTTTTTGCGGAGTATTATTATTATTTTTAATTGTGTATTTAAATAATAAAAATTAAAAATAATTATTTTTAATTTTTATTATTAAAAAAAAAAAGTTGTCTGTTCATTGAACAAGACCTACATGTCTTATAGTATTTTGGCCCCCTGAATACGAATATGAAGTCAGAATTGCTCCATCACCCTCTGTTTTCTTTTAAATCGAAAAAACTACCCTTAAGTCTAAAATTCAAGAATTAAAGTAAAAAAAAATAAAAACACGGCTTTCTTCGGAGTAGAAGAATATATTTATGCGTTTTCTTCTTTCAACAACTCAAATAATGTCAAAATTGCTCCACCACCCCTACTTTTTTTTAAATCGAAGAAAGTACCCTTAAATCTAAAATTCAAGAACTAAAGTGAAAAAAAATGAAATAACCGGTTTTCTTCGGAGTAGAAGAATATATTTATGCGTTTTCTTCTTTCAACAACAAATAATGATAAATTAACTCTGATTCTGCTTTTTAGTTATGAGAACAAAAATAAAGGAACGTATGCTTTTGTCTAAAACTAATTGTTTTTATTGTTGTTAGTATACTCTGGGTTCATACTTAAAGGGGTAGTTTTTTCAATATAAATCAATAAGAGGGTGATTTAAGGGCAGGGGGTGATGGAGCAATTTCGTCATTATTTCTAAATTGTTGAAAGAAAAAAACGCATAAATATATTTTTCGACTTCGCAAAAAAACTGGTTATTTCATTCTTTGACTTTAGTTCTTGAATTTTAGATTTAAGGGTAGTTTCTCCCATTTAAAAGAAACAGGGGTGGTGGAGCAATTTTGACATTATTTCTGAGAGGTTAAAGGAAGAAAACGCATAAATATATTCTTCTACTCCTAAGAAAACCGGTTATTTCATATTTTTTTACTTTAGTTCTTGAATTTTAGATTTAAGGGTAGTTTCTCCCATTTAAAAAAACAGGGGTGGTGGAGCAATTTTGACAATATTTCTGAGTGGTTGAAGGAAGAAAACGCATAAATATATTCTTCTACTTCGCAAAAAAGTGGTTATTTCATTCTTTGACTTTAGTTCTTGAATTTTAGATTTAAGGGTAGTTTCTCCTATTTAAAAAAACAGGGGTGGTGGAGCAATTTTGACATTATTTGAGTTGTTGAAAGAAGAAAACGCACAAATATATTCTTCTACTCCGAAGAAAGCCGTGTTTTTATTTTTTTTTTACTTTAATTCTTGAATTTTAGACTTAAGGGTAGTTTTTTCGATTTAAAAAAAACAGAGGGTGCTGGAGCAATTCTGACTTCATATTCGTATTCAGGGGGCCAAAATACTATAAGACATGTAGGTCTTGTTCAATGAACAGACAACTTTTTTTTTGTGTGCCTGTGATTGTAATCATGCCTAAATTAAAAAAATTTAACATTTTTAGGTATAAAATAATTTTTTAATAAACATTAATAAAAATTTAGTTTTCTAAACATTATTCAAAAGTAGACGAAAGAACAAAGTTTTGTCCTCTTGATGTAATTTTTCTAAATTCAATAGATTAAGTTATAGATAATTAAAAATAAGTATACTTAGATTTCTTTGAATAATTTTTTAACACAATTAAATTTTTCAAATATGTCTACAATAGAAACCTTTTTGAATAGTTGAAATTGTGCAAAATTTAATTGAAAATAATTAATTTATTTCAAGTATTTTGTTACAATTTTTTGAAGAATTTTAATTGCAAATTTTGAAAATAATTGAATTACCAAAAATTTAAAAAAAATTTTTAAAGGTAAATTAGGATATAAGAATTATTTTAAGAAATTCAATTATTTTCGAAAAATAACATTATAATATTTTTAAAAACTAATATTATTAGAATTTTTTTATAGTAATTTTTTAAGATTTAATTATCTTCGAATAATGTAAATAAACATTTATGAAAATTTACTTCAATAAGACGAGCGAACATGACAGCTTGGTTATCAAAACAAAAAGAAAATCGTTTTTTGTTCGTTTCTCGGATCGTGTTGCTCGAATGAAACACTACTGTAAGTGTAATTTTCAACTGACTTTTAGTAAAATTATTTGTTTGACAGAAATTTACAATATTAATAAATAAATCACAATAAAATAATAATCAGTGAAGAATGACTGATATTTTAGTACTTTTCAACTGATTTTCAGTAAAATTCCACTGATTATGAATCCAAAGTCACTTTTTAAAAATACAAAATGGCGAATCCAGGATAGCGGACGAAAATGAAAGGTTTAGTAAGAGAATACGTAAAAATAACATTTCGTATAATGTACAATGACATTTTTTGTAAATGTCACTTCATAATTTTTGTCTTATTACACAATGATTTTAAATAAAATAATTTATATTTTTATAAATATTAATAATTTTTTACATTTTCTAACCACTATAAGGTTTTAATTTTGTAAATGTTCAAATTCTGGTTTAGAAAGAAAAATTTATATTATTATACAACTATATTGTCTAGACTTGCAAAAACCCAAAGTCTAGACTTTGTTGTAACAATATTGTTACAATATATATTGTAACAATATTGGTGACGGTGACATGCGTAAGAATAGTGCAGTAAAAATTTCAAAAAAACACCCTGATCATTACCTACAGAAAATCCTATTAGTAAGAAAAGAATGGACGTATCTTCGCCCTTTTCTTACTAATTATTCAGAGAATCAGGCTAACATTCAAAATCTAACCTTCTAAGTTTAGTTATTTCAAAAAAATTATTTTATTGATGCAAATAAATATTTATTTTAATTAAAAACTATGCATTATTTAATCAAGTAATTTTTATAATTGATTTAAAGCAATATTTATTAAATTAAATTATTCTATTTAATTGACTTAAGTAATTTGTATTTGGTTCAAATAACTATTTAATAGATACCATAAATTAAAATATTTATGTCCAGTAAATATTTACTTAGTTCAAATAAAAAAAAAAAATAAGTAAAAACTAATAAGTTTAAATACAACCGAACGAGCGTTAGCGAGTGAGGTATATGTTGCTAGTTTCAATTATTTTCAAAAATTTTCCTTTATTTCGATTATTTTTAATATCTACGATTTTAATAAAATTATTTTTGTAAAACATAACATTCTTACTAGGAATACAATTATTGTCAAAAATGTTAATAAAAATCTTCGAAACAATTCAATTATTTTCGTAAAAAATAACATTCTTCGAGGCAATTCAATTATTTAAGAAATTGTAATATAATGCTTCCCAAGAATTCAATTAATATTTTCAAAAATAAAATTTTCCACAGGAATTCAATTATTTAAAAAAATTGAATAAAATTCTTCGTCAGATTTTAATTATTTTCAATTATTTTCATAAATAACAAAACTTATAGTAAAATTGCAATTATTTTTTATACAATTTTAAATGAATTGATAGAAAATTGCATTTATTCTTAAATTTTTTTTTAAATTCGAAGAAAGAATTCAATTATTTTTAAAAATTTTGATAAAATTTTTCATAAAATTTCAATTTTAAGAAATATTCAATTATTTAATAAATTATTTATTTTTGTATTTAAATAATTGAATTTTCGTAAGATGTTCTAATAAAAATTGATTAAAAAATGAATTTCCCTTTAAAATTGTAAATTATAATAATTATTAAATATTTATTTAAAAAAGAAGTTATTGATGTTTTGGAATAATTTTACAAAAGAAATTCGTAAATAAATATAATTAAGAACATATTTTTGTGTATCTAATAATTTTTGGAGTGAATCAGAATATTCTTCAGGGTCAGGGAAAAAGTCAAAATCAGTCAGGAAAAAGTCTAAAAATTAGGGAAAAGACAAGGAAAAAGAAAATTAAATTTTTGTAGCAACCCAATTTTTGTATAGCAACAAATAAATATAATTAATAATTGCGTTTTAATTACTTGACAGACCGTCTGGAACGGAAGATATAGTACGAGTTTACGCTGAATGTGAAAATAAAGAGGACGTTGAGAAACTTGCAGTCGAAGTGGGAATTGCAGTCTACAATTTAGCCAATGGAGTTGGTTCGAAACCAGTTTTATCAAAAATGTGATATTTTGAGATTGGATAACAATAACAATGCATTTATTATAAATATGTTAAATTGTTGACTATACGAGATATTACGTTTTAGAGGCGAAATATTTTTAAAGATAATATTTTATACGTTTTATACATATATACACTAGTCCAATGTAGATTATTTTTATACAAACATTTTCATGTTTTTACGGTTTGTGGTGTAATTTATAAACAACTTTATTAATTGTTATTTTTTACTTGAATTTTTTACTTTTATTATTGACAGTTTTTTAAAATTATTAACAGTTTTTTTTACAATTTTGTTTTAGTTATTAACAATTCATTAATTATTATCCGTTCTTTTTAAGAATTCCGGCCGGTATTTTATTGTATTTGAATGTTGTACTTCAGGCGCCATGGTAACGACTATTGATTACGACAATGAAATGTTGTCATAGAACAAAAAATGTCAGTATTGTTTTGAAATTCTAAAAATGTGGCAAAACAACGAAGTTAGATTCGACATTCCCTTTTCGTAATTATACTTTTTATTACTTATTATTCGTATTTTATATTTTATGAAATTAATAAAGATTTTTTTCTTTTTCGTGAAATTATATTTCTTTTTATATCTGCAATAATTTTTGGATATTATTGTTCTTATTGTTATTATTTTTTTATATTATTTTGTTACTTATTGTTATTATTTTTTATCGGTAATAATTTTATTGCTATATTTTTTAATCGGCACTCATTTTTGGATTTATACATTGTCATTACTTTTTTCTCGGCAATAATTTTTTTTTGAAAACTTTTAGGCAAATTGAAATGCGATTAGGAGAAGTGATTATTGACAAATTGGAGAATATTGAGGACAATAAAGGCAATGCTGGCGATCGGGGAAGATTATTGATAACAAATTTGAGAATTATTTGGCATTCCTCGGGTTATCCTCGAATCAATTTAAGTCAGTAATTATTTAAAGTGACTTTTCTTTTATTATTTAGAATAATAATTACTTTTTCGGTAGGTATTGGATATAATACGTTTGTGTCCGTGACCACGAAAGCTGTCGCTCGAGTATGTAATTATATTGCAAAAATTGTATAATAATTATAATTATAATAATTTAATAATATTAATAATTATTCTTTCAGGTGTTTAGCAGTAATACGCAAGCATTGTACATTCTATCATCGTTTCGAAGTTGCAGATATGAATTTCTATTCATAAATCTAGATCCAAAGAATAGTCGTCATTATACGTCCGTTTTAGGTGTTTATAGATCGTACATATCATCGAAATTGTATAGAGAAATTAAATTGAGAGGCGCAATTATCCACGATAAACGTCTCACTATTCTGCCGCAGGAGAATATTCACTCAACATTACATGGTGTCTGGAATTTATCAACAGAACAGGTATTTTAATTTAATTATTATGATTTTTATTTTTATTTTTATTATTATTATTAATTGATATTATTATTATTATTATTATTATTATTATTATTATTATTATTATTATTATTATTCTTATTCTTATTAATATTATTATTATTATTATTATTATTATTATTATTATTATTATTATTATTATTATTATTATTTTTATTTTTATTATTATTAATTAATATTATTATTATTAATTAAATTGGATTATTTTCAACAATTTTAATATAAATTAAATTATTTTTAACAATTTTGATGAAATTCTTTTAAAAAAATCATTATTTTCGAAATTTTTAATAAAATTCCTTTAAAAAATTCAATTATTTACATACATAAGAATATTTTGGGCAAGAATTAAAATATTTTCATAAATAATAAAATCCTTCAAAGGAAATCAATTATTTTCAATACAATTTTAATAAAATTTCTCGAAAGAATACAATTATTTTTAAAAATATCTATTATTTAAATTCAATTATTTTTAACAATTCTGATAAAAAATTCTTCTAAACAATTGAATTATATTGTGATGTTGTTTTGTTTGGATTTATAATTTTAGTCAAACTCTTGGCAAGAATTCAATTATTTTTGTATAAATAATAAAATTCTTCTGAGAAGTTAAACTATTTTTAATACAATTTTAGTTAAATTTCTATGAAAAAAATCAATATTGAAGATAATTTTAATAAAATTTCTCTAACAGGTTCAATTATTTTTAAAAATTGTAATAAAATTTTTCTAAACAATCCAATTGTTCTTAAAAGTTTTTAATAAAATTCTTTGTGAATTTCAATTATTTTCAAAATTTTCTTATTAAATTAATTACTTTAAAAAAATTACATTATTTTTACGAAATTTAATAAAATTCTTCAAAAAAAAAAAAAAAGGAATTATTTACAAAAAATTGTTTAAAAGAATAAAATTGTCTATGAATAATTTTAATATAATTTGATAGGAAAATCGTTAATTATAATTAACAATAAACAAGATTATTTTAAAAACTTGAAAGAAATTCTTCTTAAAATTAAATTATGTATTTTCAAACTTTTGAGTAAAAATTATTAAAAAAAGCTTCATTATTTTCAAGAGTATTAAAATAAATTTTTCATAATAATTATATTATTTTAAAAAAAATTTAATAAGAATCTTTCTAAAAATTATATTATTTTCAATACAATTTTAATTACATTTTTTCGAAAGAATTCAATTATTAAAAACAGTATTGATAAAATTCTTGAAATGAATTCAATTATTTTCAAATTTTTTTTTATAAGTACTTTACAAGAATTTAATGATTTTCAGCTCTTCGACAATTTAATTATTTCTGAAAATAATTGAATTCTTAAATAGAATTTTATTAAAACTTTTTCAAATAATTGAATCCCTGCGAAAAAATTTATTATTTCTACAAATAATTGAATTCTTGCAAAATTTTAAAAAATAAGTGAATTTTTTAGAAGAATTTTATGAAAATTGTATTTAAAATAACTGAATACCTGGAAAAAATTAACAATTTATTGATAGAATTGACTTCTTTCGAAGAATTTAAAAATAAATTTAATTTTTCCTGGAATTCAATTAAAATTTTATTTAAAATAATTGAATTCCAGCAAAAATTTCATTATTTATGAAAATAATTGAATTTTTGTTAAAAATTTTTTTTAAATAATTGAACTCCTGTGACAAATTCAATTATTTCTTTTACATGATTGAATTTCCTCGGAGAATTTTTAAAAGATTTTTAAAAATAATTGAAATTTTCGAAGAAATCAATTAAAATTGTATTAAAAATAAGTATGAAATCCTAATAAGAATTTTATAATTTATAGAAAAATAATTGAATTTTTTGACGAAGATTTTTATTATTTATAATTTGACTTTTTGCAAAGAATGTTTATAAAATTCAATTACTTTCAAAATTTCCAGTAAAAATTATTTTTAAAAAACTCCACTATTTTCAAGAATATTGTGAAATAAATTATTTTAAAAAATTCAATTATTTTAAAGAAGTTTAATAAAAATTTTGCCAAGAATTAAATTATTTTCAACACATTTTCTCAAAAGAATTGAATTATTTTCAAATTTTTTTTATAAATACTTTACAAGAATTCAATGATTTTCAGTAAATTAATTTTTAAATTTTAAACATTTAGAAAGAAAAATTATTTAAAAAGTTGGGAAACAAAAAGCAAACAGCAATGTAGATTATTATTTTAAAGTATTTTAACAGTTGAATGTTCATAGCTTCCGTTAATATTAATTTGTTTTAATCAAAATTATTATTTTAAGGGAAATGTGGGAATGTTCATTGTCACCAATGTGAGAATAGTTTGGTTTGCGGACATGAATCACCAATTCAACGTTTCTTTGTCATATCTCGTATTTGCAAGCGTGAGTACCGTAATTTTTCCATATTTAAATAAATTTGATTATTTATTTAATTATTTTATTTGCTTTTAATTATTTTATTTAGTAATTCGTTTACTTACCTTCAGGTGAATATAAGAACATCAAAATTTGGACCAACTCTGGTGATTGTCAGCAGTGAGGCGAGTGGCGGCTACGTCTTAGGTTTTCGAATAGATCCCGTAGAGAAACTTCATATGATCCACAAGGAAATTAAGGCACTCCTGGCGACGTACAACAGATCTCCAATATTCGGAGTCGATTACAAACCCGAACATAATGTACATTTTTTTCCAACTTTCTCAATTTTCAGTGTATTTTAATTCATTTTTTTTTTTGGACATCGAAAATTGTACTATAAATGGAATTTTTTTCTGTTCAGGCGCCTGTGGAACGTAAAATAGATCTGAATGAATTTTCCGAAGTTGAAGAAATTGCCGAGGACGAAATTTCAAATGCCCTTGGTGTTTATTTCAATGACGGCGAGGAGAGTAATCGAATTCCCGTTTATAATAATTATGTTGGTCTCATGGTCGAGGAATTGAAAGAGGACACCACTATGCAACAATTATGGGAATTGATTCCATCGACTTCATCGCAAAATTCAAAATAAAGAGGGAAAAATAATAATTAAGAGAAAAGAAAAGCAGAAGATGAAGAAAAAGGAAAAGAAGAAATTAAGATAAAAGAAAACAAGAAATTAAGGTAAAAGAAAAGAAGAAAATAAAATAAAAGAAAAGAAGAAAATAAAGAAAAAATCCGAAAGAAAAAAGAGAAGAAAAATAAGTTAAAATAAAGATTAATAAAGAAATAAATATAATTAAAATTCAATAAACTTACAGTTTTTTTTATGAATTTTTTTTTCTGAAAATTCTTAATGTACACGATGAAACAAAGTCTAACTTGGTCTACAATCTAGAGTTCGCGCAAAATGCACATCCCGTTGTTCTTCGCCGCTTTCCTCGGAATTTTGTCCAAGAAACCGATAGCCCATATTCCTTAAAACTAAATCTAAAGGATCACTGTTCATTCGCACTTGATTTGCAGAAGCGGCATCATCCAAATTTAGAATTTCACGATCATTCTTCTTACCATCCTGCAAAAAAAACACAATCATTTCAAATTTTTAAATCAAAACGCAATAATTTCAGATTTTTTAATCAAAATACAATCATTTCAGATTTTTAAATCAAAAAACGATCAATTTAGATTTTTAAATTTAAAAATAATCATAATTCAGGATTGCTACGCAATCTGAAAACCTAAAAAACCTGGAATTGTCAGGGAATTTTATAAACTTTGAAAAAACCTTGGAACTAGTTTTATTAAAAATAATGGATTTATAAAAGAATTTTAGTTAAAAACACTAAAACAAATTGAATTTTGAAGCAATTATAAATTGATGATTTTTATAAATAATAACATTTTTTATAGGGATTCAATTATTTTCATATAAATAATAAAACTCAATGCTGAATTTCAATTATTTTTAATACAATTTTAATGGAATTCTTCGAAAAAAGTTATTATTCTTAAAAATTTTATTAAAATTTATCAAAGAAATTTAATTATTTTAACAACCTTTGCTACAATTTATTTATTAGAATTTAAGTATTATTTTCAATGAATTTTTAATTAAATTTATTTAAAGAATAAAATTATTTTCAAAGATTTAAATGCAATTCTTTGCGCAACAATTCAATTTTTTTTTCAAAATAATTTTAATAAAATTCTTTGCAGAAATTCAATTAAGTTTAAAAATTTACAAAAATTCTCGTCAAAATTTCCATTATCTTTGTAAATAATAAAATTTTCCTCCGAAATTTAATTATTTTCAAAACTTTTAATAAAATTCTTGGCAGAATTTCAATTATTTTTAATACAATTATCATCAAATTTCTCAAAAAATGCAATTATTCTTAAAAATTTTATTAAAATTTGTCAAAAGAATTCAATTATTTAAAAATTTGTTGATAAAATTCTTTATGAAAATTCAATTTTAATAAACATTTAATTGTTTAATAAAATATTCATTTTTGTAGTTAAATAATTGAATTCACGTAGAATTTTCTAACAAATATTGATTTAAAAATGAATTTCAAATTAAAATCTTTGAAAATTTGAACTTTTCATATTTTTAATTAAGAATTGTATAGAATTAATTTTTCTTAATAAGTTTAATGGATTTTTTTTTAATTATTTGAAGTTTTTAGTTTTTAATATATTTAATTGAAGAATGTCAGAATAATCGAAATTTCGTAAAATTAAATTGTAAACAAAAGATTTGAAAAGAGCAAAAGCGTGGCAACCCTGTAATTGAAAATTAATTACTTAAATTCTTTTAGAAAAATTAATATTACCTCGGGTAAGGGACTCCACAATCTAATATCAGGATCAATGCCACTGGTTGCCAATAAACAAACGGAGGGATGTGGTTGAAGACAATTTACAATTCGCTCATCTCCTCGAAGAATACGGACAATATTTGTCGTGACTCGATCCCAAACGAAAAATGATCCATCGTCCGATCCAGCCACAATATATTGTCCATTGCTTTTGTTTTTAATTGTTAAATTAAAATTCATTGCATTATTAATTTATAATTTATAATTGTAAAAAAAATTCAAATTAAGCTAATATAGAGAACTTACTTTCCAAAGAAATTCACTTCTTTTATATCGGTTGTGGTATTACAATGTCCGCAAAATCGTTGCTTATAATCTTTAGCGTCATGTCTCCAGTGATTTTCCGAAGGCGATATGTCAGGAAGTGGTGGCATAAATTCTTGGTCTAAACAAATTTTCATTAATTAATAAATTTAGTTATATTATTATTATTATCATTATTATATATTTATATTTTTAATGTACGATTATTTTGAAACATACGGGAAATTAAGGCTTCCTTAATATCCTTTTTCAACGCTTTCAGCGATTGATGATGACAATATTCAGGGAATTTTTTCAAAAATTTCTCAATCACTAGAGAAGCGTCTGAAGGTTTATGTAAATCGTTCAAGCAACGAGCTAATCTGTAAAAAAAATTTTTCTTTTCACTTAAAAACTTACAAATTTTTTACTTAAAAACAAATTTTTGAAAACAATTACAAACAAAAAACTTGAAAAGTTATTTTTTTTACCTGAAGTTTGCTTTCACATTTTCGGAATCTAAGCGTAAAGTCATTTGACAATCCCGTAATGCTGCGTATTTATCACCGCCCCTAGAATTTAAAAAAACGAAATTCAAATGTATGAAAAATTTTCTTTTAAATTCAATTCTTTCTAAAATTAATTTAACTTAATTATTTTAACTTACCAATTCCTTTTCATATAAGCAGCTGCTCTATTATTATAGAGCTCTGAAGCTTTAGGACATAAACTAATTGCCACATTATATAAATTAATTGCTAAAGTATATTTCTCCAAATTGAAATTTTCATTTCCCTGGAAGAAAAATTCGATATTAATTAAAAACTCGTTCTCAAAAGAATGAAAACAATCAATCACTTTTTTTACATTAACACTAAATTTCCAGATGGACGTTAGAAAAGTGAAAAAAAATGTCAATAATCTTACTTGTTTCTTTAGTTTATCAATTTCGGCTGGTAAATTAGAGACATTTATTAAACTGTAGTCCTGATCATCGCTGGAGTCATTCGAATCCGAAGAAAAATGATCCACATCTCGCTCATTCGATTCTGAAAAGAAGAACAGTTTTGTTACTTTAATAAATTAATTACCTTCCTTCGAACAGTCTTATTTATTTATTTCAAAATTATCGAATTTCAAAAATCTATATTTACCAGAACAATAATTTCTTCTCAGTTGTGTCATGAAACTTCTGGCTTTTCTGCGTTCGTTAATATCAAAGAGATAAATCTGCTCACCACCCATATTTACCAAAAGTTCGTTTCCATCATTACTGAATGTTAAATATGTCGTGGAAAAACTTCGAACATTAACTCTTTGAGGCGATTTTAAATGACCTGAAACAATAATAATGAAAAATTAATAGTGAAATATAAACAGAGTTTGCACTCGATAATTAATTTTTTTAAAAAGTAGCAAAAAGTAGCTTAAAGACAGAAAAAAAGTAGTAAAAAAGTAGCTATCGAAAAATTAAACTTGATGACCAAAAAAACTCGTTTTAGACACTTCACAAAACTGACAAAAATTCCATTCAATATTTTACATAATTTTCATCAAAAATATTTACTTTTTTCTTATTCTGCTAATAAATTCAATTCCTGCAACGAATTTTATTATATTCATGAAAGAATTTTAATATTTATAAAAATAATTAAACTCTTGCAAAGAATTTTATTAAACTTTTCCAATAATTTATTTCTTTTGACTAATTTTATGCAAATTTTTTGACAATAATTGAATTCTAGCAAAAATTTCATTATTTATGAAAATAATTAAATTCTTGAATTGAATTTTAATAAAAAGTTTTTTAAATAATTGAAATCCTGTGACAAATTGATATAATTAAAAAATTATTTTCAATTAAAAAAATTGAAAAAGAAAATAATTGAATTTCATCGGAGAATTTTTACAAGATTTTGAAAAATAATTTAAATTTTCGAAGAAATCAATTAAAATTTTATTGAAAATAAGTGAAATCCTGATAAGAATTTTATTATTTATATAAATAATTGAATTTTTTGACGAAGATTTTTATTATTTATAAATTGAATTTTTTCAAAGAATTTTATTACAATTATTGAAAATAAGTGAATTTATTATGAAATTCAATAACTTTCAAAATTTTCAGTAGAAATTATTTTAAAAAAACTCCACTATTTTCAAGAATATTGAAATAAATTCTTTTAAAAAATTCAATTATTTCAAAGAAGTTTAATGAAAAGAATTTTAAAATTTATGAAAACAATTGAATTAGTGCGAAAAATTAAATGACAAATTTTAAAACAATTGATTTTTTCAAAAAAATTTATGCAAATTCTATTTTAAATAATTGAATTCCTGTGAAATTTTTATTTCTTTGGAAAATAATTGAATGTTTGTGTAGAATATTATAAAAATTTTTAATTAATATTTGAATTATTTTTATTACTTTAAAAAATAATTGAATACTTGGGAAAATTTTATTAAAATCTATAAAAGAGTAGGTAATTGAATTATTTCAAAAAAATTCAATTAAAATTGTAGTTAAAATAATTGATTTCTTTTGAACAATTTTATTAAAATATTTGAAAATAAGAGAATTCCTGTGAAAAATTTTAATATTCTTTGTAAATAATTCAATTCTTCCAAAGAATTTTGATGAAACATTTTTTTAAATAATTGATTTTTTCGTCGAATTGAAATTAAATTTTTAAGAATAATTACATTTTTTGTGCAATTACTGTAAAATTTTATTAAAAATAATTGAAATCCTGCGATGAATTTTATTATTTATGAAAATAATTGAATAATTGAATTATTGCGAAAAATGTTATTAAAATGTTTAAAAATAATTGAATTCTGCATAAGAATTTTGTAAACATTGTTTTAAATAATTAATTTTTTCGAAATTATGGTAAATATTATGGAAATTTTATTTTAAATAATTGAATTCTTGTGGAAAAAATAATTAAAGTAGTGAAAATTGTCATAAATAACAGAAATAGTAGCTTTTAGTGTCTGAAATCTAAAAAAAAGTACCCAAATAGTAGCATAACGTAAAAAAGTAGTAAATAGTGAGTTTTAGTAGATATAGAGACAAAAGGAAATTATAATAACCTGCGATAAAATATTGTACACATCCAACAGGCACGGTCGTGAGATCAACACCTTCATCTCCGAACTGATCACGCCTACGTTGTGGATTAATCCAATCGAACGGAGATTGTGGCAACTCAATTATCGGTCTCTATTTATTGACAATATTAAATTATTTTTTCAATTATATTTTTTGATTTCAATTATATTTTTTGGTTTCAATTATATTTTCTGGTTTCAATTATATTATTTGAAATTGAAAAAAAGTCAAATCTTAGTTTAATAAATTATTGAATTAGTAACTTACGACCGCGAGTTTAATCATCCTTCGATCGTACATTCTGATAAATGGATCATTCGCACCAACTGCGATTAATTCCGGTCTTCTATTATTCACATCAATGCATTTGGCTTCTATGTGACAATCCATATGATTCACGAGATTGACGAGAACATTTTTCTCGTCGTGCGATTTACATGTGTGTGGTGCTCGCATATCGAATTGCATGATAATTCCATCTTCGCCGGCACTCCAAAAAAGATAGGGAATATTTGGTGCAGTCGCGATACGTTTCACTCGGCCCGTATGACAATTACACGCTAAAATTGTATCCGATAGTGTAATATCGTGAACACGTATTTTACTATCGCCTGCACCTGACACAAGAACCGAGTCGTTTGACTTTGGCATAAACTGCAACATAATAAACATAAGAATTTCTCTCAAAAATTCATTTCTTTAAATTATTCCTTTCAATTTATTTCGCAAAAATACCTTGACGGAAAAAATGTTTCCATTATGTCCTGTGTTTAGTGTCAATTTCTTTTCGTAACGAAATGGATCCCATAGGATTATGTGCATATCATCCGATGCCGATGCTAAAATCCTAGAAAATAATAAATATAAAAATTAAATACAGTTCGTTTACAATTTTTCGATATTTACCTTTTTCCCCAACTCATGCATCACAGTACCTTTTTTCATCAAAAAAGATGAAAAGGAAAATTTTTTTCCTCAAAATGGGGATAAAAATTTGTTTATTCGAATCGTTTTTAATCAGAGTTGCCACAAAAATTGAATTTTGTTTTTCCCTGACTTTTTCTTGATTTCAAGACAAAATTTTGACTTTTTGCCAAAAGAATATTCTGCGATTAAGTCTAAAAATGATTAGATACTCAAAAAAATGTTCTATTACATTTATTTACGAATTTCTTAAACTGTAAAATTATTCGAAAACAGCAATAACTTTTTTTTAAAAAATATTTAATCATTATTATTTTTCCATAGGAATTAAGATTTTCAAAACATTCAAATTCAAATCTTTTTTAAATTCAACAATTTATAATAATTAAAGATGACCGAGTGATAAGATCATTATTTTTTACTATATATAAAAAATATTTTTACTGTAACTTCTTCAAAATTATTTTCATCATTTCAATTTAATTATTATTTTCTAGAATTTTTAACTAAAATTCTTCTTTAAATCAATTATTTACAATAATTTTTTTAAAAAATCGGAGAATTTTCAAATGTATTTGTTTAAAATTCAATTTTACGAAATTTCATCGATTATTCGGAAATTTTTCAATTAAATAATTTTCGTATAATTTGAATTAAACTTTTTGAAAAAATCAATTCTACAGAATCGTTAGTTAAAAATATGAAAAATTTAGATTTACAAAGATTTCAATTTAAAACTTTTTCAAAATTCAATTATTTCTAAAAATTCACGCTATAATGCTTTTAATATTCAATTACTATGTAAAATTTTAACTAAAATTAATTTTTAAATCAATTTCTATTATAAAATTCTACGAGAATTTAATTATTTAAATACAAAAATAAATAATTTATATTGAATAATTGAATGTTTCTTAATATTGGATTCTCATAAAGAATCTTATCAACAAATTTTGTAAATAATTAAATTCTTTCGACGAATTTTGATAAAATTTTTAAAAATAATTATATTTTTCGAGATATTTGATTAAAATTGTACTAAAAATAATTGAAACACTGCGGTGAGTTTGATTATTTATGAAAATAATGGAATTATTGCAACGAAATTTAATAAATTTTTCAAAAATCATTAAATTCTTACGAAGAATTTTATTAAATTTTTTAAAAATATTTATACGAAGAATATTATTAACAACTTTTTAAAATAATTAATTTCTTTCAAGGAATTTAATTAAAATTTACTGAAATTGATTGAATTAAAGAACTTTATAACAATTTTCGAAAATAATAAATTGAAAACTTATTGAAGAATTTTATTAAAATTTTTAAAAATACCTGAATTCCTGAGAAGAATTTAAATCATAATTTATGAGAATAATTTTATTTTGGAAATGAATTTTATTAAAATTCCTTAAAATAATCGATTTTATGGGGGAGAATTTTGTTGTTTATCAAGATAATTGAATTCTTTTGCAGAATTACTTAAAAATGTTTGAAAACAATTGATTTTTTGCGACGAATTAAAAGTTATTTATGAAAATAATTGAATTATTGTAACGAATTCTATTATTTTATTGAATAATTGGATGTTTCTTAAAATTGAAATTTTTCGTCAAGTTTTAATCAAATTTTTAAGAATAATTGCATTTATCGAGGAATTTATTTAAAGTTGTATGAAAAAAATTTGAAATTCTGCGATGAAAATAATTAAATTCCTAAATGAAAGTTTATTATTTTAATAAATGGTTGAATGATTTCATAGAATTGTATCAAACATTTTTTCAATAATTAAATTTTTTGGTAAATTTCATGAAAATAGGAAATATTGAAAATCATTGAAATGCGAAAAACTTTTGAAAATAATTGAAATTTTTCAAGGAATTTTATTAAAATTTTTGAAAATAATTGAATTTCTTTGAAGAATTATATGACTTTTGAAAATAATTGAATTCTTGTGATGAATATTGTTATTTTTAAAAATAATTGAATTTAGCAAAGAATTTTCTTTAAATTCCTAAAAATAATTGAATTTTTTTGGAGAATTTTGTTATTTATCAAGATAATTGCCTTAAAACTTTTGAAATAATTAAATAATATTAAAAAATTCATTCTGGTCATGAATAAAAAATAATTTTGAAGGTTTTCTATTAAAATTCATGTTAGTTTCATACTTTATGAGAAAAACAAAAAAGACACCAAAAATTTAGAATATTCTTATGAATTCTAAAAATTTAATTTTTTCCAGTACTTTTAATAAAAATCCCTGACTTTTCCCTGATTTCCCTGATCTGTGGCAACTCTGTTGAAATTAGGGGAACAAAAGGGGACCAACTTGTGATGCCTGCCAACTCTTAAAGCTTAATTTTTTTATGGTAAATAAAGAGGATTGAAAAAACAATTTATACTAACTGTCCAGTTTCGTTCCATTCTAAACAATTGACGCATCCATCGTGACCTTTTAATTCTGCTTCCAAACCCAAACGTGATATAAAATTATTGGTTACGTGTAATTTTTGTGATACAAAACTTGCATCCGTTTCCTAATTTACAAAAAAATATGCATATTACAAAAAATAGTTATTTCGCTTAACTTCTAATAGTGTAATTGACAATAATCATAATAACCTTTAAATTAATAACAATTTGAAAATAGAATTTAAATAATTTTAATTTGAAAATCTTACTTGTATTTCTCGACGACGAAGTAAATCAATGACTCTGTGTTTCTTTTTATTACCAATATTTGGTATTAAATCCATTTTATCAAACGTTTGGGCAGTTGTAAATGTATATTCTTTTTCTGAAAGTAAATAATCGACAAAATGTTATACGTGAATGAGTATAAATACTGGTAAATTATTGTTGAATAAATTATAAACTCTGACAAAACTTGAATAGAACTAACCTTATAGAGTATAAAAGTTACATGAATTAATCCTTTAGTTCGAAACATGTAGTCTTTATATTGAAAAATGCTTTTTATGTCATTTCTAATATCAAATTAATATTTTCTTCAAACATATTCTTCATCCGATTTTATTATGCTAGACTATACAAAAAAAAAAAAGGAAATAAATTCGTGAAATATCTCGACAATTAGAGCAGGTCCAGCAATGACTTTTGCTTACTTTTGCTATTCGTATTTATGAAAAGATTCTTTTATCATCGATTAATCTAGTTAATGTTATTTTCAAGTTTACGAAATTAAATTAGAAAATGAAAATTGTTATTCACTGATGAGGTTTATTTTCAATGCACTGCTATTGCTATCAGGGGCGAACCATAAATTTGAAATTAAGGGGCTAAACTATTTTTATTATTTTGGTAATTTTTTCATTTTTTTCTGTTTATATACTTCTTTTTATTTCTTCTTCTATAACTTCTTCTTTCTCTCAATTCGAAATTAAGTTTACAATTAACAAAAGAAGTATATTCCGTCAATAAATATAAATTATTCAAGACTTTATTCGAACTCGATTACTCGACAATTCTGACTTTATTTAAATAAATCAACTTCTTTATAAAGAAAATATTTTAAACAATAAAATAAATGAGAGGAAATTTTGCTTATTTTCTACTGTCGTTTTGTAGTTTTTTTGTATACCTACTTTTGTTTTGTAAGGTTTGTAATATAATTAATAAAACAATTTAGTTATTCAGATCACCGTTAGAGGGACAATAATAATAAACATAACCTCAAATTTTACACAAACACGCAAAAGTTGACAACAATCCTCAGAGAATTCTGACGCATTTCTCCACCTTCGTGACCTGCGTAGTGCATTTTATCTTTTTCATTCCGCATACATAAATACATAAATAAACATGAATCTCACAGATTTATCTTTTTAAAGAAAACATAAACATGTAATTTTGCCAAAATTGATATTTTAGATATATTGTTCAATGTTTTCAAGAAAGGAACAGCTGATTCAACGCACCGGTAAAAGTGGAGTCGGACGTTTCTCATTTTTAAAACTCTTAATTGAAGAATACCGTAACACCAAATCTCGAGGTAATTCATTGTATTGATTGCATGTTTTAGATAAAAGTTATCCCCTTGCATAAAATGTATATATATATAAAATGGAACGCTGCGGAAATTGAAAAACATAACCTTATATTCGTGAAATATTTTATAATTGTTTGTATTTTTATTTTTTATTTATAGACGCAAAGGAACAAGTTTTGGCAAATCTCGCTAATTTTGCCTACGATCCAGTTAATTATGATTATTTAAGAACAATACGAATAGCAGACTTGTTTCTAGAAGTTCTCTCTGAAAATAACAAAAATCTCGTACGATTTGCTATTGGTGGTATTTGCAATTTATGCTCTGGTAAGTTTGCGAGTTATTACTGAGATTAATTCAAGGTTGCCACAGGTCAGGGAAAAGTCAGGGATTTTTATTAAAATTAATGGAAAAAATTAAATGTTTAGAATTTATAAGAAAATTCTGAATTTCTGTGTCTGTTTGCCTCATAAACTATGGAATTACCACGAATTATAAAAAAAACCTTAAAATTTTTCTTTTACTGACAATAATTTATTTTAAATAACTTAATTCTATTGATGAACTGACATAAAGTTATTACTTACAAATCATTTAATGAATTTTTTTTTTTGGTAAATTTTTATTTCCAATTCTGTTAACGTTTCAATTATCTTTATAAATAGCAAAATTTTTCGCTGAAATTCAATTATATTCAGGAATTTCAATAAAATCCATTGTAAAATTCAATTATTTTAAAAATGAATAAAATTCTTTGGAGAAATTCAATTATTTTCAAAAAATCTAAAAAAAAAATTGTCATCAACATTTCAATTATCTTTATAAATGAATAGCAAAATTCTTCGACAAAAATCAATTATTTTAAGGCATTTTAATATAATTCTTTGCAAAATTCAATTATTTTCATAAATAACAATATTCATCACAAGAATTCAATTATTTTTTAATGCAATAAGTTTCTTGGAAATTCAATTATTTTCAAAAATTTTTCTTAATTCAATGATTTTCAATATTCTAGTACTATTTTAAAATGTCTTAAAAAAATTTAATTATTAAACAAAAATTTTGATAATATTCTACACGTACATTCAATTATTTTCAAAAAAAAAAGGAAAATTTCACAGGAATTCAATTATTTAAAATAGAAATTGCATAAATTTTTTGGAAAAAATCAATTGTTTTAAAATTTGGCATTAAATTTATCACAGTAATTCAATTATTTTCATTAATAATAAAATAATTCGGAGGAAGTCAATTATTTTCATAAATAACAATATTCATCACAAGAATTCAATTATTTTCAAAAGTAATAAAATTGAATTATTTAAAAAAATTTTAATAAAAATTCATTGCAAAATTTCAATTATTTTTAAAAATTTTTCTTTATTCAATAAAATTTGTGAATCTATTATTTTAATAAAATTTCCCAAAAGAATTCAATTATTTTCATAAATAACACAATTCATTTGCAGAATTTTTATTATTTTTAATAGAATTTTAAACGAATTCCTCGAAAAATGTAATTATTCTTTAAAATGTTATTAAAATTCGTCGAGAGATTTCAATCATTTAAAAATTTGTTATTCAAATTATGTATAAGAATTCAATTTTCAGAAACATTCAATTATTAAATAAAATATCTATTTTTTGTATTTAAATAATTGAATTCTGGTAGAATTTTCTAATAAAAATTGATTTAAAAATTAATTTCAGTTAAAGTTTTCGATAATAATTAAATTTTGGAGAAGATACTAATAATTGCATTTTTTAGAAATAATTGAATTTTGTAAAAGTTTCAAATTAAAATCTTTGAAAATTTTAATTTTTCATATTTTTAATTAAAAATTCTATGGAACTAATTTTTTTCAAAATGCTTAATCGAAATTTTTTAAAATTATTTCAAGTTTTTTTTTCTAATGAATATTTAATTGAAGAATTTCCGAATAATTGAAATTTCACGTAAAATTGAAAATAATTTAATTTTATGAACAATTTCTTTCAAGTTTTTAAAATAATCGCGTTTGTTAATAATTGAAATTGAACATTTAATTATTGAATTATAGTAAAATTTTAGAAAATAATTGAATTCTTTTGAAAAATTTTTTTAACGAATTAAAAAAAAATTTGATTCTTTCGTCAAATTTCTTTAAAAATAATTAAATTTTACTATTTATAAATATATTTGAATTGTTTCGAAGGATTTATTAAAAGTTTAGAAAATAGTTGAATTTTTTTAAAGAATTTATTAAAATTTTAGAAAATAATTGAATTCGTTTGAAAAATTTGATAAAGAATTAAGAAAATAATTGAATTTTTGCAAAGATTTTACTATTTAAAAAAAATAATTGAATTGTTTCGAAGGATTATTAAAAGTTTAGAAAATAATTGAATTTTTTCGAAAAATGTTATTAAAAATTTTTTTAAAATTTAATTCTTTCATGAAATGTCATTAAAATTATTGTATTAAAAATAATTGAATTTTTGCAAAGAATTTTACTATTTATAAATAAAATTTCAATTGTTTCGAAGGATTTATAAAAATTTTACAAAGTAATTGTATTCGTTCGTAAAATTTTATTAAAATTTTGTTTCAAAATAATTGAATTTTAGCAAAAAATTTTACTATTCATAAAAATAATTAAATTCTTACGAAGGATGTTATTATTTATGAAAATAATTTAATTCTTGCGAAGAATTTTAGTAAAATTTTTAAAATTAATAAACAAGAATAATTAATTAGTAAATTAGTGAATCAGTCAGAATAAAGTCTGGAAATCAAAGAAAAAGAAAATTAAATTTTTTGTGGCAATCCTGTAATTATTTTCTTCAGAAAATCAAATACAAATGAAATATTTTCAGATCCCTTGAATAGAGAGTACATTCTGCGAAATCAGGGAATATCGTTAGTCTCCCCTCTTTTATCATCATCTGACGAAGAAACAGTTTTGTCCGCAATTACAACTCTCATTTTTCTAATAACTCCCGAGTCAAAGGAGGAAATTGTCACCAAAGAAATAATTAACTGTATGATTAGTTTTTCTAAAGTGAAGAACGCACGTTTACGAAATTTATCGACTGTTTTCCTCACGGATTATTGTGACCCAAAGGAAGTGGAGAGAATTCGAAATACTTAATAGAAATATTAAACAAATATAAACAAAACATCAATGAATAAATTAGCATTCAATAGGGAAAAGCAAATAATTTCCACAATGAAGGCAAAGACATTTCGCACTTTATTTACTTCAGTTAAGAAATATTGTACAATTCCAGAGGTGGAATCAAGTCAAACAAATCTCGTTCAAACGAACCTAAAACCAGGAAGTCGAGTTTCAATTCTTCGAGTCATCACCAAAGAGGATGTTCTTGCTTTTGCTCAATTAACAAATGATTATAATCCAATTCACGTGAATTCAGAGAAGAACATTGCGCACGGTGCATTTTTAAATGGATTATTGTCCGGAATTCTCGGCACAAAATTACCAGGACCTGGTACTCTAGTTGTCGAGCAAGTGTTGAGGTTCCCAAAGCCATGTTACGTTGGTGACACAGTTGAACTTTCTGTCGAAATTGTCGCAGTGAGAAAAATCATAAAATGCAAATACAAATGCATAGCAAATACAAATCGTGTCGTATTAGAAGGCGAGGCCAAGCTCATAAAAAACGAAGACATAACTCAAAAAATCCAAAGTTCGAATTAACTTGACTTCGAATTTTTAAATTTAATTCGAGGGAAAATAAACAAAATTTTTGTATAAAATAAAAACAAATGTAAGAAAGTATTTATTGAGACTAAACAAAAAAATGATATATTTCGATAATATGTATAAGAAAGTGATGATCTTTCTTTAGTATGTTTATACATTATGCAAGATGTGTCAAAGTAGAACGTAAGGGAAATAATTTTGCATTCTTCAGCAATTTATGATAATAATTTCTTTAATGCACAATATTTTACTTTACGAAGAAAAATTGTTTCATTTTGAGAGAGGAATTCGAAAAAAGATGCAGTCCTTAATATGGTTAGTGATTCTTGTCATCAATTGTACGAGTGCTTTGCAATTAAAAAAAGAAAATTCGACGAGTGAAATTGCAAAAGAATCATCCGGATGTTTTTGTGGAATATTCATGGACGGACAGTTAAAAAAAGGAAGCGGAGGACAGCCAAAGGGGGAGGCAATTTTATCTCAAAAACAGTCAATTTCCGGACCTTGCAACTCAATTGGAAACCGAATTTGTCTGAAGAGTTGTCTAAAGACTGTAAGTATTTTCAGATTTAATAAAATATTTTTATTTGAAATTATTAATTTCAGGGCTCGAACTAAGTCCATATATCCCATAATGGTCCGTAAATTTACTTGAAATCCGTAAAAGTCAGTTTTTTTTATTAAATGTCCGTAAAGTCCGTAATTTGATTAAGAAAAGACGAAAAGTTCGTAAATTATACGATAAAATTTAGAGAATTTTAGAGAAATTAGAAATTATTCCAGAAATTCAATTATTTTCAAAAGTAATAAAATTCTTCGCTGAAATTCAATTATATTCAAAAATTTTTTTTTTAATTCTCGTAAAAATTTCAATTCTCTTTATAAATAATAAAATTCTTCTTCGAAATTCAATTATTTTCAAAAATTTTAATAAAATTCTTGGCAAAATTTCAATTATTTTCAAAAATTTTCCACAATTCAATGATGTTTCAACATCTACTAATTTAATAAAATTTTTCAAAAGAATTAAATTATTTAAACGAAATTTTATTAAAATTCTACGCAAACGTTTCATTATTTTCATAAATAATAAAATAATTTCACAGGAATTTTATTATTTACAAATTTTTTATAAATTTCTTTGCAATCATTCAATTATTTTCATAAAAAATGACATTTTTACAGGAATTCAATTATTTAAAACACAATTTTCATAAAAATTTGCGAAAAATGTAAATTATTTAAAAATTTTTTTATAAAATTCATCGCAAGTAAATAATAAAATTCTTTTTAGGAATTCAATTATTTAAAATGATTTTTATAAAATTAATTCTACTATTTTTAATATAATTTTAAATTATATTAAAAACATATTTTTACAAAATTCTTTGCAAACATTCAATTGTTTTAATAATTAATAAAATTTTCATAGAAATTGAATTTCTTAAAACACAATTTTCATAAAAATTTTCGAAAAAAGTCAATTTCTTAAAAAAACTTGAATAAAATTCATCGCAAGAATTCAATTATTTTTGGAAATGTTAATATAATTCTTCTTTGGAATTAAAATATTTTTTAAAAAAATTTTATTTAAATTCCTTGCAAGAATTCAATTATTTTCATAAGTAATAAAACTCATTGCAGATTTAAATTATTTTTAATACAACTTTAAATTGTATTTAAAACATTTTTTAGTTATTTTAAAAAAATATAATAAATACAAAAGAGAGGAAAAAATGTTGAATTTAAAGAAATTCGGATTTTTTAATTTTTGATAATTTTCGATAATTTTAGATTTTTTACCAAAGAGTCGAGACTATTTAATAAGTAAAGTATTTTCCAAAAGCACAAAAATAATGAAGCTTAATCCCATAAAAGAGAAGAAAAAATGTTGAATTTTAAGAAAATCAAATTTTTGAATTTTTGATAATTTTAGATAATTTTAGATTTTTACCAAAGAATGGTAACTATTAATTAAGTAGAGTATTTTCCAAGAGCCCAAAAATAATGAAGCTAAATTCCATAAAAGAGAGAAAAAATGTTGAATTTTAAGAAATTTGGTTTTTTGAATTTTTGATAATTTTCGATAATTTTAGATTTTTTACCAAAGAGTCGAGACTATTTAATAAGTAAAGTATTTTCCAAGAGCACAAAAATAATGAAGCTAAATCCCATAAAAGAGAGGAAAGAATGTTGAATTTTAAGAAATTCGGATTTTTGAATTTTTGATAATTTTAGATAATTTTAGATTTTTACCAAAGAATGGTAACTATTAATTAAGTAGAGTATTTTCCAAGAGCCCAAAAATAATGAAGCTAAATTCCATAAAAGAGAGAAAAAATGTTGAATTTTAAGAAATTTGGTTTTTTGAATTTTTGATAATTTTCGATAATTTTAGACTTTTTACCAAAGAGTCGAGACTATTTAATAAGTAAAGTATTTTCCAAGAGCACAAAAATAATAAAGCTAAATCCCATAAAAGAGAGGAAAAAATGTTGAATTTTAAGAAATTCGGTTTTTTGAATTTTTTCGAATTTTTGATAATTTTAGATTTTTTACCAAAGGGTGGAGACTATTAAAAGTAAAGTGTTTTTAAAGAGCCCAAAAATAATGAAATTAGATTTAAAATTCCACTGGAATTTCGTAAAAATTTGACCTGGAAATCATGGAAAAGGTATGAAATTTTAAATTCGGATTTCTGTAGGAATCCTGTTAAGAAGAATTTTTTCAAAAATTATTAAAAACAATTGATTTAAAGAACAATTTTTTTTTAAATTGTAGAAAATAATAATTGAATTGAAATGATGAAAATAATTTTGAAGAAGTTAAAGTAACAATATTGTTATAATATAAAATTGTAATTTGTAATTAGTCTGTAATTTTTCTTTTTAGGTCCGTAAAGTTCATATTTTTTAAATACTTTCACTGGTTCGAGCCCTGTAAACTATATTGAAATCAAATTTTTTTTTGTTCTTTCTGCTCTTCTCTTGCATTTTTTTCCCAAAGTATTCGAATTATCGAAACAATTCTCAATTGAATTAACAATTGTTTAAGTAGAAAAAATTTGTTTACAGGCTTTAAAGTACATTTCGAATGGTGGGGAGATTTTGTGCGGTTCCCTAGGACGGGACTGTTTTAAAGAACGAGTATGTTTTAAACTAAAAATGAAAAATATTATTCACCATTAATATTTCAACAAAAAAATTAACAAGAGAAACTATTTTCAGGCTCATTTATTCATTAAAAACTGCAATGACGAGTGGAACAACACAAATTTATCGAGGGAATTTTGCTGCAAGAATGGCAATCCATACAAGTGTTTTGGTATCAATTTTAAAAATCCGCTGAAAAGCAAATTTTTTTCAAGTTAAGCTCAAAAAAAAAAAAAACAAACGTCACTTATATAATATTCATTATCATCTGCATGCAATAAAATTTGTCTTTTTCTAAATTCTCGATTCTTTTCAAACAGCCCGCTCTGAATTAAATTTAGACCAAAATTCCCGTCTCGGGAAAGAACCTCGTGATCCAAGATTAATGCCTGCCGAGAGTTTGAACCTATATTTAGATTGTGTGTCAACAAAAAAAGTGAAAAAGAAATTAATTTCTGAATTTTTTCCAAATAACAACAGTAAATGGATTTTTCTTTCTTTTGAAAAAAAAGGTGAAGTGATTTTCAATTGGAAAAAAAATTTCCTAATTAAAAAATTTATTGTCAAGATGATTAAGTTATAACCTCCAAGATCAAGGGCCTTTTTAATTATAATTTAAATCGTTCATCAGTTGGCAGAGACTTTGACATGCAGCGAGTGTGCTTTTGCAATCCAAAGAGGAAGAGTTACAAAATTCAAGTGAATCGTTCAAAAATTTAATTGTTCAAACAAAAAATTCTTTATAAAATCCATTTTTTCATGTTTCAGTTATTTTCTTCGGCATTTTTGAGAATATCGTCTAAAAAAAGGAAAAAAGTGACGAATAGAGAGAAAAATTGAGAGTTATGTAAACAAGTTTAGTGAATTAAATATTTTTTTCTCTGGAAAATGTGCGCGCGACTTTTAGCATGTCCTTTATGCTCTCAACCTGGATTTCTCACTTTGGATGCTCTACGAACTGGCCTTGTTAGTGTCGCAACACGTCCCCTCGCCTGTCCAGTTTGCAATGAAGTTTTATTGGGAATCGATAAATTGACAATTCACCTATTTGGTCATACAATAAATACGAATAATTTGAATGTGAATCAAAGTAATGTTCAAATTTTACATAATATTCAAGCGATACCAGTGCAAACGTGGAATATTTTAAAAGCACAAAATTTACCCGAACTCACTGAGAAGACAACATTCGATCGACAAAAGCAAGAATCGTTTATTTTAAAGGACAATGAAATGATAATTAATTCGCATATTTCTCACGATGATCAAAATAATGAACCAAAACAAGTGATTTTTCTTCAAAATATGACCACTGATCAAATTTATCCCACGAGTTGTGGATTTTCGAAAAATCCACCACAAAAAAGAATTGAAAAACAAATTGTCAATTCCGAGTCGCATGAAATTAATTCCCTGGTGCAAAGTAGACAGAGTTTAGTTAGAAATTCGAATTTAAATCCAGACAATGGGAATTTAATTCCAAGTGGGAATTTAATTCAAGAAAACAAGATTCAAAGTAATTTAGTTGAAAACTCAGTTTTGACTCAAGATACAAATTTATTTGAATCCAGTGTTAGTTTACTCCAAACTAATTCGATTTTACCGAAAAATTTGACTTCGTCACAGAATAAATCGAATTTGGCTCCAACAAACACTTTCGGTGGTACAAATTTACAACAAAATTCCAATTTTCTTCCGAACAATCTTCAGGAAAATTCGAATACACTGGGGAATGATTCAAACGAAAAATCACTAAATCTACAAGTGGGAACAATCAACAATTCGTGGATTGAAAATAATTCAGGCACAACGACAGCAACTGGAAATTTGAATGAAATAGAGGAAATTCCGATCGAAGTAAATGAAAGTGAAAAAAATTCGAATAATGAAAATAATGCGCGAGATTGTGAGAAAGGAAAAACGGAGGAAGTGGAAAATGAGGGGAAGGAAAAATCGCAGGATCCAATTTTACCTTATTTGAAAGCCTTTCGATTATTGGCATCGAATGAGAAAATGGAACGATGCAATATTTGCGGTTATCGATGTGATGACAGGAAAATTCTCATTCTTCACAAGCAATTAGTTCATATGATCGCGGAGAAAGATATGAACGTCAGGCCCGAAGACTTATTGAAAAATTATCCTTGCCATTTGTGTACAAAAGTATTTAAAATGAGAGGCAGTCTCATGGTTCACATGCGAGTCGCACACACTAATTATAATTCAGGTAATTTTCTCCGAAAATACTTAAGTTAAAGTTTTAAGTTCCCAAGTCTTTAAATTGTAAATTAATATGAATGTTAATTACAATCTTTTTTTTTTTTAATTACAGGTTGTTTGACAATCGATCCGGAATTATCACCAAACAACGAAAATGGCTACAATTGTCCAATTTGTGGAAAAAATTTCAAAAAGGTACAATTTTATATTCAGCCTTCGCACTCATCTAGTAAAACCTACTATTTACAACTTTTTTTAATCAAATTCTTTAAAACGATTCAATTATTTTCAAAAAATATTCGAAATTCATTTTCAATATTTAGTATTTTTATAAAATTTCGCAAAAGAATTCAATTATTTAAAGAAAAAATGATAAAATTCATCCAAAATTCAATTATTTTCATAAAATAATAATATTTCCACAGGAATTCAATTAATTTCAAAAAAATTTCGAAAAAATCAATTATAACAAAATTTCTAACAAAATTTTTATACAAATTCAATTTTTAAAAAAAAATTTTTTGATAAAATTCTAAACAAGAATTCAATTATTTTCATAAATAATAAAATTCATCGCAGGATTTCAATTATTTTTAATACAATTTTTTAAAAAATGTAGTTATTCTTGATCAATTAAATTAAAACAATGTTTTTTGATAAATTCATTGGAAGAATTCAATTATTTGCAAAAATATTAGAATTTTTCACAGGAAATCAATTATTTTAAAATATTTTAATAAAATTGTTCGAAAGAAATCAATTATTATTTTAAATACAATTTTAATTAATTTTTTTTGAAAAAATCAAATTATTCTTTTAGATTTTATTAAAATTCTTCTCAAGAATTCAATTATTTCCATAAAGAATTCTATTATTTACATAAATAATTCTTCGAAAGAATTCAATTGTGTCGATAAATAACGAAATTATTCCCAAAAATTCAATTATTTTGAAGCATTTTAATAAAATTCTTTGAAAAATTCAATTATTTTCATAAATAACAATATTTATCGCAAGAATTCAATTATTTTTAATTAAGTAATAAATTTCTTCTTGAAAATTCAATTATTTTAAAAAATTCTAATAAAATCGTTCGCAAGAATTCAATTATTGTCAAAAATTTTAATTGAATTCATATCAAAATTTCAATTATTTTTAAAAGTTTTTCTTAATTTAGTGATTTTTAATGTTCTACTAGTTTAATAAAATGTCTCAAAAAATTCAATTATTAAACAAAAATTTTGTTAATATTCTACACAAACATTCAATTATTTACCAAAAAAATAAAAATTTCCCAGGAATTCAATTATTTAAAATAAAATCTGCATACATTTTTTCGAATAAAAATCAAATGTTTTAAAATTTGGCATTAAACTCTTCGTAGTAATTCAATTATTTTTTCATAAATTTTAAATTTAATTTCAGAGAATTAATTATTTTCATAAATAATAAAATGCTTTTTAGAAATTCAATTATTTCCAAAAAATGTAATAAAATGCCACACAAACATTCAATTATTCTGAATAATTTTAATAGAATGAATTTTTTCTCAGTTTTGTGAAGTACCTAAAATGAGTTTTTTTGATCGTCAAGTTTAATTTTTCGATAGCTACTTTTTTACTACTTTTTTTTAGTTTGAAAGCTACTTTTTGCTACTTTTTTAAAATTAATTATCGAGTGCGAAGTCTGTATATTGAATGGAATTGAATTATTATTAAAGGAAGAAAATTCTCTTTTTTAGGAACAACATGTGACGCAGCATTTAAAGACACACGACGGCAAACAATGGGAATGTGATATTTGCAGTAAAATGTTTACTACAAAGTATTTTTTGAAAAAACACAAAAGACTTCATTCAGGCGAAATGCCATATAAATGTAATATTTGTGATAAAACATTCACATTTCAACAATCATATCACAAGCACAGACTGTATCATAAAGATGATAAACCACACACTTGCAATACTTGCGGAAGATCATTTAAGGAACTCTCAACTCTTCATAATCATGAAAGAATACACACGGGGGAAAAACCGTTTGCCTGTGAAACTTGTGGTTAGTTCGAAAAGGACAATTTATCGAAAGTTTTCTTTATTGTTTGAATAACAATTTTTGTTCTGCAGTTTTACTAACAAAAAATTGTGATAATAATCACAATCAGTGATTTTGTTTGCATGTTTTGGCACTTGAAAGAATAGAAGAGTAGAAGGTGAGTTTATTTTTGAAATGTTAAAAAAAAACAGTTTTCTGTATTCCAAATGCAAAATTATCAAAGTTCGATTATATTTCAAGTTACTGAATTTTTTTAGGAAAATGTTTTCGACAACGAGTCTCCTATTTGGTACACCGACGAATTCACACTGGTGTGATGCCCTACAAATGCACAAGTTGTGGAAAATGCTTCAGATATAAAGTAAATTTTATTCCCTTTATTTATTTATTTATTCTGAATTCTTTGCCATAGGTCAGGGAAAAGTCAGGGAAATTAGAATTGGTCTGAGAAATCAGGGAAAAGTCAGGTATTTTTATTAAAAGTACTGGAAAAAATTAAATTTTTAGAATTTATACGAAAATTCTGAATTTTTGTGTCTTTTTTGTTTGCCTCATAAACTAGGAAATTACCACGATTTCTAAAACAAAACATTCAATTTTTTCTATTTTTGACAAAAAAGTCACAAAGTCAAAATCAGTCAGAAAAAAGTCTGGAAATCAGGGAAAAGTTAGGGGAAAATTAAATTAAATTTTTGTAGCAATCTTGTGAATAGATACAAAAATAAAAGTAAACAAAAAAGAAGTAAATACAAAATAAATACAAAAAAGAAAATTATCTAATTTCTTTTTTTTTTGCACAGGTAAGCCAAAGGACTCACAAGTGTCAAATACCAGCGGAGAATTTATCCCAAAATTCCGAAATTCTATTTCAACGATTGCTGCAAATTTCCGAGCCAAAGGAGAAAAATAACGAATTGCTTGAAGAGGAGACACAACGAATTGAGGCAAAATGCAGCGAACGGAATAAATTTATTCTATTAATGAATGAAGAAGGCGAACCAATTCTAACACGACAATCCGATTTAAACAATGCCAAAGAAAAAGAAATACCAACGGAATCGATAAACAAAGAAAATTCCAAAAAAGAAGAAAACCTTTGGATTCAAGAGAGAAATAACGTAAATTCGTCAAATTCACTGAAGGAACAACATGTTGATAGGGAAAAATTACAATTGGAAGTTCCACAAGATATTTTTTCCATGATGTTGTTGCCCAGTGAAAAAGATGCGCCAACACCGTCTACAGAAATGGAGCACTTGAGACTTTCGAGTCCAATTCAAAAGGAAAGTGAAATTATCGAAAATTACAATGATAATCATAATAAACTGGAAATAATGGGAATAAGTCGGGAAAATATTCGCGAAAGATTTGAAAATAATATTGCCAATTCATTACGAACAATAGACGATGCATCGTTAAGTGAATTGATCTACGGAATTAGTCAAGAATAATTAATAGTAAATTATAGTAAATTTTTATAAAAATAATATAAAGAAAAATATACTTTTTCTATAATTAAGTAATTTTCAATTTTCGAAAGTAATTCTAGTCACTGACAAATATTTTCAAATAAATTATTCTTATCTCTATTATTCTTTATCTTGACTAAGTATTCCAATTTTTTTGGACAGAAATTTATTCTAAATGTCAAGTAATAACAGTAAATAACGTTCATTTTGAAAATAAATCTAATTTTAATCCTTATCCAATTGCAAAATACAGTACAAAACATTTAATTTATATTATAATTGAAATTAAAATTTTCTATCAATATCGTTTGGAAATTATTCAAAAAGAAAAACTCATTTACCCTCTTTGGAATTTTTCTTTTAAATAAACAATTTTCCTTAACGATAAATAAGAAGTTAAAAAAAATTCTTTTGTTCTCTTTTACAAACTTTTTTTTGTACATTTATTTATGTAATTAGTACTTTAATGGAAAATACATAAATTTTTGAAAGCAATTTAAACTATGGTCGTTAATATTTATGAAAAAAGTATAAATACTCAGCAACAATGTTGACTACTGAAACTACTATAGTTAAAAATTTTGAAAACGAATTTTTGCAAAAATGTATTTTAAACATTTTTACATTATATTTTTCTGTTTTATTGTAAATCTATTAATGACGACAGTTAACGCAAGTTGTATAAAAGAAGTAATTCGACATGATCACGAAACAGTCACTTCATATCTCTGCAACGATTAATTAATTATGGATAAATTCAAGTAAATATAATTAACATTTTTTTTTGGAAATAATATAAAAATTGCTACAAATAAACATTTTATAAATTAAAAAAAACTTTAAACTATAGTTTCGATAAATTTTTCTCACAGATTTGAAAGAAGAAAATTTTACGACAAACGGAAAAAAAGTATTTTTTATTTAAAAATGTATTTTCCGATTAATTATTTATAAATTAATTTATATTAAATTATATTAATTGACATAATAATAAAGTTGATTATAATTTAATTCATATTAATTGCCATAATAATAAAATTGATTATAAATTAATAAATTGCAATAAAATATATAATACATGTGTTTGATCAATTATTTGTCACGTAAATAATTATTTATGCCGGTGAATTTGTTTCAAAAGAACAAATTCGTTTTGTTATCGCAAATAATTTATGTCAATAACTAGAAAATAATTTTTTGTTTTAAAAAAATAAATTTTCTTTTGAAATATGTAATTATTTTCCATGGCGGTAGATAAGAAAATAAAAAATTATATATTTGTTTTCTTAACGAGGGAATATAAATACTGTAAGCAAACCCAACTGTTTGCTAATTTTTATCTAAAACTTCTCCAAGTCTCACGGGAATTAAAATATAAATATTATAAATTATATAAAATCATATAAATTATAAAAAATTAAAATGTATTCATTTAAAACTCTATACTTTTTGTTATTCTGCTTGATTTTGAGTCTCTTTTTGACGACGATAAATGCTGCTTGCAAAAGAGAAGGAAAATGGTGTAATCCACAAGGTTCAAAAGATGAATGCTGCAGTACTGTGTGTTCTAAGAAATTCAGAACTTGTCTTGGATAACATTGAAATAAGAACTTTTTAAAGTAAGTTAAATATAAGATTACATTTTTATTTAAACCTTCTTTGAAAAATTAATATTTTTGAAAATTATTCCGCAGAGTTGATATTATACAATTTTCGGAGAAAAGTTAGCATTTTCTCTTGATCTTCATCAAGTTTATTTTGATTTTGTAAAATTTGAGTGACATTAAAAATTGTATTTGTCGAAATAAACGAAAGTTAAAAATTGAATGTTAAATTATTTACAAACTCACCTAATTAGATTTTTTTATTCTATATAAAGAGAGATTAAATATTTAGACTGCAATAAAAATCCGTTTGGAATAAGAATTTTCCATTTTTTTCTGAAACAAAAAAAAAACATACGATTTAAAGTCTTCGATTATGGATAAATTCAAGTATAACTATAAAATAAAATTTAATTATAAAAAAAATTCTTTGGAAATAATTTGTAATGCTACAAACAATAAATTATTGTTTTGATAAATTTTTCACAGATTTGAAAACGAAACTTTTACGACAATTTTAATAAAATTCTCCGATATAATTCAATTATTTTCAATACCTACAATAATTATTTTCAATTCTTCTTAAGAACTTAATTATTTTCACAAATAGCTAATTTTTTTCATGGGAATTCAATTATTTAACAATATTTGAATGAAATTATTCGCAAGAAATCAATTATTTTCATAAATAATAAAATTTTTCTCGGGAATTCGAAAAATTATAATGAAATTGATCATAGAATATAATTATTTTCGTAAAATATAACATTTCTTAGTAAAAATACAATTATTGTCAAAAACGTTAGTAAAAATCTTCGAAACAATGTAATTATTTTCGTAAAAAATAAAATTCTTCGAAGCAATTCAATTATTTAAGAAATTTAAATAAAATTTTTCCCAAGAATTCAATTATTTTCAAAAATAAAATTTTTCACAGGAATTCAATTATTTAAAAAAAAAATTTAATAAAATTCTTCGTCAGATTTCAATTTTTTTAATATTTTTTAATGAAATTTCTTGAAAAAATTTAATTATTTTCAAAAGTTTTTTAAAAATTCTGAGAAATTCAATTATTTAAAAAAAATTTGAATAAAATTCTTCATAAGAAATCAATTATTTTCGTAAATACTAATATTTTTTCCGGAGTTCAATTATTTTCAGAAATAAATTTCTTCACTGGAATTCAATTCAATTTTAAGATTGTATTTTCACGTGAATAATTGTTTATATTGGTAAATTTGTTTTAGAAAGAACAACTTTGTTTACAAAAAAACTCTGTTATCTCAAATAATTGATGTTAATTACTAGAAAATAACTTTTAGTTTAAAATAAAATTTTTATCTTGCGAAATAATTATTTTCCGTATGTCAATTGATAAAAAAGTACCCAAAAAATTATGTTTGTTATCAAGAGAATATAAATACTGTAACCAAACTCAGTTGTTTACTAATTTTTATTTAAAACTACTCCAAGTATCACACTTTGAATAAAAAATATGTATTTATTTAAAACTCTATACCTTTTGTTATTCTGCTTAATTTTGTGTCTTTTTTTACCAACAATAAATGCTGCATGCAAAGTACAAGGATTATTTTGTGTTAAGAAAAGAAAATATGAATGCTGCAGTGGTATGTGTCTTCAAAGATACGGAACTTGTTTTGGATAAATTGTAATAACAGTTGTTTTTGAGTAAGTAAAATATTAATAAATAAATTTAAATCGAAATGTTACGAATAATAATTAATTTTTATGGAACTTATTCCGCAGACAGCTGCGGAAAAAAAGCAGCGTATTTGATTTGAATTTAAGGCAATAATTTAAAAATTATGGAAAACGATTATTAAAAATCAAGACTATTTACAGAGAGAAAAAAATCTGCTTTTTCTCTTGATTTTCACCAAGTTCTTTTTTAGATTTGATTTTGTAAAATTCGAGTGACATTAAAAATTATATTTGTCAAAATCGTCAAAATAAACAAAAGTTCAAAATGTACGTTAAATTATTTACAAACTTACCTAATTAAATTTTTAATTTTATAAAGTGGAATTGAAATATTTATATTACAATAAAAATCCGTTTTCAATTTACATTTTGCTTTCTATTTTTCTCTAAAACAAACAACAATAACAGACGATTTAAAGTTTTCTTAAAGAAAACATGGACGCCAATGTTGACATTTGACAAAGACGAAGTGACAGTTAAAATACAAAATTTTTTTTTCTCTTAAATTGTTTGTTTTTTTTATATTTATTTTAAAATATTAAAATATTTTCCAATTTTCATTATTTTTATTAATCGAATTGAAGACAAATATAACAAAAGTATTTTATTTTTTAATTTTTACATATAACTTTTTAAATAGACCCGCTCTTCCCGACCAATGAGAAGCTCGTACGAAAGCGCAAGCGCAGCAAGTGCTTTTTGGTCGTGAGAACCAGCCTTTAATGTCGTATATTTATCAACAGTCGTCTAGTGTCACAGTGTAGTGTGAAGTGTGGTTATAAATAAGTTGTCAATATTTATTTTTTACGTAAGAAAAGTCACAAATTTTTAATAAATTTATGAATGTAAGCATGTATCTAATAATTTATTGACAGCAAATTAAAGTTCTCGATTGAACAAGCGAAATACACTAAAGGATCATTGTTATTCACTTTACTGTAAAACCGCGTAGGAAATTTGCATTTTCTTTTAAAAATAATGCCCCTAATTACGATTTGGTAGTAACAATTAAAAATACAATCATTAAAAAGCAATAAACACAAAAAGAAAAGTGGATACTTGTGTAAAAATTTCTAAAACACGTTTTTAAGGTTAGAAAAACAATAATGAACGGAATTAATTCTTGACTAAGAAAAAAAGTTAGGAATTTTTTTTTAAATTTACTTTTTAATTACCTATTTCAAAAACAGATGATTGATTTCCCGAGAAATATATATAAAAAATAATTTTGTATATTAGGATTATGACCTTGAAAAAAGTGGCTCTCCCTAGCGACGAATTCAAGCATAAGGCGTATAGGTAGGGATTTCTGATTTCTTTCGATATAATAATTTACAAAATTTCCAACATTTCCCAACCAAAGTTTTAAACTCACGAAAAGACGACGACAACGACGACGTGTGTTAATGCGTGTGTGAAAGTGTGTTTTGTAAATAATCGAATAACTCGAGAATTGGATATAATTTCGATACTATTTTTTATATGAGGAAAATAACACCTTACTAATATTAAACTTGATATTCAAAGAGTTGAAAATTCAATTTACCCCGACAAAAAAGTAAAGAAAGCTTATGTGACTTTGAACTATTGTGAAATGTCGACAGTCTCTGCGACTAAACTGTCTCCTCCAGCAGTAAGTCGTACACAAAGTTCAAGTGGAATCGTGCAACCTGGTGTGGTGAATAAGTGTATTATTTGCGGTCAATTTGACAGACTGCTAAAGTGTTCAAGGTGCAAAATTGCATTTTACTGTTCCAAGGAGCATCAGAAACTTGATCGAAAAAATCATAAATCATTTTGTTTGAAGAGTATTTCGGAAACAATTACAACACCAACCGAGGAGGCTATTTCCAATATTGTTCTCGATTGTGATAAGGAGAAGGAACAAAAGGAACAAAATAAACTTCCAGAGAAGAAAATCCTTACTAATTCTAACCTCAAAAAGAAAATTGTTAAAAGGGAACCTTCTGCTGGACCTTCGGCTGATCGATTCCGTGGTATGTATGACAAAGTATTTGAATTCTTTTGTTTTCTATTCTAGTGTTTCATTTATCTCTTTCTTTTTTGCTGCAAAGTAGTTTTTTATTGTTTTGATATTTTTTGAGAAAATGAAGAAGTTTCAATAAAGTTAATAAATAGTTTCAATTTTTTCTTTTTCTTTTTGCTGTAAAGTAGTTTGTGTTTTGTTTTGATACTTTTTTGAGAGAATAAAGAAGTTTCAATTTTTTATCTCTTTCTTTTTGCTGCAAAGTAGTTTTTTATTGTTTTGATACTTTTTTGAGAGAATAAAGAAGTTCACCAAAAAGTAAATAGAGTTTCAATTTTTTATCTATTTTTTTGCTGCAAAGTAGTTTTTGTTTTATTGTTGTGATACTTTTTTGAGAGAATAAAGAAGTTTCAATTTTTTATTGTTCTGATACTTTTTTTGAGAGAATAAAGAACTTTTTTTAAGAAAAATTGTTGACAAAAAATATTAATCAGATTTAGATTTATAACAATTATTAAAAATAGAGAAGTAAGAGAGAGCGTTTTTTCCTTTTTGTTTATTTTTGTTTATTGCAGAATCGACGAACAAGGCGGACGGTTGGACGTCACCAATAACGTCTGAAGGAAGTTCTGAGGCAACAATCCTGGGCGCTCGTGCCGAATCTTTGAATCCCTCATTAGAAGGTCAAAACGAAGCAGGCATGCATGCCTGTGAATATAATGGTGTGAATAATTTCCCCCAACCCACGGACAATGAATCTCACATAACAGTTTTTAAAAAAATCAAAAATGGATTACTCGACGATGTTTGTAAGGGTGTGATAACGGATATGAATTTATATGGTTTATGTGCCCTCGATGGTTTTATGGGCGATGAAATTGGTGCCGCAGTGTTAAATGAAGTATTGAACGTTTATAGTGCTGGTTTATTTAAAGATGGACAATTAGTATCAAATAGAGCTGGTGCAAATGATTCGAGAACTATTCGCAGCGATCAAATTGCATGGCTCGATGGAAAGGAGGGAAATTGTCCCAATATAGGTTTACTTATATCCCAAGTTGATGCCATTATAATGCGAGCAAATAAAATGATCAACAATGGAAAATTAGGCGACTACACAATAAACCAAAGAACGAAGGTAAATTTTTTATTTCACTTTTTCCAAATAAATTTAAACTTCATATATCGATTTCAATTTGTTTCATCTCTCACGCTGTTTACAGGGAGTATTTTTAAAATTCAAGTCCAAGAGTGAATTCATCAAATCGTCAATTAAATTGGAGAACGGAGAAATTTTCATTAATTTTGATAAAACGAGGAGAGTAAAAAAGAGACAGAGAGGGAGGGAGAGAGAGAGAAGTGTTAAAATTAGGCATGCGCTTTCAAAAAACGTTAATGCTGTTGGTCACGTAGGCCACATTTCCCTTTCTCCCCCCCCCTCTCCTCAATTGTTTCTGATATTTTCATCCTAGAGCAACACCCACATTAAGTAATCGAATGTTGTATACACACAATATGAATAACCCAAATTTGAATTAAGACGGTTTGTAATATTGTCAAAAATTCCTTCAATTCGCGTCGTGTGCAAAGCTCTTTTTTTAACCTTCTTAAAGGTGAAATGATTCCTTCAGTTATTTCTTCTTATCTGACCTACCTCTAGACAGTTTTTATTATCCAAACACACATCAAACTGTTTTTCAACAAGATTAACAGATTCCTCTACATTTAACAATAATAATACTTACTCGCGAAATGAGAAATGAGTGTCGATTATTATTCACGATCAGTGGGTCAAGGTTGAGAGTAAAATCCCAATGTCGAGTAGCGGAATTAATTTTCAAAAATTAAATTTCATTTTTATCCAAGGTATTCCAAGACTCGGAGTGATCGATATCTTCATGTTTTATAATAATATTCTTTTAAATTATTATATTTCAAATTTTTGAATATCTTAATTTCAATAAAAAAAATAATGATTAAATATTTATTTAAAAATGAAATGTTTTCGAATAATTTTCGTTTTAAAAACCTGGAAAACCTGGAAAAGTCAGGGAATTTGAAAAGAGCAAAAGCGTGGCAACCCTGTTATTTTTTAGTTTTCTCGAAAACGAGATAAAAAAAAACTAAAGAAGATGAAGAAAAAGAAAGAAAATAGGGGGGGGGAGGGAAAAAAATTATAAGATGAAGAAATGATGATGAAGACGATTTTCAAGGAAATTTTGAGAAAGCTAAATGATAAAGAAAAAAATGTTTTACATTGTTTTGATAAATATAAAACAAGGAAGTGGTCAGTAAAATGATCTATATATTCGTATCATGTACCTGCTCATTTTTCACATTGTTGCTGCACACGGCTTATCTTATCTGATTCATATAAGAATGCAAAATCATCACTTATCATTGAAACACATAAGAGGATTTTGCATTTTTTTTTCTCCTTATTCTCAAGGTTATTTTTATTCATCTTCTGCAATTTCTTGAAAAAAAATTAATTAATTTTCGCTTTAACCATTCTTTGAATAATCGATAATATTCGAAAGTACTTAAGACTGTCAATAATTAGTTTTAAACGTTCGATAAACACCATTGGGTTTTTAGATGTCGATTATTTTGATTATTTTTAAAGTGGCAATATTCACATTCGCTGGTGGAAAGAATTACTTTGACAAATACCGTATCGTGAATATTTAATATTTGTTCGAGAATTGACAGATTTTTTTTGCCGAGTTTCTCATTCCTAACGTCATTGGCTCTTTAAATATCCCTTAATTGTTCAATTTTTTTTCTCTTTCCCGAAAAGAAAAGAAAAGAAAAAAAAATCATTTCGACTATTTTCATTTCTTTTTACATTTATCATTTCCAAATTTTTCTTGTGAAAAATTTAATTAAAATCTTTAAAAAGTAAATTAAGTCTCACGAGAAATTTAAGTGAAATAATATTGAAAATATATTCTTATATTTAAAGTTTTATCAAAATTTTTGAAAATAATTGAATTTTTGCGAAGAATGTAATAATTATCATGTTTTTAAATAATTCAATTTTTTCGAGAAATATTGAATTGCGGAAATAATTGAAATCTTATGGTAAACATTTGATTGAAATTGCATTGAAAAATAAGTGAATTCTTATTTCAAGAATTTTACCATATAATTTTTCAAAACAATTAAATTCCTATGAAAAAGTTTAATACTTAGGAAAAGAATTAAATTTTTTTTAAAGATCGAATTAAATTATTCTTATTAACTTATTATAAAGAATATTATTGAAATTTTTGCTTCGAATTTTATTTAAATTCTTTAAAGTAATTAAATTGATGCTAAAAATTTTATTAATGATGAAAAGTCACTGAAATCTTGCTAAAAATTGTATTCAAAATTTTCAAAAATAATTGAACTTTTACATGGAATTCAATTTAAATTTTATCAAAAGTATCTATAATTAAATTTTTTTCCTTACAAAGAATTTTATATTGAAATTTTTCGTTATAATACAATTTCTGCGAAGAATTTTATTAATTATGAATTAATAATTAAATTCTCATAAATAGTTTTATAAAAATTTTTCCAAAATAATTGATTTTCTGCGAAGAATTGTATTTAAATTCTATAAAATAATTAAATTCCTTTGAGTAATTTTATAAATTACAGAAATAATTGAAATCTTGTTAAGAATTTTTTAAAATTTTCGAAAATAATTGAATTTTTCCCAGGAATTTAATTTTATTGAAAATATTTCAATTCTCACATAGAAATTAATCAGAATTTTTCAAAGTAATTGAATTTTTGAGAAGAGTTTTATCAAATTTTTTAAAAAAAGTAATTTTTACAGTAAAATTTTATTATTTACGAAAATAATTGAATTTTTGCGGCGAATTTTATTAAAATTTATGAAAAAAATTGAATTTTGTATTTTATAAAAATAATTAAATTTTTGTGAAGAATTTTATAATTTATGAAAATAATTGAATTCTTGAGAAGAATTTTATTACGAGTTTTGAAAATAATTGAATTTTTACTGAAAAATTTTATTATTCATGAAAATAATTGAATTTTTGCTGCGAATTTTATTATTTATGAAAATAATTGAATTTTTGTGAAGAATATTATCGAATTTTTAAGAATAATTTAATTTTTACTGGAAAATTTTATTATTTACGAAAATAATTTAATTTTGAGAAAGAATTTTATTATTTATGAAAATAATTGAATTTTTGCTACGAATTTTATTATTTATGAAAATAATTGAATTTTTGCGGCGAATTTTATTAAAATTTTCGAAAATAATTGAATTTTTCCCAGGAATTTCATTTTATTGAAAATATTTCAATTCTCATATAGAATTTAATTAAAATTTTTTAAAATAGTTGAATTTTTGCTAAGAATTTTGTTTAAATTTTTCAAAATAATTGAATTTTTGCTAAGAATTTTATTTAAATTTTTCAAAATAATTGAATTATTTTTGGAAATTTTATTGAAAATAATTGCGAAGAATTTTATAAAATTTTTGGAAATAGTAACTAATTATAATTAATTAGTAAATTAGTTAATAATTGAATTTTTTAAAATAAGAAAATAAAAAATTAAATTAGTATTTGAAAATAGAAAATTAAATTAATATTTGAAAGGAAAAAATTTAATTAATATTTGAAAATAAAATTCTTTTATTTTGCATATCTAATAATAATAAAATATAGACAATATTTTTTGTCTTGTGATTTTTATCATTTTATTTAGTAAAATAATAAAATAATGAACAAGTTATTTTTATTCAGTAAAATAATAAATATGTTTCTATATTATTGTTCATTTACATAATAAATAAGTTTATTTATTAATTTTTTATTTTAGTTTATTTTATTCAGTAAAATAATAAATATTTTTTTCTATTATTATTCAGTTAAATAATAAAAAAAATTATTATTATTCAGCACTTTTCCATAAATTGTTCATGTTTAGAAAATTTGAAGTTGTTGTATATCAACATAAATCGTGTTAGCAATAGCGGCTACTTTATTGTTGAATAAATTATACATATTCATAGAATGGCAAATAATACGATGCGGTTCACAGATGTATTCTTTGCTTATTATCAACAGCAGGTTCACTGATAAATGTATGAATCACATTATGTTCCTTCTTTAGTCACGTAGGCACTTTTTTTGTTTACTTTTTCAGAAATTATTTTTAGTTTATAAATTAAGTTAAATACCTTGTCCATTTTATATTTAGAATTGTCTTACAGTTCTTTACATTGAGAGAGAGAAAGAGAGCTATTTTGCAAATCAATTTTCAATACTTTTTATCCACAAGTTTTTTATTTTTCAAATGAAGGAAATATTTTTCTTTTGATGAAAAATAAAGTAAAAACTAAATTAAAACCTCTAAATTAAATATTTAGAAATTTTTTTATTTTGATTATTTTTTTCTGAACATTTAGAAATTAAAATTCATTTCGTTTTGAAACGTGACGCAAAACGACTGACTATTTGGTAATATTATGAAGTTTAAAATTTTATTCTAAAAATGTAAGTTATCATAATATTAGATATTTAGATTGTCGTAGATACATTATCAGATACTTTATCACAGTTGTAATTTTGTATTTGCTTCTACTCGTAATGAATTCTTAATGGGTTAAAGAATAGAAAAATTACTGTGTTTATTTTCAAAAATTTTCATATTTTGTGAGGAGAAACTTATTTTTCACGACTAAACTCACCAGGAAGTAAATAATTTATCTTTTCACTGAAAATCGTCAATTAGTTTTACAAACTTTTTTTTCTTTTCGAATTGATTTCAAACGTCGCTGAAATTCTCAATATTTAGTGATCAACGATTGAGAGAAAAAAAAATATTTTTCCTCATGGAAACAATAAAATCTTTTGTTTAGAAATTTTTCTTTTTCAACTTACTGATCAAACAATTCTGCGAAACATTTTTCGTACAAAAATTAGACAGAAAAAGAAAGAAAAATATTTTTTTTTTATACAAAAATAGAGAAAATGGATTTTATATATTATTATATTTTTTTACATATTTAATTTAATTCAATTTAAATAAATTAAATTTAATATCTAAATATTTAATGACTAAGAATTTTTGACATAAATATTTAATTAAATTCTAAATTTAATTAATATTTCATTTAATTATAAATTTAATAAATATATTTTTCATTATAAATTAAATTTAATTAAATTCCACATTAAAAAAATCCAAAGGTAGAAAAATAATTTTTGTTCAAAATCGTTAATTATATAAACATCGTGAAATTCGGCAACGTAAATTGAAGGAAAAATCATATTGTCAAAAATTTGTTATGTGTTCTTGAACACGTAGTCCAGGTTACACGTGATGATTTTAAAAGTGCAGCCAACAAAATGTGAAATGCATGACACAATTTATCTAATTGGGACAAAATCTCCAAAAATTAATTAAATTTTCTTTTCGAAAATTACAAATTCATATTTTTTCAATTGTCAAATACTCAAATTTGTCGAATCGAAATTGTACCAGTATTTTATTGACTTGTTAATTAATAATTTCCCTTATAACTGGCATTATCGTATTACATTACCGGATTACATATTAAAAATATGAATCCGAAAAAAGAAGATAATTGCGTAAGTGAAATTTCTGTTCTGTCCCACTATTTAATTCTGCCATTTTTTTTTTATTTTTCTATAAAGGTAACCGGTTTAAGCAATCCTGTTTCTTGTATATATATACGATTTCCGAGAAAAGTATAGATGATAATAATCCATGTGAGAGGACAAACTGTGCGTTAGTTAAAAAAATGTCTTATACTCATTGAGGTTCATTAAAATCTTGTAATTTGGATAATCATTTCACATTTTCAGAAATATTATTCAGAAATTCGTATTTTAGATTCTCCAATGTTTTTTTTTTCTCTTATGATTTTTACGATCACGTTCATTCATGAAGGATTATTTTTAAATCTCTTTCAAACTCGTAGGTAAGCTCTTTGTGAATAAAAACAAAGACCGATCTCCTTTTGCATTGAATCTGCGGAACAATGTAAAAAATTGAATTTAATGAAAATTTATTTTTCTTTGCAGTGGAAATTTTTATTGAGTTTTACAGTGTCTTAAATCTAGAAGAGAAAACGTTTATTATAATTAATAATTAGTTTAAAATAAGTTTTTATAATAATATATTATTATATAAAATAATATTACAGTGAAACCTGTCGGAATGCAACTGGATTTTTTAAATTTCATGACTGTAAATAAATTTTATGATCCTTAAAAAATTGTTTTACAATTTAAATTTGTAATATTTTTACAATATTTTTGAACCATCTGGAGCTAAGTGAAAATAATTCTTGTTGGACATTTTTGAATACAAAAAATTTTTTTAAATAGAGTTGCATTCCGACAGGTTCGACTGTAACAAAAATATATTATTATAAAGAAAAATATTAATATAAATATTATATTATTTTACAGAAAACTATTAGTATAATTAATTTATTATATGATATAAATAATTTGAAAAGTGTTCATTTAAAAAAATGAGAATGTAATATCTGAATATTTTTTTGTGGTTTACAAAGTACTTTAAATTATCCGTTTGACAGATTTATTGCTACAATTATAAAACTTCTAGGAACAGGAAATTTTCCTTATTTTGAAAATAATAATGACAAACGTGTCAAGTAATTTATGATAACTATTCTTGGATTTAGAATCGCATTAAAATTCATTTCTAAAGAATTCTTTTTGCTCCTATTTTTTCAACATTTTCCTCAAAAAAAAAAAAAAAAAATTTGTAATGTTCAAAAGATAAATTTATTTCAATATATTCTTCATTTATATTGTATATTTTTTATTATTATTTCTATTTTTATTATTATTATTTTTTTGTTACTATTGTTATTTTTAATATTAATTTTTATGTTATTATTGTTATTTTTATTATTAGTTTTTTGTTACTATTGTTACTATTGTTATTTTTTATTATTATTATTATTATTATTATTATTATTATTATTATTATTATTATTATTATTATTATTATTATTATTTATATTACATTATAAATTTTTTCATTTTGCAGGCAATGGTGGCGTGTTATCCCGGTCACGGTACACATTACGTTAAACATGTAGATAATCCAAATGGAGATGGAAGGTGCATCACAGCTATTTATTACCTCAATAGAGATTGGGACGTTAGAGTAAGTGATTTATAATTTTTTAATTGTTTTTTTGATTCCTAACTTTTTAAAAAAAATTTCTTTTTCAATATTTTCAATTTTAAAATTAATGTATTAAAAACCATTGAATTCTTGCAAAGAATCTTATCAAAATATTTGGAGAGAATAATTGAATTCCTTCGAAGAATTTTGTTATTTATGAAAATCGTAATTAAATTCTTCTGAAGAATTTCTTTGAACTTTTTTAAAATAATGGAGCTTTTTAATAATTTTAATTGGAAATTTTAAAAGCAATTGAATTTTATATAAAGAAGAATTATATTAAAATTGGATTGGAAATAATTGAATTCCTGAGAAGAATTTTATTATTTATAAAAAATAATTTAATTCTTGCGATCAATTTTTCTATTTATAAAAATAATTGAATTATTGCGAAGAATTTTACTATTTATAAAATAATTGAAATGTTTTGAAGAATTTATTAAAATTTTAGGAAATAATTGAATTGTTTTGAAAAATTTTATAGAAATATTTGAAAAGAATTAAATTAGTTCGAGAAAATCAACTAAAATTGTTTTGAAAATAATTGAATTTCTTTAAGGAATTTTATTAAAATTAAGAATATTTAAAATAATTGAATTCATCAGAAGAGTTTTATTATTTTTTGAAAATAATTGAATTCTTCCAATTTTATTGACGAATATATTTAAAAATTGCATTGAAAGTAATTTAATTTTCATATAGAATTTTTTTAAATGTTTTGAGAATAATTGAATTATTTTTAGAGAATTTTAAATTTTTTGTTAAAATTGAATTATGGGGAAATTTTTGAAAATATTTGAATTCTGCTGAGGGATTCAATTAAAATTGTTTTAAAAAGAATTGAATTTGTGCAAAGAATTTTACTATTTATAAAAATAGTTGAATTGTTACAAAGAATTTATTAAAATTTTAGGAAATAATTGAATTTTATGGAAATATTTTAATTCTGCAGAGGAATTCAATTAAAATTGTTTTGAAAAGAATTGAATTCCTGCAAAGAATTTTTGTATTTATAAAAATACCTAGTTGAATTGTTTCGAAGAATTTATTAAAATTTTAGGAAATTATTGAATTTTATGGAAATAGTTGAATTCTGCAGAGGAATTCAATTAAAATTGTTTTGAAAAGAATTGAATTTGTGCAAAGAATATACTGTTTATAAAAATAATTGAATTCCTGCGAAGAATTTTATTATTTATAAAAATAATTGAATTGTTGAGAAGGATTTATTAAAATTTTAGAAAATAATTGAATTCTTTCATGAAATTTTCTTGAACTTTTGTTAAAAATAATTTAATTTTTGCAAAAAATGTTACTATTTATAAAAATAATTGAATTCTTCTTATAAAAATAATTGAATAATTGAACATTTGCTAGTTAAATTAATAATATTAAATTAAATTAATTGCGTTTCTAAAGATTTCAAATTCATATCTAATTTTTCTTTTCTTTGTTTAGAAATTCGGAGGATTGTTAAGGATATTCCCATTATGTTGGAAGGATCACGTGGCGAATATTGGTCCTTATTTCGATCGAATTCTATTTTTTTGGTCAGACAAAAGAAATCCACATGAAGTACAACCTGCTTATAAAACAAGATACGCTATAACGTTATGGTATTTTGATACCGAAGAAAGGAAGAGAGCTCTTCAAACGTATAAAAGACAACGTAAGAGGAATTTTTTTTCATTCACTTAAATTTAGCGTCAACGAATCTAGCTCTCAATTTCGATAACAATTATTTAAGGTTTTTTTGAAGATAAAATTGTCACTAATTTTAAAAAAATTCAAAAAATATCAGTTAATATTCTTTTCGGTTTCGTGAAAAAAAAATTTTCTTTGACGCTAAATTCAGGGATTTTTTTTTCAATTAACTGAGTAATTGACTGATTTATGATTAATATAATGGTTTCTAAATTTTTAAATATATAATATTTTTAAATATATTATATTTTTAAATATATTATATTTTTAAATATATTATATTTTTAAATATATAATATTTTTAAATATATTATATTTTTAAATATATAATATTTTTAAATATATTATATTCTTAAATATATTATATTTTTAAATATATTATAGTTTTAATATAAATTATATTTTTAATACAAATTAACTGATTAACTGAATTTTGAACGAAATCCTTTATTTTTTTTGCAGAAGAAGATGTTATGTTTCCTGGAAATTCGTGAAACGAAAAGGTAACAATGCAACCATTATGTTCATTGACTGAAAGCGTATGTTAAATTAAACTAAACCCGTGTTAAAAATCTGAATTTAATATACAAGAGGGTTGAAACTGAAAAATTAAAATACTTCTAAAAATGCAAAAAAAGAAAATAATTCGAATTTATTAACAATGTTAATAAATCAATTTTCAAATAAGAAATGTTAAAAAAAATTCTTTTGTTTGAGTGTGTGTGAAAAATAACGTAAATTTAGATGTACTTTCTGGCGCATTAAATTCTAATTAATTATTATCATTACCATAAAATCAATAGCTTTTGAATTATGGTTGAAAAAAAAATGATTTCACAAATTTCTTATTTAATGTGCAATAGTTGCAGATATATTCTTATTTCATAAATCTTCCATAAATTTTCGCTTGTCAAATTTTTCTCTTTTTACAATTTTTACATATTGATAAAAATTGTAAATTTACAATTTTGTCAGTTTCTTCCACGTCGACCCAAAATCTGCAGCTGTTTTTATCAACAGCAACTGAAATTGCGTTCTGTGATGTTTTAAAAACTAGAATTAATGCTAATTGTAACATTTCTCATTTACATTTTTTAAATTTAAAAAAAAAAAAATGCTCCTTGAAAGGCAAACGAGCGTCAAACTCATTTTTATTAATTTTAGATTTTTAAATTAATCAAATTTATTGTTTCGAAATAAAAATAGGATAAGAGATTTTGCAGAGCTTTTCCTACTTGTTTTTTTTAAATGGAAATTTTTTTAAGTTAGATTTTGTTTCTAACGTATTATCGAGGCATTATTGTTATTATTATTATAATTAAAGAAAAAAAAAATGTCATTTTTAAAGTGTTTCGGTATCTAGTATATAAATGGCAGGTACTTTTAAAACTTAGGAAATGACACATATTTTCCAGTATTTTTTAATTAGTCGTGAGAAAATTTGCATTTTGTAAGAGACAGAGAGGAAAAAAAGGAGAAATATATGTTTGAAACATAATTTCGTTTTGTAATAATTGACGGAATGTTAAATTATCAAAGACTAGTAGTTAATTTATTATTTTTGAAATATTTGAAATCACATTTGTACCTGTCTTGCTTTTATATATAGAATTTTATGTCCTGCAAATATTGATGTGACAAAAAAGAAAAATATTAAAAGCGAGCCTAAACGAAGCGAATTAGGACTCTATAATTTTACTTAAAAAAAATTAAGATCTCGTAATTTGAGAGTCATGTTATTATAATTGAGATTCAATTTCGATAATGTAGTCTTTATTATTTTAGGTACTGATCGATAAACTATTCTTAAATAATTAACTTATTTTTGATGCTCACATTTAAAAATTTATATTAATTATTCGTAATATTAAATTTATTGTAAGTTATTAACGGAGACGACTCCTCAAACATTGTCAAAGTAAAAGAGTTTATTATATGCAAAAAAAAAACAAGAAACAAAATGTAATAAATGCTGTACATAGTTTAAAATTGTCTTTCTTGTTTCCCTCCTATATAGGTATATAGTAATTTGTATAAAAATAAATTATTACTTACAATTTTATTTTTCATTTATTCATTAATTTGACAGTCTGTTATTTGATCCTCCAAAAGTTCTGCGGGATTGTACGCTTGGAAACTAAAACCGGATCTCAAAAATGAACCTGGATTGATGACGTGACATTTTGAAAATTCTGTTTTGTATGATGAAAATGAATCCGCTACGACGATGAGATCCGGAGTGGGAAAAAGTTGTAAAGCATGATCGTATTTCCAGTAAATCGGCGTTGCTTGAAGAGTCAATGGCACCAGGTGAGATTGACATACTATCGACTTTGCGTACTGAAAATAAGTTTTTTGTACATACTTTTCGATTTTCCTTTTTTTTTATCGAATTAGAGTTTTAAAAATTCAAATATTCAGGGCTCGAACTAGGTCCGTAAATTTGCTTAAAGTCCGCAAAAGTCAGTTTTTTGAAAAAAGGTCCATAAAGTTCGTAATTTGCTTGAGAAAAGACGAAAAGTTCGATTGTACAATATAATTTGGAGAATTTTAGAGAAATTAAAAATGATTGTAGAAATTCAATTATTTTCAAAAGTAATAAAATTCTCGTCAAAATTTCAATTATCTTTCTAAATAATAAAATTCTTGTCAAAATTTCAATTATTTTCAAAAATTTTTCTCAATTCAATGATTTTTAATAAATACTAATTTAATAAAATTTTCTAAAAGAATTTAATTATTTAAACAAAATTTTAATAAAAATTTCACAGGAATTTAATTACATACAAATTTTTTATAAATTTCTTCGCACCAATTCAATTATTTTTAATTTTTTAATGAAGCTTCTCGAAAGAATTATTCAATTTTATATTCAGAGAATTTAAGAAAAGAGTTCTGAGAAATTCAATTATTTTTAAAAATTTAAATAAAATTCTTTTAAAAAATTCTATTATTTAAAAAAATTTTGACAACATTCTTTACCAGATTTAGTTAATAAAATTGCAATTTTAAAAATAATTGAATTATATATGAAAAAATTTTATTAAAATTGCAATTTTCTTAACAATTCTTCTTAAGAACTCAATTATTTTCACAAATAGCAAATTTTTTATGGGAATACAATTATTTAAAAATATTTGAATAAAATTCTTCGCAAGAAATCAATTATTTTCATAAATAATGAAATAATTCTTGGGAATTCAATTATTTAAAAAAAATTTGATAAAATCATTTATAAATTTGAAAAAATATAATAAAATTGATCATAGAAAACAATTATTTTCGTTAAATATAACATTTCTTCCTAAAAATACAATTATTGTGAAAAACGTTAGTAAAAATCTTCCAAACAATTCAATTATTTTCGTAAAAAATAAAATTCTTTGAAGCAATTCAATTATTTAAGAAATTTTAATAAAATTCTTCCCAAGAATTCAATTATTTTCAAAAATAACATTTTTTACAGGAATTCAATTATTTAAAAAAAAAAAAATTCTTCGTCAGATTTCAATTATTTTCAAGTTATTAATGAAATTTCTCGAAAGAATTAAATTATTTTCAAAAAGTTTTAAAAATTCTGAAAAATTCAATTTATTTAAAGAATTTTTAATAAAATATTTCATAAGAAATCAATTATTTTCATAAATAATAATATTCATATTCTTTAAAAAAATTATATATAATAATCGTCGTGATTCCAGATTTCCGGATCTCTGTCCACACTTGAAGTTAGTTATAGTTATTCTTTTGTTTTTTATACGTTTTGATAGAAAATAGAAATATACATATATACATATACATACATTATAATAATCGTAAGTTTCCTTTCCGTTAGCAAATTATCTGCATTCATTTGTTTGTTTTGAAAATTTAATTTTGTGGGTTAAGTATTAGCATTTTTTATATATTTTTTAATGTCAGACTTTTTAATGTGGAAAATACTTTACTTATTAAATTGTCTCGACTCTTTGGTAAAAAATCTAAAATTATCGAAAATTATCAAAAATTCAAAAATCCGAATTTCTTAAAATTTAACATTCTTTCCTCTCTTTTATGGGATTTAGCTTCATTATTTTTGTGCTTTTGAAAAATACTTTACTTATTAAATTGTCTCGACTCTTTGGTAAAAAATCTAAAATTATCAAAAATTCGAAAAAATTTAAAAATCCGTTTTTCTTAAAATTCAACATTTTTTCTTCTCTTTTATAGAATTTAGCTTCATTATTTTTGTGCTTTTGGAAAATACTTTACTTATTTAATAGTCTCGACTCTTTGGTAAAAAATCTAAAATTATCAAAAATTCGAAAAAATTCAAAAATCCGATTTTCTTAAAATTCAACATTTTTTCCTCTCTTTTATGGGAATTAGCTTCATTATTTTTGTGCTTTTGGAAAATACTTTACTTATTAAATTATCTTGACTCTTTAGTAAGAAATCTAAAATTATCGAAAATTATCAAAAATTCAAAAATCCGATTTTCTTAAAATTCAACATTTTTTCTTCTCTTTTATGGGATTTAGCTTCATTATTTTTGTGCTTTTGGAAAATACCTTTCTTATTAAATTGTCTCGACTCTTTAGAAAAAAATAAAAAATTTTTTAAAATTATCAAAAATCCGAAAAATTGAATATCTTAAAATTCAACATTTTTTCTTCTCTTTTACGGGATTTAGCTTCATTATTGTTGTGCTTTTGGAAAATACTTTACTTATTAAATTGTCTCGACTATTTGGTAAAAAATCTAAAATTATCAAAAATTCGAAAAAATTCAAAAATTTGATTTTCTTAAAATTCAACATTTTTTCTTCTCTTTTATGGGATTAAGCTTCATTATTTTTGTGCTTTTGGAAAATACTTTACTTATTAAATTGTCTTGACTCTTTGGTAACAAATCTAAAATTATCGAAAATTATCAAAAATTCAAAAATCCGATTTTCTTAAAATTCAACATTTTTTCTTCTCTTTTACGGGATTTAGCTTCATTATTTTTGTGCTTTTGGAAAATACTTTACTTATTAAATTGTCTCGAGTCTTTGGTAACAAATCTAAAATTATCAAAAATTCGAAAAAATTCAAAAATCCGATTTTCTTAAAATTCAACATTTTTTCCTCTCTTTTATGGGAATTAGCTTCATTATTTTTGTGCTTTTGGAAAATACTTTACTTATTAAATTGTCTTGACTCTTTGGTAACAAATCTAAAATTATCGAAAGTTATCAAAAATTCAAAAATCCGATTTTCTTAAAATTCAACATTTTTTCTTCTCTTTTATAGGATTTAGCTTCATTATTTTTTTGCTTTTGGAAAATACTTTACTTACTAAATTGTCTCGACTCTTTGGTAAAAAATGTGAAATTATCGAAAATTATCAAAAATTCAAAAATCCGAATTTCTTAAAATTCAACATTTTTTCCTCTCTTTTATAGAATTTAGCTTCATTATTTTTGTGCTTTTGGAAAATACTTTACTTATTAAATTGTCTCGACTCTTTGGTAAAAAATCTGAAATTATCAAAAATTCGAAAAAATTCAAAAATCCGATTTTCTTAAAATTCAACATTTTTTCTTCTCTTTTATGGGATTTAGCTTCATTATTTTTGTGCTTTTGGAAAATACCTTTCTTATTAAATTGTCTCGACTCTTTGGAAAAAAATAAAAAATTATTAAAAATTATCAAAAATCCGAAAAATTGAATTTCTTAAAATTTAACATTTTTTCTTCTCTTTTATGGGATTTAGCTTCATTATTTTTTTGGTTTTTTGGTTAAGTTGTAAAATGATTAATTTCTATTTGAATTCGTTTTTTTTTGAATGTAGAAAATCTGATGTTAATTTAATTCTTTTTTCGTTATGCACGGCAAAAAATATTTAGCTGGATGAACTACAGATTTCACTTTAGCAGCGAAATTTTTCAGTGCTTCAATTAATACTTTCGTTATTCTAGAGAAACTTATCGCTATTTCAAGTAAAACTTTTTTCAGTGTGTAATAATAATTATTTCTTTAAAAAGTATTTAATTTAAAATGGCTTTATAAAATAAGCAATGCAAAAGATGACCCAGATACTAATTGTAATTGTTCTAGCCATAGTTTAAGTCTAGTAATGTAAATTCTATTTAAATTGAGACCATTGAGTGAAATTATTTGAATTTTAGTTAGTTAAATCTCTTTGTTAGGTTATAATAATTATTTCTTTAAAATTTTTTAAATTGTTTAAAATAAGCAGCCCCATACAACATTCCCGCGCTCTTGCGCGCGGATAGTTTGGCTAGTTTTTAATAAAATTCATTGCAAGAATTCAATTATTTCATAAATAACAAAACTTACCGCAGAATTTCAATTATTTTTTATACAATTTGAAATAAAATGATAGAAAATTATAAATGAATGTTAAAAGCATTAGAGAGTGAATTTTTAGAAATATTCGGAAATAATTGAATTTTGAAAATTGTATTTTGAATTGTAAACAAATAAATTTGAAATTTTTCAGAGAACTTTCTCAAAAATTATTAAAAAATTAAATATTGTACAAAAATAATAAAATTCTTCTTAGGGATTCAATTATTTTCACAAATAATAAAACTCATCGCAAAATTTTAATTATTTTTAATACAATTTTAATCGAATTTATCGAAAAATGTAATTATTCTTAAAAACTTTATTGCAATTCGTCGAAAGAATTCAATTATTTAAAAATTTTTTGATAAAATTCTTTATGGGAATTGAATTTTAAGAAATATTCAAGTATTCAATAAATTATTTATTTTTGTATTTAAATAATATTCTAGTAGAATTTTCTAATAAAAATTGTTTTAAAAAATAATTTTCAGTTAAAATTTTAGACAATAATTAAATATTAAAAGCAATATAGCGTGAATTTTTAGAAATAATTGAATTTTGAAATTAATTTTTTTGAAAAAGTTTAATTGAATTTTTGTGAAATTATTTGGAGTAAAGAAATGGATTTGAAAATTGTCAAAGAACTTTTTCGAAAATTATTAAAAATAATCGATTTAAAGAAGAATTTTAGTTAAAAATTCTTGAAAGAATAATTGAATTGATAATAATTTTATTACTCGGTCATTTTTAATTATTATAAAACATGAAGAAATCTATGACTCCGAGTCAAAGACTCGGAGTTATCGATATCTTTGTTTTATAGTTATGAAAAATTTAATTTTTAGTTTTAAGTAAAATGTTCTCTTATTTGATTCGGACTGGTTATATTTTTGTCAGTAATTGGTCCGTAATTTTTTATTTTTGGTCCGTGAAGTCCGTACTTTTAAATACTTTCCCTAAGAGTTTTAAATTTAAAAATTGATTTCAAAAAGAAATATAATTCGAGAAAAAAATTGTATTTGAAAAAAATAGAAATAGAAAAGAAGAAAACAAATAGAAAATAAAAACTTACGTGCTCATAAACATTTCCAGTATTAAGAAACTTGAGTGTATTTCTACAAAGTTTCAATAAAATATCCTCTCTGAAAACGACAATTTCCTTAGTACAATACTGAATTCTACAGGGATTCGTGGCAAGATGTGTGTGAGGTACGCGTTTAATAAAATCGGCGACAACTGATTTTGGTAAAGGCGCTCTCGGCAAAATTCTCGGTGCACCAAGATCAAATGGTCCAGGAACCAGAATGAAATGTGACGTTTCTAAAATTGCATGATGCTGTGTGATTAAATCTGCGAGACTCTTGAAGCCATCTTTCAATTTTTGGGCACTCGTCGCGTCCGGTGGAAAGCTGAGAAAATTTCCAAAAAGTACAAATGCAACGGGCGGCGAATCAGAGAAACCATTTAAAATCTCCTTGAATTTCTCGAGTACACGAATGTCGTCCACCCAAAAGTCCGATATAAAAATAAGCATGTCCTTTTGAAGAATTTCTTGCTCGTGCAATTTTTCGGATAATTTTAATGATATTGGATTTGCACCACCGAAAGTGTTTACTGTTCCGAAAGCGACACGAGAATTTTCCGAAGGTTCCGACGGTGGAAATCCTATTTTCTCCACCTCGAATACACTGTCCGAGTAATTTCCACTCGCAATCACGATAGAACCTTCCATAATGAGACTCGTCTGAAAATCTTAAATTGCTGTTAAGAAAAATGAAAAATTTCGAAACTCAGACTTCGCACTCGATAATTAATTATTTTGAAAAAGTAGCTTTCAAACTAAAAAAAAAGTTTTAAAAAAATTAGCTATCGAAAAATTAAACTTGATAGTATTAAAAGTAATTGAAATTTTTTCATGAATTTTATTATTTATAAAAATAATTGAATTCTTGATTAGAATTTTATCATAAATTTTTTTTTTAAAAATTGAATTTCCATTTTATTCTAAAAAATAAATTCTATTCTAAATATTCTAGACTGAAAAAATTAATAACTATAAAAAGGATATTGCTTTCCTAAGATCCAACTTAACGCTCCCGTAACTATCTTCCAAATAAAATTCACCCTCGGTGAGTTGCGACAGAAGACCAATAACATAAACATTCTCCGTTTTTGCCTCACTGAGTAAATTTTCAATTGCAACCAATTCTAATTTTCCTTCATTGGATTCACCGAATTTCGAACTTTTGAAGTGATCGTGTCTTAAAGTTCGATAATAAAGTAAATCAAGTCGATCTTTAAAAACAAGTGACTTGTGCTCAGCATCTGGATATAAATCCTTGTCTACTGTCTTTATCATAAATTTTCTTCTTCCGAGGTCATATTGAACTTTAGGCGTGTCAAAGGCATTGATAATATTTATAATTGTTTCCGTGTCCTTTAAAGAAGTTGTTGGCCTTACATAATCATTAAAAGCAAGGATAATGTGCTCCTTCTGTACATTTGGTGTCTTTAGAGTTTGTGTTAATAATTGTTCTATAATTCCTGTGAGAAATTTGTCTCTTTCACTTTCTGGAATACCTCTCGATATTTGCCTCGCAACGTAGCCACTCAAGTTTCTAAACATGCAAATTTATTCACTAAATTTCATTTTGGAATTTTTAAAAATTGAAAATTTTACTAATTTACTATTTTACTCATTTACTAATTTTACTCTTGAACTTTAATAAATGATTTATTGAAAATTGATAAAAACTGCTATTTGGCTATTAAATTTCGAATTATTAAAATTTACCCAACGATCTAAACTTTATTTTAAATTCTAGAAAATATGTTTATTTAACAAATAATAGAAATTAATAAAAAGAATACTCACTTTGTGATAGTCAATCCATACAATGAAAACATTGTTTGCACTTGTTTTGTAAAAATCTCGTCTGCCATGATAATATTTTCTTTTTGTTTAAAAATGGACAATTTAATAGAATTAATTAAAAACTTTTTAAGAATCAGAAACGATAAGAATAATTCTATTTTTAATAACAGAACCAAAAGATTCTCCGCATGTCAATTTTTGAGGTTAATAAAAACAATCTTCTAGATTCCCGCCAAATCTGTTTGACAGCTGTGAAACAAACGAAACAAACATGCCTCTGCTGGCCAATGAGAGTGTGTTGTAAAACCTAAAAAGGCGGAATGAATTACACAAGGTTCGCGCCGATTGGCCCACAGGGTTGCCGCGCAAATTTTGAATTTAGCCAATGAGAGCGCTAGTTTAGCTGAAGGCGAAATCACATGGAAAACTCAAAAACACTAGAAAAACGTCAATTTTAGGGGCGACATCTACATATATCGAGCAGACAAACTCGGAACTAACGATTTTTCACCTAAATTCATTAATTAAAGCAATTATTTATTGATTTTATTATTGTACTACGATTCTAAATCATTTACAAGGATATAATTAAGTTATTTATCAAAAAACTTTACTACTACAATGAATAATATTGATATTGTATAAATCGTTTTGACTTTGAAGGACAAGTCCAAATTCGTTGTTTTATCCGCAAGGATCGTTGCGATCGAGAGTTCTTCGATAATAGTACGCGATGAACTTTCATTGCTATTTATCTGCTATTATCCTGGTTTTATCCGTTGTCGTTGTAAATTAACATTTTGTATTTTGCAAAAACAAGACTAACAAATATTGTTGTTTTTAATGCAAAAAGCATTAATATTGGTGAATAACTTATCACTCAAGAATTGTGTTACAACCAAATTGAACAAAGGAATATTGAAAAGCCAAAAGGTCATTTATCAACTCAACCTATTTTTTTTATGTTTGATGTCTCAAGGTTTTTATATACGAATTTTTCAAAATTTGGCCGGTATTTAACGCAATAACGAATAATCTCTGGCTCTAGAAAAATGTCTGTTACTTTTGCTCAACGGGGTAGACCAACTCCAACTTCGACACAAATTCAAAAGGTGAGGTCTTTAGATGAAGAAGAAAATACTTATTTTTACAAAAAAAAGCAATTCCCTCAAAGTCCTTTAGAAACCGGAATTTCATTTATCTTACTAGAGATATTAAAACTTTATTTCTTGAAAGAGAATGCTTTATAAATATTTGTTTTATTATTTTTTATTTTTATTCCTCTGAAGGTATACGAATATTTTTTTACACTATATTTATATATTCTATCGATCAGAATAATTTTTATTTTCTTTCTTTGCTAATTCTTTTTCGTGAGAGTTAACCTATAAATGTATTGCAGATGCTTGATGAGAATAGTCATCTCATTCAGACGATACAAGAATACCAGAATAAAGGAAAAGTTCAGGAGTGCATGCAGTGAGTATTTTTACTTTTATATTCGTGATATAAAGATATAATTATTTTTTTCTTTTATTTTTTTACTTTTTCTCATTTTATTTCTTTTTTTTCAGATATCAACAAATTTTGCATAGGAATTTAGTTTACTTGGCATCTATTGCCGATGCTGGTCAAAATATACAAGCGTTATTACCTGTAAGAAATTAATTTTTAAAATATGTAAATATAATAATAAATTGCCATTGTTATTTCTATTTGGTAAAATGATGATTGTTTAATTAATTCACTTTAGCCGCCTCAGGGGATAACTAATGGACCGCAACATCCAATAATTGGTCCTCAGGGTCCGCCCAGTGGACCGGCAGCGACTCCCGGACCTGGAGGTGAAATACCTCCGAATACTCAACAACCGATGCCAATGTCGGGCTTTAATCAAGGACAAAATATGGGTCAAAGTGGTTATCGTGGCGGACCTGTCATGCCAGGTCAAGTTCCTGCTATTAATCGTGAGTTTTCTTTTTGTAAAATAAGTATTTTTACTGTTTTATTAATTTTTTTTAAGTAAAAATTAACACTCTGCTAGTGCTAACTTATTTCCACTTTAATTAATTTAATTAATCTTTTACATTTAATATTAATTACAGGCATCACAGTTGGCCCCCTTTTGTCCCTTTATTTTAATTTTATCACCTTTTTCACATTTTTTGACGATTTATCACCTTTTTCACCTTTTTTCTGATTTGTCTCCCTTTTCACCCATTTTTAATCAAAAATAAACAAGTTTAAAAAGAATTCAATTTAAAAAAAAAATTTTATTAAAATTCTACACAAAACGTTTAAATATTTTCATAAATAATAAAATAATTTCACAGGAATTCTATTATTTACAAATTTTTTTTATAAATTTCTTGGCAGTAATTCAATTATTTTCATAAATAATAAAACTCATCGCAGAATTTTAATTATTTTTAATACAATTTTTATCGAATTCCCCGAAAATTGTAATTATTCTTAAAAATTTTATTAATATTCGTCAAGAGAATTCAATTATTTAAAAATTTAGTAATACAAATTTTATTTTTATAAGAATTAAATTTTAAGAAACATTTAATTATTCAATAAATAATTTACTTTTATATTTAAATAATTGAATTCTCGTAGAATTTTCTAATAAAAATTGATTTAAAAATGAGTTTTAGTTAAAATTTTAGATTATAATTGAATATTAAAAGCATTTTAGCGTGAATTTTTAGAAATAATTGAATTTTTAAAAGGTTTCAAATTTAAATCTTCGAAAATTTGAATTTTTTATACTTTCAACTAACAATTCTGTAGAATTAATTTTTTGAAAAAGTTTAATTGATTTTTTTTTAAATTACTTGAAGTTTTTATTTTCTAATATATTTAATTGATTACAAACGTTCAATTATGTTCAAAATTTAATTAAAAATTCTCATCAAAATTACAATTATCTTTATAAATAACAAAATTCTTCTTCAAACTTCAATTATTTTCAAAAATTTTTCTCATTTCAATAATTTTCAATATCTACTATTTAAATAAATTTCACAAAAGAATTCAATTATTTAAAAAAAAAATTTAATAAAATTGTACTCAAACATATTTTTATAAATAATAAAAATTGCACATGAATTGAATTATTAAAATTTTTTTTATAAATTTCTTCGCAATAATTCCATTATTTTCATAAATCATAAAATTTTTTAAAGATCAGATTCAATTATTTTCATTAATAATAACATTCCTTTCAGGAATTCAATTATTTTTATAAATAATAAAACTCATCGCAAAATTTCAATTAATTTTAGTACATATCATTTTATTGAATTCCTGGAAAAATGTAATTATTTTAAAAAATTTTATTAAAATTTGTCAAAAGAATTCAATTATTTAAAAATTTGTTGATAAAATTCTTTTTGAGAATTTAATTTTAAGAAACATTCAATTACCATTCAATAAATTATTTATTTTTTTATTTAAATAATTGAATTCTCGTAGAATTGTCTGATGAAATTTTTTTTTTAAAAATTCCCCTTTTCACCTTTTTTGAGTAAAAAAGGTACTGTGATGGAACAAGGTATTGTAATTATTTACTGACAAAATATTTTTTAGGCCCGCCCGCTGGACCTGGACCACAGCAATATAGAGGCGGACCACAGGGTTATCCTCAGCAACCGGCTCAACAAGGTTATCACACTCCTTACGCTAATCAAACATCAGGCGGCAACTATCAAGGCCCGCAAGGATCTTCTTATACTCCAGGACAACCGAATCAATACGGTCCTCCCAACGCAAGCCAACAACAATATCCTGCTTCCAATCAACCCAATTATGGACCGCCGACAACCGTCAACAGTTACGGACCCCAACCTGGTTATCCACCACCCGCAAATCAACCTCCAGCCGGTTATGGACCACCACCGCCACCAGGTCAACAAGGCTATCCACCTCCGAATCCTCCGCAGCAGAATTTCTCATCCGGCAATCAACAACAGCAACAACAACAACAGCAGCAGCAACAACAACAGCAACAACAACAACCAGGTGCACAGTACGGCAGTCCGAGTCCACAACCCAACTACCAACCACCGAATCAACCACCACCGCAAAACGCCTACGGTTCCGGTCAATCTGGCAACTATCCACCACCCCCTTCTCAAGGCTATCCCAACAGTGTTCCACCGCAATCTTATCCCCCGCCGCCAACATCGAACGCCACACAACCACCGCAACCAGGTCCCCAACAAACCGGCGGTCCTCAACCGAATTACGTCAGCCAACCTAGTCCAGGTCCCGGCCCAGGACAATACGGCCCGACCTCGACGTCGCCTCCATTCAGCACGACTCCCGTCAGCGGCGTCAACACCTACGCCCAGAGCGGACAACCCACGAGTACACCCTCCGCCTCGACTCAAACCTATCCCCCCAGCAGCGGTCCTCCACCATCGTCTCAAGCCGGCAATTATCCCCCACCCGGACCATCCCCAGCCGGCTATCCTCCTCATCAATCCCCCCATCCTCCTCACCAACCACCACACCAACCACCCCATCAACCTTCCCACCAGGGTCCTCATCCTCCCCATCAATCCCCTCATCCCGGTCAACCTCATCCTCCTCATCCTCCCCATCAATCCCCTCATCAACCTCCCCAACAAGGCCAACAACCCTCGCAAACACCACCACAATCTCAACAACAACAGCAGCAACAACAACAACAACAGCAACAATCGCCAAGTCCAGCGCCAAGTGGCTTTCAACCGCCCTCCGGTCCACCACAGGGACAAGCGCCGCCTCCGCAGCCGCAAGCCTATGGACCGCCGCAGTCACATCCGGCGACCACGCAAACCTACGTTCCGCCTAGTCCCGGACAACCACAGGTGTACTCGCCTCATCCCGGGCAAGGTGGCCAGCACTATGGACATCCGCAGTATCCGCCTCAGAGTTATCCACCACCGCCTGGTGGACAGGGCTATCCACAGTATCCGCCAAGGCCACCGGGCAGTCACATGCCCCCGCCTGGTCCACAGGGTCCACCTCCGCCCAATCAATACGGCTACGGTTATCAACCACCTCCTCAGTAAATTCGAATTTAGGAATTCACTCCTTTTTTTATAGGTAAAAATTCTTTTCGTTTGCGGAAAATAATAATTATTATTTTCCGTCAATTTAATTATTAATTAATTTAAAAATACGAATTCAAATTTGAAAAGGCGGTCAGAATTCGTGAAATAAAAAGTATTTTTTTTTTAAATCGAAATGCTGAGAAAACATTTCTTTTTGTCCTTAGAAATGTCTCTACCAAAGAATAGAAAAAAAAAATTTTTTCATAAAAGTTATTGCAAAATGAATTTTTTTGTAACTTTTTAAAGAAAATTATGTTTCTCCTAAATGAATGAACCGATTTAAAATAAACCAAGCGGAATAGAATATACTTTCGTTCAGAATTAGAAAATTTTTAAAAAGTTTATTATTTAATAAATTTTTTATAAACTTATTGTTTATGAATTTTATAAAACATTTTTTTTTCTGTTCTTTGGCGGACACATTCCTAAGGTCAAATAGAAATGTTTTCTCAACATTTCGATTAAAAAAAAAATACTTTTTATTTTTTGTGAAAATTTCACGAATTCTGACCCAAAGGAAATTTTCTGAAACGGAAATAAGCCTTCAATCTTATTTTTTATTTATTTCTTGTATAAATAAGAAGTCTTCCGTTGATAAAATCTTATTTTGTCAGAATAATAAAATTCTGTACAATAATATTATGATCTTTTTTCATTGTCAATCTTTTTTCAAAGAAAGAATTTTTTTTTAGTATCAACTGTAAAAAAAAATTTCTGTAGATTTACAGTTTTTTTTTGGAATTTTATAGAAACTTGTAAAATAATGCCTTTAAAGGTAGCGAATTTATACTCTGAAAGTAGGTAATATTTTTGACTTTTATTATCTACTTTCAGAGTATAGTAAATTTACAGAAAATTGTAAAATTGACACGCTGAAAGTATTATTAATTTTACAAAAGGGATTTTAAATTCGTAACTTTTAATGACGTTGTTTTACAAGTTTCTATAAAATTCCTAAAAAAAATCTGTAAATCTACAAAAAAAAATTATTTTACAAAGTTTCACGATTGTTTGTCGGATTCTTATCCGACAAACAATCGTGAAACAAATCTCAGTGTCATAATTTCCTTTTTTTTTATCTTTTTTTTATAAGAAAAAGAAAAATTTAATTTTAAATTCCTTTCAATCGTAATGTAAAGAATTTATTTTTTAATATTTTAAAAAGTTGCATTCGAATAAAAATTACAATTCTTTGTCAATGAGAAATATTGACTAAATTTTAAGTTGTCATCGTAATGAAAATCTTGATGAGAGAGAGAATTGTAATTTTTATTCAAATACAACTTTAAATTCCCTAAAATTGGCGAAAATTAAATTCTTTACTCTTCTACCAAAAGGAATTTAAAATTTAATTTGTCCTTTTTAAAAAAAAACGGAATAATTAATTAATTTGAATATAATACGAGATGAAATTTTATTAGACGGAAAATTTCATGATTATTAAAATGACAATTGAATTAAGATCATATTGAACTGAATTTCAAATAGAACTTTATTATTCTTCCAATCAAAATATTTATCATCAACCGGAGTTCCTTTTTCATTTAATTTTGAAATTTAAAGACTTTTCGAATTCCTTTTTTTTAAAAAAAGAATTTAATTATATAATTATGCTTTTCTAATATTATTTTAATTTGTGTACAAATGTTTTTATATAAAAATATTTCCGTAAAATTCTATACAATTAGTAGAGGAGTTTTTTTTACAATATTTAACAAATATCTTTAATTTTGAAGATTCAAATGACAGATGTAAATCAGAATTACATAAATAATTTCCGTTTCAGATCTACCTCGAATTAATTTAACGGATCTGTAAAAAAACGTTGAAAATCCCAATTTACATACAAAATTAATAAAAAAAAATAATTTAAAAAAATCTTCTCTCATGAGAAAGCAATAATAATAAATTCGACCAATTTTTTTGAAAAATGAAATGATGACAAAATAATCACTAATTTAAGAATTTAATTATAATTCTTGGAATTTGTCTAGTTTCCTTTTTTATCAGAAAGTACCGAATATTTTTATATAAATTTTTAATTTCTAAAATCGTCATTATTTCATTTTTCTAGACGTCAGGAAATAAGAACACATTCGTGTTAATTTATTTTAATTTTTAATTGTGAATTTAACCTTTAATTTCTTTTTTTTTACACTTTTTAGGTTTTCTTTGCATTTACATACCTATGAATAGAATAATGAAAAAAATTCGGCAAAAAAATGAAGCCTTGATTTTTTATAGGCGCATGTTTAGTTTTTATTTGTCCAAATATATTCAACAATTTAATATCTACTTTAAGATTGTGAGTTGAAGTCCTATATTTTATTTTAAAACGATTATTTCGTATAAGTTTCTTTTTTTTAGTGATTATTGTAGAGTAGTTTAAAGAGAAAAATTCAACTCAATAATTAAGATTGAAATTTTAAGGTGTGTAACTTTCATTTTTTTTTATTATTGACGAAGAACGAATTTTGATAATTTTAGTTTTACAGTTATTAATTTATCTTTAAGATAAAAATGTAAGAAATTTTAAGAGTAATAATAATAATTGAATTGTAAGTAATCTCATTTATACATTATATATCATTTTTGTATATTTACAACCTATTATATATATATTGCGCGACCTGAATACGTAAAGTTTTCTTTTTTTTTACCCTAAAGTCGCATTATGTGTCTTGATATATTTTTTTTCTTTCGATAAATTTAATCAACGAATTTATTTTATTAAAATAGGCGCATTGATGTGATTATTAGAATTTTTAAAAAAACAGTTACATAATTATTTATGTTTATAAAGCGAAACTATTACTTTCGCCACGAAAATTCAAATTATTTGTTGATTGTAATGCGAGATTACGTATTTAATAATAAAGGTTATAAGATAATATAACTCGAAAGTTCACTATTTTTTTGAAACTTACTTTTTTTATAATCGCAGCTCCTTATCTTTTGAGGTACATAAAATTGAAAATGCAATTTCTTGTACTTCATTTCGGTGCAGTAGATTCTCTCGTTTAATTAAAAAATTATTTTCATAAAAATAATAATACATGAGATCATAGTTCAGTTTTATGAAATGATTCTTTTGTGCTACAATCACAAGAATAGGGATTTTGTGGGACTTCTTCCATATTCGGCAATACTTTTATTTCATTCTTCAAACGCTTATTCCACTCCTGTTATTTAGAAAAACAGTAATTATTAAAAAAAAATTAAATTATTAAATTTAATTAAAAATTAAAATTAATTAATTAAATTATTCTCACCGTAAAGAGAGCCATGTGATAGCAAATTATATCCTTGGGCATTAAATTATCGCGTACGAATTGACGAGAATTTTTGGAAATAATTCTCGCCTCTTTATCATTCTCGCGAGCCCATTGAATTTTTTTCACAAGATCGGACAAATTTGCCTTTACTGGAATAAAATGCTCGCCGGGCGTTAATTTATCGTAAAAATATTCAAAGTAATTTGAGTCTTGTTTAAAAACGACTGATCCACCAGCCAGTAAATAAGGAAGACGATAAGCTGCTACTGTTCCGTCGATACTAATTTGGTATTTGTACTGAAAATTATTTCATTTTTACTTCAAAAGTTACAAAAAAAAGTCACTCAAATTAATTAATATTTGAAAAAGTATTTGCAATAGTATTTTAAAAAAGATATTTAAATCAAAAATATTGAAAATTAAATTCACCTCGAAGAAGTTAAACATTGAAATTGGTTTCTGACCGGGTCCGTATTTATCCATTTCGTCTCTGAAGAAAAAGAAATTCGTTATCGACGCATTGATGAAATCTGGATTCTCTCTTGCAATGTCAATCAAATCAAGTCTTTCTCTACGAGAATCACGACCTCTCCAAAAGGCTTTTTCCACTTTTTCGTCCCATGAAAGTTTCGTGCTTCCTTGCACTGATAACATATCCATTGTCACCCTGTTATTTAACATTTAGTGTTATTTAATATTCGAAATACGTAAACACAAATAAAAATAGTAAATAAATGACAATAGCAAGTAATAATAAATAAACAATAAGAAAAATGATAATTGTACAAATTTTCTAAATTATCATTTAATTACGAATTAATTTATAGAAGAATTTTAGTTAAAAACACTTAAAAAAACTGAATTTTTGAGAAGTTACAAATTCTTCTCCGAAATTCAATTATTATCAAAAATTGTAATAAAATTTTTGGAAAAATTGCAATTATTTTCAAAAATTTTCCTCCATTCAATGATTTTCAATATCTACTAAATTTTAATAAAATTTTCCAAAAGAATTCAATTATTTAAAACAAATTTTTGATAAAATTCTACTCAAATACTTAATTATTTTCATGAAATAAAAATTTCACAAGAATTCAATTATTTACAAAATTTTTTTAAATTTCTTCGCAATAATTCTATTATTTTCATAAATCATAAAATTTTTTAAAGATGAGATTCAATTATTTTCGTTAATAATAACATTGTTTTTACGAATTCAACATTATTTTTATAAATAATGAAACTCATCGCAGAATTTCCATTTTATTTCTTTTGAAAATAATTGAATTCCTTCAACGATTTTTATTCAAGTTTTTTTAAAATAATTGAATTTATGCAAAGAATTTTAGTATTTATAAATATAATTGAATTGTTTCGAAAGATTTATTAAAATTTTAGAAAATAATTGAACTTTTTTCAAAAAAATATTAAAAATTGGTTTTTTTCGTGACATTGTTTTGAATATAATTAAATTTTTGATAAGAATGTCACTATTTATAAATATAATTGAATTATACGAAGGAATTGTAAAAGTTTTAAAAATTAATAGAATTTTTTCTCGAAAAATATTATTAAAAATTTTTTTAAAATTGAATTCTTCCATGAAATGTTATATTATTAAAATTAAAAAAAAAGAACTGAATTCTTCCATGAAATATTATTAAAATTGTATTAAAAATAATTGAATTTTGGCAAAAAATTTTACTATTTATAAAAATAATTGAATTCTTCCGAAAAATGTTATTATTTATGAAAATAATTGAATTCTTGTGAAGAATTTTATTAAAATTTTTGAAATTTATTAACAATAATAATTAATTAGTAAATCGGTTAATAATTGATTTTTTTTTTAATGAATCAAAATATTTTTCAGGGTCAGGGAAAAAGTCAAAATTTTGTCTATAAATCAGGGAAAAAGAAAATTTAATTTTGTGCCAACTCTGATTTAGATAAATTATAAAAACCTGTCCATAGCTTCCAATGAAGATTCTGTGATATCATAAGTGGGAAGAATAATATCGTCCGTGTCCTTGGAGCCACACCATGAAAATATGGGAAAAATTTTCTCCTTTTTCTTGACAAGTGGCCAGTCGCCCAAATTCATGAAAAATTCAATATCCGGTAATAAAACTCTTCGTGTGAATGCTTTTAAAACCGAGTCCATAAACATTTTAAAACCCACATGTTGTCCATAGCAATTTCTATAAATCTGTTTGAATAAAAAATTTTTAATTAATTTAATTCAAAAAATTACTTTCTCTTATAAAATTTGAACTGAAAAACACGCATTTATTACCTTATTCGATTTTACAACGTAATGACAAAGACTAACGCTTTGTGGTCTATCGTATCGTTTAATAATATCGTCTCTTATTTCATCAAAATTAACAGACGGAAATTGTTTGAGATTTTCAAATAGTTGAGAATTATTTTTATCACATTCGTTGTTCTCCAAGAATTCTGTTATGGACGATTTTGGACAATCACATTCTTCTTCAAAAACGGGACCTAAAAATATGGTAAATATAATTTAATGTAAAGAAATCATAATTTCAAAAAATGATAATGATTCTTATTGTTAATTAAAAAGAATTTCACCTTTAAATTCAGATGGCACTTTAATCACTTCAGTATTTTGCACTTTAACAGACAACTTTAAATTAAAACAAGTTTTAAAAATTCTATAACGAATAATAAAACTCCCATCCATACAATCAATTATTTGAGTTCGTATTGGACACAAATCGCCTTTTATAGTTTTTCCTTTTATTTGATGTAAAATTATTCCTTGACCAGGAGATGTTGTAAGACTTTAAAAGAAAAAATAGATTTAGATTTTTTAAAAATATTTTTTAAATAAAAGTGTTTTGTAAAAATAAAATTATAAATTAAAAAAAATACTCTTACTCACTTTTTTCCACTACCGTCCTGCAGTTGTAAAAAAATATATCTTACTTTCATCACAATCTCCTCAGGTTTCAAACCTGGTCCCCAAATAATACTATTTTCCGGAGCAATTTGTTCACTAATAATCTCAGCATAATTTGCGATAAAAAAACAAGTAGTCAAAGTGACAAAAATACACAATTTCTTCATGTTGCTGGTAAGTATTTCAAAAAGTAATATAAAAATTCCCAATTCTCTAAAGAACAACAACTTTTGTTGAAATCATTTTATCTCCATTCGTTATCGTATTGATAGAGAAAAATAAAAAAAAAATTATACACGATTTCACTGGTCATTTATTCCCGCAACTATCATCCAATTTTTCCAAAGTAATAAGAAATTTGATTACAAATTAAATCTTTACGATCTTCACCAAAAATATTAAGTTTCATAACCAAAAAAAAAACACCGGGTAACCGGTTTTTAACTTCTATTTGTCAACCGATAACATTTTTTTAAAAGAAAATCTAGATAGTAAAAATTAAGTCAATCATTCTTTAATTGTTTCTTAGTTTTTAGTGCCTATATCATTAATTTTAAAATTGTTTACAAAAATATGACAGATCCTGGTCCATTAATAAATTTACGGTAGTTTTCCATGAATAAAAGTGTTTTGTAAATCGGACTTTAAAAAGTTATCATCCGATTGGTTGAAGAATTGTTAATGGAAACATACGTGCACCAATCATTATTCATTTTACAATCACGTGGTTTAAATTCAAATAAAAAAATGAATTTCCGTTTTTTTAGAAGAAAAAATTTTGATATAATTTTCACACACCGTATAATAGATATATTAAATTAGAAATTTTAATTAATTCCCAAGCAATTATCCCTTTGGTGGATTTTAAAAAACTAACTTTGTCCAGTTTTCAAAATTTACAACGCATGCGCGTGTTTGTAAACTATTGCGCATGTGCAACGTTCTTCTCCTTCCAAAAATTTTTTCTATTTTCAGTTAGGAAGGAAATGGCGTCTTACAGGTGGAGTTCGTTGCGTCAAATTTCACAAATCATGACTGAATTCTAATTTTGATTATGTTTTCATTTTAAATTGAAAGATAATCCCATTGTGGTAAGTCTTAATTTTACTACCAATCATATTTCACATTCCAATTTGAACGACAACATATGTAATTGAATAGTTTTTATGCTTCACAACCTGGTATGTAAACAAACACAGAATTTGCAAATTGTGAAAATCATATTTTTTTCCTTTAAACATTAACCGAGACACGGTTATTTTCTATTTTAATTATAAATTTTAAAATGGAAAATGTTTTTTTTATCAAGTTTAAGGTTAGCCGTGTTTATTTAATATTTGTTTTTTTTCTCAAAGTTTCACACATTACTCACTTTCGAATTCCCTCTCATTTTATCATTTTTGTTTTTCTATCAGAGCAACAATATAATAAATAAATGAAAGATCTCTATTTTGTTTGTTTGCTTTTTCTGTTAATTTTTATCTAAAGAATGAGAAAAAATACGACCGGTTGGAGAGAGTTGAATCGTTTATCTGAACTTTTGTTTTTTTTCTGTAATTGTTGACAAATCGTGTATGTTAAACTTTTGTTTTAGTAAAATTTCACGAAACTATTGATTGTATTAAATTTTTTATGGTCTTTTAATAGAGAACTTCTTTTTAAAGAAACTTTGGTTTTGCCAATTCGATTTTTAACTGTTATTTTTCTTCTATTTGTTGTCATTTTTTATTCATTTCTTCAATTGTTTTGATTATAATTATATTTTACTTTAGGTCTATTTTTCTACTGTGTAAACTTGTGTATTTTTTTTAAAGTGGGTTCTCGTCATTGTGCAAAATCAAGTGCTGACAATGAATGAAGTGAGTGGCGGAAAACAAGAAATTGCAAGTACTTCTGCTTGGGAGGCATTAGCTTCACAATCGGTGACAACTTTATCGGGAATGCATCATCATCATCGTCATCAGCCTCTACAACAAGATTCAAATTCTCCGGTTCAACAAGTGATAGTTCCTACACCAGTTAAATTGCAAGCTCCTATTCTTTCACCAACGCAAAATGTCGAGCATTGTTCAGTTCTCACTCAAATGCAACAACAACCACCTCTTGTTGCACAGGTAAAAGAAGAAAACATTAATTTTTCAGGGTTGCCATGCTTTTGCTCATTTTAAATTCCCTGACTTTTCCAGGGTAAAAAATCAAATTTTTGCAGACTTAAAACTACACATATTATTTACCAAATTAAATCTATTACATTTATTGAAGAATTTCTGTAATTGTAAAATTAATCGAAAACATAAATTATTATTTTTCCATAGGAATTAAAATTCTTCAAAAGATTTAAATTCAAACCTTTTTAAAATAAACAACTTATAAAAAATTTTTATAAAACAAGAAGAATTGAATCACTTCGAGTCTTCGACTCGGAGTGATCCATTTCTTCTCGATTTATAATAATTAAAAATGACCGAGTGATAAAATCATTATTTTATATATTATAAAAATATTGTTACTGTAACTTCTTCAAAATTATTTCCATCATTTCAATTCAATTACTATTTTCTAGAATTTCTATATCTAAAACTCTTCCTTAAATCAAATATTTTTAATAATTTTTGAAAAAGTTTTTTAAGTTTCAAATCCGTTTGTTTACAATTCAATTTTACAGAAATTTCGATTATTCGGAAATTTTTCAATTAAATAATATATTAGATAATAAAAAGTTCATATAATTTAAAAAGAAATTCGAATAAACTTTTTTAAAAAAAAGATAATTCAACAGAATTTGTTAGTTAAAAGTATGAAAAATTCAGATTTTCAAAGATTTTAATTTGAAACTTTTTCAAAATTCAGTTATTCCTAAAAATTCATGCTATAATGCTTTTAACATTCAATTACATATTATCTAAAATTTTATCTGAAATTCATTTTTAAATCAATTTTTATTTGATAATTGAATTCTTTTAACGAATTTTAATAACATTTTTAAGAATAATTACATTTTTCGAGGGATTTTTAGCTTTTGAATTTGTAAATTTGACTCATTAAAAGTAATTTTCACAAATTTATTAGTAAAATTAACTAATTGACAAGCAAATTTTAATGTACTAATAAATTAGTAGAAATGACTGTTTATTAGTAAAATTTGCTAATTCAAAAGCAAGAACACGTTTTTTTCAACATTTTTGAAGTAATATAAGTAATTCAATTCACAATTAAAACTATTTTCAAAATAATTGAATTACAAAAAATTTTATTAACATTTTTGAAAATAATTAAATACTTTTGAAGAATTTTATTAAAAACCAGTAAATTTTACGCGAAACGTGATTTTCAGTTTATTATTATTATAAAATTCTTCACAAGAATTAAATTATTTTTATAAATAGTAAAATTTTTTGCCAAAATTCAATTATTTTTAAACAAAATTTTAATAAAATATCACGAATCAATAGAATTATTTTCTAAAATTATAATAAATCCTTCTAAACTATTTAATTTTATTTATAAATTTATTAAAATTCTTTGCAAGAATTTTAATTCTCTAATTTGAAAATTCTACGAAAATTCAGTTATTTAAATACAGAAATAAATAATTTATTGAATAATTGAATTCTCATAAAGAATTTCATCAAAAAATTTTTAAGAATATTTACATTTTTCGAAGAAATTGGACTAAAATTGCATTAAAAAGTAATTAAAATCTGCGATGAGTTTTATTTATGAAAAAAATGAAATTTCTAAAAACAATTTATTTATGAAGACAATTGAATTCTTGACTAGATTTTTATTAAAATTTTTGAAAATAATGGAATTCTTGACTAGATTTCTATTAAAATTTTTGAAAATAATTGAATTTTTCAGAAGAATTTTAATAAAATTATAAATAATTGCATTTTGTGACAACTTTATATCAATTATTATTTACAATTTTAACTGAAAGTCATTTTTAAATCGATTTTTATTAGAAAATTCAACGAGAAATCAATTATTTAAATATAAAAATAAATAATTTATTGAATATAATAAATTTATTGTTTCTTAAAATTGTACTAAAAATAATTGAAATTCTGCGACGAGTTTTATTCATATTAATATGAAAATAATTGAATTCCTAAAAAGAATTTTATTGTTTTTATGAAAATAATTGAATCTTTGCGAAGAAATTTGTAAAAAAAACTTGTAAATAATTGAATTCCAGTGGAATTTTTAGTATATTTATGAAAATAAATAAAATAATTGATATTAAAAATCATTAAGTTGAGGAAAATTTTTGAAAGTAATTGAAATTTTCAAAAATAATTTAATTTTGGAGAAGAATTTTATTATTTTTAAAGATAATTGAAATTTTGACAAGAATTTTTTTAAATATGTGAACTTCATTGAATTTTTGCGAAGACATTAATTATTTTTGAAAATAATTGAATTTCTGCTATCGTTTGTAACTTTTCTTTAAAAAATTTAATTATTTTAGTGTTTTTAACTAAAGTTCATATTTAAATTTATTTTTTATTCATTTATTTCTATTCATAATAATTTATTGAATTCGATTAAAATTGTATTCAAAATAATTGTAATTTTGCCTTGAGTTTTTTTTTATTTTTCAAAAAATCTAAATTCTTTAAAATTTCTAATTAAATTAATTGAAAATTGAATTTTTATAAAATTTCATATTAAAACTTTTTGACATTCATCTATTTATGAAAATTGTAAACGCAACTCTTTTAAAATTCAATTAATTTTGAAATATTTAAGTAAAATTATTCATTAAATAATTTATGAATAATAACTTTATGACAGTTGTTAAAGATAATTAAATTATTTAAAATTAATAAATAAATTATTGTTAGAAATGGAAAAAATGGAAGGCTTTGTATTAGAATTCGTGGTAATTTCTAGTTTTAACAAAAAGAAAACACCAAAATTGAAAATTTTCTTATGAATTCTAAAAATTAATTATATTTCAAGAATAATCACAATAACTTTAGAAAACAACAATTTTTTAGGATTCCGTTCAAAATTTCCTGACTTTTCCAGGTTTTTTTTAAAAGTTTATAAAGTTCCCTGACATTTCCAGGTTTTCCAGTTTTACAGATTGCATGGCAACCCTGAATTTATTTTTCTGTGTATATAATTATATATAAATTTTGCAAATTCTTTTAGTCACCGATGCCAAACGCTTTTGTTGAGCCTGAACTTTCTATCGAACTTCAACAACAAGGTTGGAAAAAGTTTTGGAGCAAACGAGAAAATCGGCCTTATTTTTGGAATAAGTTGACTGGTGAATCTTTGTGGGTACTGCCTTCGCTAAAACCACAGGTGGTTTTTTTATTTTGATAAATAGAATTTTTTTCCCCTAGTTATTAGTTTTCTTAATTGTAACAAAATTGTGAATCGAGAAATTCTTGTTTAGTTTGATCCAATTACGGATCCGTTGGGAATTTGCGGAGTTCCATCCGTGCCATCTGTACCTGGAAATGGACAAATTACGCCTGGCACACCAGGTGGTCCGCTCAAGCGTCGAGCCTCTGAGGACGGAAACACGATACAAGCTGTCAAAAAATTCGTTTTAGCGTAAGTGTGGCAAATTTTTTTTGCACTTTTACTAACTTTATTTCATTGTCCACGATTTAAGTGTTCAAATGTCGCATTTACAGTGGTCCCTGGGATTTGGAAATTCCGACAAATGTAATTATTTACGAAAGAGGACCGTCGAATTTAGCGCACGTTCATCCAGATGCAGAAGCATTGCGTTGTAGCCTCTTGTCAAAATTACGTCAATGTTATCAGGAACTCTGCTTTCATCGTGAATCGATAGACGCACCGAAGGATTCGTTCAATCGTTGGCTAATGGAGAGAAAGGTCATCGACTGCGGCTCTGATCCACTATTGCCAAGTCAATGCTTTCCAGAAATATCGATGTCAATGTACCGCGAGATAATGAACGATATTCCGATAAAATTGGTGCGACCGAAATTTACAGGCGACGCGAGGAAACAATTGTCACGTTATGCGGAGGCTGCGAAGAAAATGATCGAATCAAGGGCCGCTTCATCCGAGAGTCGAAAGGTGGTCAAATGGAATGCCGAGGACACATTCCAGTGGCTCAGGAGGACTGTCGGCGCGACATTTGACGATTTTCAAGTGATTAAATCAAAAATTGCAGGCATCACAGTTGGTCCCCTTTTCCCCTTTAGCCCCTTATTTCAATTTTATCAACATTTTCACCTTTTTTGACGGTTTGCCACCTTTTTCCCCTTTTTTGGTGATTTATCCCCTTTTTCACCTTTTTCTAATCAAAAATAAACAATTTTTCTTTTTTTGAAATCTTTTTCAAAGTGTAATCATAAAATTTATTTTAGACTCAATGTTATAAAATTCAGTACGTTTTATTTTTGATTTAGATTATTAACACCACAGTATAATATAAATATGTGTTTTTATGTTAATGATTTAAATAATAGAACGTAAAGAATTTTATAAATTATAAGGTGGTTCATTCAACAAAATGCAGACCCCTAGAAAAATAATTAATTAACATTCAAATAATTAAAATATTATTATTAATAGTTTTTTCTAGAAAAACAAAAATTCTAATACAAAACCTGCAATTTTTTCCATTTCTAACAATAATTTCTTTTTAAATAACTTAATTTCTGAATAACTATCATAAAATTATGATTTAGAAATTATTTAATGAATAATTTTACTTAAATATTTCTAAATTAATTGAATTTTTAAAGAGTTGCGTTTACAATTATTTTCATAAATAGATGAACTTCAAAAGATTTAAATTTCAAATTATATAAAATTTCAATTTTAAATGGATTTTATAAAAAATTCAATTATATTCAAAAATTAAAAAAAATTCTCGGCAAAATTTCAATTCTCTTTGTAAATAATAAAACTCTTCTTCAAAATTTCAATTATTTGCAAGAAAAATTTTCCGAAATTCAATGATTTTCAATATCTACTATTTTCATAAAATTTTCCAAAAGAATTCAATTATTTAAAAAAAATTTTATTACATTTCTACGCAAACGTTTAATTATTTTCATAAATAATGAAATAATTTCACAGAAATTCTATTATTTACAAATTTTTTTTATAAATTTCTTTGCAATAATTCAATTATTTTCATAAATAATAAAACTCATCGCAGAATTTTAATTATTTTTAATACAATTTTCATTGAATTCCTAGAAAATTTAAATTATTCTTAAAAATTTGATTAAAATTCGTCAAGAGAATTCAATTATTTAAAAATTTAGTAATAAAAATTTTTATAAGAATTAAATTTTTAAAAACATTCAATTATTCAATAAATAATTTACTTTTATTGAATTTAAATAATTAAATTCTCGTAGAATTTTCTAATAAAAATTGATTTAAAAATGAATTTTAGTTAAAATTTAAGATTATAATTGAATATTAAAAGCATTTTAACGTGAATTTTTAGAAATAATTGAATTTTGAAAAGGTTTCAAATTAAAATCTTCGAAAATTTGAATTTTTTATACTTTCATCTAACAATTCTGTAGAATTAATTTTTTGAAAAAGTTTAATTGATTTTTTTTAAATTACTTGAAGTTTTTATTTTCTAATATATTTAATTGATTACAAAAGTTCAATTATGTTCGAAATTTAAAGAAAAGTTCTCGTCAAAATTACAATTATTTTTATAAATAACAAAATTTTTCTTCAAAATTCAATTATTTTCGAAAATTTTTCTCGGTTCAATGATTTTCAATATCTACTGTTTTAATAAATTTCCCAAATGAATTCAATTATTTAAAAAAAATTTAATAAAATCGTACTCAAACATTTAATTATTTTCATAAATAATAAAAATTGCACATGAATTGAATTATTAAAATTTTTTTTTATAAATTTCTTCGCAATAATTCCATTATTTTCATAAATCATAAAATTTTTTAAAGATGAGTTTCAATTATTTTCATTAATAATAACATTCCTTTTAGGAATTCAATTATTTTTATAAATAATAAAACTCATCGCAGAATTTCAATTATTTTTAGTACAATTTTATTGAATTCTTGGAAAAATGTAATTATTTAAAAAAGTTTTATTAACATTTGTCAAAAGAATTCAATTATTTAAAAATTTGTTGATAAAATTCTTTTTGACAATTTAATTTTAAGAAACATTCAATTATTCAATAAATTATTTATTTTTTTATTTAAATAATTGAATTCTCGTAGAATTGTCTAATACAAATTTTTTTTAAAAAATGAATTTTAGTTAAAATTTTAGATAGCAATTGAATATTAAAAACGTCAAATTTTTAGAAACAATTAAATTTTGTTTCAAATTAAAATTTTTGAAAATTTCAATTTTTTTATATTTTGAACTAACAATTCTGTAGAATTAATTTTTTTCAAAAAGTTTAATTGAAATTATTCGAAGTTTTTATTTTTTAATATATATTTAATTGAAGCATTTCCGAATAGTCGAAATTTTGTAAAATTGAATTGTAAACAAATAGATTTTTGAAAATTCTCAGAATTTTTTTAAAAATATTATAAATAATTGATTTAAAGAAGAATTTTAGTTGAAAATTCTAGAAAATAATAGGTAATTGAATTGAAATGATGAAAATAATTTTGAAACATTTAGAGTAATAATATTTTTAGAATAAAAAATAATTATTTTATCACTCGGTCAATTATAAATTGTTGACATTTAAAAAAGATTTGATTTTGAATGTTTTGAAAATATTAATTCCTATGGAAAAATAATAATGATTAAATATTTTTAAAAAAAAGAAGTTATTGCTGTTTTTGAATAATTTTACAGTTAAAGAAATTCTTACATAAGTAAATGTAATAGAACATTTTTTGAGTATGTATCTAATTATTTTTAGAGTGAATCGCAGAATATTCTTTAGGGAAAAAGTCAAAATTTGGGCTAAAAATCAGGGAAAAACAAAATTCAACTTTTTTTAGTAACTAATTAAAATCGAATCATTTCTAAAAAAATTTATAGAAGCTAGATAAAAAATTTGAATTATATATGCAAGTATTATAAACAAATTAATTTTTGTCCCCTTTTTGTACTCTTTTTGAGGAAAAAAATTTCACTTTTCACCTTTTTTTGAGGAAAATCGGTACTGTGATGCCTGAAATTGATGAAATTAAAAATTAAATCTAAAAATTGAAATGAAATTGAATTGAATTGAAAACAAGTGTTAATGCAAATATTTTCTTTACAGGACAGACTCGCGCACCTGAAACGTCAATGCCAGCCGCACTTGACGGAAACGGTGAAAGCAAGTGTCGAGGGGATTTGTCTGAAAATTTATCATCTCTCCACGGAGTATGCGAAAAAAGTAAAAGACAAGAATACTCAAATTTTGAAAGACAGTGGCCTTGGTGATGTGATTCCACTTGGTGGTCCAGCGACGACACAACGAAAAGTTTGGTGTTATCCAGTGCAATTTTCTCTTCCTGCACCACGACTATCACAAATCGATTATCTTCCTGAACGTGAACAGACAATGTTACGCTTCCACGGCGATACGGTGTGTATCAATAATATGCATCTCATTAAATTGGAGCATTTGTACAGGTACAATTGTTTCGATGATAAAAAATTTGAGATGTTCCTGCCACGCGTTTGGTCAATGTTAAAACGCTATCAGACATATCTGGGAATAAATGAGGGCCACGCAACACAAATGGCATTACCAGTCACTGTTTTCGAGTGTCTTCAACGTTCCTTTGGCGTGACTTTCGAGTGTTTTGCTTCGCCTCTCAATTGTTATTTTAGGCAATACTGCTCGGCGTTCGCCGACACTGACTCTTATTTTGGTTCGCGAGGGCCGTTTCTCGACTTTAGACCTGTCAGCGGTTCCTTTCAGGCAAATCCGCCTTATTGCGAAGAACTCATGGAGGCGATGGTCAATCATTTCGAAAGGCTTCTGTCGGACTCGGCGGAACCTCTTTCGTTCGTTGTTTTTCTACCGGAGTGGCGTGATCCCGCGCCGAACGCTCTTCTCAAACTCGAAAGCAGTCACTTCAAACGCAAACAAGTCGTCGTCCCCGCCATGGAGCACGAGTATCGACACGGATTTCAACACATTTTGCCAAAGTAAATCACATTATTTATATTTTCAAATATATTAAAATACTTTCTTTATGAGGAAGCAATTACAGGGCTCGAACTAGGTCCGTAACTTTGCATGAAGTCCGTAAAAGTCCGTTTCTTTAAAAAAAGGTCCGTAAAGTCCGTAATTTGATTCAAAAAGGATGAAAAGTTCGTAAATTGAACGATATAATTTGGAGAATTTTAGAGAAATTTTAAATGATTGCAGAAATTCAATTATTTTCAAAAGTAATAAAATTCTTCGCAGAAATTCAATTCTGTTCAAACAATTTTTTAAATTCTCGTCAAAATTTCTATTATCTTTAGAAATAATTAAATTCTTCAAATTTAAATTATTTTCAAAAATAATGATAAAATTTTTGCAGAATTCAATTATTTCGAAAAATTTTAATAAAATTCTTGGCAAAATTTCAATTATTTTGAAAAATTTTCCTCAATTCAATGATTTTCAAAATCTACTGTTTTCATAAAATTTTCCAAAAGAATTAAATTGTTTAAAAAAAAATTTAATAAAATTCTACACAAACTTTTAATTATTTTCAAAAAATAATAATAATTTCACAGGAATTTCATTATATTTACAATTTTTTTTTTAAATTTCTTCGCAATCATTCAATTATTTTCATAAATTTATATTTTTTACAGGGATTCAATTATCTTAAAAAATAACAAAATTCTTCCTAAAATTTCAATTATTTTCAAGAATTTTAATCAAATTCTTTGCAAAGTTAAATTATTTTTATAGATGACAATATTCATTAAAAGAATTCAATTATTTTGAAAAGTATTAAAATTCTTCGAGGAAATTCAATTATATTCAAAAAATTTTGTCAATTCCATGATTTTCAATATCTATTTTTATAAAATTTACCAAACGATTTCAATTATTTAAAAAAATTTGTTTTATAAAATTCTGCGCAAACATTCAATTTCATATTTTTATAATTATAACTAATAAAAATTTCATAGGAATTCAATTATTTGTAAAATGTTAATCAAATTCTTCGCAATAATTCAATTTTTTTCATAAATAATAAAATTTTTACGGGGATTCAATTATTTTCGTAAATAATAAAATTCTTTTTAGAAATTCAATTATTTTTATAAATAATAAAACTCTTGTAGAATTTCAATTATTTTTAATACAATTTTAATCGAAATTCTCGAAAAAATTCTTAAAAATTTTATTAAAATTTGTCAAAAGAATTCAATTATTTAAAAATTTGTAGATAAAATTCTTTTTGAGAATTTAATTTAAAAAAATATTCAATTATTCAATAAATTATTAATTTTTTTATTTAAATAATTGAATTCTCGTAGAATTGTCTAATAAAATTTTTTTTTTTTAAATGAATTTCAGTTAAAATTTTAGATACCAATTGAATATTAAAAGCGTAAATTTTTAGAAATTATTGAATTTTGAAAAGGTTGCAGATTAAAATCTTAGAAAATTTGAATTTTTCATATTTTTAACTAACAATTCTGTGGAATTATTTTTTTTTTTTGCGAAACTTTAATTTCGGATTTTTTTTCTAAATTATTTAAAGTTTTTATTTTCTAATATATATTTATTTGAAGAATTTACGAATAATTGCAATTTTGTAAAATTTAATTGTAAACAAATGAATTTAGAAATTCTTAAAGAACTTTTTAAATAATTATTAAAAATAATGGATTTATAGAACATGTTTAGTTATAAACACGAAAAAAGAAATTCAAAATTTGATAACAAAATCCGACATAAGTATTTATTTCATAATATAATAAATTTTTCACAGGAATTTTATTATTTTAAAACACAATTTTCATAAAATTTTTCGAAAAAAAACAATTATTTAAAATGATTTTTATAAAACTTATTCAATTATTTTAAATACAATTTAAATTGTATTTAAAACATACTTTTATAAAATTCTTTGCAAACACTGAATTATTTTTATAAATAATAAAATTTTCACAGGAACTCAATTATTTAAAACACAATTTTCATAAAAATTTTCGAAAAAAGTAAAATATTTAAAAGAAAGTTTCATAAAATTCATCGCAAGAATTCAATTATTTTTATAAATCATAAAATTATTCTTAAGAAATAAATTATTTTAAAAAGTTTTAGCAGAAATTCTTCTTAGGAATTCAATTATTTTGAAAAATTTTATTAAAATTCCTTGCAAGAATTTAATTATTAAAAAATTTGTTGATGAAATTCTTTATAGGAATTGAATTTTAAGAATCATTCAATAAATAAATTGATTTTTTTTATTTAAATAATTGAATTCTAGTAAAATTTTCTAATAAAAATTGATTTCAAAACTAATTTTCAGTTAAAATTTTATATAATAATTGAATATTAAAAGCAAAATAGCTTGAGTTTTTCGAAATAATTGAATTTTGAAATTAATTTTTTTTGAAAAAGTTTAATTGAATTTTTTTTTGAAATTATTTGAAGTTTATATTTTCTAATATTTATTTAATTGAAGAATTCACGTATAATTGAAATTTCACGTAAAATTGAATTTTAAACAAATGGATTTGAAAATTAAACAACTTTTTGAAAAATTATTAAAAATAATCGATTTAAATAAGAATTTTACACGAACGTAGTAAAATTTACTCCAAAAGTAGTAAAAATTAACAGAAATGCTTTACAGGAAATTTTTTACTATAAAAGTAGTAAAAATTACTTTATATTTTTTTCTCCGTGTAGTTAAAAATTCTTGTAAATAATTGAATTGTTAATGATTTTATCACTCGGTCATCTTCATGTTTTATAGTTAAGAAAAATGTAATTTATAGTTTTAAGTAAAATGTTTTCTTATTTGACTCGGACTGGTTATATTTTTGTAATTATTCATTTTTGGTCCTTAAAGTCCGTATTTTTAAATACTTTCACTCGTTCGGCCACTGCAATTATTTTTTTTTTTAATTTTCTCTAAAAATAACTTTTTTTTTTAAGGGGAGAGGTGAATATTCGTGCGACACACGGCACCCTGGTGGTCTGGCTACAGAACACAGCTGGCGTGGCGAGATGGGGACCGACCGAGGAGCGTGTCGAGGCATTGCTCGAGGCCTGGCGACCAGGACGAGAACGCGAGCGAGATCGTCAGGAATTACTCTCACCACCGAGACAAACACACCAGTTGATGCCTTCAACGCCGATAGCGGTGCCAACGACACCCATGATACCAACAACACCCACAATTCCACCACTGACACAACCACTCACGCAAACATTGTCACAAACTCTCACTCAGCCTCTGATCACGCCTCTCAATCAGACAATAACGCAGCCCCTCAATCAGAATGTCACTCAACCTTTGAATCAAACGATGACACAACCCTTACATCAAACAATGACACAACCATTACATCCGACAATGAACCAATCGCTACATCCCACAATGACACAACCTTTACATCAGACAATGACCACCCAACCCTTGCATCCAACAATGACGCAACCTTTACATCAAGGTTTGACTCAACCTTTACATCAGAATATGAATCAACCAATGCCGCAAACGCCGCAACCTCTCACACAAACTTTGACACCTCTCACAACAACGCTCTCGACTCATCCAATTTGAGACAACGAATCGTCTCAATATTTTCCCATTCAATCGAAATTCAGGTTTGAAATTTTTGTTTTCTTCTATTATTGAAATAATTTTCCAGCGTCATTACACCTTGTTGATCAAAAATTTTCTCAAAATCAAATTTTTTATGAACTGAGACTAATAATCCTTTATTAGGAGTGTTCAAAATAATTTTTTTTTTTATTGAGAACGTGAACGAAAGCACAATCATAAGAAAAGGTTAAATTAACTTTTATATACTTTTCAGGACTGTCCAAAATAGATTTTTTGTCTTCTTCTTTTGTTTTAAGTGGTCTCTTGTATTAACAAATAGCCAGAACTAAAACTTTTTCTCTAATTTAACAATAATTTTGAGCTCTAATTCAGAATAAAATTAATTTTCTAATTTTCGATGACTTCTGAATGAAAATATTCGCAAGAGAGCAATTCACGAAAATAAAATAAAATAAAAATCGTTAAATTATTTGTCTATTAACAATAATTTTGAACTTTAATTCAGAACAGAATTAATTTTCCAATTTTCGATGAATTCTGAATGAGAATTTTATTGGCGAGAGGAATTATAAAATCCTTAAATCACGAAAACAAATAGAAAAACGTTGTTTATTAAAATATTTCAATTTTTTAGATTAATTGAAATTAATTTCCAAAATTTGTCTCTTATTTTAAATCAATATATACAAAAGGCGAATAGTGAATTTTAATTATAGTTAATTTTGAAAGTTAATTTTGCAGTAATTAGACAAATCAATTTATATTTTTATAACTTATTTACATGTTAAAAATAATCATTTAAATTTATAAAAATATATATTTTTAATTTCATATTTTAAATTTTAACTTCGAAAATATATTTTAAATGTTTTTTTCTATTTTCTTTCGTGAATTACGTGTTTTATATTTGCTGCTGCGAATAGTTTCCATCATTTTATTGAAATTTGAAATAGAATCAAAAATAGAATTTAAATTCTATTCAGAAATAATATTCGTATCTTCAGATCGTTCCTGACCCATTTTGAATAATATTTGAACAATATTAATATTAGAAGAATATTTGAAAAACATTTGAATATTTTAAGAATATTCGAATATTTAAAGAATATTGGAATATTTCAAATTAAAAAAATTAAATTAACAGAAAAACAAAAAATTGTGATTTTTAGTTTTTTGTTAAAATTCAAGAAATTCTCCGATTTTTAATAAGACACAATTTTTTATAATCAAATCGTTATTTTCTTTTTCAATCTTGAGAAAATTTTTCATCAATCACACATCACTTGACACATAATGACGCTTTTTGACTCAAATTGAATTTAAAAAAAAAATTCACTTTATTCCTGAAAAAAATACTTTAGCAGAGATTTTGTAATCTTTATTAATTATGCAGTGTTTTTTAAATTACAAATCGCTTAGAACTAAAAGAAATAATTTGCAATTTTGTTGCAAGGAACGCCCCGTAGAATTGAATTATTATAGAAATTGTGTCTACACAAATTCTACCTTCATCAAAGAATTCTTTTTTTATTTTTAATCATTCTTGAAAGATTTTCTTCAATCTGCTAAAGTAATTAATATCCTAATTAATTAATAATTCATTATTAATTAACGAATGAATTCATTACTAATTATTAATTAAGGAATGAATTTATTACTAATTATTAGTTAACGAATGAATTCATTACTAATTATTAATTAAGGAATGAATTCATTACTAATTATTAATTAACGAATGAATTAATTATTATTATGCTGAAATTGTCAATATTGATAGTGGACTTTTCATGTATAAAAAATAAAATGTCCGTGCGAGAATTAAATTTCTCCTCTCAATAATATTATATAAAAATACAGCGAGAAAATGAAAAAGTTCACTAATTCGTCATCGACACTGAAAGACATATTGTAATTAGAGATTCATTATTATTGTCTTCTTAGTGTGTAAAAAAGAAAATAATGCAGTGTGGAAAGTGCATATCACACAAAATCCATTATTAAAAATGGTTTTTCTCTAGATTCAGCACAAAAAATATTAATATTAAGTTTTGAGTATATATAAATATTTTTTTGTAAATATATTTAATTGGTTCACAGAAAATCTCATATTCTATAACTAAAAAGATTTTGCCTCATTAAATAAAAATTAACAAACAAAAAAAAAAAAAGTAATACTTGCACTTTTGCTGAGTGCTTAAAATTATAATATAAAATCTAGTTCCACGGTGCATAGATTTTGTACAATTACAAATTTTTAATATAGTAAGTAATACATTGTAAATAAAACTTGCGGTACATATAAAGATTATGCATATAAATATATACGTATAAATATATAAATATAAATATAATTATATATTTATATGTTTACATATAAAATTATATATATAAATATTATAAGGATGTATGCCTAAAAATATTTATGCTTATTTTATAGTTAATAAGACAATACGTAAAAATATGTAAATCTTCGAATAAAACATTAGATGTTTTATAAGAGAAAAGAGAGAAAATCAAGTCAAAAATTTTTTTACATTAAAGAAAATTCCATCGAAAGTAATTAAAAAAATGAAAATGTAATAATAGTTATTAATAAAATATAAATAGTAAATTAGAAAAATAAAATAAAATTAATAGCAAATAATAAAATTATAATATTAAAGTTAATATTAAGAAAAAAATGTATATTATCTATTTTGAAATTCTCGAAATTCGGGACCATTTCAAGTCCAGATTGAAAGTTTTAGTCGCAAGTTACGTTTGTCACAATCGATCATTTCGATGGAATTATCTTTGATTTTACAAAAAAAGAAAAAACTGCGAAAAGAATTTTGGGTTTTTTTTTTTGTATAATGCTTTGCTTTTCTTTCTAATATTGTTCGAAAGCTAAACTCGAATTCTTCCACAATTTTGTCTTCTCAAAAGCGTTAATTATAAATTTATAAAATGTGTGTAACACGTGTTAAAAAAAACAAATTTTTTTTTGTGACAAGAGTGCAATTGCTTATGTGACAATTCAAAACAATTTCAATTGAAATTTTAATTTTTAAGTTAATCAGAGAAATTTAAATGGAAAATTATTTTTTAAAAAAAAGATCGTAATTCAAACGCAGCGAAATTTGAGAAAAAAGAAAAAAGTGCCTGTGCTCACTCGGGTAAACTTACAAATTTCTGATTTAATCCGATTCTTTCGAAATTTTTCATTCTTTTTTTACATTTCGAATTTTTTTGGCAATTAAATGCGTTTGATTTTTGACTGTGTGTACATAAACTATATATAGATATACATATAAATATATAAATATATATATTTCTAGAAAATACGTGATACGTGATTTATGGATAATGAAAAATAGCATTTATTTTTAAATTACTTTAGAAGTGCAAAAAAGAAATTACGAAAAAAAAATGATTTTCTATCTCTGGAAATTGAATATTTTTCCATATTTTTTTCTACAAATTTTTATTTTCTAAATCTCTCTCTATCTCCAATTAATTTTATCAATATTCTAATTTCTGAATTTTTTCAATTCTTAATTTTATTTATATAATTAAATTTATATATCCTGATACTGTAGAGAGAAATTCTAGTATGGAAAAATAATCTAGAATCATATTAAAAAATTTTTAATTAATCAAAGAATAATTTAAGCAATTGGTTATTTTTTTTTTTTTTTTTTGTTATTCTGAAATAATTTTCGACTTTTTTAAAAATAGTATATTTTTTTAATACTTCTGAAAGAAAGTGGGCAAATTTTGATAATTTAATAATTTTAAATTCCTTACAAAAGTCTTTCAGCTTTTTTATTTACGAGAAAATTATTTAAATGATAGTGAGTTTATTTTTTAGAAAGTGTTTAATTAATAATAATAATTTTTTTTTTCACCCCTGCTTAACGAAACATGTATAATTGTTTTTATTAAGATATATATGTGGCACAACAGCAAAGGTGCATTATATATATATCTGATTGTTTTATGTAGAATTAATTCCTTTTTTTTATATATAACAAATATCTAATTGTAACGTAGATTAATTAATTAAAGATTGTAAAATATTAATTTGGAAATATTGTCAGTGATCGAAAAATTTTAATACAATGTAAATTATCATAAAAATGTTATTAATAGAGACAAAAATAAAAAAGAAACTTATTTATAGAAATTTAATATTCATCGTTTTCTTATTGTCCTCAATTTATGAAAATAAAATTAATTAGAAAAAAGAAAATAAAAAATAATATTTACATTAGAGAATGAAAACAAAAAACAATGAGACTTAATAATAAAATTATTAATTCATAAATTACATATTTATTTTATTTACAAGTTTCTAAAACTGAATAAATATTTTTTAACAAATTTTCTACTTCGTTATTTTGCCATAAAAAATTGTAAATACCTTTTTCATTCGCATCTTTGGTTAGGTGTTCAAGAACTATTTTTATTTGTCGTAAATCGAAGAGAGAGTGATTTTTTCCCAATATCCAAGAATCGAAGGATATATTAAATATTTCATGATTTAGTGATTTTATTCGCCTCTCGGCAATAAAGGACAGAAAATGGAAAAATTGTGAATAATTCATTCCATAGGAAGCTTTTAACATCAGTTGACAGTGTGAAGTCCAATTTTCCATTTCCTTGCAATCTTCTATTTCCTTCATTACTGATAATAATTCTTTTTGCAAAGCCAACCACATTCTCAAAATATTGCATCCATTCACCCAATTGTGATTTATTGAAATTGTGTCCTCCTGTAAATTAAAATAAAAAAAATTAAATTAAATTAAAAAAAAAAAATGAATATTAATTCGCGGAAAATAGTTAAAGATTTTGTACCAAATTCCAAACTTGGTGATGATATCCTGAGGGTACAAATATTATTTCTCCCGTTTCTTGAATAATATCGTAGAATTTCACAGACTTATCGTTAAATTTTATTTTCTCCTCTTGAGACACATCGTAAATTAATTCCCCAAAGGAATCACGAAGATGTCTCTCTTCACCAGGTGGAAAAATAAGCCAACGTTTCTTTCCATAAACATTAGCTGACCAACTGTAGGAGGAAAAAACATCGGCGTGAAATGGAGTCCTAAAATTAAAATTCAATATAAAATTTCCAAATTTCTATTTTTTTGAAAAAACGAATAAAATGTTTACCATGTTCCTTTCGGACCTATGTAAACAAACATATAATCATCATTCAATTCCTTTTGTCCTGTAAAATATTCATTGAGCCAATCGGAGGCGAAATATTTCGGTACATCGTAAAATTTCATTTCCGGATGATCCTTTTTGCAATGCCAATCCTTTAGATAAAGAAAAGAGGCATTTTCGTGATAATTATTAATTCTTAATTGTTGCCAGTAATTTAAAAAATTCTTCACTAGCATTTCATTTTTTTGGTGAGAATTGTAGTATCTTTTGTTACAATCAGCAACAGGAACAATACAATCGTCTGCGTTAACCAAAAAAATACTTTTTTTTATTATTATCTAGTAAAAAATTAATAAATATTAATTGTTAGGTCTATTGTTATAAAATTACAATATTTTACCGAATAATTCGTGTAATAACGAAAAATTTGGAGTCTCATTCTGAATCCAATTCTTTCGACACAGCCAGTCTTTTGTCACGTTTGATTGTATAATACAAGGTTTATTAGGAATGAGATATTTGCAAAAGAACGCATTATAAGACAATTCTTCAACATTAATTGACGAATCTAATTCACAATCACTTTCTAAATTAGGAGAAATTGTACTGTCTAAAATTTCGATAAATGTCATCTTGTATTGATATTACTTCTCCATTTCATAATTACTAAAACTGACTAGTATTTTATTATTCTACTATCATTTCTCTATTACTTCTATTCTTTACTCAATTTTTTAAAAGCAAATATTCTAATAAAAATAATAATTATTATTAAAAATTGATTAAAAATAAAGTTCTGACATATTTTTGTTTACATTTTTCACTGGCTTGGAAAATTTCGTCTGCTACATTTCGCGCATGCGTGATTGGTCCGCCCCAAAAGCGCGCGTAAATATTTAAAATATTTTTCTACAATTATTTTTTTTTAAATAAATGCCGCCAAATTTTTTAACCTATAAAATTCCAAGGATTGGATCGATTGGATGCGGAAATTTATTTTTTTCAAGGTCATTTGATTAAATGTCACCTCTGTCAAAAATAAACTTAAATTTTCTTTCAAAAATGAAAAATAATTTTTTCTCTGTGAAAAATCAATGATAAAATAATTGTTTATTTATTTTTATTATTAAACACTGAAGTAAGTGAGTTTATTTCTTTTTGGTCATTATGGAAAAAAATATTTCTGCTACGTATTAATTTTGTCGCGACTGGGAAAATGATATTTTACATACTCTAGTAATTATATTATTTTGTTTTTGTGTCAATTGATTGATATTGTTTAATTAATCGCAGAAAAATGGCCAGTGTCATGGAACAATCATCTCCACTTTCAAGGTTTGTAATTATATGTTTGTACTTTGTAATAATTGGAATTTATAGGTTATTTTGACAACAGATGATTATTTTTCTTTTGTTTTTGACAATAATAATTATAATGTTTTCTTTTTGACAATAATCATTTTTTCTAAAATTAATATAGTTATGTGGGAAGATCTGCGACCCGTCAAGGAAGTGTCATAGACCTGGACATTGACATGTTCCTGAAAATATCAAATTACGAGGATACTGTTCGACAACTCGACATTTATTATGGAATTGGTAAGATATTTTTAAAAAAAACTAAAAACGTACTTTCTTTAGAAAGTAAACATAATTTTCGTTAATTTCCTTTTTTAATAATTTATTGTTATTAATCTAATTGTAATAATTGTTATAAATCAAAACATTTGAAAATAATTGAATTCCTTCGAAGAATTTTATTATTTATGAAAATAATTGAATTCTTTCGAGAAAATAATTCAAATTATATTGAAAAAAATTTAATTCTTGGCAAGATTTTTATTAAAATTCTTTAAAATAATTGAATTGTTTTGAACAATTTATTTCAATTTTCTTGAAAATAGTGGAGTTTTTTTAAAATCATTTTTACTAGAAATTTTGAAAGTAATTGAATTTTATAAAGAATTCAATCATTTTCAATATAATAATCAATTTTCAATAATAAAATTCTTTGCAAAAAGTCAATTTATAAATAATAAAAATCTTCGAAAAAAAATTTAATTATTTTTAAATAAATAGTAAAATTCTTGTCAGGATTTCAGTTATTTTCAATAGAATTTTAATTGATTTTTTCGAAAATTTCAAATATTTTTAAACATCTTGTAAAAATTCTCCTAGAAAATTCAATTATTTAAAAAAATAATTGAATTTTTCACAGGAGTTCAATTATTTAAAAAACTTTTAATAAAATTCAATTCAAGAATTTAATTATTCTCATAAATAATTAAATTTTCGCTAGAATTCAATTATTTTAAACACAATTTTCATAAAATTCTTCTCAAAAATTCACTTTTTTTTAAATTTTGCAAAAATTAAATTATTTGGAGAAATAATAAATTTTTTCGCAGGCATTCAATTATTTAAAAATATTTGTAATAAAATTCTATTCAACAATTCAATTATTTTCGGAAATAATTAAATTTTCCATGTATTGAAAATTATTGAATTCTAGTAAAGTATTTATAAATAAATTTAAATATAATTAAATTCATTTTAAGCATTTTATCAACATTTATTTCAATAATTGAATTTTTTTCAAAAATATGTAATTAAAATTGTATTGAAAATAATTTAATTTTTGGAAAGATTCTTATTAATATTCTTTAAAATAATTGAATTGTTTTGAAGAATTTATTTCAATTTTCTTGAAAATAATGCAGTTTTTTAAACTAATTTTTACTGAAAATTTTGAAAGTAATTTAATTTTATGAAGATTTTCTTTTAACTTTTAAAAATAATCGTGTATATTATTAATTGTAATTTAAATAATTTTATTAGAGTTTTTGTGAATAATTAGATACATTTTTTTTAAAGAATTTCATTAAATTTCGTAAAAGTATTGTAAATTGAAATTTACAAAGAATTTAATTAAAAACTTTTTAGAACAATAACTTGAATTATTTAGAAACATTTTATTACAATTTTTAAAAATAATTGAACGCTTTTAGAGAAATTTTTTTAAAAATTATCTTGAATATAATTGAATTTTTTCCTAGAAATTTTATTAAAAATGTATTGAAAATAATTGAATTTTATTATTTACAAAAATAATTGAATTCTTGACAAGAATTTTACAATTTGTAAAAATAATTGAATTTTTACTAAAACTCTTGAAAATAATTGAATTAAAATAATATTTTTAAAAATAATTGTATTCTTTCGAGAAATTTTATTAAAATTGTATTGAAAATAATTAAATTCCTTTGAACGATTTTATTATTTATGAAAATAATTGAATACCTTTGAACAATTTTATTATTTATGAAAATATTTTAATTTTTGCGAAGAATTTTCTTATTTATGAAAACAATTAAATTCTTGCGAAAGATTTTACAATTCATAAAAATAATTAAATAGTTTCTTAATTTTTGAATATAGTTGAATTTTTTGAGGAAATTTTATTGAAAATTTTGAAAATAATGATTTTTTAAAAAAGAATTTCATCAAAATTGCTAGTTGTGTAATGAAAGAATAGGGAACACGAAAATAGTTTATTATTTAGTTATTGCTAATAAATTTTTTCTTTTTTTAGTAAAAAGGCAAATTTTGCAATATCAGAGCAGTATAACGGGTCTTTTTCCACAAATTTCAAGTGACAAAGTCGTGGGAAGTGTGAGAGAGAGTATTTATTGTGCGGCTGCAATTTGGAGTTTGTATCAAGCTTATAGGTAATGAATTTTTAAAGGAAAGTCATTTTAAAAAAATATCAGTGAATTTATAGATAATGATGATGATGATTTATTTATTTTTTTCTAGACGGATCGATGATGATCGGGGCAAATCTCACGAATTAGGACAATCGACAGTAAAATGTATGCGTGGAATTTTGGAATGTTGGATGAAGCAGGCGAGCAGAATTGAATTATTTAAACGCAATCAATGCGATCGTTTTTCTCTTCATTGTAAATTTCATCTTGACACTGGAAGTGAAATTTTTAAAGACGAAGACTATTATCATCTTCAGGTAAGTAAATCTAAATTGTTTATCAAAAATCAATTTTCTTTCTTTTCGTCTCTTTTTTCTTTTCGATAATTTTCTTATTTTTCTCTTTGTCTATTTTTCAGTTGGTAATTAATTAATTTCTTTTCAGATTGACGTCGTTTCGTTGTATTTGATTTTCCTGGTTCAAATGATCACCTCGGGTTTGCAAATAATTTACACGCAAGATGAAGTGGCCTTTATACAGAATTTGGTTTATTACGTGGAGCGTGCATACAGAACGCCAGATTATGGAATGTGGGAAAGAGGAAGTCGCTACAATGACGGAACGCCGGAAATTCACGCGAGTTCCATTGGAATGGCAAAAAGTGCCCTGGAGGCGATAAACGGTTGCAATCTTTTCGGCGAAAAGGGAGCTTCCTGGTCTGTTATTTATGTCGATATCGATGCCCACAATCGTAATCGCAGTATTTTCGAAACAATGTTGCCGAGGGAATCGAGCTCAAAGGTTAATTCAAAAAATTAAGAATCCTTTATTCTCTTTCTTTTTCTATTTTATTTCTTACTTCTAAAACTACTTATTCTAAAACTACTTATTTTTTATTGAAAAATTGAATTATTAATTAATATAATAATGTTTTATTAAATTATTATTAATTATTCATACTTTCTTGGTAAAAATTGATGAAAATTTGAAATTAACAGAGTGTCGATACGGCATTACTGCCGACAATTTCGTTTCCCGCTTTTGCGACTCATGAGGAAGTATTGTACACCGAGACGAAAGCAAATATTGTCAGGAGATTGAAAGGAGTTTACGGATTCAAAAGGTTCGGAAGAGATGGTTTTAAAACTGTTCTTGAGGATCCAAATCGACGTTATTATCGACCTGGTGAAATAAAAGTAAGAAAAAAAATATTTTCTTTGGACTTTCTTGAAATTTTCATACTATAATCAATTTTACAGGAATTCGATAATGTCGAATGTGAGTGGCCGTTATTTTACATTTTCATGATAATCGACGGCGTTTTCAAATCATTTCCAGAACAAGTGGAGGAGTATCAAAATTTACTGAAAGCCCGATTGCACAAGGATATAAACGGAGGTATTTTTATTTGCCCAATTTTTCAATCTATTTTTTTTTATCTAAAATTATTGATTTCAGGTTTTACACTCATCTACTAAAACCTATTATTTCCTACATTTTTTACGATTTTCTACAATTTGGATACTTTTTTAGATTTTTGACACTAAAAGCTACTTTTTTCTTTTCTTTTTTTTTGTTAAGAATTTGCAAAACTTTAAATTCGCTAAATGTTGAAATAAAAATATTATTCTCAAAAATTTTAATAAAATTCTTAGAAATGATTCAATTATTTTCAAAAAAAATTCCGAAATTCAATAATTTTCAAAATATTTTCATAAATAATAAAATTTTTACATTAATTCAATTATTTAAAATACAATTTTTATTAAATTTTTTCAAAAAAGAAAATCAATTATTTAAAAGAATTTTAATAAAATTCTTCGCTGAAATTCAATTATTTTCGAAAATTTTGATAAAATTCTATATAAGAATTAAATAACCTTCAATAAAATTTTAATGAAAATCGACGAAAAAAATTGTAGAAATTCAATTATTCTCATAAATAATAAAATTTTTACCGTAATTTTATTATTTAAAATACAATTTTCATTACATTTTTTTGAAAAAAAATCAGTTATTAAAAGAATTTTAATTGAATTTTTTACGGAAATTCAATTATTAACAGAATTTTAATAAAATTCTTTACGGGAATTCAATTATTTCCAAAAATTTTAATTCAATTCTTCGCAGAAATTCAATTATATTCAAAAGTTTTAATATAATTCTATATAAGTAGGTATTAAATAAATAAACCTTCAATAAAATTTTAATTCAATTCGTCAAAAAAAATTGTAAGAATTCAATTATTATCATAAATAAAATAAAATTCGCGCTAGAATTCAATTATTTTCATAAAAAATAAATAATTTTCAAAGAAATTCAATGATTTAAAATACAATTTTCATAAAAATTTTCGAACAAAATTGGTTTACCAATTTTTATAAAATTGTTCATGGGAATTCAATTGTTTTTAAAAAATGTAATGCAATTTTTTGCTAAAATTCAATTATTTTCATAAATTTTAATAAAATTCTACATAAGAATTAAATTGCAATTATTCATTAAAAATTTTATTAAAATTCTTCGAAAGAATTCAAGTTTAAGAAATGTTGATAAAATTCTTTGTAAGAATTCAATTTTAAAAAATATTCAATTATTCAATAAATTATTTATGTTTATATTTAATTAAATGAATTCTCGAAGAACTTTCTAATAATAGTTTTATGAAAATTAGAAAAAAATGAGGGAAATAAAATGCAGAATAAAATTTTTGTGATTTTTCTGAATCAACTAAAACGAGTTTTCTAGTCGTCAAATTTTATTCTTCGTTAACTACATTTTTTGGGGTCTTTAAGCTACTTTTTGCTACTTTCTTAAAATTATTTATCGAGTGCGAAGCCTGTGATTTATTTTAACTTAAAATAAGAAATAATATTCATTGACTGATTTCTATTTTTCTTTTTTTCGATTTTCCAAAAATTTGACTGAAGATCCGATAATTCCGATGTATTTTTACGTTCCTGAGGAGAATCTCGAGGCGGAGAAAAATGAACCGGGCAGTACGATGCGAATACCTAGCGAGGAAGTTAAAAGACATCGAAGAAATTCAATGGAATATGATGGACCTCATATTTACTTGTGGAATCAAGCAATGTTTGTTATTGCTCAATTATTGACAGCTAGTCTTCTACATATCAATGAATTAGATCCAATTCGTCGTTATCTTCCTTCTTATAATAGACCGAGACGAGCTGGACGATACTCTGCTTTTCAGGTAAATCAGAAGGAGTTTACTATTTTCTTTTCTTCTCGTTACATTTAAAGAGCGTCGATTTTTATTCTTAATTTTAATTGAAATATTTTAATTATATTTTAAATATTTTTTAACGTCTTCTTTTCTTGTCTTCCACGTAGGCAAAGCCGAGCAGTGTAAGTAAATTATCGAATTCAACATTTGTTTGCAAGAATTACTATTAATCTTCTCATTTTCCTTTTCATGCTTGAAAATGAAAATCTAACTTAATTTTCTCAATGTTTTTTCTATAACAATTGTGTCTTAATATTTTCTCTTAATATTCCCTTTTTTTACTATCGTAATTCTTTTAGTCTTCTGAATAATTATTCTTTATTTAATACTTTGAATATTTTTTCTAATACCTTAAACATTTTTTCTAATCTCTTAAATATTTTTCTAATACCTTAAATATTTTTTCTAATACCTCAAATATTTTTTCTAATATCTAATAGGAATGTTTCTCTAATTTTGTCTTGTAATTTTTTCCTTAAAATTTTTTTTTTCCTTAGTTGGAATGAAAGTGAAAATTTTTTGAAAGCACTGTTTTTTGTTTACAGAAATTGTTGAAAATGATTTTTTCCAAAGTGAATTTACAATTATTGATTTTGCCTGAAAATAATTCGAAATAATAGAAATATTATTTAAGCTTTTTTGCATGATTAATATTGTAATTTCTGTCAAATCACATTGTGAGTTAAATAATCGATTGAGTATTTTTCTCTGCAATAAAAAAAAAATGAAGAATTATATTATTTTATATTATTTAGGGAACACATACGGATCTGGTTGTGCAAATTGTTTTGATAGCCGAAAGCATGAGGCTACAGGCAATGATGGCGACCTATGGAATTCAAACTCAAACGCCCCATGAAGTTGAGCCGGTACAAATTTTATCCTCCTCTCAATTGGTCAAAGTTTACGAGCAACTTGGAATTAATAGTAAATTAAATCTTCAAGGCCGACCTTCGCGACCAATTGGCTCCCTCGGCACTAGCAAGGTAATTGACTATAAATAAATAATCAATTTTGATTAATTACTCTTTTTAATTAATTATTGTCAATTTTAATTTTTTTCATTATATTTCAATTAAATTTTAATTAATTATTCTTTTTCTTTAATTGTGTAGAAAATAAATTTGAGTAATTTCCAAAATTATTAATTAACTAGCAAATGTACGCTCATAATCAAAATTAAAAAAATTCACTTATTCAGTACAAAATTTAAGAATTTAATTAATTTTATTAATAGTAAAATTCTTTGTAGGAATTCAATTATTTTCAAAACAAATTTAATTATTGAAATTATCGAAAAAATTTCATTATTTTCAAATATTTCTATAAAATTCTTCATAACAATTTAATTATTTCTTAAAATTTTAATAAATTCTTCGAAACATTTCAATTATTTTTATAAATAGTAAAATATTTTGCAGGAATTCAATTATTTTCCAAACAATTTTAATTGAATTCCTCGGATAAATTTAAATATTTGTAAATATTAAATATTTCCACAAATTTCAATTATTTCCTAAAATTTTAATAAATTCTTCGAAACAATTCAACTATTTTTGTAAATACTAAAATTCTTTGCATGAATTAAATAATTTTTAATCCAATTTAAATAAAATTACACGAAAGAATTTAATTATTATTTTCAAAAATTTCCATAAAATTCAATTTCAACAAGAATTTAAAATTCTCAAAGTATTTTTAAAAAATTCTAAATAAAAATTAAATTACTTTCAATGCAATTTTGAAATATATTCGTCAAAAAAATTGAAAGAATTCAATTATTTTCAAAAATAATAAAATTTTTATGATGAATTCAATTATTTTGAATATTCATAATTTTAATAAAATTCTTTAAAGAAATTCAATTATTTTCGAAACAACTTTAATTGAATTTCTCGAAAAAATTTCATTATTTTTAAATATTTCTATAAAATTCTCGATAACAATTTAATTATTTTTTAAAATTTTAATAAATTTTTCGAAACATTTCAATTATTTTTATAAATATTAAAATTCTTCGCAATAATTCAATTATTTTTATAAATAGTAAAATCCTTTGCAGAAATTCAATTCTTTTCAAAAACATTTTACGAAAGAATTCAATTTTTTTTCTTAATTCGTTATAAAATATTTCAAAAGAATTAAATTATTTTCTGAAATTTTAATAAATCCTTCGAAACACTTCAATTTTATTTATAAATATTAAATAGTAAAATTATAATTGCAAAAATTAAATTATTTTTAATAACATTTCATGAAAGAATTCAATTTTAAAAAATTTTTAATACCTAATTTTTTTCGAAAAAATTCATTTTTTTTCTTAATTTGTTATAAAATATTTTAAAAGAAATCAATTATTTTCTAAAATTTTAATAAATCCTTCAAAACAATTCAATTTTATTAATAGGTAGTAAAATTCTTTGCAACAATTCAATTATTTTTAATACAATTTTAGTAACATTTCATGAAAGAATTCGATTTAAAAAAAAAATTTTAATAATATTTTTCGAAAAAATTCAATTATATTTATATTTTAAAATTTTTTGCAAAAATTTAATAATTTTAAAAAAAATTCTACGAAAGAATTCAATTTTTTTTTTAATTCGTTATAAATTTTTTTAAAAGAATTAAATTATTTTCTAAAATTTTAATGAAATTTAAATATTTAATTTCAATTATTAACAAACACGATTATTTTAAAAACTTGAAAGAAATTGTTCACAAAATCCAATTATTTTCAAAATTTTTAATTAAAATTATTAAAGAAACTCCATTATTTGGAAAAAAATTCAAAGAAATTCTTGAAAAAGAAAGTAATTAGAATTTTCAAAAATTTTATCAAAAATCTTCGCGAGAATTCAAATATTTTCCTAAAATAATAACGATTATTAATAAAGAAGATTATTTATTTATTAAATTATTAATTTAAAGATATACAGAGTCTGCGGAATGACAGTTCTTTGCTATCCGTTAATTTTCGAAGTTTCGGATTTTTACTTGTATCGGGATATGGCTCTATTAATTGACGATATCAAAACAGAATTGCAATTTGTTGGGAAATATTGGCGACTTTCTGGAAGACCAACAGTTTGTCTGCTGATCAGAGAGGAGCATATGAGGTAATTTTCAAAGAAATTATTAAAAAAAAAAAGTAAAATAAGTAATTATAAATTGAAAATTTATTTAATACGAAATTATCTAACATAAAATTCAATGAATATTTCAGAAATATTAAAAAATAATTTTCTTTAAAAAAAAATTTTACGGCAACTGTTCTTGAATATTTTTCTTTTCATTTTCAGAGATCCGCAATTTAAGGAAATGTTGGATTTATTTGCCATGTTGAAAAAAGGCTACTGTGATGGAATAAAAGTTCGTATTGGAAGATTGCAAAATCTCATTTCCTCCTCGTGTATCGGTATGAATCAAATTAATGTTTATTTTTGTTTTCATTGATTTATTTAATCAATTTATTTTAATACAATAAACAAACTAAACGTTATATTTAATAAGTAAATTTAAAAGTTACTAATAAAATTTTAATATATTGAAAAGTAATTATTTAATGAGCTAATAAAATTTTCAGAGCATTTGGATTTTTTGAGTAATTTAGATATTGACATTGATTTGAATCCGTTTAAACAATTGGAGCACGATTATATTGGTTATCAAAGTCTTACAGACGTTCCAAGAGCTTTATCCTACGCAGAAGAAATTAAAGATTATAAAGTAAAAATTTAATTTAATTTTCAAAACTTTCCTTTATTTATTAATTTTTTTTTTGAAAAAAGATTTGATTAATTTAATTATTTTATATTTTAGCACTTTATGACTCAACCCCTGTACAGTGTTTTGGATGAAATTCGTAACTCTGAAAGTCTCTACGCAAAATGTCAACTTTATGAAATTTTATTGAAGCGAGAAGGCATAAATTATGAATTTAACGGAAAAACAGGTATTTTAGTAAATTTAGTAATAAATAATAATTTTAGTAATAAATTCTTAGAAATTAATTTACAAATTTTTATTTATTTTGCACTAATTCTATTTCACAGTTGGCGATCATTTAAGATCTTTGTATCAACAAGCTGGTGGATTAAGGTACTGGATGGTGGTTCGATATTGTAGCAGTTTATTAAATCATACAGTCGATAGTATCAGTCCTTTTATAACAGGAGTATTAGTCAAAGGAAAACAGGTATTTTATTGCGATTAGCAAACTTTTGAATTTTTATAATTAAAACAATTTTCACTTTTAATAAGTAATAATAACATTTATTTAATAAATATATAATAAAATTTAATAAATTATTATTCATTAAATGAATTTTGTTTATTAAACAATTTTCGCAATTCTTATAGATTTTAAAGAATTGTTTGTTTTGGAAAATAATTTTTTATTGTAGTTAACAGTTGGTGTCATTGGACATGAGGAAACTGTTTTTGATAAACCGATGACTCCAGCGGAAATTCAATCAGTTGTTTATTCAACAATTCAACCTCACAATGTCGTACAAGCTGTTCTTCAACAAGAAATTCTCCTCTATTGTGGACGATTAATTGGAACTAATCCTGAAATGTTTAAAGGAATTCTGAAAATTCGAATCGGGTAAACTCAATTTGTATACTTTCCTAAAATTTCACTCTCTCATTTAGTATTTAATTTAATCTTACCAAATATTCATTAAATATTTATTTAGTACATTATTCAATATGTAAAGAAATCTTATCTATATTATCGTAATTTGAAACCTGAAAATGGCAGGGAATTTTATAAACCTTGAAAAAAATTTGGAAAAGTCAGGGAATTTTGATCGAAATCCTGGAAAATTGTTATTTTCTAAAGTTATTGTGTTTATTCCTGAAATCTAATTTCACTGAAAAATTTCAAAATTAATTCAATTTTAAAAGAATTGCGTTTACAATTTTCATAAGTAGATGAACTTTAAAAGATTTTGATTCAAAATTTTGTGAAATTTTAATTTTAAATGAATTCAATTAGAAATATTAAAAAACATAGATTTACAAAAAATTTTAAGAACTAAAATTCTTCTGAATTTAGTTAAATTTTTTAATATATATTTAACTAGTTTTATTAAAAATAATGGATTTATAGAAGAATTTCAGTTAAAAACACTAAAACAAATTGAATTTTGAAGCAATTACTTACAAATGATTGCAGAAATTCAATTATTTTCAAAAGTAGTAAAATTCTTCTCAGAAATTCAATTATTTTCAAAAATTTTCATCAAAATCCTTGGCAAAATTTTAATTATTTTCAAATAATTTTCCTCAATTCAATGATTTTTAATATCTACTACTTTAATAAAAATTCCTAAAAAAATTCAATTAGTTAAAGAAAATTTAATAAAATTCTACGCAAACATTTAATTATTTTCGTAAATAATAAAAATTTCACAGGAATTCAATTATTTACAAATTATTTTCATATATTATTCAATTATTTTCATAAATAATAACATTTTTTTATAGGGGTTCAATTATTTTCATAAATACCTAATAAAACTTAATGCTGAATTTTAATTATTTTTAATACAATTTTAATGGAATTCCTCGAAAAAAGTTATTATTTTTAAAAATTTTATTAAAATTTTTATCAGAGAAATTTAAATATTTTAATAACCTTTGCTACAATTTATTTATTAAAATTTAAGTATTATTTTCAATAAATTTTTAATAAAAATTCTTTAAAGATTAAAATTATTTTCAAAAATTTTAATGCAATTCTTTGCGTAACAATTCAATGTTTTTCAAAATAATTAATTAATAAAATTCTTCGCAGAAATCCAATTATGTTTAAAAATTTACAAAAATTCTTGTAAAAATTTCAATTATCTTTATAAATAATAAAAATTTTCTCTGAATTGAATTGAATTGTTTCGAAAAATTTTATCAGAATTGTTGAAATTAATTGAATTGTTACTAAAACTCTTGAAAATAATTGAATTCAAATAATATTTTTAAAAATAATTGTATTCTTTCGAGAAATTTTATTAAAATTGTATTGAAAATAATTGAATTTCTCCGAAACTTTTTATTATTTATGAAAATGTTGTAATTTTTGCAAAGAATTTTCTTATTTATAAAAATAATGAATTCTTGGGGGGGGGGGGGGATTTTACACTTCATAATAATAATTGAATTGTTTCGAAGAATTTTATCTAAATTTTTGAAAATAGTTGAATTTTTTGAAGAAATTTTATTAAAAATTTTGAAAATAATGATTATTAAAATTTAAAAATTATTTTCAATAAATTTTTAATTAAATTTTTTTAAGGAATAAAATTATTTTCAAAAATTTTAATGCAATTCTTTGCGTAACAATTCAATTTGTTTTCAAAATAATTTTAATAAAATTCTTGGCAGAATTTTAATTATTTTTAATACAATTTTCATCAAATTTCTCGAAAAATGCAATTATTCTTAAAAATTTTATTAAAATTTGTTTATAAAATTCTTTATGAAAATTTAATTTTAAGAAACATTCAATGGTTTAATAGAATATTTATTTTTATAGTTAAATAATTGAATTCTCGTAGAATTTTCTAATAAATATTGATTTAAAAATGAATTTCAAATTAAAATCTTTGAAAATTTGAACTTTTCATACTTTCAATGAAGAATTCTATAGAATTAATTTTTCTCAATAAGTTTAATGGAATTTTTTTTAATTATTTGAAGTTTTTAATTTCTAATGTATATTTAATTGAAGAATGTCAGAATAATCGAAATTTCGTAAAATTAAATTGTGAACAAAAGAATTTGAAAATTCATTTACTATTTGAATTTAAAATATTTTTCAGATGGGTTTTAGAAGCGATGAATCTTTATCTTAAAATGACAAAAAAGAATCCAAAACCAATTGAAAATTACAGTCCCTATGAAATTCGACAATTTCTCATAAAAGTTCTCACTGTGAAAGATTGGGCCACAGCGGAAAAGTAAGTTTTTGAAAAAAATTTCCAAATTGTTTATTATTATTTCTTTTTTAAAATCATCTTTTTTTTCCTTTTTAGTTTATCAGTATTGGAGAGAAGAAAAATAGAAGGAAGTTTGTGCCGAGTTCCAGTACATTTTTACAATCAAGTTTGGGAAGTTTTACTGCGTTGCCCTGGAGGAATTTGTGTTAATGGTCGTGAATTACCTCAGCAACCAACTTTATCGAATATGACAAGATCAGAATTAACTTTTGCACTTTTAGTCGAATCTATTCTTCATCATATTCAATTAGCGGAATTCCGGCAAATTGTCGTCGAGGTATAATTTTAAAAATTGAGATATTTAATTTATTAGAAATAATTTTTTTTTTTGAAAATTCATAATTATTCTTTTCAGTATTTCACTTTCGTATTTTAATTTGGAATAATTTTCTTTTTAAAAATTGTTAATGAAGAATATTTATTTTAATTTTTAATTTTTAATTTTTAATTTTAATTTTAATTTTTCAACTTTAATCATGTTTTAAATTATTAATTAATAATTTACAAAATTTTTCTTCAGTTATTGAATATAGTCTCAACAATTCTACTGAGAAATCCGGAATTAACTTTCAAGAGACAATTGGATTTGAATAAACTTGTTGATGATGGTTTCGACATTTTTTGCAAGGTAAAAATTTTTTAATTCTGTATTTTATCATTAAATTTCATATTTTATTTTCTTCCTTTCAATATGAATTATTGTAAAATAATTCATTTATAAATGGTACCAAAAAAAAATTAAGTTAAATTTAATTAAATTTTGTTGTAATCTTTTTTAGGATCACAATTTGGTAAAATCAACCGATATGTCCGCTTTCTTTTCCGCTCATTATTCTTTGACAACTGGATGTCTTGCCAGGGCGGTTGTCAATAACGTCCTCACCAGAGGCTGTGTAACAACGGATATTGATTTAGATGTTGAGAACAATGAAATGTGTAAAGTCACATAATATTTTTATAGTCATTTTTTAATTCATCTTCTGAGTGCCAATTTAAAAGAAAAATATTTGCCATATTTAATTCAGTGTGAATATTTTTTTTAAACAATTAAATACTTTTAATTGTTAAAATAATAATTAATTATTAAATAATAAAAAATTTGATTTAATATGAATTTTAATGAGAAAAAAGAATCTAGCAAACAGATTTTATATTCGATAAACATATTTTTTAATATGTTAGCAAAAATAAAAATTTAATTTGTATATTTATCATGTAATTTGAAAATGAAATTAATATTACTTTTTTGAAAGTTGAGATTTAAATTTAGAATTTTTCGAAATTTCGAAATTCGAAATTTTTAATATTAAATTAAAAGAGATTAGTGAGCCTTAAAATGATATACATTATTGTTACTTGTTATTACTGTTTACTTTGTAAATAAAAACTATTTCTCTAAATTTTATTTCTTGTTCTTAATATTTAATATATAATAAAATAAAAATAAAATCTAATAGATTTTATTTGATAGAATAAGAAATTAATAATATGATTATTTATACGAATATGAAGAAAAATAATAAAAATATGAAGTTAGCGATCACTCCTCATAGGAAAAAATTTAATTGTTTCCTTGTGATCCTTGTGATTTTTTAACTTTCAAATAGCGCGCGCAAAAATTAGTGACAGCGGCTCCAGCGGCTAAATTCACTTTTCGATTCTCGAATTACTTCAGACAGGAAACTTTCCCATTTCACTTAAATTTATCAATTAATTAGCGATAAATAAATAGTGAAACAATAAGAACAATTAACAATTGATTTTATTTTATTAAATTGTTTATAGAATTGCCAATAATAGTAAACTTTAAAACATTACAAGAAATGGAAACTATTTCTCTCCTGTGACTATGTTCACTCAGTTTCAATTTGAAATTAGTTCTTATTTAATTGCCGCCACCTCGTAAGGCCACCATTTTTATATTTTATTAAAAGCCGTTCAGTTTAGTACAGTTTAGTAGTCAAAACGTGGAAGTCAGTGGAAGTCGTGCAAGACACTCTCGATGCTATAAAGTGTGTATAAGTTTGTGAGAAATTATTAAAAATTTTGCTTTGTTCGTCTGATATATTAATTCACAGTGTTTTAGTATATTTTTGAAGGTAATTCTTTTTTTTGGACATTTAAATTAATTTTTGATAGTTTCATAACATTTATATTTCTTGCAGTATCTGAAAAGGCTTTTGTTTAAAGAATATCACCAAAAAATATTTCAGAATGCCTAAAAAATCAAGTGGTTTTGCTATGTTTATGTTTGAATATAAAAAAAGGGAAGAACGTGCTGGACGTAAATTTCCTAATGGATTGAAGTCTGTTCATGAGGATCCTGGATGCGATAGAGAGTGGAAGGTATGAAAATTGCTGCTTATTTTTCAAGAATAATAATAGAAAACTTATGCATAATGCGAAATTCAAGATAAATTGGAAATATGAGGTTTGTCGTGCGAGCTTGAAAGAGTGATAAGGATATCAAAACAAACAGTGCAGACCATTATACTTTTGATATTAATTGCTTTTGGAGTTTATGGTTTCGTATTACTTCAAATTCAAGGTCTTTGTTTTAAACCCTATATTTTTCTTGTCTTTCATTTTATAAATTAAAATTATTATTTATTTTTATAAACTTCAAAGACAGTTTTCGAGTTAAATTGTAAAATCTAAAGGAATTTTTTCCTTGAAAAATGAAAGTAAAATCAATTTAAATGTCCAAAATACTAAAGCACTGTGAATTAGTATCAGATGAATATTTTATTTTTTATTGAAAATATTTCAGCAATTATCGGAAAGAGAGAGAGAGAGATATAAGCAAATGGGGAAGGCAACAGACTTGGTGACAAAGAAGAAGAAGAAGACAGGAACCGGAGAATGCATGGATGAGGTTGAAAAACAAAGAAAGAGGGAATTAGATTTTCAAGCAGATATGAACCAAGATATTGAAAATACTGTCATGAAAGGAGTTGAAATGCAAGGTAAAGAAACTAAAATCTATAACACTCCTCTACTAAAATCTACTATTTACTACTTTTTTTACATTATTAGAATAGCACTTTCAGAAAAATTTAGAAAAAATCAATCATTTAACAAAATTTTTATCCAATTCTTCACAATAATTCAATTACATTTCACTCATAATAACATTTTTCATGGAAATTCAATTTAAAAAAAAAATTCGATAAACTAATCGAAAAATTCAATTATATTCACAAATAAAGGATTTTTGTAAATAATTAACTTTTTTTGAAAAAACAGTGAAAATTTTTTCTGGAAATCAGGGAAAAATAAAATTAAATATTTGTGGCAACCCTGACTAATTAAAAAATTTTATAAAATTCTTCGCAAGAATTAAATTATTTTGATAAATATTTAAATTCTTTCGTGAATAATAAAATTCGTTGCAGGAATTCAATTTATTAGCAGGATAAGAAAGAAGTAAATATTTTTTATGATAATTAGGAAAAAGTCAGGAAAATAAAGTATAGAATGGAATTTTTGTCAGTTTTGTGAAATGCCTAAAACGATTTTTTTTATCGTCAAGTTTAATTTTTCGATAGTTACTTTTTTACTACTTTTTTTTAGTTTGAAAGCTACTTTTTGCTACTTTTTTAAAATTAATTATCGAGTGCGAAGTCTGGTATAATAATTAATAATGAAGTGTAATTTACATAATTATTTAATTTTACTAAATTGTAAAAGTAATTTAAATATCTAACGAATTATATTTTTTTCTCTCAAGATCTTGCGAAAAGAAAATTCTTCTTCATCCATTCAAACTGGTTTTATACAAGAAAGTATGATAATGGAGATTTTGAATATTTTCCTGCGGAATTTGCTCTTGCGGAATTTTCATTGGAAAATGGAGTGACACAAGTTTATCATGAAATTCTAAAAGATAACGTAATGGTGGGTTATACGAGAGAAGCTAAGGAGACAAGTCAAGAAACCCATCAAATACCAGTACCAAATACTTTAGAATGTGCTGAGGGCGATTACAGTAAAATGTGTTATAAGGTGTTACAATTGCTGAAACCGTACAAAGTAGGTGGAAAATATCCACCTGTATACACAATGCAAAAAAATAATGCACCTGTAAAATCTTTATTGAAAAAATTAATGGAGAGCATTGGTAATTATTAAATCAAAGATTTGTTATTAATGTAAATTTCAAGAATAATCTCTTTTTAACAATAATCTCTTTTATTTGAAAAAAATGTTTAGATCTTTGTGATGAAACTGTCATTGTCTACGATTTGGAAATATTACTATCGAACCTTTGCAATGCGAATTCAGATGATAATAAATTCCCAGTTGTCATGGCTGAACATGAATTGGTCAAAGATACATTTTCCTTCATTCAAGGTCTTGATTGCGATGTGAGTATTGTTTTTTCTTTCTAAGTATTAATTTTAAATTTAATTCGATTTTCAACTTTTTATTTTAATTTGTTATGTTTCTTGAAAATTTAAAGTAAAAAATTTTCGTTTTCACAGTATCATAAGACTTTAGATGGAACAAGTCAATTTTGCAGCATGTCAAACGTAAAAAGATGGGCGTACACAATTTGCGATTGTTGTTGTGAACAATTAAAAATTGAAATGATCGAAGGAATTCATTATCCAAAGAAAGTAACTTTCGATTCTTTGAGTACAAATCCTGTGACAACATTGTTTAATCAGATGTCTTTGGAAAATCAAAGCATCAAATCCATGACTGGAGTGAGTTTAAAATTACACGATTCTCTCAATTAAAAGAAAATAAGTTATAAATTAAAAAATGATAGTTATACTTGTAAAAAAAAAGTATGAAGACGCTATGAAATATAAAATAAATTTTCTTCTATTTTCTTTCGTAGGTGAGTAACGCGCACAGACTGGCTGTCTCCGGACGCACAGAAGAAGAGGAATTAAGGAGACGAAACCAGAAGACGACAATAACTGTCGTCAAATACACATCAGATGAAGCTCAAGTTCAAGCTCCAATTGCTCCAAATGTTCCAAGTTTCACTCCTAAACCACTTCTCAGTCACGTTGCGTCAAATTCTGCGACTGAGGTAAATATTGTTTTTATTAAATTAATAAAAAAATAAAAATAAATAAATAAACGTTGCCACGCAACCTGGAAAAGCTGGAAATGTCAGGGAATTAATAAGCCTTGAAAAAATCTGGAAAAGTCAGGAAATTTTGATCGCAATCCTGGAAAATTGTTTTCTAAAATTTTTGGGATTATTCTTGATATCTAATTAATTTTTAGAATTCATAAGAAAATTTTCAATTTTGGTGTTTTTTTTTTTTTTGAAAACCTAGAAATTGCCACGAATTCTAATACAAAACCTTCCATTTTTTCCATTTCTAACAATAATATACTTTAAATAATTTAATTATCTTTAACAATTGTCATAAAGTTATTATTCATAAATTATTTACTAAATAATTTTACTTATATATTTCAAAATTAATTCAATTTTAAAAGAATTGCGTCTATAATTTTCATAAATAGATCAATTTCAAAAAATTCTAATATGAACTTTTATAAAATTTTCAATTAATTTAATTAATTTAATTAGAAATTTTAAAGAATTTAGATTTTTGAAAGAAAAAACTTAACGCAAAATTAAAATTATTTTTAATACAATTTTAATCGAATTCAAAAAAATAATTATGAATAAATAATAAATTTACATATGAATTTCAGTTAAATACAGTAAAATAATTTATTTTTTTTAAGAAAAGTTACAAATGATAGCAGAAATTTAATTATTTTCAAAAATAATAAAATTCTTCGCAAAAATTCAATTATGTTCAAAAATTAAAAAAAATTCTCGTTCAAATTTTAATTATTATTAAAAATATTAAAATTCTAAAGAATTCAATTATTTTCGAAAATTTTAATTACTTTTAAAAATTTTCCACAATTTAATGATTTTCAATATCAATTATTTTTAAAAATAATAAAATTCTACTTTAAAATTAAATTATTTTTAAAAATTTTAATAAAATTCTTTGCAAAAATTTTAATTATTTTCAAAGATTTTCCTCAATTTACTGATTGTTAATATCAATTATTTTATTAAATTTTTCAAAAGAATAATTAAATAATAAAAATTCTATTGGAATTCAATTATTTACAAATTTTTTATAAATTTCTTCGCAATAATTCAATTATTTTCTTAAATAATAAAATTGTTTTTAGGAATTCAATTATTTTCATATTAATATATGAATAAAAGTTATCGCAGAATTTCAATTATTTTTATTATAATTTTAAGAAGTATTAAATTATACTCAATAAATTATTATTTATTTTTATATTTAAATAATTGAATTCTCGTTGAATTTTCTAATAAAAATTTATTTAAAACTGACTTTGAGTTAAAATTTTAAATAATAATTGATACAAATTTCTCAAAAAATGCAATTCTTTATAATTTTATTAAAATTCATCTAAAGAATTACATTTATTTTTGAAAATTTTAATAAAATTCTAGTCAAGAATTCAATTATCTTAATAAATAATTAAGATCTTTTTAGAAATTTAATTATTTTCACAAAAATAAAATTCTTTTTAGGCAATCAACTATTTTCAGAAATAAAACTCATCGCCGAATTTCAATTACTTTTTAATATAATTTTAATCCAATTTCTTTTGAAAAATGTAATTATTCTTAAAAATTTTATTTGATTTCGTCAATAGAATTTAATTATTTAAAAATTTTGTTGATATAATTCTTTATGAGAATTCAATTTTAAGAAACATTCAATTATTCAATAAATTATTTATTTTTCTATGTAAACAATTGAATTTTCGTAGTATTTTCAAATTAAAATCTTTGAAATTCTAAATTTTTTATACTTTTTACTAACAATTGTGTAAAATTAATTTTTTTCAAAGTTTCAAGGATTTCTTTTGAAATTATTTCAAGTTTTTATTTAATTTGGTAAATAATAAGTGTAGTTTTAAAAACTTGGAAAAATTTCGTTTTTTAATCTGGAAAACCTGGAAAAGTCAGAGAATTTTAAATGAGCAAAAGCGTGGCAATCGTTAATTTATTTGCAGATTTTACTTGTTAACAAATTTTATTGTTTATCTATTTTCAGGAATATCAACGTCCCCTACGTGCGCCATATTCAAAAAGTGAGTGAAAAAAAATACCTAAACAATCGTTGAGCTTACAATAAATATTAGTCGCTGATAGTTCAGAAAGAAAATTTGATTTTGATTATTTGAATAATTTTTACAGGTTCAATTGCTGCGATTGTGGGAGAAACAAAGCAGCATGCCTTTCACGAAGAAGATTTTCCAAGTTTGGGTGTTTCGTCCGGAAGAGGAAGAGGCAATCGAAGAGCAATGAAGGAACAGAAACAAAGTGCTGGACGTGGTAATGATCTTTATATTCAACTTTGTATTTTACTTCCTTATTTCTTTATATTTTAAATTTTCTTTTCTATTTACAGGTCGTGGCATCGCCTTGTCATAAAAGATAAATTTTTTTTATTATGAAATTTCACTTCTTCATTTTTATTATTACAATCATAAATACCAGGTCAATATATAATACAAAAAAAAAAATTGTTGATATAATAATTTTATTTTTCTAAAAACTTATTTGTTCAATTTAAATTATTTCATATAATAAAATATGAAATATTAATATGAATATCTTCTAGAATTACGACAAATTATTTTCAATGTTGAAAAGAAAAACAATTATATATAAAATGGAAAAGAGGAAAAAAAGAAGAAAATTTATGTTTCTGTAAGTTTCACAAATAAAAGATATTTCTTGTTTGAATTTAAATCTTTCTAGTTTTTTACAAAATAAAAATTTTCTTTAGTTTTCTTTCTGTTTAAGTAGAACAATCTCCGGCAATTTTCAGTCAATGTCTTGAATTTTTAAATTTTATTTACTTGTTAAAAAATTATATTTTTCGACAATTCTTTTTGATTCAAATTCTTTTTTTATCAACATTTTTCATTATTTCAGGTACGTAGTTCAATTTTATTCTTTACAACATTCTTCTTTCTAGATAAAAATTCTCTTTTTGAATAAAATTAAATTTGCATCCGTTAATAAATTAAATTTTTCTAAAATTAATTTTCTATTAAAAGAATTTTCTATTTAAAGAATGAAACTTTGATTCATGTTTTTATTATTTTTTTTTGTTTTTAATGGCGCAAATTGGAAAATTTTTGCAAAAAAGTTCGATTTTTAAAACCACTTCCTTTATTATTTTTTTAAAGATTCCCGTTGTTTGTGCGACGAATGATGTTTGGATGGATGCTTGTGTGACTGGAGAAGGTTTCAGGGGCACGCGACGGATTCTGACTCAACGAAAGTTTAGTCTTCGGTTGACATTCAAGTGCGACGAAGCTCAGTGCCACGTTTTATTTTTTTCACACGTATTTACTTTCACACTCTTAATGAAAAAGTTGTCGGCAAAGTGAAACTCAAAAATGCATCTTCTGCCTCTTTTTCTTTAAAATTCCATTAACTTGCGAACTGTCAGGTATGTTTTGCAATAATTTTTATATAATTTATATATTTTTATTTTTGAAATATTTATTTTTAAAATTTTCCCATGTACTTATATTTTTATACATTATTTTAAATAATAATTCGTGAAATATATCAATAAATTAAATATTAATAATTAAAGACAAATGAATAATATAAATATTAATAATATGCAATTAATAATATAAATATATTGAAATTTTTAATCATTTCTACATTTTAAACACCGCCAATTTAAAAACTAAATTCGAATCCAATTGGAAGATGATTCATTGAACAAAAATTAATTCTGAAACATTTTTCGAAAAGAATTATTATGAAAAATGATGATTTCTTATTTCTTCTCAAAATATTTAAATTCATAAATTATTTATCTAATCAATTGTCCTCAATTTGTGAATCATTCATTCTTGTTTCGATTGTTTTTCTTATGTCATACGCTTTTGAATCATACGTTTATAAAAATGAGTCTTTTGTTATATTTTGTTTTAAATTATTTTAAAAAAGAGACGAAATTATTTTACAATATGTATACGGAAAAAAGGGTAAACAATGTTTGTCTTTGTTCAAACAGATTTCTAATAGGATTTTCCATTTGTCACGAGAAAATATATCTTATCTTGATTACTTTATCAGAAACAGGTATAATCTGTTATTTTTTGCTCATAATTCCGATAACTGTAAATTTTTAAAATTCGAAAGTTAAATAAGAGTGAATTTAATTTTTTTTTTAAAAAAGGATAAAAATTGGTGTATTTAAATGGAGAAATTAATTTTTTGGAAAATTAATAAGACACATTATTTTATGTGACAATATAAATGATAATGTGAAATATTGAATGAAATATTAAATGTAATTCGTTAATTTATTCATTTTTTTTTTGTTCTTTTCATTTACAACAATATAGATTGTTTCTTTTTTTCATTTCAATTATTATTCACAGTAATAAAAGAATAATAAAACTAAAGGTTTTTTTTTGTTTCTGATTTAGTTTTGTTTTTGAAAAAAAAATTCTATATGCAAGGAATTTAATTTTATTTTTGAAAATGAATCATAAAATGATTTAGTTTTTGTTTTGAAAAAAAAATTTCTAATTTGCAAAGAATTTAGTTTTATTTTTGAAAATAAATTCTAAATGCAAAGAATTTAATTTTATTTTTGAAAATCAATTCCAAAAGGATTTTTTTTCTATTTTTGTAAAAAAATTGTAAATGCAAAGAATTTAGTTTTATTTTTAAAGAAAAATTTTTAATCTCAAAAAATTTTATTTTATTTATTATTTTTATTTTTATTTTTTAAAGAAAAATTTCTAATTGCAAAGAATTTAATTTTATTTTTGAAAATCAATTCTAAAAGGATTTTCTTCTATTTTTGGCAACAAATCGTAAATGCAAAGAATTTAGTTTTATTTTTAAAGAAAAATTTCTAATTGCAAAGAATTTAGTTTAATTTTTGAAAGTCAATTCTAAATGCAAAAGTTTTCTTCTATTTTTGGCAAAAAAAAAACGTAAATGCAAAGGATTTAGTTTTATTTTTAAAGAAAAAATTCTAATTTCAGAGAATTTCATTTTATTTTTGAAAAAAAATCCTAAATGCAAAGTATATTGTTCTATTTTTGGAAAAAATCCTAATTACAAAGAATTAAGTTTTATTATTGAAGAAAAATTTCCAATTGCAAAGAATTTAGTTTAACTTTTAAAAATCAATTCTAAATCCAAAGAATTTAGTTTTATTTAAAAAAAAAAAAAATTCTAAACGCAAACGATTAATTTTGTCGATGACGTTATAAACATTTGTATTGATTGGAAAAAGGCATAAACACTAAGTGATGCGCACATGTTTGCCTTAAGAAAAAAAATTGCAACAAATACAGACGTTTCTTTATAAATAAAAAAAGTCAAACACGATTTTAATCTTATAATTAAATAATCTAATTCTCACCAAATGTTTTTGATTTTCCAATAACAGTTCTTTTCTTATAAATTATAAATTTATAGCATTTCTAATCAAACACAATATTAATAAAATTGATTAAGTATTTTTTTTTAATTTCCATTTAATTATTTTTTTGTTAAGTAATTGATTAATTTTTATTTGTACAAATAATTGTTAAATTAATTTTTACCATTAAAAAAAATAATTATTATATTATTTGTTTCGATTCCGTGACTAAAATGAGTTAAAGTTTTTCCTGGATTATAAAGATAGGTGGGTGGATCACAAATTAGAAAATACGTGTAGGACTCGTGACTCGCATGCACGTTTTAATTAGCTAATTGTAACATCGAGCATTAAACTCGGAGACTTTGTAATGATTCAAGAATTCGGTTGACATCTAAGGAAGGAATTAATCATTTCTCTTGTCTATTAATGGGAAAATCTTGACCTTTAATCTACTAATTCACATAATTATATTTTTTTAATTAATCTCATAAATCAAATGAATAAATTGGATCAATTATATTCGTTACTTTAATTTAAAAAAAAGATTTTGTACTATTTTTATTCTTTTGTATTTTTTTCTATTATTTTTATTTATTTTTATTATTTTATATACTATTTTTACTTTATATTATTCATAAATTTAAATATTTATTTAATAGTGTATGAATATTCTCAGGTCGATTAAAACACTTTGTCTGCTTTTCAGGTGAACAAATGATGTAGGTACCAAGAAGGCTGTTCCATCAGATAGAAGAATTTAGAGATAAGGCCCAAAACTGCAAATATAGTTAGATTGTATTATTTATTTTGAACGAGAGCAAAAGACGAACGAAAAGGAATCAGCCATCCTCATGTGTCTCGGCAGAGAAAAAAGAACTGGTGGTACGCATATTTTTTTTTATCATTATTTATTCTAATTAAATCAATATTAATATTCTTTATTTGATGATCGATTAATTATTTGTCTTTCGAATAATTAATTGTTTGTATTTCGAATCATTATTAACTGTTTGTATTTCGAATCATTATTAATTGTTTGTGTTTCGAATTCACTTTTAAAATTTTTGAAACAGAACGAAAGTGAAAATATTATACGAAATTGGCCAAGGAGAATATTGAATGCCATTTTTTCGTATATACTATGGAGACAGGAAAAATTTGCAACGGATGTGCTTAATATTTACAGGGGACATAAATGAAACTTATATAGTAGATCTCATTATGGTATAATGAAAATGCAAAAATAGTAGCGAGATTCATTGTTATGCGAAAGAGGTACGGACGATGGCACTCAGAACTGTTGGTTGAGGAGTCGTCAAATAGTCGCCGGATGCGATCAACTCTCGCCTCCTTTTCAGTAACCCAAAATATAATGTTATTGTTCAACATTTCCATAGACGAAATTAACATTAAAAAACAAAACAAATTTAAGAATTACTGCCTTTCACAAAAAATAGATTTTTCGGTTCTATAAAATGAAATTCGACTTTCAAATGAAACAAAAGTTTCAATGTTCAAAGTTCTTTTTTGAAAAAAAAATCTGTAAAGTCCGTAATTTGATTGAGAAAAGACGAAAAGTTCGTAAATTGAACGATATAATTTGGAGAATTTTAGACAAATTACAAATTATTGCAGAAATTGAATTATTTTCAAAAAGTAATAAAATTCTTCACAGAAATTCAATTATGTTCAAAAATTTCTTTAAATTCTCGTCAAAATTTCAATTATCTTTAGAAATAATTAAATTCTTCGTAGAAATTCAATGATTTTCAAAAATTTTAATAAAATTCTTGGCAAAATTTCAATTATTTTTAAAAATTTTCCTCAATTCAATTATGATTTTTAAATTCAATTATTTATAAATTCTTTATAAATTTATTCTCAATCATTCAATTATTTTCATAAATAATAATTCAGAAATTTTTATAAAACTCATTGCAAAATTAAATTACTTTCATAATTAAGAATATTTATCACAAGAATTCAATTATTTTCAAAAATTAATAAAATTCTTCACAAAAATTCAATTATTTAAAAAAAAAATACAAAAAAAGTAATTGTTATCAACATTTAAATTATCTTTATAAATGAATACCAAAATTATTTGACAAAATTCAATTATTTTAAGAAATTTTAATAAAATTCATTGTAAACTTCAATTATTTTTTTAAATCCTAGTATTCATCATAAGAATTAAATTATTTTCAAAAGGAATAAAATTCGAAATTATTTTCAAAAATTTTTCTTAATTCAATGATTTTCATAATTCTTCTATTTTAATAAAATTTCTGAATAGAATTCAATTATTAAATAAAAATTTTGATAAAATTCTACACAAATATTCAATTATTTTCTAAAATAATGAAAATTTCACTGGAATTAAAAATATTTAAAATAGAATTTGCATAAATTTTTTCGAAAGAAATAAAATATTTGAAACATTTTTATAAAATTCTTCGCAATAATTCAATTATTTTCATAAATTTTTTAAAAAAATTCAAGGCAAAATTTCAATTATTTTCATAAATTTTAATAAAATTCAAGGTAAAATTTCAATTATTTTCAAAAAATTTTCTTAATTCAATGATTTTAATAAAATTTCTGAATAGAATTCAATTATTAAACAAAAATTTTGATAAAATTCTACACAAATATTCAATTATTTTCTAAAATAATGAAAATTTCACAGGAATTAAAAATATTTAAAATAGCATTTGCATAAATTTTTTCGAAAAAAATCAATTCTTTGAAACTTTTTTTATAAAATTCTTCGCAATAATTCAATTATTTTCCAAAATCTTACTTAATTCAATGATTTTCAAAATACTACTATTTTAATAAAATTTCTCAATAGAATTCAGTTATTTAAAAAAATTTTTATTAAAATTCTACGCAACGTTTATTTATTTTCATAAATAATAAAATAATTTTACAAGAATTAAAAATATTTAAAATAGAATTTGCATAAATTTAAAAAAAAAAATCAATTTTTTGAAATTTTTTTATAAAATTCTTCGCAATAATTCAATTATTTTTATAAATTTTAATAAAATTCAAGGCAAAATTTCAATTATTTTTTAATACCTACAATTTTAATCGAATTCCTCGAAAAATGTAATTATATATTCTTAAAAATTTTATTAAAATTCATCAAAAGAATTGAATTATTTAAAAATTTATTGATAAAATTCTTTATGAAAATTCAATTTTAAAGAAACATGCAATTATTCAATAAATTGTTTTTTTGTATTTGAATAATTGAATTCTAGTAGAATTTTCTAATAAAAATTGATTTAAAAATGGATTTCACTTAAAATTTAAGATTATAATTGAATTTTGGAAATAATTTTTTTTGAAAAAGTTTAATTGAACTGTAATTATATTATTTGAAGTTTTTATTCTCTAATATATATTTAATTTAAGAAGTTTACGAATAATTGAATAATATTGTAAACAAATGGATTTGAAAATTGGCAAAGAACTTTTTCTTCCGTAAAGTCCGTATTTTTAAATTTTTTTCACTGGTTCGAGCCCTGTATTTAGTTTTAATTTGAGTGGGAAAAATAATAAAAGCACACACGTGCAAGTTTAAGATTGAGAATCTTGTGTGGGTGTTGCTCTGCTATCCTACGCACGATTATAATATCTTTTTTCACATTATTTGATAATACTTTCCTTCTGTTTATCCTATTTTCAACAAATTTTGTTAAATTTGCGAGAGAATATGTTTTGAAATAAATATTATTATTATTTTACAGCAGGCAAAGAAATGTTGCGGAATAGACAAATTAAAGTGACTGCGGTCGGCGATGGTATGGTTGGCAAAACATGCATGCTAATTACTTATACAAATAAAAAGTTTCCTACAGAATATGTGCCCACTGTGTAAGTATATTGACACTATTCACGCCCTTCATTATAGTTAATAACTAATTATTCAAAAAAAGAAAAATTTTAATTTCAATAATTACGAATTATAATTGTATAAAATAAACTTTTTTCGAGTTCTTTACTTTTTGATCAATTTACTTGCAATATTAGTAAATAGTAAATAATAATTTAGTCAAAAATCCACTGTTCTTGAAACTAAATTGAAAATTTTACTTACAGATATTTTATGCTATTGTCATTTTGTTTTTAGATTTGATAATTATCCAGACCAGATAATATTGGATGGGGAGGAATTTAACGTGACACTATGGGATACTGCGGGTCAGGAAGATTATGAAAGATTAAGACCTTTATCCTATCCCCATGTGAGTCAACAATAATTTTCAAGTAGATAAAATTTTTACGATCATAATTAACTTTAATCTCAAGAATTATTGTTATTTAACGCTAATTTTATGATAATTTTATTAAGCCTCCAAATTTTTCTCTCCTTAATAAACGTCGCTTTCAATAAATTCTCTCATACAACTAGCAACAATTCGCGCGCTAAAGTGCGCGGCTAACTTCCTACTACGTCTTTTAAATGAAATTAGAAATTTTAAAAATAATGGACTTTAAAAATTTTCTAATTTAAATATTTCTTGAAAACACTAAAAAAAAAATTCAATTTTGGAGAAATTAGAAATAATTGCAGAAATTCAAATATTTTCAAAAAAAAAAATAAACTTCTTCTTATAAAATTCAATTATGTTCAAAATTTGAAAAAAATTCTTGTAAAAATCCCAATATTATCTTTATAAATAACAAAATTCTTCTCCAAAGTTCAATTATTTTCATAAATGTCAAAAAAATTCTTGTCCTAATTTCAATTATTTTCAAAAATAAAATGCATTTTTCTAATTTCAATAATTATCAATATCTACTATTTTAATAAAATTTCCCAAAAAGAATTCAATTATTTAAAAAAATTTTTAATAAACTTGTATGCAAACATTTAATTATTTTCATAAATAATACAAATTTCAAAGGAATTCAATTATTTTCATAAAATAATAAATTTTTTTTAACGAATTCAATTATTATTTTCATAAAAAATAATTTAAAATTCTACAAAATAATAATTGAATTAAAATGATGAAAATAATTTTGATGAAGTTACAGTTAACAATATTCTTATAATATAAAATAATGATTTTATCCGAGTCTTCGACTCGGAGCAATCGATATCTTCATGTTTTATAACAAATACTTTTATAAGTTGTTTAATTTAAAAAAGTTTGAATTTGAATTTTTTTTAATGTCTTAATTCCTGTGGAAAATTCTGTTCCAAAAATAAGATTAACAATAGGAATTGTGCAAATATTTTTCTTCTTTTCCCAAAACAAAATGATAATTTTGTTAAAAAAAATTGTGATTCATAAACAAAAATAATGCAAAATAAATAGATTTTATATTTTTTAATCACAGTTGTTTAACAATTTTCTAATTTTCCTTAGAAGTAAAGAACAAAAATCTGCATAATTTCAATTTGACAAAACATAATATTTAACAAAATTTTAGTCTTCTAATGAAAAGAAGTGGAAAAAATTCTGATGATTTCTATTTGTCATTACAATTTTGAATTAATTATAAAATAAAAATAATTATAACGTTAATAATAATAAAGTACATATTTCGGTAATCTGCTTGCAATTTAAAGTTAGTTGTTGTTTGCTTTTTTGTTTCTTAACTTTTTTATAATTTTTCTATTCATTATTTTCAATTTTAAAATTAATGTATTCAAAATCATCGAATTGTTGCAAAGAATTTTATCAAAAAATTTGATAATAATAGAATTCCTTCAAAGAATTTTATTTTTTAGAAAAATAACTGAATTCTCGCGAAGAATTTTATTAATATTTTTAAAAATCCTAATTAAATTTTTTTTGAAGAATTTCTTTGAATATTTTTTAAACTAATGGAGTTTCTTTAATAATTTTAATTGAAAATTTTTGAAAGCAATTGAATTTTATGAAGAAGAATTTAATTAAAATTGTATTGAAAATAATTTAATTCTTGCGAAGAATTTTACTATTTATAAAAATAATTGAATTGTTCCGAAGAATTTATTAAAATTTTACAAAATAAATGAATTTTATGTTAATATTTGAAAATTGTAATTCTTTCGAGGAATTCTATTAAAATTGTTTTGAAAAGAATTGAATTTCTGCAAAGGATTTTACTATTTATAAAAAATAATTGAATTTTTTCGAAGGATTTATTAAAATTTTAGAAAAAAATTGAATTTTTTCGAAATGTGTTAAATCTTTTTAAAAAAATTGAATTCTTTCGAGGAATTCAATTAAAATTGTTTTGAAAATAATTGAATTTTTGTAAAGATTTTACTATTTAAAAAAATAATTGAATTGTTTAGAAATATTTATTAAAATTTTAGAAAATAATTGAATTCTTTCGTGAAATTTTATTTAAAATTTTTGAAAATATAAACAGTAATAATTAATTTTCATTTAATTTTTAATTTAATATTTAAAATTCTAATGAATATAAAATTCGTTTCAGACTGACTGCTTCCTGCTTTGTTTTTCGGTGAGCGCTCGGAGTTCATTTGAAAATGTGGCCAGTAAATGGCATCCGGAGATAAAGCATCATTGTCCCAACGTTCCGATAGTTCTTGTTGGTGTGTAAAGTGTATTTTTGACGTAAATGGTGCATTAAACTCAAATCTTGTTTCCACATTCCTTGATAGTTGCAAGTAAAACAAAAAGATAAAAACAATCTACCAGATAATATTTACCTCGTATTTTGCATTCCAGTTTTTCTTTAATATATTTCTCAAATATAATAATTTGTTCAAATTTACTATATTTGTTCCATTAAAAATAATTTTCTGTAAAATAATTATCAAGTAAATTTTTAAATTCAATTTTTATAAATTTATTAATTTATTCATTTTTAAACAACTTCTATAATCTTTTACGTGATTGTCGTGATTGTTAAATATTTCTAATTGTTTTATTTTATCGCCAGGTACAAAAAGTGACTTGAGGAGTCAGGAAAATTTAGACATAGTGACACAACGTGAGGCGAAAAAAATGAAAAAGAAAATCAAAGCCTACAAATATGTCGAATGCTCGGCGATAAAACAAGAGGGACTTCAAGAAGTTTTCACCGAAGCTCTAAGAGCAGTTTTAAAGTCACCGTCGTCAAAGAAATTTTGTTGTGTATAAATATCAAAACTCATGACGAAAAAAGGTAGAATAATAATTAAAGCCCCTTAATTAAGGAATGAACAATATGAAAATTGTTTTGATAACAAAAAAATTTTCCTCAACTAGCAAAAATAATTTATTTTGCAGTATAAGAAAAATTTTTCCGAAATATACGCACATTAGTATTTATGTGAATATTAATAAATATTTAACGAACGTGAAGATTTGAACATCTTCGAAATCTGAATTTTATATAAATTCTAATATATTATTAGAATATATTATATATTATATACTAATATAAAGATTATATATGTTGTATAGAATATAGTTGCACCATTTGGTGAGTCCAAAAATAATTATTCATAAGTGCCACATTGCCTTTAATATCACAACTGTCTTTATTTTCATGTAAATAATTGAAGAAATATTTTATAATATTTTTTAAAGTATTAAAATAAAAATTTACTCTTTTTACAATTCTCAATTGGTTTTAATACTTTAATTATTGCATTTTTATAAAATTTAAAATGCAATGCGAAGAAATATGATAAATGAAAGAGAAAAAAAACTCTATTACCGTAAATTACAAGTCTTTAAAATTTTACATTTTAAAATATGAATCTAAATGAAAAATTTGAAACTAATAAACATAAATTTCGAAAGAAATTTATAATTTTAAAGAAAATCAATTCTCGAACATTATAAACTAGTTAAATTAACCTACAGTAAAATAAATTAATGTTTAGTTTTACCGACCAAATGAGTCGGAAAGAGGAGTTACTTTTTGCTGTATAATTTTTCCATATCCACCTCTGCCACTGTCAAAGTCTGATCGGTATTCGTCTCTTACCTGAGGATAAATGTAAAAAGTAAATTTAAGTATACAAAATTATTTTATCTAATTATAACATTAGATACATTATATTATTGATATTCTATTGAAAAAAAATAGTTGATATTTAGCTACAATAAATAGAAAAAGTAATTGAATTAAAGGACTTACTTGACCACCAGTTTTTCCACGACCGTATTGTCGACCTTCGATAAAACCTGCGTCCCAATCTGTTCGAATAATTCTATCGTCCAGCCTCGTGCCATTTACATATCGCATACAATTTTCAGCATCAGCTCTCACGTAATATTCAAGAAAACAAAAACCGCAGGGCGTCTTCTTATATTTATCAAGACCCATAATGATACGTCGAATGTCACCACATTTTGAGAAAAGTTCATAAATTTGTTCCTCTGTTGTGTAGAAAGAAAGATTTCCTACGTAGAGAGTACAGGAATTTCTCAGTAATCTATCTTGTTCCGCTCGAGAACCCTGAAAAAAATTTATTTTAATTTAACGCAAATAATTCTATTTATTACAATATTATACTATTTGTATAATAAATTAGGTAAAAATAAATGTTATTGTTTTAATAAAAATATGGTACTTAAAAATGATTTAAATTAAAATATATTTTTACTAAATATATGCGATTAAATACGAGATTATTATTATTATTATATCATTAAAAATCTCCAAAATACAAAGATATCGTCAATATATAAAAAAAAACCTAACCTTAAAATGCTGATCTCGATAGGAACTCAAATCTACAGAAGGTGAAGTAACCGCCGGAGCTACTAAACTCATTTTTAATAATAATAATAGTCCTTAATAATAATTAGTCCTCCTCTTCAATTAAATTAACATTAACTACTTTATGGTCAGAGTCAGAAATAAAAAAAAATCACTCCAACTTTTAACAAAAAATGTCAAAATCTGTCAAACACTTCTAGAAACTTTGTAGAAACTAGAAACGCTAGACTATTTGAAACGGAAGTAGCTGCTGCCATCTAGTTTAAATGTCAAAAGTAACTAGATCCGGGTTTTAAATTAATTAATTAACAGTTGTTTAATTGTCTTTATTCTCGTATCTCTTCACCGAAACTCCAACTCCTCGAAGGTTCAACTCCCCGAATGTTTTAACTCCTCGAAATGTTCAAAACATAAAAAAAAGTCAACTCCCCGAAAGTAATTTTTTTTGAACGATTTATACAATAATTTTCATTATCTAGTAAAGTTTTTAGATAAGTAACTTAATTATATTCTTGTAAATAATTTACAATCATAATACAATAATAAAATCAATAAATAATTCCTTTAATTAATGAATTTAGGTGAAAAATCGTTAGTTCCGAATTTGTCCGCAAGATATAGGTAGATGTCGCCCCAAAAAACAGCAGTTTTTGGTAGTTTTTTAGTTTTCCCTGTAATTCGCTTCTGACGAAACTACCGCTCTTATTAGCTAAATTCAAATTTACGCGGTTCTCATCAAGCCAATCAGCGCGAACCATGTGTATAATTCCGCCTTTAGGTTTTACAACTCTCTCATTGGTCGGCCTTGTCCCCGCGCAAATTTGAATTCAGCCAATGAGAGCGCTAGTTTTCCTGAAGGCGAATCACCATGGAAAACTCAAAAACTCGGAAAAATCGTCAATTTTAGGGGCGACATCTACCTATATCGAGCGGACAAACCCGAAACTAACGATTTTTCCACTTTAATTAATAAAATAAAGAAGTTGTTAATTGATTTTATTAGTATAATATAGTTTTATATTGTTTTCTAATTAAAATTAGCATATATATGAAGTAAAATATGAGAATTTATATATATTTCTATAATAATGTATTAAAAGAGTATGAATTAAATTAAAAGGCAAAAATTTGTCAATAAATAGTTTGCGAGGGTTTGAGTGAAGAGAATAATCATATATATGTAACTGGTAGTAATATAATATAAATTTAATAATAATCATAATTCAAAATTGTTGTATTTTACAATGGTATAATTTTACGAAACTACCTATGAAAATAGTAACAAGTTGTTAAATTAAACGCTAAATCGCGCTATTTGGACTTTGGTAATAGAACTTTATAAATAATATTCTGATTGGTATAAACTTGTTGTTCTATTTCTTTTAAAATTATCTTTTTCATATTATATTTCATATACATATATATATATATATATGTATATAGATAAATAATATAAGAAGTGAAAGTGGAACATTAAACATTTAAACCTAATTATAGGTTATCTCGTATCTTAATGGCTTCTGACAAGATATAGTAATTATTAAATAACTGAACTAAATAAAATGAAGTATAGAATTATTTGTTTTGTAATAACTTCTTTTCAGTTTTTGATACTACGAACAGGGAACAGTTATCTAAATCACAATGTTTAATAATTAATACACCGCGTGAAATTTTCATTTTCTTTTAAATAATTCGTCTGCTAAACTATTGTTGTCAATAAAGTTTTCTTTATCGCGACCTCAAATATTATCAAAATAATAAGTGTTATTATATTTTATCAATGTATACTCGTTTTACATTATATTTTTCTTTTTCTACATTATATTTTTCTAATAGTTTTAAAGCAACCTTCGAAATTATGAAAAGTAGCGAAACATAACCTCAAACGTCACACTATATTCAATATAAACAAAAGTCGTGTTTTTGAAAGGTATGTAATTTGCATTTGAAATGGCATTGATCTTTGGAGTTTACTTTGGTGTGTTCACCTCACTATTAGGTGGGGGATGAGTATAGAAAATGAGAAGGATAATCTAATCTTCAGAACGTGCAAAGTGTTTTTTTTTTCTAAGAAGAGTGAAAAAAGTCGCAGTCATAATGAAGCAAATGGAGTTTCACGACTTGCTTGCCGAGAGACGTCAAGATTGTGATATCCTTTGGGTATCACGTTCAACAAATCCTCTACCACCACATAAATTGCCACCGGAATTGAAATATTCGCGTAATCAATCAATTCGTGCAACCCTGGTAAATCCACGAGTTGTCATGGTTATCGAGAGTTTGGCTGCTGCACGTCAGGTCGACAAATCTGTCATCGTCGCGGAAGCTCGTGCAATGCTTGAGGAAATGGCCAGTAAAGCTCATCTTCCAACTGTCCGCTGGCTAGGTATTTATTTAGACTTTTACGAAAAAATTATAGACTAACAATACATTTTTTTTTAAATTTACGTTTTTTTCTCGACAGGCTTACTTATTACTAAAGTAATGAAGAGAATTTTAATAAGTGTCCATTTGAATAAACAGTTTTTGTTGACTATTAAGAATCAAATGAGCGTTTCTCAAGTACAATACGTTTACGCTCCATCGCACAGAAGTTATCTGGACTTTGTTTTGATGTCTTATATTCTCTTCTCGTATGACATGGCTCTGCCAAATATTGCCAGTGGAATGGATTTTTATCGAATGCAAGTGGTTGGGGAACTTTTACGAAAAACCGGTGCATTTTATATGAGAAGAACTTTTTCCACTGATAAACTTTATAAGGAAATTTTTCGCGGTTACATTGCATCGATAGTTGCTCACAGTGATCGAGCTATTGAATTTTTCATCGAAGGCACAAGAAGTAGAAGCCAAAAAAGTCTTGCTCCAAAGTTTGGTATGTTTTCTTTTTTCTATTAAAAATAAACTATATTTCGCAAGAATTTGTTTATTCTCATAAAAATAAGAATATTTTTCAGAGCAATTCAATTATTTTCAATTCAATTTTAATAAAATTTCTCGAAAGAATAAAATTATTGAAAAGTATATTATTTAAATTCAATTATTTCCAAGAATTTTAATATGAATTTAATTATATTCGCCAATTTTGATAAAATTATTTTCAAAAATTAGCAGATAAAATTCATCGAAATAATTAAATTATTTTTATGAATTGTAAAATCCTCCGCAAGGATTCAATTATTTTCATAAATAAGAAAATTCTTCAAAAGATTAAAATACTTCCAAAAATAACAAAATTCTTCAAAGGAATTCAATTATTTTCAAAAATAATAAAATGTTTCGGAGGAATTAAATTATTTTCAAAACAATTAAATTATTTTTTGTAAATAATAAAATTCTTTTGAGAAATTCAATTATTTTCAATACATACAATTTTAATTAAATTTCTAGGAAAAAATTCAATAATATTCAAGATAATTTCAATAAAATTTCTCTAACATGTTCAATTATTTTTAAAAAATCTTTGTAAATTTCAATTATTTTCAAAATTTTCAATTACAATTATTTTCGAAAAATTAGGTTATTTTTACGAAATTTAATGAAATTCATTTAAAAAAATGTAATTATTTACGAAAACTCTAATCAAATTGTTTTAAAAAATTTAATTTTCTATGAGTTATTTTAATATAATTTAATACGAAAATCATTAATTACAATTTATAATTTTATTAAAATTGTTTTTATAGTAATTGAATTCCTGTGAAAAATTTATTAATTTGATATTATTGAATTCTTACCAAGCTGAAGTCCACAACGTTGATCAACGAAAAAAAATTGTTTATTTAGTAAATTAATTAAAAATGACGTAGCAATATTGACACAAAAGTATTTAGAAAAAAGATTGATGTTTATATTTTGATAATAATTATTTTACAATTAAATATTAAATTAAAAATAATACTTGAATGCATTAAATAAATTTTTTTCGTTGATAAACGTTGTGGACTTCAACTTCGTGAATTCTTTCCAAAAATTAAAAAAAAAAAGGTTTAAAAATTATTTAATTTTCCCTGGAATTCAATTAAAATTGTATTTAAATTAATTGAATTGCAGCGAAAATTTTATTATTTTTAAAAATAATTGAATTCTTGAATTGAATTTTATTAAAAGCTTTTTTAAATATTTAAATCCCCGCGAAAAAATGTATTATTTCTGCAAATAATTAAAATTTTTGCAAAATTTAAAAAAATAATTGAATTTTTGAGAAGAATATTATGAATACTGTATTTAAAATAATTGAATTCCTGGCAAAAATTTACTATTTATTGATATAATTAAATTTTTACGAAGAATTTAAAAATAATTTAATTTTTCCTGGATTTCAATTAAAATTGTATTTAAAATAATTGAATTCCAGCAAAAATTTTATTATTTTTAAAAATAATTGTATTCTTGCATTGAATTTTATTAAAAGCTTTTTTAAATAATTGAACTCCTGTGAAAAATTAAATTATTTTTGAAAATAATTGAATTTTCTCGGAGAATTTTTACAAGTTTTTTTAAAAATAATTGAAATTTTCGAAGAAATCAATTATTTTTATTATTTTATTATTTTTATTGTTTTTATTATTTTTATTTTTTTATTTTTGTTGTTTACACTTGTCAAAGAATTTTACCACAATTATTGAAAGTAATTGAAATTCTTCATAAAATTTAATTACTTTCAAAATTTTCAGTAAAAATTATTAAAAAAACTTTATTTAATTTTTCTGATTTCTCTAACAGGTTTATTGTCTATGATTTTGGATGTACTTTTTCGTAGTGACGTTTCCGATATTCAATTTATACCAATCAGTATTAGTTACGATCGTCCTCTGGAGGAAAATTTATTCGCCTATGAATTGCTCGGTGTGCCAAAGCCAACGGAGAGTACAACGAAATTATTAAAGTCACTCTCAATTTTACGTGAATCATTTGCTCACGGACATGTTTATTTTAATTTTTCCGAGCCAATTTCAGCGAGACAGTATTTAGACATGCACATTCGTAAAACAAGTGCCTTATCGCCAAATGCAAAATTACCAACTGAAACTGTCATCAAACTTGCTTATTCAATTATCGATAAACACAAACGTAATTCTGTACTTATGCCATTTAATATTATTGCACTTTTATTTAACGAGAGAGTATATTCACATCCTGGACAAACGTATAATTTCGATAATTTACTTCAAGATTATAGTTGGATGAAAAATATTCTAGTCAATTCCATTGGAGCTTTAGTATTTCCCAAAGACGCGGGGTAAATATTCGAAAAAAAATACTTAGCATTCTTTTATTTTCGATTGTCATTTATTTTTATTGTTTTGTTTTTATTGTTTATTGCAGCACACGTGAGAAAACGGACAAGGAGGAAATTTTCGAATCTCTACATATTCACAGGGACTTAATTGTGATTGATTCGTCAAGTAATTTGGGTCTTAAAGAAAGGCATAAAATTGTCAAGACGGATAAAATTGTTAATGTCAAGGGACATTATTTAAGTGACGAGACAATTAGAATTTCCGTACCGTTAATTACTCTCGCCATTTATGTGAATCCAAATTTGGGATTTTTGGCGAAACACGCAATATTAGCTGTCTGCATCAGAGAACAGGAAAATTGTACTATTTCCAAAGGTAAACATGAAAGTGAAACTGACTTTGGAAATTTAATTTTCATTAAATTAATTAATTAATTAATTTAATTAAAATTTTATTTCCAATGTTAAGTGGGTATTTTAGCTTCATTTTTTAAAATAATATTTCTCATTTGTTTTGATAACATTTCCTTATTATGAGAAAACAATTTTTCACCTAAAATGACATTGCGTCATTTCTATTTCACAAAAGTTCCCGATCATTATTTCTAGCCGCTCCTTAACCGTATTATAATTATCAATAATATTTTGAAATATATTTCACGTATATCAATATTTTGAAACGTTTGGAAATATTTTTTTTATATTTCCAATGTTTTATGATTTTTGAACAATTAAATGAATGTCTATTCACACGGAATCGATAATTTTATTTAAATACACAAATTATCTGAATCAAAATTAATTAGTTTTCGAATTAAAATTAATTAATTCATATGCTAATTAATTAATAGGCAAATGATTATTAGAGAGAATTAAAAAATTTGCGATGTCTTGTGTGATAATTAGTGTTCTTTATGATAATTACTGTTGTATGATAATTACTGTTTTATATTGATTTTTGTTTTTCTTTCAGAAACAATAATGGAACATTATTTATTGTTGAGAAAACTTTTGAGCACGGAATTTGCATTTGAAACGAAAATCACTGAAACAATGGCTCAATCCGAATGGAGGGAAATATTGTCATTCTTGATAAAGGAAAATTGCGTTCGAGATTTTGGCGATACGTTGATAATGGGACCGAATAAAAAATTACATTCTTTATTGTGTAATATTATGTTACCGTATGTAGCAGCTGTCAACGCAACCTGCAACATTCTATTAAAGGTATTTTATTTGTTTTTATTTATTATTTTACTTTTATTTGTGTTTTGTGGTTTTTTTCCAATTTATTTTGCTTTTATTTGTGTTTTTTTGGTTTTTTTCAATTTATTTTGGTTTTTTTGTGTTTTTTTTATTTTTTTCAATTTATCTTGTTTATATCCGTGATTTTGGTTTTTTAAAATTTATTTTCTTTCAATTTATTTGGTTATTTTGTGCTTTTTGTTTTTTTTTTTGGTTTTTTTCAATTTATTTTGTTTTTATTTGTGTTTTTTGGTTTTTTTAAATTTATTTTGTTTTTATCTGTGTTTTTTGGTTTTTTAAAATTTATTTTGTTTCAATATTTGTGTTTATCAAAATTTATATTGTTTTTATTTGTGTTTTTTTCAATTTATTTGGATATTTTGTGTTTTTTCAATTTTTTTCAATTTATTTTATTTTTATCTGTGTTTTTTGGTTTTTTTAATTTTAATTTAAACAAACATTTTTATTTGGTTTTTTTGTGTTTTTTGTTTTTTTTCAATTTATTTTTTTTTTATTTGTCGTTTTTTTCAATTTATTTTTTTTTTGTGTTTTTTTTCTATTTTTTTTGTTTTTATCTGTTTTTTTTTATTTTTTTAAATTTGTTTTTATTTGTGTTTTTTGGTTCTTCTTTAATTTACTTGGTTTTTTTTTATGTTTTTTGGTTTTATTCAATTTATTTTGTTTTTATCTGTTTTTTTTTTTTTGGTTTTTTAAAATTTATTTTGTTTCAATTTGTGTCTTTTTCAATTTATTTTGTTATTTTTTGTGTTTTTAGGTTTTTTTAAATTTATTTTGTTTCTATTTGTGTTTTTTCAATTTATTCAATTTATTTTGTTTTTATTTGGGTTTTTTGGTTTTTTTTAAATTTATTTTATTTTTTTGGGGGGTTTTTTTGGTTTTTTAAAATTTATTTTTTTTTGTGTTTTTTTAATTTTTTTTATTTTTATCTGTGTTTTTTGATTTTTTTAAATTTATTTTGTTTTTATTTGTGTTTTTTGGTTCTTTTTTAATTTACTTGGTTTTTTTTGTGTTTTTTTCAATTTATTTTGTTTTTGTCTGTGTTTTTGGGTTTTTTAAATTTATTTTGTTTTTATTTGTGTTTTTAGGTTTATTAAATTTAATTTGGTTTCTATTTGTGTTATTTGGTTTTTTAAAATTTATTTGGTTTCTATTTGTGTTCTTTTCATCTTTTCAATTTATTTTGTTTTTATTTGTGTTTTTTGGTTTTGTTAAATTTATTTAGTTTTTATCTGTGTTTTTTGGTATTTTTTAAAAGTTATTTTGTTTTTATTTGTATTTTTTGATTTTTTAAAAAAATTTATTTGATAAATTTAATAAATTTTCTTATCATTATCTTGTTGTTTGCTTCTAGTGGGATGAAATGATAATGAGCGAATTAAACGAGAAAAATGTAATCAAAGAATGCCAAAAATTAATGGAGGAAACACTCTACAAAGAAGATAATGCATTTAAGCATCCATATTCACTGTCAATTGATTTATATTCAACAACAATCGTTAGTTTAGTGGAAATCGGTGTTGTGACAATTTTAGACAGATCAGAGAAAACTGTTTATCAAGTAAATAAAAATATTTTATCAATTTACACTTCTATTTTAGATGGCATGTTACGTCAGAGCAAAGCAAAGTCATATTTTGACATTGCACCGAATTTAATTTCAAATACTTGTAACAATATCCAAGCCAAATTGTAATAAAACGTGTCAAAAAATTTTCTTTATTTAGATATTATGTATATGTATATGTATTTAATAAATTATATTAATATATTCATACCAATTAAATATCAGCATTGTCAAGCACATTATTTCAATCAATGATTTTAATCTTAATTACTTCTGCTAATTAGACTATTTACATAGAGTTAATTGATGAATAATTAGAATAAATTTCGTTGTGGTCTTTAGTCAATAGAAATTATACGTTATTTTTATTTCAGAAAGTTAATTTTAATTTAGTTCGTAAATTATTACAAACTTTTAAAAATATTAATTAAAATCGATTATTTTCAAGAATTTTAATATAAATTCAATTATTTTCAACAAATTTGATGAAATTTTTTTTAAAAAATCATTATTTTAAAAATTTTAAATAAAAATTCTTTCAAAAAATTCAATTATTTTCAAAATAAATTCTTCAAAACAATTCAGTTATTTTAAAGAATTTTAATAAAAATCTTGCCAAAAATTAAATATATTTTCAATAATTGAAAGAATTAAATTATTGAAAAAAATGTTGATAAAGTTCTTGAAATATTCGCTAAATATTTTTTAATTTTAGCTCAATTAAAGGTTAATCGGTTTATTAAAAAAATAATTGTCTAAAAATCTAATTAAAAATTCAAATTTATGCGAAATTTCTAAAGAAATGTCAAATTTTGAAACAGGTTTATTTATTTTCACTGATGACATAATGATGACACGTGACCATTTAAAGTCATCATTGTGACGCACAGCCAATCAGAAATGACGTAAACAAACAAAATGTCTCTCTCATTCAACTTTGCGTTAAGTTATAAGTAAATATTTCGTCAATTAAAGTGGAATTTAGTATATATTTAAAAACCAAGGACACAATTTAGGAGTAAAAGAAAAAAATTCGAGTGAATACGTTGTAAAGTTAATGAATTATTCATTAGATATATACATATCAAATGTATTGGAATTTGAAATATGGATAACCTCTTGAACAAATTGTCAGGTTTTAGTGTGGGCCATGAAAAAGCTTTAAAACAAGGAATTTACAATGCCTTAGCACTTTTATTATTTTTATTTATATGTGTCGCTGGTTATGGACTTTATATTATTTTAAGTCCCTTTGTCAAACCATTAATATGGGCTTTATTGTGTGGTTCGGTTTTGTTTCCATTCAAAAATTCTTTGGCGACTACGGTTAAAACGTGGTTCAACAAAACAGAAGAATCGAGTAAACCTCTTGTTTTACATTTAACAATGATACCTATTTATATTGTTGATGAGACTTCGGAAATTATTGGCTCTTTTATACAGAATCATTTCAAGTACATTATTGCCATTGGTTCGTTAGCTACACTTGTGACATTAATTTATAATTATATGCCAAGTATATTAATTTATCTAGTCTGGAGAATAATTACAGTTGGAAATTATATTCTTGGATTTTTTATTTCCTCCTGTAATACTTGGATGGTAAGTAATTAATCATGATCCTGAACACGGTTGCCACAAAAATTTAATTTTTTCCCCCTTACTTTTCCCTGATTTCCAGACTTTTTCCTGACTGATTTTTACTTTTTCCCCTGACCTTAAAGAATATTCTGATTCACTCTAAAAATTATTAGATATTAAAAAAAAATGTTCTATTACATTTATTTACGAATTTTCTTAATTGTAAAATTATTCAAAAACACAAATAACTTCATTTTTAAATAAATAAAAAAATTTCGATTAAGCTGTTTAAAAGAAATTAGTTCCATAGAATTTTTAATAAATAGTATTAAAAATTAAAATTTTCAAAGATTATAATTTGAAACTTTTACAAAATTCAATTATTTCTAAAAAATTGAAATTGTTAGTAACTTCTCAAAAATTCAATTATTATCTAAAACTTTAACTGAATTTAATTTTTAATTCAATTTTTATTAGAAAATTCTACGAGAATTCAATTATTTAAATACAAACATTGGTAATTTATTGAATAATAACTGAATGTTTCTGAAAATTGAATTCTTATACATAATTTTATAAACAAATTTTTAAGTAATTAAATTCTTTCGATGAATTTTAATAACATTTTTAAGAATAATTACATTTATCGAGGAATTCGATTAAAATTGTATTAAAAATAATTGAAATTATTTATTTCTTTTTTATGAAAATAATTGAAATAATTTATTTATTTTTTTATTATGAAAATAATTGAATTATTGCAAAGAATTTTATAAAAAGTTTTAAACAGTTGATTTTTTTTGAAAAAATTTAAATGCAAATTCTATTTTTAATAATTGAATTCCTGTGAAATTTTCATTATTTTAGAAATTAATTGAATATATTCGCGTAGAACTTTGTCAAAATTATTTTTAAATAATTGAATTCTTTCGGGAAATTGCATTAAAATAGTATTGAATATTGAAAAAAAAATTAAAATTTTTGAAAATAATTAAATTTTGCAATGAATTTTTTAAAAATTCCTGAAGATAATTGAATTTTGCAATAAATTTTATTAAAATTCCTGAAAATAATTGAATTTTTTTGTGGAATTTTATTGAAATAGTAGAATATTGAAAATCATTAAATTAAGAAAAATTTTTGAAAATAATTGAAATTTTGCAATGAATTTTATTAAAATTTCTGAAAATAATTGGATTTTGTCGAAGAATTTTGCAATTCATTTATAAAGATAATTGAAATGTTGACAATTTTTCTTTTGATTTTTTGAAAATAATTGAATCTCTGCGAAGAATTTTATTAATTTTTAAAATAATTGAATTTTCATGATGAATAGAGTTATATGAATATTGTCATTCTTGAAAATAATTGAATTCTTGAATAGAATTTTATTAAATGTTTTTTAAATAATTGAATCCCTGCGAAAAAAATTATTATTTCTGCAAATAATTGAATTTTTGCAAAATTTAAGAAAATAATTGAATTTTTAAAAAGATTTTCATGAAAATTGTATATTTAAAATAATTAAATTCGTGGGAAAAATTTACTATTTATTGATATTATTTAATTATTTTCAAGAATTTAAAGAAAATATTTAAAATAATTTAATTTTTCCTGGAATTCAATTAAAATAATTATTTTTAAAAATAATTGAATTCTTGAATTGAATTTTATTAAAAGTGTTTTAAATAATTGAACTCCTGTAAAAAATTAAATTATTTTTGAAAATAATTGAATTTTCTCGGAGAATTTTGACAAGATTTTTAAAAATAATTGAAATTTTCGAAGAAATCAATTCAAATTGCATTGAAAATAAGTGAAATCCTGATAAGAATTTTATTATTTATATAAAAATAATTGATTTTTTTAAGGAGATTTTTATTATTTATAAATTGACTTTTTGCAAAGAAGTTTATTACAATTATTGAAAATAATTTAAATTCTTCATATTCATTTCATTTTCAATTCTTCATATTCATTTTGCAATGAATTTTATCAAAATTCCTGAAAATAATTGAATTTTGCAATGAATTTTTTTTAAATTCCTGAAAATAATTGAATGTTTGTGTAGAATATATCAAAATTTTTGTTTAATAATTGAATTCTTTTGGGAAATTTTATTAAAATAGTAGAATATTGAAAATCATTGAATTAAGAAAAAATTTTGAAAATAATTGAAATTTTGCAATGAATTTTATTAAAATTCCCGAAAATAATTGAATTCGTAATAATTTCATAGTTTATAAGGCAAACAAAAAGACACAAAATTTCAGAATTTTCTTATATAAATTCTAAATATTTAATTTTTTCCAGTACTTTTAAAATAAAAATCTCTGACCTGTGGCAACCCTGCCAATTTCCAAACTTTAAAATTTATTTCCTTCTTCTTTTGCAGATTTTCTTTGTCTTGATTGGATATTTATCAGTTCTCTATCTTCACTGGCGACCGGAGAATTCCCTCTATTTTCACTTCTCATCCTACGCAATATGGTTGCTGATAAGTTTTTATTTTTCAAACCTCCTGGGGACTTATCCCGTCATTATTTTTTGCTCTCTACAATTATTGTTCGTCACGGGTTTCATATACGAAGTCCTAACTGTCATTGAGAAAGAGGAATTGAAAGGAAATTGTCTATCTTTTATGGAGACGGCATTAAATTTATTGCGAAACGATTCGCGAACATTTATTGCTGAATCAATTCCCCTGATGTCGACTGACGAAGATGATATTTTCGATGATATTTCCGAGACGATGACAACAAAACCAATGGATTCAATTGGCGAGAAGGCGTCGAGTACACCAGTGGAGAAATTTACACCGAAATTAAAGGACACAACGAAAGCACTTACAATTGATTCGGGACGATCGCTTTTAATGCGAGCACGAAAATCACGATCAACGGGCAATGTGACGCCGACTATTAAATTTTCCCTGCCCGAGAGACATTTTCTGTCGAAATTAAAAGCGGATTTACGAATGTCATTGGATATTGAGGACGATCGAGTGGATACGGATAAATATATGAAGGGGACAATTTACGCTTGTGCTGGAATGCTACTCTGGAAGCATAAATGGATTATTTCTTTATTAATCATTCCGGTCGGTTATTATATTATTAAACTTCTTGGCAATTTCTTTGGTATTTGGACAAAAATTCAAAAGCGAATTCAAGGAATAATTGATCATTTTTCCGATTGGTGTGGTGAAAGACTAGATGCTTTGTTACCGATTTATATTCGTGGATTGTATAAAGTTTGCATTATTGTTGATCAGAAATTGACGATTATTTTAAGAGGATCTGTTGATTCGGTCGCTACAATTGCTGTCATATTGGGTTTGCTTATCTTCACCACTTGCGTCACGATTTTCGTGACGATGCAGGTAAATTTCAATCACTAATAAAAAATCTCAAGAATTCAATTATTTTCATAAATAATAACATTCTTCGGAAGAATTCAATTATTTTTATAAATAGTAAAATCCTTTGCAGAAATTCAATTATTTTCAATACAATTTTTAAAAAATTTCATGAAGGAATTCAATTATTTTCTGAAATTCGAATAAATCCATTGAAACAATTCAATTATTTTTTAAAATAGGTAAAGTCTTTGCAAACATTCAACTATTTTCAATTATTTAAATTTTTTTCATCTCATTCCTTTCTGGTTATTATTTAAAATCTTCTTTTCTGTAAAATTCATTAATTTTCAAAATTTTTAATAGATTTCTTAAAAAATATTTAAATATCCTTCTTTCAAACTTAAGAAATTTCAATTATAATTCCAAAATTCAATTATTTAAAAAATAATTAAAGTAATTCTAAAATGAGTTAATCTCAAAAATTCAATTATTTTCGAAATTTTTAAGAAATTTCTTGTAAAATATTATATTAAATATTCTAAAAAAATTAGAAAATGTTAAAATTTGTTTATAAAAATTTAAATATGTCAATTTTTTAATAAAATTCTTAAAAAACTTCTAATAATTCAAAGGAATTAAATTATTTTCTTAAAAAATGATAAAATTCTTCGAAGGAATTAAATTATTTTCATAAATAATAAAATTCTTCAAAGGAATTCAAATATTTTCATTAATAATAAAATTCGTCGGAGGAATTAGAAATTAAAATTTTTTTAAACAATTTTATTATAGTTTTTGTAAATAATTACATTTTTTTTTAAATTTAATTTAATTTCGTAAAAATAATGTAATTTTATAAAGTAATGTTAATTGAAAATTTTGAAAATAATTGAAATTTACAAAGAATTTTATTAAAAACTTTTGAGAACAATTGAATCGTTTAAAAAAATTTTATTACAATTTTTAAAAATAATTGTATTCTTTAGAGAAATTTCATTAAAATTTTATTGCAAATAATTGAATTTCTCCAAAACATTTTATTATTTATGAAGATAATTGAATTTCTTTGAAGAATTTTATTATTTATGAAAATATTTTAATCTTGCGAAGAATTTTCTTATTTACGAAAATAATTGAATTCTTACAGAGGATTTATAATTCATAAAAATAATTGAATTGTTTCAAAGAATTTTATCAGAATTATTCAAAATAATTGAATTCTTATTAAAACTCTTGAAAATAATTGAATTTAAATAATATTTTTAAAAACAATTGTATTCTTTAGAGAAATTTTATTAAAATTGTATTGAAAATAATTGAATTCCTTTGAAGAATTTTATTATTTATGAAAATATTTTAATCTTGCGAAGAATTTTCTTATTTATGAAAATAATTAAATTCTTACGGAGGTTTTTATAATTCATAAAAATAATTGAATTTTTTCAAAGAATTTCATCAAAATTGTTGAAAATAATTGAGTTTATATTAATATTCTTGAAAGTAATCGAATTTTAATAATATTTTTAAAAATATTTGTATTCTTTCGAGAAATTTTATTAAAATTATATTGAAAATAATTGAATTACTCTAAAAAATAATTTTATTTATGAGAATAATTAAATTCTTGCGAAAAATTTCATTAAAATTTTTGAATAATAATGAACAAGAATATTTAATATTATGTAATTAATAAGTGAATTCTTTAAATTTTTAAAGAATTTCTTTTTTTAATTCTAAAATTGATGTTTTTTTGGAAAATATATAATTTTTTAATTTACAAAATAATAATAAATGGAATTTGCTAGTTTTAAATAAAATCCTTAATAATCAATTCATCTACCTATTTTTATAAATTTTAAAATTCTTCGGAAGAATTCAATGATTTTTAATCGAATAATTTAAAAATATTACCGGAATACAATGATTATTAATACAGATTATTTTTTCAGATCTACGCCGAAGGAATTCACTTAATTCAAGTGACAGGGGAAATTGTCAATTCTTCTCTCGTGAATAATCCGGATATCGACTGGGTACCGGAACAATGGGAAGAATCAGTGAATAGTGTTCTTAATAATGCTTACACTTACGGTCGAAGTGCAATTTCCGATGGAGTAAGTGGTTTTTCTTTTTCTGGATTTAATAAAAAATTTCGAGATATATTTTAAAACTTTGATTTTGATATTGATTTTGACATTTGATATTTTTCTTTCCAGGTAAAGAGTCTTGTGAAAAATTTAGAACCAGCCAAAGCGGAATTGATGGAGAAAAAAGTATTGGAACTCTGGGACAGATTTTATCAAGCCTGGATGATGTCGAGTGAAAATCCAAATTTTATTGGTCCAACTGTCGATATGGATGCCGCTTATTCGGTTTGGGAAAGTTTCAAGGATAGTTTCGGAAAAACTCCTTTCCGTCAGTATTTTAAATTATTCCATTAGTTTGAATTATTGAATTCAAAAAGTATTTGTCTATTTTGTTTTATAGAATCAAAAAAAAAAAAAAAATCAATCACTGAATTAACAAAATTGAAAAATGATTCAAAAATTAATTTGAAATTCTTGAATTTTTATATTTTCAGAATTATTTAACATGACGAGTGTTCAAAATTTCGCAAAGGAAAATATCGGTATTCTTATGTCAGTTCTTGACTCAATTTGGAGCATCGTCAAAGGAAATATGTCCGTTATTATAGGAATAGTGACCGAATTGCTTTATATCGTTCTAATTAGTGGATCTGCGGTGCTTAATTTCACTCTCAGTATGGTTGTGTTTTTTACGGCACTTTTTTATCTCCTGAGCTCCAGTGGAGTGACTTATAAACCAATTGAGGCGATAACGACCTTTAGTCCCATAAGTTGTAACAGGTAAATATCTGTATTGAAAAAATTTCTTCTTCTAAACTATTGTTTCATTTGTTTGTAATTAATATTTTCTATTCAAAGCTTTTCTGAATTTGGAGGGTAGGTTTATAACTCGTTCAAAGTCTAATTATTGAATTTTATGTATTTTGTCATTTATTATAATTTTTGGGTCTTCTTTATTTTATAGATTCGCTGTCGCCCTGCAGGAATCAGTAATTGGCGTATTTGCGGCAACTTTCAAACTCGCCTCATTTTTTGGTTTGTGGACGTGGTTCGTTCATAATTTATTTCAAGTGAAAATCGTCTACTTACCTTCAGTTTTTGCCATGATTCTTGGCGCTGTTCCATTTCTCGACGCATATTTCGCTTGTATACCAGTGACAATTGAATTGTGGTTCACTCGCGGACCAATGATCGCAACACTCTTTTTCTTCTTTCATTTCTTGCCCTGCAACATTATTGTCACTGAATTTTACAAGGAAATCAAAGGGTATGCAAATTATTTACAATCAATTAGTATTTTTTATTATATTATTGCTATTTATTAGTCGCAATTATAATAATCTATTATCTGTTTGCTTTTTTGTTTCCTAATTTTTTAAATGTTTTAAATTTCTATTATTGATTTCTAGTAAAGTATTTATCAAAAAATTTGAAAATAATTGAATTCATTTCAAGGATTTTATCAACATTTTTTTCAATAATTGAGTTCTTTCGAGAAAATGTTAATAAAAGTGTATTAAATAATTTAAATCTTGTCAAGATTTTTATTAAAATTCTTTAAAATAATTAAATTTGTTTTTAAGAATTTATCTCAATATTCTTGAAAATTAGTGGAGTTTTTCTTAAATAGATTTTACTAAAAATTTTGAAAGTAATTGAATTCACATATTTTTTCCAATTTTGCAAAAATTCAATTATTTGTAGAAATAATACATTTTTTTTTGAAGATATACAATTATTTAAAAAAGTTTTAATAAAATTCTGTTTAGGAATTCAATTATTTTCAGAAAAATGTAATTAAAATTGTTTTAAAAACAATTTAATTCTTGGACAGATTTTTATTGAAATTGTTTAAAATAATTGAATTTTTTTGAAGAATTTATTTCAATTTTCTTAAAAATAAAGGAGTTTTTTGAAAATAATTTTTACTGAAAATTTTGAAAATAATTGAATTTTAAGAAGATTTTCTTTTAAGTTTTGAAAATAATCGCGTTCATTATAAATTGTAATTAATGATTTTCTTATTAAATTATATTAAAATTATTCATAGAAAATTAAATTCTTTTAAACAATTTGATTAGAGTTTTTGTAAAATACATTTTTTTTAAATTCCATTAAATTTCGTAAAAATAATGTAATTTTATAAAGTAATTTTAATTGAAAATTTTCAAAACAATTAAAATTTACATGAATTTTATTAAAAACTTTTGAGAACAATTGAATTGTTTAGAAAAATTTTATTACAATTTTTAAAAATATATGAACCTGTTAAAGAAATTTTATTAAAATTATCTTGAATATAATTGATTTTTTTCCCAGAAATTTAATTAAAATTGTATTGAAAATAATTAAATTTCTCAGAAGAATTTTATTATTTACAAAAATAATTCAATTCTTGACAAGAATTTTACAATTCATAAAAATAATTTAATTGTTTCGAAGAATTTTATTAGAATAGTTGAAAATAATTGAATTTTTATTAAAACTCTTGAAAATAATTGAATTTAAATAATAATTTTAAAAATAATTGTATTCTTTCGAGAAATTTTATTATTTATGAAAATAATTGAATTCCTTTGAGTTTGAAGAATTTTATTATTTAATAAAATATTTTAATTCTTGCGAAGAATTTTCTTATTTATCAAAATAATTAAAATTCTTGCGGAGAATTTTACAATTCATAAAAATAATTCAATTGCTTCAAAGAATTTTATCTGAATTTTTGAAAATAATTGAATTTTTTGAAGAAATTTTATTAAAAATTTTTAAAGTAATGATTTTTTAAAAAGAATTTTATCAAAATTGTTGAAAATAGTTGAATTTATATTAAAATTCTTAAAAATAATCAAATTTAATTAATATTTTTTAAAATAATTGTATTCATTCGAGAAATTTTATTAAAATTGTATTGAAAATAATTGCTCTAAAGAATTTTATTATTTATCAAAACAATGAAATTTTTGCAAATTTTACTAAAATTTTTGAATAATAATATACTAAGAATATTTCATTATTATGTACCTAATAAGTGCATTCATTAAATTTAAAATCTGTAATCATTCAAAAATTTATGTTTATTCTTGAAAATATAAAATTTTTTAATTTGCAAAATAATAACAAATGGAATACGGCCTTCCGTGCTTATGATTTGCTAGTAATAATAATAATTTAAATTGAATTAAATAAAAATAATACATAATAATAATAATTCTGAACTTATTTGGTATGTTGAAGAATTAATTGTGAACGTAATGAATTTTCAGAGGCGGCCATCCTTACCTCACAGGTCTCTCGATAGCAGGAGGAATTTTCTGTCTGGGAGTGGAAGGAGCAATTTTCGGTCCATTATTACTATGCTGTATAATGGTTGCGATTAATTTAAGTCGTCGTTACATGTATTCACCGTCTGAGGAGACGATAAATACGATAAAATCACAAATCCATCATTTGAAATCTAATAATTAATAATACTACGAGAACAGAGATTATATATATATATATTTTTTATATTATCGCTTTTGCTTGCGGCCAAAATGAAATTAATACTATATAATATTGCAATTCTCTCTATATAGTGAACATATTTCATTAAATTTATCAAAATACGAATCTCTATTTTTGTATATAGAAAATATCTGTAAATATTTTCTCATAATTTTATTTTCACTGCCTCTTTGTTATTCAAAATAATAAGGGCAATTGTACACATTTTTTTCATATTATATTTATAACAGAGAATATTTTATTAATAGTTGTGAATAGGTAGGCAATTCTTTGAAGAGATTTAATGCTTTCTTAAAAAGAAAACCGACTGAGTGATATATTTTGTTATTAGTTATTTATATAATATTATCTGAAAGATTGCAAGCGCAAGCTTAATTGTAAATTGATATTCATTTATTTGAAAACTAACTTCAAGATGGGATTTGTATAAAGTTTTTTAATCTTTGTGGTTATGAAAAAATTTTAAATAAATATGATGAAATAATGAATTTTTGTTATTAATGTAGTACAAATTTTTCCGACAACGATTCAAAATTAAAATAATTAAAATATGTAAAGTCTTTGGTGAAATATGATTGATACCATTTATGTGTTATGTGGCATTGCATTTGTCATACTTGTCGCTTTAATTGGATTTGAAATTTATTTACATCGCGATTTTTATTTTCCGTCATGATGGACTTTGTCAATTTCTATCTAGTTATTTTTTTATGGTTTGTAAACATCCGACAGTACTTTCAGGTAAACATGTTTCATTATTTCTTTTGGTGTCATTGCCTCAAATGCGTGTAAAATAATTTTCTTCTTCCCCTTTAAGATATGAAAGCCATTTTCAGAAAATCTCCCTTTCAATGATCCCATTTCTAGCCAAACGAATAGAGCTATATTATCCGACGTCAATTCAATTTCGTAATCGGAATAATTTGCCATCTTGCCAGGCAAACTTTTCGGATTTACTTCCATCTGAAATTTTTATAGTTAATTTACGAAAAATTCTATTCTAATTTTTATTAAATTAAATATTGATTTTGAATTTAATTAAAATTTTTTTACTTTAACATTAGCAGGAGGCAATGAAATCGTTTTCAAAGGAGATGGATAAACGTAATTTACACCAATAATTTCGTCTTTGGCATCATTTTCTAACAAAATTTCCAAAAAGCAATTAGTTTTCACCGACTCCAAAATTCCACAATTATTATTCTTCAAGAAATCGTCCAACCAAAGTTTCTTCACCACTTTCGATTCATCGGAATTCTGTAAGTAGCATTAAATCAATTTTACATTTGAAAAAAATATGAAAATTTAAAAATAAATTTCAATTTAGGAAAAATTGCCAAATGTGTATAAAAAGCAAAGATTATAAAAAAAACTCACTAGTGAGAGATTCGGGAATTTTTGAATCGACACTGGAATAATTGAAGTCCATTTGTAAATATTTAAAGTCAGTGATAAATCTTTTAGAGGACGATGCAAATCCGAAATTATGTAGATTGTCAGATCTCGAGCCAAAGACAAACGTGAACTCACAATCACGGGGGCGAAAAAATCTCTTGCGAAATAGTGCAGCATCTTCCATCGTCCACCAAATTCTGTGAATATTAATGATTATTAATATTATTAATCCGAGTAAATTTTTCAATAGCAATAATTTCAAATATTACAAAACAGCAAAAAGAACAACAAAACAAAAATGTTTCTTTTAACATTGACAGTAAAATACTACATTATCGATTTTGATATTGCCATCAATCTTCTTTTCAAAGGAGAAGTGATTTACAAATATCTTCATTTACTCCTAGAGTTACTCTTGAAATTATGGAAGTAAGAAATATTCTTCTAAAAAAACAGCAAATAGAAAACAATTCTCTCGTGAGAAAGCTAAATATTAAAATAAATTAAAAATTAACTATATTAATCTCTGTGGTTTTTCATTCGTTCTGTTCGCAGTATGAAGTTGGTTGTTAGTTACTTTTTTGTTTCCCAACTTTTTTAATTATTTTCTTTTTCAATATTTTTTATTATTTCCATTAAAATTAATGTATTGAAAATCATTGAATTCTTGCAAAAAATTTCAGAATAATTCAATTCCTTCAAAAAATTTTATTATTCAGTAATTAAATTCTCGCAAAGAATTATTAAATTAAAATTAAAAAAATGTTTAAAACCCTAATTAAATTTCTTTGAAGAATTATTTTCAATTTTTTTTTTTTTTTTTTTTTTTTTTTTGAATAATTGAATTTCTTTAATAATTTTAATTGGAATTTTTTAAAGTGATTAAAATTTATTAACAATTTCTTTCAAGGAATTTCATTAAAATAATTGGAAAACAATTAAAGTAATTGAATTCTAACAAAAAATTCCTTTATTTATTGAGTATAATCAATTTACAATTAAACTTTTATTAAAATTATTCATTGAAAATTAAATTCTTTTATATAATTTTATTAGAATTTTTCTAAATAATTACATTTTTTTGGAGAATCTCTATAAAATCTTTTATAAAAAAAATGTAATTTTTCTAAAATAATTTTAAATGAAAATTTTCAAAATAAATGAATTAAAGAAACAATTTTTTTCAACTTTTTAAAATTATTGTGTCAGGTAATAATTATAATTAAATATTTGATCATTCACAAGTTTACTAAAACTGTATTTTGAAAATAACTGAATTCCTGAGAAGAATTTTATTAATTTTCGAAAGTAATTGAGTTATTTGAATGAATTTTATTAAAAATTTTAAAAAATTGAATTGTTTTGAAGGATTTATTGAAATTGTAAAAAATAATTCTATTTCTTTCGAGAAATATTATAAAAGTTTTTAAAAAAATTGAATTCATTCATGAAATTATATTAAAATTTTATTAAAAAATATTGCGAACTTTTGCAAAAAAAAATTACTTTAAAATTTTAGAAAAAAATTTGATTATTTCGAAAAATTGTATGAAAACATAAAACAATTCATTTTTCTTTTTCAATATTTTTATAATTTTAAAATTAATGTATTCAAAATCATTGAATTCTTGCAAATATTTTAGAATAATTTTACAGATTTTAGAAAAATAATTGAATTTTGAGCAAATAATTTAATTCTTACGAATAATTTTACTAATTTTAGAAAATAATTGAAATATTTCGAAAAAATTTCTATAATTATTTATTTATTCATTTTTTTATTTTTACAATTAATTGAATTTCTGTGAAGATTTTACTAATTTTTTTTATTCAAGAATTCAATTACATTTTCACAAATATAATAAATTTCCTGGAAAGAATTCAATTATTTTCAACAATTAATAAAATTCCTCACAAAAATACAATTATTTTCTAAAATTAATAAAATTCTTCACAGGAATTCAATTATTTTCAAATATTAATAAAATTCTTTCCAGGAATTCAATAAACTTTGAAAATCAATAAAATTATTTACGTAAATTTAATTATTTTCAAATATTAATAAAATTCTTTAAAGGAATAGGGTCATTTGGGGTAATAATGTAAACGGAATATCTATTTTTCACAAAAAACGTTAGTTTTTTTTTGTTAAAAGGTAAAACGGACGGATTTCTTTTGCATGAACTTGTTACTTTACTTCCCTAGAAAAATTTTATGAGGTACAAAAAAATATTGATGCACCTGAATCGCCTAAAACTGAATGTTTACATTTACCCCGAGATGTTGAAATTTTCCTAAAATTCGGGGCAAATGTAAACACCTCTGTAGTTAAGCGAGGTTTAAGAAACAAGTTATTTCAAGCATACACTGTAAAAAAAATTTTGGAAATTTTCCCAAAAAAATTGAGGAAGCAAATTCACATAAAAAGTATAAAAATTTCCCACAATTTGGAAAAATTCCTTTAAAGATTTAGGAAAATTCCTAAAAATTTGTAAATATTCCTTAAAACGTTTAGAAAAATCCCTTTCCCAACAGAATTTAGAAAAATTTCAATTCGTATCGAAAAATTTCCAAACACTCAGAAAAATTACCATTTTTTTGGGAAAAAATTTTTTCTAAACACGTTTTAGGAAAATTCCCATGCAAAAGTTTGGAAAAATTTCCGAAATTTTTTACAGTGTACTACTGTCTTAAGGGATGGAAAAACTGAAAACAAATTATTCGTAGACGTATAGTAAATCAACCAGTTGACTGATAATGTATCTTATAAAAAACAATCAACCATTACGAAATTAGTAATGTAAAAACTTGAATAACTTAAACAAATTTTAATAGATTTTCATTCAACTTGGTAAAAAGTTTTTTTTATTTTTCTGAATAAGAATTCGAGTTTTCGAATTCTCGGGGTAAATGTAAACACTTAATTATTTATTAATTAAATTGACGAAAATCAAAAATCAAAGTCAATTTTTGATAGGGCATTAATAAGGAAGAATTACATATTTTTGTTAGATTTTTTAATTTATTTTTATGTTATCTTTTAATGCAAAAACGATTAAAAATCAAAGTTTTACTGTTTCAGTTTTTTTTTTCTCGCATTTGCATAAAAATAAATTAAAAAATCAAACTAAAATTTGTAATTCTTCCTTATTAATGCCTTAACAAAAATTGACTTTGATTTTCGTCAATTCAGTTAATAAATAATTAAGAGTTTACATTTAATTGAATAAATTACTATTTAAATGTATTTGAAACATTATGATGTCATAATAATTAAAATTCATTTAAAAAAATAAAATTTTAATTATTTTAAATAAAACGTTGAAATAAAAATGCACGCGCGCTCGCGCGCGTCCTTTTTTGCTATTATTCCATATAAAATGTCAAATTCGACCCCGTTGCGTTAGTTAAATATTTTGTCACCAGATGGTGTATCGCAGTTCTGCGGTTCCTTATAGCTTTTCAAAAATTAAATTATTCAAAAAAAATTCAATTTTAAATCTGTAAAGTTCATTTATTGTTAAAAATATAAATAATTAAAAAAGTGTATTATTCAACAATGCATTTAGAACATGCACGCGCGCTTGCGCGCGTATCTTATGCTAGTAAATTTTAAAGAACAATAAATTTCATTTGGAAAAAATTGAATATTTTTATTTAGAAATTAATCATTTGAAAAAAAGTGAATTTTGCCAAAATACCAAAAATCTACTATATTTAATTTACTGAAATGCTGAAATGCTGAAATTTTGAATTTAAATTTAATTTTTTCTTTTAAATAATTAAGATTGAAACAAATTGACTTTTATACCAATCGAGGACCAAGAAGGAGCTTGCCAGACATCATTTAATTGCCAATAAAGTGCACCACGCGTGTAACCTTCACCGTTTGCATTCAAAAAACTTTTTCCTTGTCGATAAAATTCCGTTTCCATTTGAATTGAAACCGCCTGATTAATTTGACTGAGATAGACAAAATCTTCAAGATCCCTTCGCGTATTATTACTCTCGGGAATAATAAAGTTCTTTTCGATCAACAATTTCATAAATTCATCGCCACCCTGCAAATGTTGTCGATGTTGCATAAAATCACTGCGAATTTTCAAGTCCTCATCATATTCCGCAGCAGAAATCAACGTCTCCACCGAGGGCCAAGATTGAAAACCATATTCCGAAGAGAATCTCGCTCGTGGAAAGTGATTCATATCCCATCCGTTTTGTAGATAATTATAATAATGAACTGGAAAGAAAAATAAATTATTGTTTTGTGAAGTGATAAATTATTTTTAATTTAGTTTTTGATAATTTATAATTCAATTAGTTAAGATAAAGATTAACAGGGTTGCCACAAAAATTTAATTTTGTTTTTCCCTGACTTTTCCCTGATTTTCAAACTTTTTCCTGACTGATTTTGACTTCTTCCCTGACCCTAAAGAATATTCTGATTCACTCTAAAAATTATTAGATGCTCAAAAAAATTTTCATTTCATTTTAATTCAATTATTATTTTCTAGAATTTTTAAATATAATTCTTCTTTGAATCCAATTCAAATTTTAAAAAATTTTAATTTGACACCTTTATAAAATTCAATTATTTTTAAAAAATTGCAATTATTAGTAACTTCTCTAAAATTCAATTATTATCTAAAACTTTAACTGAAATTAATTTCTAAATCAATTTGACAATTTTTATTAAAAAATTCTACGAGAATTCAATTATTTCAATACAAACATAGACAATTTATTAATTGTTAATTATAAATACAATCATGAAAATAATTGAATTATTGTAAAGAATTTAAAACAAAAATTTTTAAACAATTGGTTTTTTTAAGGATTTATTAAAATTTTAGAAAATAATTGAATTCTTTTGAAAAATATTCTAACGAACTAAAAAAAAATTAAATTCTTTAGCGAAATTTTATTAAAAATAATTGATTTCCTGCAAAGAATTATACTATTTATAAAGATAGTTGAATTATTTAGAAGGATTTATTAAAATTTTAAAAAATAATCGAATTATTTTGTGAAATTTTATTAAAATTTTTTTAAAAATAATTGAATTTTTGCAAAAAATTTTACTATTTATATAAATAATTGAATTCTTCTGAAGAATGTTATTATTTATGTAAAAATAATTGAATTCTTGAGAGGAATTATATTAAAGTTTTTGGAAATAATTGAAATTTTATAATGAATTGTATAAAAATATTCGAAAATAATCGAATTTTGGAATGACATTTATTAAAATTCATGAAAATAATTGACTTTTGTCGAAGAATTTTACTATTTATTTATAAAGATTTTTGAAGTGTTGACAATTTTTTTTTTTTGATTTTTTGAAAATAACTGAATTTCTGCGAAGAATTTTATTAATTTAGATAGTAATTCAATTCTTGTGGTGAATATTGTTATTTATGAAATTAATTGAATTTTGCAATGTATTTTATTAAAATTCCTGAAAATAATTAAATTTTGTCGAAGAATTTTTGCTATTCATTCTTAAAGATAATTGAAATGTTGATGACAATTTTTTTAAAAGCTTTTTTAAATAATTGAACTCCTGTGAAAAATTAAATTATTTTTAAAAATAATTTAATTTTCTCGGAGAATTTTGACAAGATTTTAAAAATAATTGAAATTTTCGAAGAAATCAATTAAAATTGTGTATTGAAAATAAGTGAAATCCTGATAAGAATTTTATTGTTTATATAAAAATAATTGAATTTCTTAAGGAGATTTTTATTATTTATAAATTGACTTTTTGCAAAGAAGTTTATTACAATTATTGAAAATAATTGAAATTCTTCATAAAGAATATAAGACTCCTTTGTGATCCAATTATTAAAAATTTAAAAATTTAGTTTTTTTCATTTTAAATTTGATCCTACAAACCACAAAATCTCTACACTAATTCTTCATAAAATTCAATTACTTTCAATATTTTCAGTAAAAATTATTAAAAAAGACTCCACTATTTGAGTTTGAGTTATTCAACAGAATTGAAATTAAAATTTTTCAAAAAAATACTTCATTAAATGATTCATAAGTAATAACTTCATGGCAGTTCTCCAATGGAATTAAGTTATTTAAAAGAAATTATTGTCAAAATTTTTATTTAATAATTGAATTTTTTAGGGAAATTTTATTAAAATAGTAGAATATTGAAAATAATTGAATTAAAAAAAATTTTGAAAATAATGGAAATTTTGCAATGAATTTCATTAAAATTCATAAAAATAATTGAATTCGAGATAATTTCATAGTTTATGAGACAAATAAAAAGACACAAAAATTCAGTATTTTCTTATAAATTCTAAACATTCAATTTTTTCCAGTACTTTTAATAAAAATCCCTGATTTCCCTGACCAATTAGAATTATTCTACTTTCCCTGACTTTTTCCCGAATTCCTTGATTTCTCTGACCTGTAGCAACCCTGATTAAAGAACGATGAATGAAACGTAATTAAAAGAAAGAAATTTTGAATTTACCATCTCCATATAAATTTGATCCCGGATTCGTTCCAAGATAACCATTATGATCACTATACAATCCATTGCTGGGACTTGAGACGACATACGACCTCGTTGGGTCCAATTTTTCGACAATATTCTTAATAATTTCCACGTACAATTTAATATAATCATCCTTGTAAACCTGTTTGTTTCCAGTTCCATACCAATTGCCATAAAGTGCAATTTCATTTTCATTATTGCCCGCCCAGAGAGCAATGCTCGCGTGATGTTTCAATCGAATGACATTTTGTGAAACTTCATTGGACACACTTTTTAGAAAATCCTCATTAGTTGGATACATACTGCAGGCGAACATAAAATCCTGCCATATTAAAATTCCCAATTCATCAGCCAATTCGTAGAAAAGATTTGATTCATACATTCCACCGCCCCAGACACGTAATATATTCATATTCGCCTCCTTCGCCGATGTTAATAGTGGCAAAATAGTCTCTCTCCTCGTACTCAACTCGGGGAAAATACTTCCTGGAATGTAATTACTTCCTTTCGCGAAAATTGGCAAATTATTCACACGAAAATAAAACGTTAAACCCTCGTCGAGAGGATCTTGAATTAATTCAATAGTTCGGAAACCAATTTTTTTCATGGACTTCGTCTCATAGGGGACAATTTGAACGTAAGTGATGAGATTGTAGAGCTTTTGATCTCCGTATCCGTTCGGCCACCACAACATCACTGATTCCTGAAAATAATTTTAGTTATCAATTTGCTTCTATTTTATTTTTACTCATTTTACTCATTTTACTTACGAGTGGAACTTGTAGAGTAAGAGAAATATTCGAATATTTCCATTTCACCGATAATGAAAACTCCGTAGAATTCGTTATCGATTTTCCATCATCGAGTTCTAATACTGATTGTAAAACTCCATTGAAAGTGAAATCTCTCTCATAGGATAAAGTGTCGAAAAATACTCCAACATTTATTTCCCAATGGGAATTTCTTTTAACAACGTCCGCTGTAATTTCCGTCACGTATGCATCGGTCACAGGAATTAATTCCACATCTTTCCTGAAATTAATTTAATCTTTATTATTTTGTTCCAAATTTTTAATTTTTGAAAATTTAATAATTGAAAACAAATATTTTTCTCTGCAATCAAAATAAGATTATCAAAATCAAATAAGATATTTAAAAAATTTATTGCGCTTTTCGATAAATTAATAAAGAGAGATTTAATCTAATCATTTCTGAAATTTCAAAGATAATTACCAAATTCCAATTGAGGGAAAAGCCGGACCCCAATCCCAACTGAAGCTGGCTTGCATTTTTCGAATGTGATTAACATGACACTCGCCATTATATTTTTCAGGAGTACACTTTGGAACCACTTCGTAATTCAATTTTTGTTTGTCGTAAAACATTTCTGAAATTTTTAATGGCGATGCAAAATGTACTTCCAACTTATTCGTCGAATTCACTTCTTTCTGAAATAAAAGCAATTTTTCCAATTTTTATTAATTTCCTTCTTCACAATTGTTTTATTTATTTATTCAAAAGAAATTCAATTCTAATTTATTCAAATTGATTTTAATTTATTTAAAAAATCAAAATTGATTTTAATTTATTCGAATTATTGATTTTCATTTATTCGAAATATTGATTTCAATTTTCTTAAATTGATTTCAAGTTTTTCAAATTGATTTAAATTTATTTAAATGAATTTCATTTTCAAAAATTGTTATTTACCTTCAAGTGCTTCTTCACATTAAAATTGTATTTCACAAACATATTATCCGAAGTTCCGATGTATTCATCATTCAAAAATATAGTCGAAAATGTATCCAAACCGTGAAATATTAAAGCAATTTTAGGTGCTTTCAAAAATTCTTCCGTAACTGGAAATCAGAATCAGAAAATTCGTTAAAGAAATTTTATATACAAACTTTAAATTCAGGGTGGTCACAAGTTTCTGTTTATAAATTTCCCTGACAATTTATTGATATTGAAAAAATGTAATAAAATTCGTTGCAAGAATTCAATTATTTTCATAAATAATAAATCGATTATTCGGTAATTTATTTTCAAATTTTCAATATTATTTATTCAAGTTTATAAAAATAATTGAATTTCGGTGAAAATTTTTATTATTTATATAAATAATTGAATTCTTGCAACGAATTTTATTCAAGTTTATAAAAATAATTGAATTTCAGTGAAGAATTTTATTATTTATAAAAATAAATGAATTCTTGAAAAGAACTTTGTTAAATTTTTTTTAAATACCTAATTGAATTCTTGCGACGAATTAATTTATAAAAATATTTTCAAATAATTTATATTTTTCGAAAAATTTTATAAAACTTTGTATAGGTATTAAACAATTGATTTCCAGTGGAAATTTTATTATTTATGAAAATGACTGAATTATTTTTAATAAATTTATTAACAATTTTGTAAATAATTGAATTCCTGTGAAAATTTGTCAAGAATTTTATTAAAATTTTTTTAAATAATTAAATAATTATTAAATAATTGATTTTTTAATTAAAATTTTTGAACATGATTTTTTTTCTCCAAAATGTTGAAAATAATTCTAAAATGTTATTATTTTTTGTATATATATGTATTTGAATTTTCATTTTTAAATTTACGTTTAAAGATTTTTAATTAAAATTTTTGATTATTCAATTATTTTGAAAATTTTCAATTAAAATTCTTCAAAAGTTGATTTTTTAAAAATTCTAACAAAATACTTTAAAAAAATTAATTATTTTTAAATTTTGCAAAATTTCAATTTTTCAATTATTCAAAATCTTTTTAATTGTATATTTCAAAAATTTAAAAACAAAAATGATTGAAAACTAATTTTTGAAATATTTGTTTACAATTATTTTTCTCACTATAAAAATCGAAATTATTTGCATTTTATACTATAAAAATGTGGTATTTTGTTGCAATTTTTGGAAGAAAAGTCTAAATTTTTGAAAATAAATCGAAAAAAATCACAATTTTCTAAATTTTCTTGACAAAAAATTTTTTTCCGGACAATAGTGACATAAATTTTTTTTAATGATGAAATTTATCATTACCTTCAAAGTTTGTAAAATAAATTACAGTCTCATTGACAACCCATCGATTTTTCACATCATTTGATCCTTTAAAATTTTTCGGAATAATTTGCGCCTTTTCCAAGTCTGTGTAAATTCCACCAGGAACTGTCGCTGGAAACGATTGTTCTGAAAAAAAAATTTTTACATTCTTTTTTATTCAAACAGAAAAACAGCAAAATTTAATTATGAAATAGTTTTTGGAAATTTTGAATTTCGCTCAACTCACCTTTTGATTTAATAACTCCGATCCATCCATCATGAAGTAGTAAAGATTCTATTTGACTCGCGAGGACAATCAAAACAAGAAAACAAACATTTTTCAACATTATCCTTTTTATGAAATTCGTTTCACAATTTTTCAAAACACCAACACTGAACTGTAAAAGAAAAAAAATTTTTACACAAACAATTTCACATTAATAGACAAACATTAAATTAAACAAATTAATAAGTATTAATTTGTAACCATATTAGTATTATTTAATATGGAAAATATTACAAAAATTTAAAACTCACTTTTTCCGTATAACAATTTGTTTAAGAACGACTGCAATCTAAATTTTGAAAAAAATTGATAAAAATAATTGACATATAGAAGTCAAGGACAAAACGATATAGTCAAACAATGGAAGTTCTTTGGGTTGATTTCAATTAAGTCTTATTTATGAAATAGAGTGCAGAAATTCTGTCACGTGAGACAGAAGACAAGAGAAAAAAAAGTTTAGATCAATGTCTTTTTTGTCACTGAACAAACTTGAAACGAAATTGTCTGTTTATGTTTATCAATTCATTTGAACTCTCGAGATAATTTATAAAGATAAAAATGTAATTGTGTTACAATATCTTTCAACACTAAACAGAAAGGAATTTCTGTAGAAATTCTCAAATAGACCATTTTCTATAGAATATTCTTAAATAATTAGAATTAAAATAAAAATAAAAATTTAATTAGAATATTTAATTGAAATATAATCCAAAAATATTTAGAAAGTGGTAGAATATTTTTATTATAAAAATCCATTATTTATATTAGAAATATATCACAAATCTTGCATCGATTTACTTAGAATTAAGAGCAGTACATTTTTCTGGTAGTTTTGTACATTTCTCTTAAAATCACAAGCTGAGTTAACAAACGTAAGTTATAAAAATAAACTCTTTTTTTTCAAATTAAAAAATTATCGTAAACACTGAACTGCTAATTAAACCTTTTCGTTGTCTGTTCAATAAATTATTTCCAAATAAGAAATAGTTCTTCAATTCTTTTACAAAATTTACAAAGACAAACCAAAGATCAATTAACCTTCTCGTGGTCATTAATTAAATTTTAAAAAAAGAGAAATTTTCATTTCCAAAAAAAAGTAACCAATGAAATAAAAAAAAAGGAATACAAAAATAGTAATCAAATATAATTAAACGTAAAAAAATGCCATTAAATCACAAACGAGAAAATGAAGAATGAAATTTAAAAAAAAAAATTGTAAACACAAACAAATTGAAATTAAGAGAAAAATGCCTTCCGAATGAAATTATTTTTTAGCGAGAGAAATGTGAAACAAGTAAACTTATAAAATACAAAAATATAAATATAATTATTAATTGAAAAATTGAACTTTAAGTAAAACTAAATTATCGAAAGCAAGAAAAAAAATATCCATATTCCTGTATGGATTAAAAAAAATAGAATTCGTAATATTGTTTTTAGAGAAAATTTTCAGAATGTGATTCAGGAAGACGGAGAAGCTTAAAATATAAACAAAATAATTATAAACCGAATCAATCGGATCTTGAGGTATGAAACACTTTTGGAATGCAAAAGTCCATTTTTAACGTCGTTCTCTAAAATTAAAATTTTTCCTCTCCGGAGTACGATTCCCTTGATAATCCCTCTCGGCTGAAACAAATTCGAATTAATTTACATCACAATTTGGAAAATTAGTGAATAAAGAAAGAAAAAAATAAAAAAAATAAAATAAAACAAAAAAAAGAATAAAATACAAAAAATGATACAAAAAAAAAAATAAATAAATAAAACAAAAATAAAATAAAACAAAAATAGAATAAAATACAAAAAATGACTAAAATACAAAAAAAAATAAAATAAAACAAAAAAGAGAATACAATACAAAAAAAGACTAAAATAAACAAAAAAGAAAAAATAACCAAAAGAGAATAAAATAATAAAAGAGAATGAAATAACAAAAAAGAATAAAATAACAAAAAAAGAATAAAATAACCAAAAAAAAAGAATAAAATAGACAAAAAAGAATAAAATAACAAAAAAAGAACAAAATAACAAAAAAAGAATAAACTGACAAAAAAAATAAAAAAAGAATAAAATAACAAAAAAAAAGAATAAAATAAAACAAAATAAATAAAAAAGAGTTGCAAAAAGTTTGCCACTCTTTTGAAAAATTAAACATCTACTAATTATTTAACAAATATTGTATTTCCCGAGATAAAGAAATTCAATTAAATTTTTAATCTCATTAAACCTATTTCTTTTATTTCTATAGAAAAAATAAACTTTATGATAACTTTTTACTGTAATGAAATAAAATAAGAATATTGTTTTCAAAATTTTCCAAATTTAAATCATTTAAATAAATTATATGAAGAAAAATAGATTTATAATTAAATAAAGTGAAAGTTAAGAGAAAAACTTCAATTTGAATATTTAAAATAGAGAAATTTGCAATTGTAAAGAAAATAAATAAAATAAATTCAAATAAGTAAATAAGCAAACGAATAATTATTTATTAATTAATAACTCAATTAATATTTAATAATAAAATAATAATTTCTTCAAATTGTAAATTCGTAGCAATCGAGAAACTATTTTTTCTAACCATTAACAAACAAAAAAGAAAAATAAACATTTTTAAAATCTTAACAATAGAAATATCCAATAAATAATAATTATTATTATTATAATCCAATAATCAATGAAAAATATAGAAAAACTAATTTTTAAACTTCAAATTGGAAATTCAGAATTCGTGAAATTTTCACGAAAAATAAAAAGTTTATTTTTAAATCGAAACTTTGTGAAGAACATTTCTATTTTTTCTTAGGAATTTTTCTACCAAAGAACAGAAAAAAATTTTTTTTATAAAAGTTACTGCAAAATGAAATTTTTTGCAATGTTTTAAAGAAAATTTTATTTCTCCTAAATGAATAAACCGATTTCATTTAAATCGGTTCATTCATTTATGAGAAATAAAATATAAAGGGGATAAGATATACTTTCGTTTAAAATTAGAAAATTTCTAAAAAGTTTATTTTTTAATAAATTAATAAATTAATAAATTTTTTATAAACAAATTTTTTTTAATGTTCTGCGCCTTTTAAAAATTTAAAAAAAATTTCAACATACAATTAAAACTATAAGGAATCAAAATCCGTTGAGGAAATTTAGAAACGACAATATTCTTTTAAAAGTTATAGTGAAAATTATATTGCGCGGAGATGCGATTTTAATGCTTTTCAGAATTAAAACATTATTTTCAACTACGAAATGAACAAAACACTGTTGAATTAACATTTTCATTCAATTATATAACCATAAAATAAACAGATTTTTATTTCTTATAGTTTTTGTATGATGAGATTTTTTTCAAATTTTTAAAAGGCGCAGAACATTAAAAAAAAATTGTTTATAAAAAATTTATTAAATTATTAAAAAATAAACTTTTTAAAAATTTTCTAAATTCTAAACGAAAGTATATTTTATCCCCTTTATATTCCCTCTTGGTTCATTTAAATCGGTTCATTCATTTAGGAAAAATAAAATTTTCTTTAAAAAGTTACAAAAAATTTCATTTTTCAATAACTTTTATAAAAAAAAAAAATTTTTTCTGTTCTTTGTTAGAGAAATTCCTAAGGGTAAATAGAATTGTTTTCGATTTAAAAAAAAAAAATACTTTTTCTTTTTCGTGAAAATTTCACGAATTCTGAATTTTCAATTAAATAGAAAAAAAATATTTCTAAATTATTATATAGAATAATATTATATAAACGTACAAGAGTTAGAGTTTCTTTGTCTGCGATTTTCTTCATTACATATTCCAACATGTTCCATGAAATCACTAGCATCCATTGTACTATATCTATTGCAAACACTACAAATTAACTTTTCAATCGTATTATTCCTTTTTTGGCGTTTACCGATAATTGGACTCGATGTCTCATCAATTTCAAATTGATTGCATTCGGACGCATGATTAGCGATATCATTTTTAGGAAAAAAACGATTACAAATTGGACACTCCACATCGTCTCCTTTTGTACTTGAACTCGTCGATTGTTCTGTGCGAAGATTATCCTCCTGTAATTTTTCACACTTTTATTATTTAAATGATTAAAAAAATAAAATTATTTTAGTCTTTAGTCTCTTTCAAGAATTGAATAAAAATTATTTATTAATATTTTAAATTATAATAAAAAGAGAATAGAAAATAAAAAAATATTGAAAATTGAAGTTGAAAATTGAAAATTATATAAATTTGGGAGAAAAATATAAAAAATAATACTGACACATATAACGATATCATCGCTAAATAATTCTTGTTGAATTTCATCCTCGGACAAATTTTTATTATCTTTTATTCTGTCCTTCTTTTTATCATGAAGTACGTTATTCCATTTTATTTGCATCGATTTATCACGTTCCTCACGTTCTTTCAATAATTTTTCCGACTCTTCTCTTTCAGCTAAACGTTTCTTAACGAGTTCCTCTTGCCTCTTCTTTTTGTCATCCTCAATTTTCTGTAAATTTATTTGTTCTTCCTCATCCTTTGCCTTCTCGATATTTTCTATTTCTTTTAATTTAAGCTTTGACAATCGTGTTTTCTCGGCTAATGGCATTTTCAAAGACTTCATATTAGTTTGCGGCGAAATATCAAGTAATTCCGCTGGTTCACAATCTAAAATAATTTCAGGCGGCGAGTCTTTTTCATTTGATGGGGGAAATTTATCCTCTTCATTAATTGCTTTATTTGCAGTACTTTCATTTGTCTTCTTTGAACGTGGACCTCTAAAACTTGTTTTACCACGTGGTTTACCACGTCGTGCTTTATTAACACTCGGAGTTGGTGGTTGAATTTTTCGCGGATAAATTTCTTCGTGCTTTTCTTTTTCTTTAAATTCAAAAATATTATCATCATCGTCGGAAATTTTTTTTTTTTCTTCATTATCAAATAAGGAAAACGATGTGCTTGGCATTTGTGTGTCAGGCACTCTCTCGATGTCTATATCAATATGCATTTTACTTCCGTTTGCGTTTCCTTTTCTTCTTTCCTGTTGAGGTTTTCTTTTTTTGAACAAAGCCGAATCAACATCATCATCGAAATCATCATTAGCCTCAGGCTCACTATCAGAATGATTATTAATATGTTCAATAAGAGTGTTTGCCTTACGTTTACTGGCGCGACTTAATGGTTCCCTCATTGAATCCCTTGTTGGTTCCAGCTCGAATTTGTTTGTCATCATCTTTTTATCTGAACTAAACATCCGATGGTCCACCTAAACGAAAAAATTTAAAAAATAAACAATTAGAATTTGGAGAAAAATAATTATGTGGAGAAAAGTGGATTAAATTTGATTTTTTGTTTTTTTTAGAGAAATAAAATTTATTTCAAAATATCCCTTCAACGTGTACAGTTTTCTTTTTTTTTTGTTAATTTGTAATTAGTTTATTAAAATTACTGTAAGTAATTAATTATAATATCGATATACAAGTGAGAATTACGTCAATTTTATTTTATTCACAGAGATAAAAGTTGTTGACGAAAATCTTTTTTTTTTCACAAAGAAGATGAAGTTAAAGAAACAACTATTTTTTTTTATACTTATTTATGTAGTTTTTTTTCTTACGATTATTAAATTTTAATTAATAAGGGGGGTTGAATGTCAAATTAAGAATGTAAATATAAAAAACACTACTTATTCCCTTTTTGTCAAAAAATTATCTTCTTTGAGATTCATCCACCCTTTTATTTTTATTCAAATTTGGATATTTTGGAAGATTGGAAGATTGGAACATAGGATTATTTCTAATAATCAAAAATTGGATAATTGGGAACTTTTCTTAAAGATTTGTTTCACGAATCACAAAATTCAATGAAAGATTCATTTTTAATTGTTTTCGAAAAGTTCCAAATTTTTTTTTCCTTTGCCAAATTTCTTCGAATTCGCCTTCAAATTCCTTTGAATTTTCAAAAATATATAACGTTCTATTTTATTTGATCCCGAGAGAAATTGTGAACTATGTTTTTTGTACTTTCGCAAAATTCAAATAATTATTGCACAACTTCTTAAAATTCAAAGAATTCGGAGAAAAGATTGAAAAATTACAATAATTAAACAGTAATTATCGTTAATGTCCAAAAGTTAAATAATTTTTACTTCCTCATAGAGGAAGTATTTTTACATTTTTTGTTGAAATAACTTTTAAAATACAATTTTGTCACTCTTTTAAAACTATTTTTTTTCAGAGAATGTGGTCCTTTTTGTTCAATTCAACTTTCTTATAAACTTGATTTTTTTAATAATAAAATGAGAAATTTGAAGAATTAAAATATATTTTCACTCTCATTGGAAATTTTAAATTTTACTTTTTTGAAAAAAGTAGAAAAAAAACTAAATTCTTTTAATTGTATTACAAAAGTGGGAAGCACTTTTGTTATTTTTTCATTAAGATTTGCAAAAAAAAACGTCGATATTACAAAAGAACTAAATATGAAACGAAAAACTTAATTCGTCAGCATTTCGTATTTTTTTCATATTATAATACAAATATTTTTATTTGGTATCCGGATAAGAAGTCCAAACCATAAAATCCAAAGTAAATGAAATCCAAAAAAGTAAACAAAATAATAGATTCACTTTTACTTATTTTTTTGGATTTTTTGTCCTCGTCAAAAAGTCCAAAGAAATTAAAAATCCAATGAAAAAATTGAAATATAAAAATTTGAATGGTAGCCTTGAATGAAATTCTCCTTTTTCTTGAGTTTCTTATTTCGATGACTGCGAAATAAAATAAATTTAAAAATTTAAATTTTTTTTTTTTTTAAATTTTAAATTTCTGAAAATAATTAAATTAATCGAGTAATTTAATTGGAATTAATGAAAAAAATAATTGAATTTTTGTAATGAATTTTATCAAAATTGTTAAAAATAATAGTATTTCTTTGAATAATTGTTTTTAAAATTTTATAGAATTGAAATTTTTTTTATTTATGAAAATAAATGAATTTTTGTGAAGAATTTTTCCAATTAAGGAAATAATTGAATTTTTGTGAAGACTTTTTCTAATTATGAAAATAATTGAATTTTTGTGAAGAATTTTTCCAATTAAGGAAATAATTGAATTTTTGTGAAAGCTTTTTCTAATTATGAAAATAATTCAATTTTTGTGAAGAATTTTTTGAATTATGAAAATAATTAAAATCCTGCGATTTTAACATTAAGATTTTAAATTTCAATTTTATAGCGTAAAAATTGGCTTTTTTACATGATTTTTTAACTTTGGACATTTTTATTTTTGATTTTTTGTACTTTGGACTTTTTTTTTCTTGGAGTTTTCGGTCTGGATTTTTTGTCTTGTAAGTCCTTTTGTTAAAATAACTTTGATATAATTTTTGTTCGAAGCATTCCGAGATTAATCTTGAAATTAAGAATATGAAATACGAAAGAAAAATGCCAAAATATTAGAAAATATGGACAAAAATATTTACCGATCGACTCTTAATTTTGGAAAAATTACGAAAAAACGTTCGTAGAATCAAGAGAATAAGAAAAAGAAATTGAATCAGTCAGTCTTTAAGTTCACAAGTCTTAAATATTCTTTTTTCTGTGTATGGAATGCAAATATATTTTTTCTCATATAAAAAAAGTTTCGCTGCAGGATCAAATATATGGACTAAAATTATCTATTGAGATATTGGGAACAATATTGTGAGGAATAAGCATAAAGGTCAAAGGAATAGGAAGGGGTGGAGGTACCCACCTCAATGGGTGACCCCCATTCTAATTCCGAATCAGCGGCAACATCAGTTTTTTCCATAATCCACGCATCTCGAAGTTGTTCTAAAAGTTTGCTGAACTCCTCGACTCGTTGTTTAATCGAAATCTCTTTGTTGCTCCAATAATCCGTTGATTCATCATCTTCGATTTTCGGTTTAGCAAGTGGCTCTTCATCATCAGGAATAATTGCTTTTAACAAATCCATATCATATTTCTTTCTTCTCAAGCTTCTTTTTTGATATTCTTCTAACTTTTTTTTTTGCTGTGATGCATTTTCACGTGAACCAAATATGTTTATTGATTCTGTTGATGGAATTTCCCTATTTTCAACAGTACTCTCATTATTTGATGAATTTTTTACTTTATTTGCGTAAGTTCTCGGGTTTTCATTATTGTTATCAATAATATTTTTCGCCGGCGAATCAGGCGGTTGAAAACATTGTGAATTTCTCTGAAAATTTTTAAATATTCTAATTCTAATAAACTTCTTTTCTAATTCTAATTATATTTTACTTTCTGAATATATTAATTTTCTACTTACCTTTTCGTGCATTTCTTTTGATTCTTTCAGTAATTTAACTAAGTCTCTCATTTCTTTCGCGTTCATTCCTCTTTCGTACAGTCCTGCTTCTGTGGAAATTTAAATACTAAATGTTAATAAGTTCGATAAATTCCATAAATTCTTGCAAAACTTAAAGATAAAACAATTATTAAAAATTGTCCATAAATTCTTACAAAACTTAAAAACAATGATTAAAAATTTGTCAAATAGACAAAAATTCACGATAATTAGAAACAATGGGGGTTTTAATTAGTAAAATTACGTAAAGCTAAAATTATTGATTTACAGTTTTATACTTTTAAAAGATGTTGAAAAGTTGAAATATAATGTAAAAATATAACAAAAAATACTTACCGGTCAAGAATTTTTGCATTGTTTCTGGCGATTCTTCATCCTCTTCATACAAACATTTTTCTTTTTCTTCCGAAGTCATTGTATGATTCGAGAATTAATTTTGAGCAAACGATGTATTTTATATATATGTATTTTTTAAAAATATTATTATTTAATAAGAAATTAAACAAACATTATGGGTTTACTATAACACAACTCGCCTTCTAGAACTAAATAAATGCAAGAAAGGAAAAGTTGCAAGGAAACAGAAGTCGTCTACATAACCTACAAATTTCTTTTTATTCCATTATCTCGAGAGTAGAAAAATTCCACTGCAATAACCAATCAGATTGCTTTTGAATTTTTTCAACCGTCTATAGACTATATCTTATTGGTTGTTTAGACGATTCTTGTCCATAACAACACCGCCTGGTGGTAATATAACTAACTTACGAATTTTGAAACTTCAGTTACTTTACCGGTTTTTTGGTGGTTATTGGTGGTTAGAGAAAAACGTTTTTACTAATTATTGTGACTGGATTTTAGAATATTCAAAGAATGCATAAAGTTTTATCTCTAATTTTTTAACCATTTTTTTATGGATTAATGTTTGTTTTTAAAAGTTCTTTGAAAGTAAATGAATTAAATGAAATAAATTTAAGCCAGGGTTGATTATAATAAATATATTCCGCCTCTCAGGCCTCTCAAGAGACGCTATTACGAAATTATAATTGTGGCGTCGGATTCCTAAGTAAATAGTTTAAGAAAGAAGTGTATTTTTTTATCTTAGTGTTAAATATTTTATTGGTAAGTGTTTGTTTATTTTTCTAAGTTAAATTTCAGTTATTGAAATGTTTGGACTGGTATGGACTCTGATCATACTCTGATTACAAAGAAGTCATAAAATAAAATTGCAGTGAAATTTAAATAAATAAAATAGTATATATTTATTTTCAAATAAAAAAAAATCGATTTACTTTTTAGTGTGAAATAAAATGGGAGATGATTTAATTCGAGTGGCAGTGAGAATAAGACCACTTGTTCCGACAGAAATAGAAAAAGGATGTCAGGAATGTCTCAGTGTGATTCCTGAGGAAAATCAAATACAAATCAAATCCACCGATAAAGCTTTTACATTCAACTATGTTTTTGATTCAGACATTGGCCAGGCCAAATTTTACGATACGGCAATAAAGAAAATGATAACTCATATTTTTCAAGGTATGTCACGAATTTTCAATATTTCGATTTCTCTATGATTTCTTTTAGATAATAAAATTATAATCTATATTAATAATCGTTGTATTCCGGTAATTTGTTTGCAGTTTCAATTTAGTTGTTTGCTTCTTTGTTTCCTCACTTTATTCAAAAATTTTCTTTTCATTTTCAATTTTAAAATTCTTGCAAAGAATCTTTTAAAAAAATTTTAAGAAAATAATTAAATTCTTTCGAGAAATTCTATTAAAAGTGTTTTAAAAAGAATTGGATTTCTGCGAAGAATATTTTTCTATTTATAAAAATACAATTGAAATTTTCGAAAAATTCATTAAAATTTTAGGAAATAATTAAAATGTTTCGAAGAATTTATTAAAATTTTAGGAAATAATTGAATTGTTTTGAAGAATTTTATAGAAATATTTGAAAATAATTAAATTCTTTCAAGAAATACAATTAAAGTTGTTTCGAAAATAATTGAATTTCAGTAAATAATTTTATTTAAATTAAGTATATTCAAAATAATTGAATTTTTTGAAAATATTTAAAAATATTTGAATTCTTCCGAGGAATTGAATTAAAATTGTTTTGAAAATAATTGATTTCCTGCAAAGAATTTTAATATTTATAAAAATAATTGAAATCCTGTAAAGAATTTTGTAATTTATGAAAATAATTAAATTCTTTCGAAGAATTCAATACAAATTGAATATTGGAAATAATTTAATTCTCGTAAACAATCTTATCAACAAATTTTTAAACAATTGAAGTCTTTTGACAAATTTTAATAAAATATCTTAAAAATAATGACATTTTTCGAGGAATTTGATAAAAATTGTATTTAAAATTATGAAAATTCTGCGATGAATTTTTATTTATAAAAATAATTGAATTGTTTCGAAGGATTCATTAAAATTTTAGATAATAATTGAATTCTTTAGAAATATTTTACTATTAAAAAAAATTATTGAATTATTGCGAAGAAATTTATAAAAAGTTTGTAAATAATTGAATTTTGGAGAAGAATTTTATTACTTTTGAAAATAATTGAATTTCCGCAATCATTTGTTACTTCTCCAAAATTCAATTTTTTTAGTGTTTAAATTGAATTTAAATTAATGTTTATGTTAATTAATTAATTAATTATTTTTAAAACAATTTAACTAATTTCAGATAAATTGGAATTATTGAAATTCTTCAAAAATCCAAGTTCTTTAAAAATTCTAATTAAATTCATTCAAAAATTGAAATTTTCTAAAATTTTAAATTAAAACCTTTTGAAGTTGATCTATTTATGAAAATTGTAATTTTTTAAAATAATAGAATTTTTTAAAGGAATTTTATTAAAAATAATGATTCTTTTAAAAAAATTTTATCAAAATTGTTGAAAAGAATTGAATTTATATTAAAACTCTTGAAAATAATTGAATTTAAATAATATTTTTAAAAATAATTGTATTCTTTAGAGAAATTAAATTAAATTGTTTTGAAAATAATTTAATTTGTGCAAAGATTTTACTATTTATAAAAAGTATTAAATTGTTTCGAAGAATTTATTAAAATTTTTGAAAAAAATTGAATTTTTTCGAAATGTGTTAAAAATTTAAAAAAAATTAAATTATTTCGAGGAATTAAATTAAAATTGTTTTGAAAATAATTGAATTTTTGTAAAGATTTTACTATTTAAAAAAATAATTGAATTGTTTAGAAGAATTTATTAAGATTTTAGAAAATAATTGAATTCTTTCCTAAAATTTTATTTAAAATTTTTGAAAATCTGAACAGAAATATTTTTTTTTTCATTAAAAATTGTTTAGAAGGATTTATTAAAATTTTAGAAAATAATTGAATTCTTTTGTGAAATTTTATTAAAATTTTGTTAAAAATAATTGAATTCTTGCAAAAAATTGTATACTATTAATAAAAATAATTGAATTCTTGCAATGAATTATATTAACATTTTTGAAAATATAAACAATAGTAATTAATTTTGTACTTAGTAAGTGAATTTTTAAAATTTTGATTATGAAATTATTTAAAAATTTATGTTTTTTTCATCTTGCTATGGTTTGTAGAAAGTGTTTTTGTAAAAAAAATTTTTTTTACAGATTTTAATTTTAATTTTTTTTTTATTAAATTAAAATGTTTATTCCAGGTTACAATGTAACAATTCTTGCGTATGGACAGACGGGAAGTGGAAAGACACATTCGATGGGTACAAATTATACCGAAAGTAATGGCAATGATGGAGTTATTCCTCGCGCTGTTGAGGATATATTCGAAACGATAAAACTCAATGAAGACTGGGATTATAAAGTTGCGGTATCTTTCATGGAATTGTATCAGGAACAACTGTACGATTTGCTTGCGAATAAACAAAGAAATCAGTGTGTCGTCGATATTCGTGAAGATTCGAAAAATATCAAGATTGTCGGTGTCACGGAAAGAACCGTGACAAATTCACAAGAAACATTGCAATGTTTAGCCGATGGTTCATTATGTCGTGCCACTGGTGCCACGGCCATGAACAGTCAAAGCAGTCGTAGTCATGCAATTTTCTCGATATCAGTTCATCAACAAAAAAAAGATGATCCGTAAGTTTCAGTTATTGAAATTTATCATTTAGTTTTGAAATAATTCCTGACAAAAGTTTTTACGAATTTGAAGAATGTAATAATAATAATATTTATTTGTTCAAAGAATTTAATAAAGAATGTAAATTAATTTTAGATCAATTATGAGGACGGCTAAATTTCAGTTGGTGGATTTAGCCGGTTCGGAACGAAGTAAAAAGACACAGGCTACCGGCGAAAGATTCAAGGAAGGTGTGAACATTAATAAAGGTCTGCTAGCTCTGGGTAACGTAATTTCCCAATTGGGTGAATGTGGAACTGCATCTTATGTCGGCTATCGAGATAGCAAACTCACGAGACTTTTGCAAGATTCCCTAGGAGGAAACTCAATGACTCTTATGATCGCTTGCGTAAGTCCCGCAGGTAAGAATATTAATTTTCATTTATTAATTAACTATATAACTATATTAATCTCCGTATTCTTTTATTCATTCTGTCCATTCTGTCCGCAGTTTGAATTTAGTTTCTGTGTATGCTTTTGTTTTTTTTTTTCTTTAAAAAATATTGTTTGACAAATCGAAAATAAGCAGGTATTTTTCATGATTTATAATAAAATAATATTACAAATTAGAAAATTTTTAAAAAATTATGATTAACAAATAAAAAATATAGCCATTTTATTTGTTATATACTTTTTTCTATAACAAATTTCGATTGACTGATCTAAATTATTATGCAAATTATTCTCCTTTTTATTTATTAAAAATACTAGAAAATTGTTAATTGTTAAAAAATTTTGATTAAGAAGTAGGAAATATACCCATTTTATGCATAATTTTTATTTCTCAATAACAATATTGTTTACAAACTCATTTTTTTCTTTTGGGAAGAAAAACATTAGATATTCGCGTTTCTTAATATTTTTCTAGAAAATTCTCAATTTTCAAATGGAAATAATTTGCATCAATTCTATTTCTTAATTTCAATTGTTTTAATTTTCATATTCTATTATTATCTAAAATTTAAATTAAAATTAATTTTCAAATAAATTTTTATTAGAAAATTCTACGAAGATTCAATTATTTAAATACAAAAGTAAATTATTTATTGAATAATTGAACGTTTCTTGAAATTAAATCTTATAAAGAATTTTATTAATAAATTTTTAAATAATTGGATTCTTTTAACGAATTTTAATAAAATTTTTTAGAATAGTTATACATTTTTCAAGGAATTCGATTAAAATTGTATTAAAAATAATTGAAATTCTGCAATGAGTTCTATTATTTAAAAAAATTATTGAATTCCTAAAAAGAATTTTATTATTTATGAAAACAATTTATTTATTGAAAAGAATTTTTTTACATTTTACAAATAATTGAATTTTAGTAAAAAAACTTCATTATTTGTGAAAATAATTTAATTCTCGTGAAGAATTTTTTTACATTTTACTTATAATTGAATTTCAGTGAAAAATTGTATTATTTGTGAAAATAATTTAATTCTTGTGAAGAATTTTATTAAAATTTTATAAAAAATTTAATTCCAGTGAAAAATTTTGCTATTTGTGAAAATATTTTCGAACTCTTTTGGTAAATTTTATGAAAATAGAAGATATTGAAAATAATTAAATTTTATAAACATTTTTGAAGTAATTAAATTTTTCTAGAAGAATTTGAATACTTTTGAAAATAATTGAATTCTTTTGATGAATATTGGTATTTATTAAAATAATTGAATTTTTTTAAAGAATTTTATTAAAATTCCAGAAAATAATTGAATTTTTTGAAAGAATTTTGTTATTTATCAAGATAATTAAATCCCTGTAAAAAATTTTATTGTTTATGAAAATAATTGAATTATTTGCGAAGAAAATTAGAAAAAATTTGCAAATATTAATTGAATTCATGTGAAATTTTTATTATTTATGAAAATAATTTAATGTTTGCGTAAAATGTTATTAAAATTGTTTTTAAATAATTGAATTCTTTTGGGTAATTTTATTAAAATAGTAGATATTGAAAATGATAGAAATGAGACAAATTTTTGAAAATAATTGAACTTTTGACAAGAGTTTTTTATTAAAAGTTTTGAAATTAATTCAATTTTGAAGGAGAATTTTTTCATTTATAATAATAATTGGGATTTTGTCGAAATTTTCTTGTAAATTTTGAACATAATTGAATTTTGTGAAAAGAATTTTATTACTTTTAAAAATAATTGAATTTCTGCAATCATTTGTAACTTCTTCAAAATTCAATTTTTTAAGTATTTTTAACTAAAATTCTTTTATAAATCCATTATTTTTAATTATTAATTAAATATATATTGACAAATTTAACTAAATTTAGAAGATTTTGAATTATTAAAATTTTTCAAAAATCTAAGTTCATTAAAATTTCTAATTAAATTCATTCAACATTGAAGTTTTATAAAATTCCATATTCAAACCGTTGGAAGTTCATTAACTTATGAAAATTGTAAACGCAACTCTTTTAAAATTGAATTAATTTTGAAATATTCAAGTAAAATTATTCATTAAATATAATTTATTTATTTTATGATAGTTGTTCAAGATTTAAGTTATTTAAAAAGAAATTTTTGTCAGAAATTGAAAAATATGAAAGTTTTGTATTAGAATTCTTGGTAATTTTATAGTTTATAAGTCGAGCAAAAAAGACACAAAAATTCAGAATTTTCTTATTAAATCTAAAAGTTTAAATTTTTTCAGTACTTTTAATAAAAATTCCTGACTTTTCCCTGAATTCCCTACGTCAGAATATATGATTATTATAATTATATTAATATTAAAACCATATATTCCAATTAATATTTTATTTTTATTAAAAAAAATTTTTATGTTCTATTAATTTTAAAATTGCAAATTTTATTTAAAAGAGTAAGTGAGTTGCTAGTTCTTATTCTTATTCTTATTGCATAATTTTTATTCACAGATTACAATTTAGATGAATCGTTGAGCACTTTACGATACGCGGATCGAGCGCGAAAAATCAAGAACAAACCAGTGGTAAATCAAGATCCACAATTGGCGGAGATCAATCGACTGAAGAATATTATTCAAGAGATGAAAGTGTCCCGATTAAGTCAAGAAATTCAAGGAATCTCGACTTGTCCACCAGAGCATCGGGAATTAGAAGATAAAAACCAATTGTTACAGAAAAAATTGAGAAGCGTCACGGAGAAACTCAGTGCTCAATTAATCGAATTAGTTCACATGCACGAACGGACAGATCTCGCTGAAAATTCCCGAGAAAAAATGAAAGCCGGAATGAATAACATCATGGAAGAATGTGACGAACTCATTGAATTACTGGAAGTCTCTCCTAACGACACAGAGCAACATCACAAGAAACTAAGTTCCATTCGTCTGCAAATTCTCAGTAAGTAATACTAAAATAGAATTAAAGTATAAACTTTTTGAATTCAATCTAACGACTCGGTTATAATTCACAGATTTGCAAAACGATCAAAAGAAAACAGAGGAGGATCTTGTGAATCATGATTTAACGTCAGGTTCGCAACAATCGATACAAATAAAAATTGAAGACGAGGAAATCGAGAACAACATTGCCAATGAGACCTACGATCTTGATGAAAAACACGAGGAGCATACACTTCGTCAAGCGCAAACAATCGATCAGGTACAAACAATAACTCGCGAACTTGCCATTAAAGAAGAACTTGTTTCGAAATTACTGCAAAGTGTCGCCGATGACACGGCCCAGTTACACTCAGTTCACGAAATGGAGAACGAAATAACAAAATTACAAACCGAGAAAGAAGAATTACAACAACAATTGAATAGCGCTCAGAATAATAAAGTTGCCGCCCGCCTCGCTGAGACGCGACGTAAAAAAGTTCAGGAATTAGAGAAGAAAATTATCGATCTCAATCGTAAATGTACCGAACAAAATCGTGTTATTAAACAAAAGGAAAAATCCGATCAACAAATTAGAAATTTGGCCAACGAAATTAATACAATGAAACAAACGAAAGTGAAATTAATCCATCAAATGCGCACCGAGTCAAATCGTTTTCAAAAATGGAAAATTTCCCGTGAACGTGAACTATCGAAATTAAAGGATCAAGATCGTAAGCGTGTCAATGAAATGGCAAAACTTCAAGTGCAACACAATAAACAACAGAATGTGATGAAACGAAAAATGGAGGAGGCACACGCTGTTAATAAACGATTAAAAGAGGCACTTGAGAAACAGAGAAAAGTACAACAGAAACGTTCGGAAAAGGCAAATAGCAAGGAGCATATTCAATCTTGGGTGTCACAGGAATTGGACGTTTTTCTCAGTACAGTTGACGCCGTATGCTCTCTAGAAAGATTAATGCAGGAGCGAGCACTTTTGGTTAATCAACTCAAAGAGCTTCGCGACAAAAAGAACGAGTACGATAAGGAAATTTTTCAGAAACAAGAAACCGATCTTGTCGAATTAATCGAATTGCGAAACACACAAATTTCTGATTTTCAACAAAAAATCGTCGAATCAGATCAAGGTATTTATTTTATAATAATTTAAACATATTTCAATTTAATTCGATATATTTTCAATTGTATATACTTTCAATACCCAGCGGATGATTTCCATTCTGCTTTCAATGTTTCATTCACAATTTAAATGTTTAATTTAATTTAATTTTCTATTTTAGAAAATCAAGCCAGTAACAGGTGGCAAAATTTGATTTCCATAAGAGACGCGAAAATCGCTCTCAGATCTGTATTTGAACTCTCAGCCGAAGACAGGAAGAAAAATTATGGACTTAAATGTGAAATTGATGATCTCAAGGTATGAAATGACTTTGTAAATTATTTGACCTTTTTAATTAATTTAATTTTAACTTAGAAATTTACCTACTATTTTAATTTTTCTATGTTTACCGGAAATTTTTTTGAAAGAACTAAATGTGACACGCTTCCGGGCTCCAACTTGGTCCGTAAATCAAGTAAAGGTCCGTAAATTTGCTTGAAGTCCGTAAAAATCAGTTTTTTTGAAAAAAGGTCCGTAATTTGATAGAAAAAGGACGAAAAGTTCGTTTAAATTGTATGATATCATTTGGAGAAGTTTAGAGAAATTACAAATGATTGCAGAAATTCAAATATATTCAAAAGTAATAAAATTCTTCGCAGAAATTTAATTATGTTCAAAAAATTTTTTTAAATTCTCGTCGAAATTTCAATTATTTTTAGAGATAATAAAATTCTTCTCTGAAATTCAATTATTTAAAAAAATTTTTAATAAAATTCTAGGAAAAAATTCAATTATTTTCAAAAAATTTCCTCAATTTAATAATTGAAGATTTAATTTTAATCAAATTTTCCAAAAGAATTCAATTATTTAAAACCAATTTTAAATAAAATTCTACACAAACATTTAATTATTTTCATAAAATAGTAAAAATTTCACAGGAATTAAATTTTTAAAGAAATTTATTATAAATTTCTTCGCAATCAATCAATTATTTTCATAAATAATAATTTAGGAATTTTTATAAAACTCATTGCAAAATTAAATTACTTTCATAAATAACAATATTCATCACAAGAATTCAATTATTTTCAAAAATTAATCTAATTCTTTGCAAAA